GAGGCTCGACAAGCGTTTGCAGCGTATTTACAACAGAGAGGGTGGTCTGTAGAAGTGTGCCCGACCGAGGCGGATCTCAAAATTGCGCAAGACTGTTTGCCCGGAGACGTTGTCCTATCGCGAGACAGTGATATGCTCCTTTACCAACACATTTCGATCATCTGGCGACCAATATCAAGAGGACGCATCCTTGCGTACAACGTCCCCGATGTCCTGACTACTCTTGGAATCAACAGGACGCAACTCATAGTCTTGGGTGTGGTCTCATCGAACGACTACAACGCCAACGTTCCTTCATTGGGATGTGTAACGAATTTCAGTATCATTAAGCAGTTAAAGGGAGAGGGTAATGTTTAGCGTTCAACCGAAAGACTCTAGCGTGTTCTTGTAAACAAATTCCAACTCTAACTGTGTTGCTGCTGCCTGCCTTTTAATTCTAGATCCAGCTGAGATGGTGCAAGAGTACCTGTCGAACAGTCGTGTCATTCTCAAAAACGACAAGAAATTGACCTTTGCGACCTCTCTACAGGTGTTTGTGCACCATAAGCAGACACCATTGCAGCATGTGCAGCAAGCTCAGTCCCACCAGATGCTGCAATACGAGGAACTTTGGTCTACGTTTCGCCGTCTGCAAATAGAATGCATTGACAATGGGAAAGAACGGCGCGATAACATTCAAGCCAGGAAACGGTAAAAAATTTTACTCCTGTAGTCTTCATTCTTCTGCCTTCGCTTGAATGCGTCCATTACTAACTCTAGTCTACGTACTATGGCAATGCATCTAGTGAGACGCATGATAATGAATCCCAAAGGCACAAGTCTTCACAAACATTCAACCGCTACCGCACAATTGATCGACCTGAACATCCGCCTTCGACACATCCTCAGCCCGCGGCTACACCCCCGCTTTTGACACTTACGCAACTCACGGAAGCACCTTCACCCTCAACATTTCCTCAACCTGCGGTAGCGCCCACGTCTTCGACACTTCATCAAGCGGTTTCACAGCAAGAAAAACCTCGTCATCGCCCACGGTATTCTATGAAGGTGCGGACTCGCAAGATACAACACGACTTACCAGAGTCAATGACACAATACCAATGGAAGCCCTGGAAGACAACTCCGATGGCACCGTCCGCGCCAGTGATTCCTCCACAGAATACGACGCAACCTGAACCAGCAACCGCCAAGAAAGTTAAGTCAGTTGACGAGATGAACAAGGCTGACTTCACGCGTGCTCTTGACTGGGAGCATCCAACAGTTACACTTGATGTTGGGACTTTATCCGCGAATGTCAGAAGAGCTGAAGACTTGAGCCCTGATGAAGCTTCTGAAGTACTCCGATGCCTCCGGGAAGCCATCCGCCTTGCAGCCGGTACAAAACACACTTGCCAACAGCTCCTTGGTCGGTTCATCGAGTGTGTCTCTGATCCAGCCATCTTTAAGGAAACGGATAGGGATTTGTTGGATCTCATCTGCCCGCGCATACCGGGTACGAATAAGGACAATGATGGTGATAAGGATAGTGATAAGGATGATGATAAGGATGGTGATAAGGATGGCGAAGAGCAGGAGGACATAGATTCGGAGATCGACAAGGAGCAGGAGGATAGAGACGCAGATTCGGAGGTCGATAAGGACGATCATCAAAGGTTCCTTGGGATATTAACAACATATGTGTATTCGGGCATCATCCCTAGCGGCAAAACGAAGAGTATACAGTGCACGCGGAGGTTCATCGATCGAGCGCAGGAGCTACACTTACTGGAACGAAAAGATGCTGCTATCATCAACACGAGAATGCCATACCCGGGGTCAGTCATACTGCGAAGCATAATCGCGCAGCTGTCGGTTGATCTCAAGCGATTGTACGGAAAAGGCTGCAAGGAACTCCATAAAAAGGTAAATGTGAGAAGGAAAGAGTAAGGGATGCCGGAGTGGCGATGTTGGACATAGACAATGAATGACTGAGAGTGAAGGTATTCTGTGGCGAAATGGGGAGAAAGAAAGAGAGAAAAAAGAGAGGGGGGAACAACATATGTACATGTACATACAAGGGACACAAGGTTCAAGGTTACAAGGTTCTATTCCACTAACTCGAACCTTACACACGGCAACTTTAAAACAGCTCAAGAAACAACTGGTCAAAGGGCTCTTGCCGGCTGGGACATGCATTGACATTCGTGGCGACGTCTCTGCGGTCGAGAACTTTTACCGTCTGAACCCGCTGACCAAGAACCCTCGGAAGTTAATGGCGTGTACGCCTTCCGCGCAGCCGTTCGTCGCGTTCACGGAACTGGAATTGATTTCAATCTTTTGGAAGAGCGACACACTCAAGGCGAAGCTGCAGAGTCTTCATGGAGCCAAGGACTATCGTCCTGCGTTGTCTGACATGTCGTACTGGCTGGCCAACCAAGCACCAGGCTACCTCCTCACGACACTCATCACCGACGTAGGACTGGGTCATAAAAAGCGTCGCATGCCCAGAATCAGCAAATCATTCAACAACCTCGCGACACCTTCACTTGCAGAGATCAAAGAGCACCTGAGAATCATTCAGAACGAGGATTTCGACCCCCGCACTTATAAGGAACGCGGTTACGTTATTCGCGGATCTATTCGGACCGATGGCTTTCGTCTCCAGTTAACGGCATTCAAGCTGAAGGAGCTTCTCTCGGTTCGGTACAGGCGGCATCCCACGGACATATTGCCTTCTCGGATTACGTCCACTGTGGGTGGAGTCGACTACTACCTAACTGAGGTTCGGAACGTTGTCAAGACGAAGCAGGATGTTGCAGTTCTTTGGGACTGTGAACCAGAGAAAATCAAGATATTAGGTCTCGATCTTGGTCAAGCGTTTGTGGTTGGAGCGAGCGCTCTATTGCCTGAGAAGACCTTAGATGACATGAAAAAATCCGTCAGCCTCGAAAATGGAAAGCCACGCAGCGACAGTTATAATCCAGAGCAAGCATGTGTTACAGGAGCGAGTATGCCGAGATCCAAGGAGAGCTTCCATCAACAGAACAGTGCCGTCGGTACCGAACAACCTGACAATGACAATGACACCGAGGCTTCCGCCCGCAGCTCCCAGGTCTTTTACAACCTAGCTGTAAAGCAGAAGGCCGTATACCAACCAACATTCAAGTTTCGACGTTGGTTAGAAGAACGCAAACGGTCGATCCCGCTAGGCGCAGCAAAATCTATCAGCAACATCGAAAGCGAGCTACCAGCCCTTCGCGGAAAGGATGCCAGCGTTGAAAAGTACGTCGCGGGATTAGCAGGCGTCAAGGAGCAGCTCCACGAGTTCTACAACAAAAGCGCCACATTCAAAAAGCACCAGTGGGATGCCAGAAAAGCTAGAGAGGCAGAATTCGACATCATCGCAGATCGCCTGCTCAATATGGTTGGAGGATCGCTTGGTAGACAGCGAGATGAAGAGGACAAGGTTGTAATCGGCATTGGTCTAGGCAAGTTTTCATCCACGGGACGACTTTCCTCGTTACATGAGTCCTTCCAATCGTACTTTGTTCAAAGGGTTAGTGCTTCATTGCAAGACATTCGATTTCTTTTTTTTTTTTTTTTTTTAAAAAAAAAAAAAAAAAAAAAAAAAAAAAAGCTACTGATGACGCTAATGAGGCGCCTTACGTTCTGTGTCCGTTAGGCAAGGGCGCTCGGGTATATTGTCGTGGGCGTCAATGAGTACTACACGTCAAAGAAGTGTCCGATGTGCGAGGAGTTTGTCGGCCAGGTTCAAATACGTCGGCTGTATTGCAAGACTTGCAAGACATACATGCACCGCGATATCATGGCGGGCCACAATATTTGCAACGTTATTCAAGGGCACTTGCTTCAGCAACAGAGGCCACTCTATCTTCAGCCTGTAGATGAGAATGGTAGATATCCTTGGATGGAAGCTACACAGACAGTAACCGATAGCGCGAGCACCAGTAGCAGCAGCATCAATAGTAACAGTAGCACTAGCAGCATCAATGGTAACAGTAGCACTAGCAGCACCAATAGCACCAGTAGTACTAGCAGCACCAGTAGTACTAGCAGCACCAGCGCCAGCAAGGGCAGTGTGGCCCGAAAGAGGACAGCATCAACCGCGGCTGCAGAACAAGAAGGAGCTCCAAGGCGCAAGCGTGCGGCCAATGCGGCATCAGGGCAGGAATCGGCAACTAGCCAGGCCCCAGGAAGTGCCTAAACCCCATCTCAACCATATATGTGTTCGCAAGCACATTTAAAAATGATCGGTAGGTGTAATTTATATCCTAAAGCTGCATAATTCTGTTATTGCACGCCGAAATTCTTTTACTGCATGTATTTGCTTATGCTCACCAAAAAAATTCTATGGCGTCGCGTAGTTGGTGCGTTTTTAATGCTCCAACGGAAATTAAAATCTGTTCTAGGGCGGCACTGAGCCATTTAATCTACAGCGACGTTTTTCGTTGCATGGCCTGGGTTTACTTGATACGGGTAGCCTCGACCTGTGCAGCTGTAACATCCGCCAGGCGGGTAATCAGAGTCTCGTAGAAATCGATGCCCTCCAAGAAAATATCCTCGTGCATGCGCTCGTCGTGATCGTGGAGCAGCAAGGGCGTGTTCTTAAGGTAGGAGACACCCAATGCTGGGATACCGACTTCACGGAGGTAGCGCGAGTCGGTTGCCGCTATCGACATTCAAGGAGATAAAAAAAAGTGGATTGATCAGTTCTTTGCGCTATTACAGGACAAAGTAAAAACTCATCAGACCGATTTGGTGATATATCATATACCTGGGAAGATCTCAGTCTCGTACTCGACGTTCATTCCCTTGCAGGCGTCGCTGAAAACGGTCCACCAAATGTTGGACTCATCAATGGCGGTGAGTGTGTTGTCAAAGTGTCCGTTCACAAATCCCATCGTCACGCTATAAGACAATGAGTTGTTAACGCGGTTAGTTGCTACTCTAGAAATAAAATGCGAATAGACTCAGGCTGACAGATCACATACCCTGGCTGAGAGTGGACGAATCCCTCGATTTTGGCCTGAAACTCCTTCATGTCGAAGAAGGGGCTAACACGGATATCGAATCCGCAGGTAGCCTCCATGGGGATAACATTGTACTGGATGCCGCTCTACATGATGACATAGAACACAAAACAAAGCAACTGAGTGCAAGCAATAGAAAAAAAAAAGCAGATGCAGCTCCATTTTTCATCAAAGGAAAATTGCTCGAAGGTGCATTTTACCTGCAAGAAAGTAAGGTTGATCGTGGTCACGTCTCCAAGGGTGTAACGCGTGCCATTGTGGTGCAATCCAACCTCGAGCAGCTTCTCCTGTTCATTGCGCAGGTTCATAAACTTCTCGATAACCTTGAGTAGCTTGCTCGGTGCGGTCTCCTGAATGAACTGTGATCCGTGACCAGTAGGTCCAGTGGCGGTAATCTTGATCCACCAGGGCATGCGCTCGCCGTAAAAGACCTTGAGTGCATCCTTGGGCGAAGCAATACCCTCGTCCAGGGCAAAGGCAACATTGAGCTTCTTGAATTCTTCGTGATGAACGAGCAGCTTCATGCCCTCGACGCCTCCGACTTCCTCCTCTGTTGTAGTTTGGTTAAATGGAACGGGAAGAAGGGCCGTTTAGTTAGTTCGGTGAACACAAAACATGACCAAAAGGAGCAACATTTTTTTTCCAATATCTCCCACGCTTTGCTGCTATCCATGCATCCCGCAAGAGGTGAAGGTTGTACAAGGACAAGGCTGCGCTGCGCATAATACGCTGTGATGGAGGACTATATACTTGCCTGGGACCCAAGTGAGGTGGATAGTTCGAAGCGGCTTCTTTCCGGCAGCTCTGTAGCGGCGGATGACTTCCAGGTAGCTGCATGATAAAAAGCACGCAATTGAGGCCGACAAAGACATATGTTAGTGAATCATAACAACATGAGCTACATTATCTTCCAGATACAAGCACCGCGTACCTGATGCCGACACACTTCATGTCCTGGGCGCCACGGGCATAGATGAATCCGTCCACCTTGTTGGCCGCAAAAGCGTCCTGGGTCCACATCTCAGGGAAGACGGGCACCACATCTGTATGGCTGTTGAGCAGGAGCGAGGGCAGGCTGGGGTCGGTGCCCTCAACGGTCATGATCACCGTGGGCTTGCCCTTGACGCACTACATTTCCGCATGCAATAAGGAAAAACGTGAGTGAGTAAACAAGCTCATGGAGGGATGCAGTCGGTTCCTCTCATTCCGAATCGAGCACAGTGGTACCTCGACGACTTTGTATGGAATGCCAATCTCCTCAGCCTCGCGGATTAGGAAAGCGGTGCTTCCTACATAGTCGGGGTTGGGCTGGACGGTCTTGATGCGCAGATACTCGCGGAAGCGGGTGACTGCAGGGTGCTCGTTTGTGGTGTCGTTGGAGGCCATTGTGCTTTCAGGGATGCGGAATCGGGATGTTGTAGACGAAGACAAGGGGTGGGGGAGAATGAGAATGAAGAAAAGAAGGTTGCGCCATCGCCGCTTCCAACCGTTATTTGGTGGGGGCCCACTCGCTCCCCGTTGGAGGTACAAAGTGCCCCGTCCTAGGCATATAACAGCTAGCCGCTACAGGCGGCATATTTTTTATTCGATAAACGCGGGCACGACTACGATATGTACATTATTGCATCAACTGGATAGCCCTCCGATGGAGCCCAGCTACGCCCTCAGCGTATTACAACTTGGACGCCGCGGCATAGTTATTCACAATGTCGTGGATGTTGGCGTTGTTGTAGATCGTAACCATCGACTTGGAAACCGGGTTCACCTCGATCTTCTGCGGTTTGATCCCCTCGACCTCTACACTGTCTGATGTGCCGACCAGTCGCATGCTCTGGGCCACGGTCGCCACGCTGACCGTCGTCAACTTTTCCGACACGAACTCGAGCAATGGCACAGCCCTGTCGAGTACCCACTCTGCATATCGCGATCCTGACTCACGAGGCTCGACTACTTTCAAGTACGCCGGATGGAAGATGCTCACTCTCTCGAATCCAATCTCGGCCAGTGCCTTCTCGGTCTCGCCCTTGGTCTTTGTGTATAAAAAGAACGAGTTCGCATTGGCATTGGCGGAGGAGCAGTAAAGGAAATGAACCTTTGACTTTCCGGTCTCGGGGTCCTTGGGTGCCTTCTCGTGAATGTACCGAGCCGAGTCAAGGACGTATTGTTGGTCGATCTTCTTGAATGCCGCAGCGGATCCTGCGAGTGCTCGGGTGGTGGCGAGTGAGCAATAGACCACCTGGGGCAAGTCGTCCGTGGGGAATGTGGAGGCGATGTTCTCAAAGTCAACGGTCTTTTGGTCGAGGACTGAGGTGTTGGTGAAGCTGTCGTCGGTGGTGACGGGTCTGCGGCCGAGGGTGAGGACGCGGGTGAAGGCATTGGAGGCGAGGGCGTCACGGACGAGGCACTTGCCGACGGCTCCTGTGCCACCGAAAATCAGACAGGAGTTCTTTGGGATGGACATGGTTGGTATGCTGGTGTTGTTGGTTGTTGGTTGTTGGTTGTTGGTTGTTGGCGGTTGAAGTCGAAGCTGAATGAGTCGAGGGATGGAATGAGCAAAGAAAAAGAAAGAAGAATGGAGGAGGATCAGCAGAAGCCTAAGGACGAAAGATGTTCCAAGCAAGGCGGTCTTATGGCAGCCTCGTTTCTCGATCGGTTCCAGAAAGCACAAACCAGACACTGACGGACTATCCGCATGCGATCCGCATCCACATCCACATGCAAAACAAATAAATAAAAAAAAGCGATCGGGGACGGTGCCCAATAATGCCGAAAGGATGACTGAACGGTTACGCGTCTGCTCTTACTCTGCACATTCCCATCTCATCCTTGGGCTTCCTTGCGTCTTTTTTTCCTTTTTTTTTTATGGGCATAACGCATAACTATCCCGTTCGTGCGTCAACAACATTCTCGAAAAATAGGAGAACGAATACACCTCGGCCTGCCTCGCTTGTGTTTAGCCCAATCGTGATGACATGTTCGTGCATTTCTGAACCCGGGCGCACAAAAGATTCAGTGCGCAAATGCATGTCGTACCAGCATCAAAAGAGACAAGCGGCTGTCTTTCCTTCTTTATTTCATACTCCACTTTTTTTTCGCAGATACTTCGACCCCCAACGAGACGGATTCTCCAAGGCGAAAAGTCGAGTGGAGATAAAGAAAAAAGATAGCACAGGAAAGGCTTTCTAAATGAGAAGTATATTATATTTTATTTTATTTTATTTTTTTCTTTATTGAACAAAAGCAATGACAAAATGGATGTGTATATAACAAGACGGAAAAGAAAACAAAGAGCATGGTAGTCTAGAGAGTATACTGTCCCTGATCCTGCAATCCGCCTAGTAGATATAGGGGATCAGCTTGTATGGGACGATCCTCTCGTACTCCTCCCAGTACTTGCCGTACTTGCCTCTGCAGCGGGTATGGTCGCGCTGGATGCGGTGCAACAACAAGATGGTCATGTAGATGATGTAGAAGTAAGGCAACAGGTGCTGGACGCCGCAGGTCATACACATCGCCAAGGAGATCAACAAATCACCGACATAGTTGAAGTGGCGAGAGAGACCCCAGTAACCCGAGCAGAGCAGGAGCGACTTGTGGGTCTTACCGTCCGAGGTCACGAACGAGGTGCGGATCACCTTCGCAGGCTTGCCCCAGACCTTGCACTCGCCATTGGTCGAGCGCACAATGTCCTTCTGGTGGTTGACGGAACGGAAAATGAAATATCCGGTGAAGCCCACGGCGGCGATGAAAGCGAACTGGATAGGAGTCAAGTCGACAGTGTTGCGAAGAAGGTAGTGGGACTGGAGAGTGTACTGTGGAGGTTGAAGAAGAATACACAGCGCAGTTGTAGTGGTCAATAACGAGCACCATTATCATTCAAACAATACGAGAACAATACATCGATCCAAAGAATATTGCGTAACAAAAGGACACTTACCAACCAGGGCAGCCAGACGGAATCACCCCAGGCGAGGTAGAATCCAAAGTGGTCGTGGGCGATATCGATGGTGCGGAGGTACCAGTCCTCGTTGTAGAAAAAGTCGAGGACATAGGTGGCGTGGAGGACGTTCAACAGGATCATCGAGTTCGTAACATAGCCGATCTTCTGGTACTGAGCAGCCGCAAAGGACAAGTTGATCATAGTCCAGGCGACGATTCCGGGGCGACCGTTGTGGAAGAGCTTGAAGTCAAAGTACTTTCCGAAACGGGGGTTGAACTCGATACCCATGAGGAGATCGTAGATGAACGAGCCCGAGAATTTGCGATCGGCGGGGTGAGAGGGGAAGACGTAGGCCTTGAAGAAGCAGAAGAAGGTCAGGAAGTATCCGTACAGGTTGGCAGCGAACAAGAGACCGCCCCAGTTGTCATGGATAATCGAGAGCTTCCACCAGCCAAAGTACAAACCGCCAGCGGCGTACAAGGCATGCGAGATGATCCAGGCCAAGAGTCCGTTGACCTGCAATGGGTGATCAATTTAGTCGAAAGAGCTTTGTGTTAGTAACCGCGTTAAAAAGAAAAACGTGCATGTCCCAGAAATAGCTTTGTGGTATGTACCTTGTAAGGGAGAAGGTGTCCGGCAGGGGTACGCTGGCCGTATCCGATCGCGGCGGGCAAGAAGGCGTAGAGGACAGCCTGGAAGAGCAACCAGGAGAAGAAGAGGCGGGTGGCATAGGGCGAGTATCTTGGCATCTCACGGATCAGGAGGGTCTTGAGGGCCACGAGATGATCAGGGGCGTTGTAAACCTCGAGGGCGGGTGCAGACATGGCGCAGTTGTAGCCGTTGCAGGAGATGTATGTGTACAACACCCAGAGAGGTGAGAAGACCAAGATGCCGAGCGAGACCAAGATGGTGCCAAAAGAGACATCTACCAGAGACGAGTCAGTCAATAAACAAGATGGAAGATGAGAATCAATCTGGGACTGAAGGCAGCAAGGTAGGGAAGCAGCGAAGCAGGACAATAGGGACAGAAAAGTATCTTTTGCAAAGCAGAGTTCAAGACTGGGCTGCTTCCCGGGCTATTTGCTGTCGCAAATCGAAAATGTCCAGAGGCGCGCGTCTGTGCAATAATGAAATGTGAATTGCATTTTGGGGAGGGACGATGTGAGCGCGGCCCTGTGGCGTTCCAATGATTCGCGCTGCTCAACCCAGCCCTCGCCGAGCTTGAGCTGAAAAGTGATTCCTGGCATCGCCCTGAAGAGATGAGATGAGGATGGGACAAGAGACAGGCGCGTCGAGTACGAGCACGAGCTCCAAGAGGTCGAATCCTGTGCTGCTCTTGAGGCCCCTTTGCTTCCTGGGAATGGCACATTCTGCTGCTGCGTGTGTGTGCATGTGTATGTGTGAGAAAGAAGAGCAACACTAGAAATAGAGTGGAAATTGTTACCTCGATCGCGACCCCAGGTTTTGCCAACCTGGGCGACAACTTTCTTCTCGGTCTTGATTTCGTGGACGGTCGTCGTCTTCCTCTGCTGCACTGCCATTGCTGTAATGCTGCTGGTGGTGCTGCTGGAAGGGGGAGGAGAAGAGGAAAGAGGGAGATGGGATGAGAAGAAAGAAGAGAAAGAAAGAAAGAAAGAAAAGAAAAGAAGGAAAAGAAGAGAGGATGGAAGAAAAGTATAAAAAAAGATGGGGAGCGAGAGGAGAGAGCAAGAGGCGGGGACCTAATGATAACAATACACCATGGCTCCAGGTCGCTGCTTCCCGTCCATCCAGAGAATCCCACGGATTAGACCAGGGTGGACAAGAAAGCATCATTCGTGTGGCAGGGATGGGTGGAGATCGGCTCCTTCACAACACAAAATGCACCAAACAGGAAGGGAAGATAAGGCAACTCTATTGGGAATAGACTAGCGCTTCTTCGAACGGTCCCCTTCGAATCCGACCAAGCTTTGTACTCAACGTTCCCCCGGTCAATCTCGACGTGCCGACCGCAATGTGAAATATGAATCAAGGGTTCGCTGCTACCGAAGAATCACCTCCTGTCCCCCACTTTAAAGCAAGTGTGCGCCCACTTCTCTCGTTTTCTGTACACCGGCATTTCCCCCTCGTTGTCCACACATTCACCATCCATATCTGATCCATCCGTACCTGTCATGTAAGGAAAAAAAATGTTCACACCCCTGCGACACTTTAGATCTGGCGCCCCAGCGACGTGGATATTTTTTTTTATTTTTACAAACACAGGAGAAACAGGTAAACTACGGCCGATCGAGCCTATGTGTCCTCCATATCCTGCAGAGAAAGAGGGAAAGTATGCCCACTCGAGTAGAGCTATCCGTAGTCTACTCCTGTTTGTGCTGCTATTTGGTCCTCGAGTGATCTGATCAGGGAATGAGGAATCTGATTGGTCGACGCGATCATCATTCCATTTTTTTTTCTTAACCGGTCCCATTCCACTGTTTCGCCCACAGGGCAGACCCAGGGCCCAGGAAGAAGTTCTTGCGAAAATCAGCTGTTGGCGATTCACCGCAGAAACCCATTAGTCTGTACGTGAACAAAGGCAAGCTCAACCTCAGGCAACAACACGTATGGATTCCATCCATCTATCTAGAATAGAAGGATATATATAAAAATAACCACTCATGCTTTATCTATTTACAAAATATATATTTATAATTATATACCGGATCCCTTAGGGCCAGACAGTCTCCGCAACAGTCTCCCAGAGCTTATCACGATGCCTGGCAGTCTGGGAGGTGTAGTCCAGACGGTGTGCAGCGATATATCTCGCAGGGTTATACTCCAGCGGCGTCGTATCCCCCTCACTATACATCTCGATCATCGGAATCTGGCAAGTGGTCTCGTACGGCAAAGGCTTCATCAACGGGACAACGCCCGAGCTTTCATAGCTATCAAAAAGATCCGACAGCTTCAGGACCGACGCACCTGCGTACGAAAACATGGACAGGTCCTTCTTGGTATAACCTCCAACCGCGATGGCCTTGACTCCATGCCTGCGCACCATCAGTTCCGAGAACATACCGCAGGCAGACCCACATCCACCGTCCGTCAAGATCACGATATTGGAGGCAACACCAGTCCAGGGGTAGGTTATGTTTTCGTTCACAATTTGTGGGTCGAAATCTAGGTAGAGCAAGTCTGTGTATGAGGCCAAACGTCCGTTGACGGTCGAATTAAATGGGTTCTTGAAAATGTTAGTCGTGAAGGGCTGGAATGATGTCTTGTCCGCTAGCTCTCTGGGATTGAAGTACGTCTGGACTGTCGGATTTGCAATGTCCACGTCTGCCATGGCTTCAGCTGCTGCGTTGACACGGTATCGGGCTAGGTGTGCACTGGTTCGCTTGTTCTTCGTTGGGAAGAACATGCTGACGAGGATGTTGGCAAAGGCGATACTTCCACCATCATTGTTGCTGGTGTCGATGATCAAATGGGTGGCACCCAAACCGGCAAGATTGGACAACCATTTCTGGATTTTTGGGATCTCAATCTTGTACTTGAGTTCCATCGTCGGCAAAACGAAGACACCTACATGGGGCTGGGACTTGAGCTGATACACGGCCGTGACTCCGCCATCGACGAACGTCGCGTTGGGGAAGTCTTTGTCAGAATTAGACAGCTCATTCATGGGACCCAGCTGGAACACTTCTTGCTGCAACTTGAGTCGTTCTTGAGCGTGGACCTCCCTCACCTCGGTAGTGGGTTCCTGGGTGCTTGAACGACCGGGAACGAATGGCTTGGGTTTAGAAGCGAGGCAGATATTTTGGTAGAAGCTGGCCTGGTCTGTAAAATCGTTGACACCAGAGCCCTTGGCAGCACTCCAATGGCCGCGATATTCCACGGCTTCCTTGCCATTGCATTGGATACGGTAGTCGATATAATCGGCATCGGGAAGAGCAGTTGTCGAACTGAAAATTCCAATTTTTTCACTCCATTTCTGAGTGCTTTCCTTGTACTCTTGGGAAGTGAGTGCATAATTAAACCGCACAGCAGCATCCTTGGAAAGACCTGCGTTCTTGTCGGTATACGCCTGGATATACGGCTGTGCATCTTCACCGTTGATTTGAACGACCTCACAATCGGTGTAACCGTTCCCAGAATTGTCTTTGTACACGCGAATGGCCTAACATTCATAAAGAGGCTATAATGAGCAAAGCTATTTCTGAAGGGGAAAAAAAAAAAAAAAAAAAAAAAAAGTTGCCAGTTCATTTGATCGACCTCCTTACCTGGCGGCCATCGATCACAGGCGCGTAGAGCCACAGCGGCTGGGTGAATTTGAAAGCACTGTAGCAGTCCGCTATATAAATATAACCGTGAAAGTCCATAGTCTGTCCGTCAGTACGACATTTTTTTTTCCTTCCCACTTAAACGCTTACAGAAACGAAAACTAATGATGTTACAAAAGATACTTACGTTCATAGGAGAAATGAGCATCGTTCACCGAGTTGGCCAACATGGTCAGCTTTTTATGGAATGCAAAATCGCTCGCATGTGAGTCCTGTCGAATCCTGTGCAGCTGATCCAGAACATCTACAGGTGCGCTGGTGAATGGTGGCGCAAGATTCGGCGTCAGGGCGGCGTCCCTGAAGATCCAGAAATCGTTGTATAGCGTCTGAAGCGTATTCAAGGTCTCCGTTGCGTTATTGAGATCGTATATGAAGGAGTTGTAACAATCAGAGACGTGCTTGACTCTAATCTGGTCCTCGGAAAGGGCTGCGAGGACAGCGCAGTCGTCCTGCATGAGGGGTGCAGCGCAAGCCAATGCCGCCAGAGTGGCAGAAAGGATCAGGGACTTGAGTAGTCTTGCCATGACGCGGATGAAATGACAAAAAAGACGTGTGGAGGGGAGAGGGCGATGGGTTGGAGAAAATGGAGGGCGCCTGTTCACCGGCTCCTTTTTAAGGCGTTGCGTGTACGATGCATGGCCCATAGCTGTCCAAACAAGGGCTCAGCGCAGGGCTGGACCGTTCCATTCGGGTTGTTTTCTACCGCGTGAATCTTTTCAGAAAATGAACAGGGTGAACAGCCATGCACAACAACGATCCTGCCAAACCTTATTTCTCGGTCGGACAGCTATCAGAATGGATCTAGACATCTGCTGCTCCTCGGCCTTTTTGCTTAAATCCGCGGAACTCGAAACTGTCGATGCTCTGTACGATCTGAATGCTCTCTTTTTCAAAATATCCGCAGATATAAACAAAAAAAAACAAAAAAGCCTGAGGACTCAGAGGTCCACCATATATTAATAAGCCAAATAGGTTTTGACCACATGCAGAATGAAGCGGGCGCAAGATGTAGAAAATCTATCAGCTTTTCCGCATGTATTTATATTCCTACTCGTCCAAAGATGTAAACGGAAGGTTCAAGCACTCTACTGCACGCGATTGGAACTTTTACGTGATCCGAGTCCTTTGCAGTTGCTGCATCTTACGCACCAATAGACTATACACGATCTTGGTCCTTTTTCTCCTCGGGAGGACCTTCTTGCCCAAGTCGGTTTGGCCCCCTGCCTTGTTCAACTTAACAATTCAATGCCGGACCAACCAAAAAAATAAAAAAAAAGGCCTCATCGAACTAGAAATGAGTGGTCCGAGAAACAACATACATTAGTACATATCAATTCTGTAAAATAAAAAAGGCTCCTTCTATCCATACATCCATACATCCAGCAGTCTAGTCTAGCATTCTAGCATTATCCAATAGAGCAACTGTAACTTGCGCACACTGTATCCTCGTTTAGGTCTTTTGGTCTAAAGCCAACCAATCTGTCGAGTCTCAAGCCAAAACCTGTGTAGTTTCAGACAATCGCCTTTATTATTTTGCATAAGCGACCGTGTCTAGGATATCCGCTACTGCTGCAGCTTCTCAAACTTCGCAGCAATAGCGCAACCAATCTCGGTCATCGGACCAGGCTTGTCTATCTCCATATGGTCGTACTCCACCTTGTGAACCTCAATGTCACCCTGAGCAAAAGGTGTCCACTCTGCAGGATCCGCCGCTTCGACAGTATCATCCACACCAGCCGTCACGCGGAAGAAGAACACGTCGCTATAGGTTGAAGGCGCGTATCCACCGCGGAGCTTGGAGTTGTTCAGTCCAACTACCTTCACTATGTCCCAAATCTCATTTAATGTCTCCTTGTGCATGAAGCAAGCAATGCTCCAAATACTGCACTCCGTCATCATCGCTAACAGCCGCTTGCGTAGCCCTGCCGTTAGTTGGAGCCGAGTCCATCAAGACCAGCATGTTGACCTTCTCTCCCGTCTTCTCGGGATCCGCTGCCATGCTGTGAGTTACATTATCGCCGAAGGACCAGCCGAAGAGGTGATAGGGCCCATGAGGCTGGACGCGGCGGACCTGATAGATATAATCCTGTATCATCTCCTTGATCGTCTCTGCCATCTTTCCGTGTCCACCAAGACCACGTGCCTACAGACCATACAGGCGCTGCTCTGGGTGCAGATGCTCTGAGAAACCCAAGTAGCCCCAGCTAAGACCAAGACCAGGGTGGATGCAGAACAGAGGAGCCAGACAACCGTCGGGTTTGAGCGGCGGCAGCACACTAAAGGTGCCGTCTTGGCTAGCTTCCTTCTGCGACAATTGCTGGGCTAACCCTACAATCATAAAAGCTCCGAACAAGGCGCGCAATGTCAACTCGAAACCCAGGCTGGAGCGAATAGTGTTGATCAGACGTACGCCCAACGTAGAGTGGCCACCGAGCGCGAAGAAGTTGTCGTGGCGACCTATACGATCGAGGTTGAGCGGCTCTGCTCAAGCCGCAGCAAGAGTTTTCTCAGTCTTGCCCACAGGCGCTTCGCACTCCTGAGTGGCGCAGGTACAGCCCATGATTATCTGACCACCACTATTGGCAACAACGGGGACGACTGACGCAGTATTAGCGTGAATTTCAGGGTTTGATGTGGTCTGTGAATGTGCGTTCTCTGAACACCTTTTTTTTTTTTTTTTAAGCGATGGATGCTCTACTTAAAGGTAGAGCCAAAGTTGCTTCAGTGACATAAGCTCCGTCTTTGCTGTTGGAACCGAAGATGCTGCATGTAGCGCATGCGACACCAGTCTTGTTCCTAAAAACCCGCAAAAATAGCCCGCTTGCTTAGTTTACAGTTTACGAGGGAGATTCCCGCAGATGTCTGCCGTTGCGAATGGGCTTGCGCGTTTGTGTCCGTGTGGTCTGTGTCACTTGTACAGTACATGGGGCGCAAATGCCTCATGTCACTCGACTTTAGACGTACTCTTCGAACTTGTTGTCGGTCGGGAAAAGTATGAGCTCTCTTTCTTGCATGAGACACCTGCTATTCTTAAGGAATATCCTTCCATAGAATAATGCGCTTTCCCAATTCTTTGTCCAATCGTGTAGGAATGGAAGTGGTCTTCGAAGTTAAAGTGACCCTGAACTCCTGTAAACGTTCCTCGCTTGATGTATCCGGTGCAAAGGATTGTAATAAATAACGAGGAGTGAGAGACTACGGTCTGAAGGCGAGAGCGAAGAGATTGAGCGTGGTGGGGATGAACTGCGATGGGTAAAGGCAGCAGCTGATTCGTGCTCCGCCATCATTTCTGTGTAACTCAATTGCCATTTAAGCGTGCATGCCACCAGTTCCTGAGAATAATACACCAAGAAACGACTACGAATCATAAAAGCGTGTTTATAGCCTTGCGGACTATCTTCAACCTACGAATCAGTGGCCCAAGCAGTCCGTGCGACCTGGTCCCACAGCGCATCTCGCCTCCGCGCCGTGTCGACCCCTAAATCCAAATGCTCATCGGCCTTGGCGCTCTCTGCATCGTACTCCAATGGCACCCCTCTGTCCACCCGACGGCCCATTTCCTCGGGCAAACCCTCGACCCAACCCTTTGATCTGCCATACCGATAGACCTCCAGGATCGGGACCGTGGCCCGCCCTCGATAAGGTAACTGTTTTATCGGCGACGCAACATTGACCGATTCAAATGTATTATGGATTTGATCCAAAGTCGTCAAGGCTCCACCCGCAAACGAGAACATGGAAAGAGCTTCGCCCTGATGACCGCCCACAGCGATCCCGGTGACGTTATACTTGGCTCGCATGAGGTGGCAAGTCAACGCACAGGCGGAGCCACATCGACCGTCACTCAGGATGAGGATCTTGGAGGGGTCGTTCGTCCAGGCATAAGAATGGGTGTCCGCGACGCGTGAGATATTCGTAGGATTCAGTGTCAATAATGGAGAATAAAGTGCTGACCTCCCATTTCGAATCTGCGGGACGGGATGGTGGAAGAGATTGTACGTATAAGAACGCTCAGTCTTGAAGTCGAAATAGAAATAAGGATTAAAGAACGATGGCACCTTCGCCCCTGTCAATAGTCCGCTTGCGCGTTGGACCATTGAGCTGACGCGGGTGTCGCTCACGAACGATTTTTCGAGTGGATCGGGCTCATGTGCGGATGATTTCGCCTTCCTCATCTTCCGGGGGAAGAAGAGTTCCGTCAGTAGGGACGCAAAATCGACAAAACCACCCATGTTGCCTTGTAGGTCGAGGATGATATGGGTGACATTCAGCCGGTGCAGAGTGTCGAGACCGAGCTTGATAACACTCATTTCCGAATTCGTGGTCTCATGCGTGAACACGACCATGATACCAACGTGGGGCAGGCTCTTAAGACGATAGAAGCTGGTTCCGTTGCCTGAGATAATGAACTCGGCGTCTCGCAACACTTCAGAAGGCGTGTTATGGCTTGAGATGCTCCGCTTCGGGAACGGTACCTTGTGTTCCATCGCAGGAGGAAGAGAACGCTCGCCCCGTTGAGACTTAATCGAACGACGAGGCTTGACAGATGGGAACCGCAGGCACACCGCGTGTACATACGAGGTCGTGTCACGAAAGGCGCTTATTATTTGAGGTTGGATCAGCCATTCCTCCTGCAACCGCACCGTTCTGGTGCCTCTATCCCCGGTCGACCTGTTGTTGTTGTCGGGGCACTGAAGTTCATACTCTACAAACTCCTGCTCAGGCAGATTATATCGCTCGCTAAACACTCCAGAACTGAGTGTGAAGGACTGAGTCCTAGGGTCGAATGTTTGAGAGGCTAGAGCAAAGTTCATGCGGACCCCGCTGTCCTTGGAGTACGGAGCGTATTTATCTGCCCAGCGTTGCATGTATTTCAAACCAGGAAGACCATTGATTGTTATTGCACTACAGTCCTCGAGACCTCTACCGCGCTCATCCCTAAAGACACGCAAGGACTATTGAGAAGATATAGAGTAAGGGGAGGGATAATGTCGGCCTTTTGCTGTATATGAACTACCACATCCGATGCTTCGCCCACACCTTACCTGCTGGCCTTTGGCAACAGGCGCGTAAAGACGGAGGGATTGGCTAAAAGAGTAGGCTGAGTAGCAATCAGCTAAGGATTTGGTATATACTATCAGCACATCTTCGTAAATGAGTTCTGGATTCTGCCCGCGACAATGATTCAACATAACTTACGAGAGTAGACAGCATGGGGGTCATTGAGTTTCCAGATAGCGGTCATGATAGCTGAATGGAGATCAAAGTCAGTTTGATATCTGGTCATGCGGATCATCCCCAGTTCTTTCATAATATCCACAGGAGGTGAGGTAAACGGTTCCGGTAGCCTTGGCGTTAAAGCTGCATCTCGGAAGATATAAAAATCTCGAAAGAGGGTATCCAAGACACTCAGGGTGGATGAAGAGATAGTGCTGTCGTATGGAATGTTGCGGTAGCAATTGGCGACATCTTTGTAGCTGATGCGGGTCCCGTTGAGTGCTGCAAGGGTGCTGCAGGGATCAGATGCGTCCGCGACGGGCACTGCAGATGCGATCGTGGAGAAGAAATGGAAGGCGAGACCAAACGTATAAAGAGTGGTGGGCATCATTCGGATGGTTAAATTGAAATGAAAAGAAGTGTGTATCGCGTAGCTGTTGACGTATAGTTCACGATATGGATTTTTATTAATAATGACTCAAAAGTCGTGCGTTAAAGGGAGCGGCAGCTCCGCTTTATAAGCTCCAGGTTACCGCATACAAGGCCGCAACCAGGCCCGGGCACATTTGGGACGAGAGAGCAACCATTCATTCTCTGGTCACGGAGTAAAGTTGCTATCTCGGAGAAACATACTGGTGGCTAGGAGGGCTCCTATTGTTACGCGTCGTTGGTCTCGGCAGGGGGGGGGCACACAATGAGGGTCGTAGCCTATCTATATCTCCCTGCCTGTCCCTAGCCATTGACGTGTTTGAAACAAAAGGTACGACAACCTCGACTCCCTTATATGGCACCGAAGCAAACAAGACAATTCCGCTCCGCTCATAAGCAACAATAACACAGTTTGCATAGCTTTGACGGATGCATTGACATACTTTATTTCCAATTATATGGTGGTGTTTGCGGAGTTGAAGGCCTTGAGTTCAGTAGGCCATCATCGTCTGTGTACTCCCTCATGCCAGGCACAAAACTGCCCGATGTGGTGCGATGAGGATGCGAGTTTGGTAGTATTGCGCCTATGGTGTCATAGTCGCCCGTATTAAGGACGACTGTAGTTTCGGACCCTGATGTGGAGGCCCTATTTCTAGGGTCGTAGACTAAGTGTCGTGGCGCGTGGGTGGCAGAGATCTCTCCACCGGGATAGTAAGTATATGCATGAGGGGTGAGGACCACTGGACTGGTTGGGGTCATAACCGGAATGAATGCGTTCGAAAAGTGCGTTGTCGTTGGTATCAATGGTGCTGCCTTGTATGATGTTGATACGAACAGCGGGTTGGGGAGATTTGAAGGTGAATATGCCGGAGCCTTCATATGGGATGAGTAATGGGCTGACTGCGAGCCCTGGTGTATGCTCTGCTTGTAAAGAAGGCCCATGGCAATCGCGTCTTGGGGATCGCGTCTAGAGTAGGGGAATCCAGATGGCAGGACCTGTGGGTTGCGTGTTTGTGAGTCGTTGGAACGATAGTGCTTATAGGCACCCATATCCGTCTTGTCGACGTTCGTATTTGGATTATTGGTACCCTCTGCCTGGTTTGTGATCCTCTGCTGCGCCAGTGTCTCGTACTTCACTTTGTCGCTTTTTCTCTTCATACACAGGTAAATGAGCCCAGATAAGGCGATCATAAAGAGTGCGCCAAATGTTCCCCCCATGATGGCTGGCAGGTTTGTTGAGGATGACGAAGGAATTGGCGGTGAAGACGATGTCGAGGTCGCCGATGTGCCCGTGCTAGAGATAGTTTCGGGCGTATTCGCATAGTATGCTGGGGCAGCATACGATTGTACCCATTGGCGCCTCGTCAAATCAAAGATGATTGGTGTAGCGGACACAGTACCGACGCCGTCATAGCCTCCCCATGCCAGGAACTGATCGCCTATAATAATGCACGCCATGTAAAGCCTTGGACTCGAGCTGACTCCCTGGGTCCAATTTCCCGAGAGCACGTCCAGTATGTACAAAGAGCCGGTAAAGTCGCTAGTACCACTCGAGGTTGGCTTGGGAGGCACCCTGCCTCCAAAGACGACGATAGTTTTGCCATCCTCACCTAGACGATTAAACTGTAACAGTTAGCGAGGAACACGTATCCTTTTCCGCGCCATTGCTAGGCTTGCTATAGAGCCATGATCACGTACTGGCAGCCATGCAGTGATCGCTTCTTGGAGAAGGATATTCGCCAGTCGTGGTCTAGACAATAGGAAGCATAGATATACGTTCTTAGCGGACTTCGAAACTCAGCATGATTCTCAAGAAATTTGAGATGTTAATAGAATAGCTTTACGCACAAAGTTGGACCATATTCTATTGGCAGGAATGTACTCATTGAGGTAGGTTTCTGGTATCCATATCATATATTCCGTGAAGCCGCCCATATACATTATGGATTTTCTGAGGCTGTTGTAAACCGCCCCTGCATAGAGGCGCGTGGGGAGGATGTATGGCTCAATCGGGTACGACTGTATGCTATTGTTTCGGGGGCTGTAAACATCCATGTTGGTCCCTCCATTGATGTAGACTAAACCCGTCTCGGGGTCAACCACGGTGCGGATACCTTCTAATAGCTCTTGAGGGGAGAGGGCCGTGGATATTATCCAGACATTCTCCAGGATGCTGTACTTACTCACAGCGAGGCCGGTGTTGGTGCTGACGAATGTAATAAGGGTCTGGTTATCCGGAGTGGCAATGCCGTTCAGGAGGTTGTATGAAGCGCCATCAGCGAGCGCCTTCCACGGCGGAGAGGTGACCGTCCAGTTCGTCGACAGATCTAGAGCGTAGAGCTGGGGTGATACGAAAATGTCCTTGTTGTCGCTTGTGTATTTGCCGCCCTGCACATAAAGATATCGACCGGCGCGCATGAAGGCCATTTCCTGAACAGGCGAGGGGCCTCGTTGCGCACGGATTGTGGCCGGGAGGAGTACCACGAGCAGGAGTGCGAGGAGTCCGGCGAAGGCTGCAGTAAACATCTGTATCCTTGGTGTTCGCCGTGGGATACTGGGACACGTGCACCCGGGGTGTGCCATAGCGCGATGAGTGAAAGAATGCGGCGGTCCAGACTGGTTCAGTATGGAAGAATGAATGAGAAGAAATGGTGAAGAGAAGGAATGAATGTCTTTTTTTTTCAGAATGGCAGGGGAGGATGCACAACACACCACCAACATTACTGCAATAACCCATTCCGTGCACTGGTCGATATCTTTCCAAGGAAAAGACACATGTAACCATGGCAATGGCGTAAAGGTGACAGTGCGGAGTCTGGGACATATTGCAGCAAAAGTATACAGAGTATGCATGCTCATAAAAGGCAGCCCCGAGTTGGGTGCCTGTCCGCTCAAATTGTGCGAATTGACGGCTGTTCTTTCCTGCGAGCCCAGGGATTATGCAGGGTCTGGACTATGGAGGTGTCTATGAGGACGGGACCAGATAAGGAGGGTATACAAGGGTGAAGCATGTGCGTCTCTCCCTCCATCTCGTTCTACACGCTGTGTGTGTTTTGTGTGTCGAAATGCTCGACAGTCGTTCGCTCATCATAGCCCTTGTGGATAAACACCATGGCTGTGCACGACAGTGGCCGCCATAGGGCCGCCGTCTGATTGGGGTCTCTTGTGTCGGCCTAGAAGCGCTCCAAGCGGCGTTGTTTCAGATCCCATAGAACAAGCCACAGCATAGCCCAGGAACAAGGTCCAAGTGATGAACACAGAAGACCGCCCCTGTTATCGCTTTGGATGACTGTGGCTGGTCCAGAAAGAGCCTTGACTGCTTGCTGGATTGCTCTTTCTTTTTTGAATGATATCATTGCCAACTGTCAAAGGACAGCCCAGACGACCTGTAAAGCTGGAAATACCACTGCCCATCGAGCTCCATCACAAGCTGCAGTAGTTGTCATCCTCGTAATTATCGATAGCAGTTGAACACTCATGCCCTCGTTCTTCATCATGCTATCATGCTATCATGCTACCATGCCTTTTGATTAGATGGATTACAGCCGTCAATCCAAGAAAACAAAAATAATGCCTGCTTGAAATAAGGTATTAAAGTCTGACTGTACCCCATGGACAAGGAGGTTGCAGCTTTTTGCTTTTTGCTTGTCCATCTCGCTCCTACTCCATCGCAATCGTCCCCCTCTTTCCTTCATGCTACCATCTTGGCATCCTGACTTCCATTCCCGCTTGATTCCTACAAGAGTGTCTAACTAAACACCATCCTTATCCCGTGCCCTTATTGTGGCTCCCCAAACAAGCGTCTCATCTCCGGTTCCTGACCCTGCCTCTTCGTCCCTGCCTTCGCCTCCAATTCCAACACCCACCTCTCCCCTCCTTTTCGTTTTTATCTCCCTTCTCCTCCTACACCCTTCATCCATCCCCCTTCTTGCGCCTTTTTATCCAACAGCAATTGCTGTCAAAGCATCGTAATCCTTTGCCATCCATAACGCGCTCCTCTACTCCCGTTCCTGTTTCTCTGTCCTTGCACTTTATCTGCCTGAACTGGACTGAGACGCCGAAGTGACATATCTTCAACCAAGTCCTACACTGCTCTCGCCATGTCAGACTACACTTCGCGCGAAAAGAGTCTGGTACCGACCTTCAATGGTCTCATGGCCCAGATAGGCCTCAGTGTAGGCGTCAGCCTCGTGTGTCTCGGCTTCTTCGAATACAACCGCCGCAAAAAAACTCTCGAGTACCTCTACTCGCCCAGATGTCGCCTCCGCGTGTAAGCGGTTGCCCCTGTTCCCCATGGACCCATGGATTGTCATGGCCTGGCCCTCTTACTGACACCACTCCTTTATGCGTTTTATCAGCGATCCGTCCCCACCGGTATCGCGCAAATTTCTAGGCTGGATCGTACCGACAATACGAATTTCTGAAGAGTTCTATATCAACAACGTCGGTCTGGACGCGGTCATGTATCTACGGTTCCTCAAGATGTGTTTACAGTTCTGCATCTTCAATGGGTTCGTTGTCGGTATCATCCTGTTGCCGATCCACTACACAGCCGGCGGCAAGCAAACCGAGGTGCCTCGACTGAGTATCTCCAATGTCCCAACCAATTCAAACCTTCTCTGGGCTCATGTCTTCCTCACATATCTTATCACAATCAGTTGGATGTTCCTCCTCTTCAAGAATTACTGGCAGTGGATGGATCTTCGGCGGGAATATACCCTTCAGCGCATCAGGCAGGGCGAGATTGCTGAGCGATCTATCTTTATCAGTCGACTACCCTCCAACCTGCGATCGGACGCAGCGCTCAGACAGTACTTTGAATCCCTCAAGATGGGCCCTGTCGAGTCGGCAACAGTAGTCCAGCATTGCGGTCGCCTTAGCCAAAACATCGATAGGAGGGAGAGCACACTCAACCGACTCGAAGCGGCACATATCGAACTCGCTCGCTCATTCCTCGAAAATGCCAAGGCTGGTCGAGCTTCTGTGAACTCTACGGATTCAAATACAGAAGCGCTTTCGGACAAGTCTCTGACTGTGTCTAATGCCGCCGCCACACTGGATAATGCAACTCTTCGTCAAATCGCCCAGGATCTCTACAAGGACAAGAAGTTGTACACCAAATACCGGAAATCGATATTTGCAAAAAAGCGCGAGACCGTACGTCAAAGTGCTGACCTAATAGACAAAGAGACAACAGCCGCTAAACAAGTACTGGACCAGGGCGCAAGTGCAAATCAGGTTGCCTGTCGTTCGGAAATTATCGATATTCAGGGCGATCAGGAACCAGAATCAGATGCCGCCGCCTGTAGCCCAACCTTCACCATCTGGCATATCCTCGCAACGTGCAATCGGCAGAGTTTGGATGCGTTTCAGCCTACACGATCGGAGAAGCGGTTCAAGGGCGGCAGCCGTGTTGATTGTATCAACTACTTTGTGAAAAAATACAACCGCCTGGATAAGAAAGTCGAGGAGCTGCGTGATGGCTCGTTACGGTTCAAGTCGACTTCTTTCGGCTTTGTCACATTTAAGCACCATCTGTCCGCGCAACTTTGTGCTCAGAGCAAGATTGACTCCAGACCACAGGGGCTGAGCGTTTATCTAGCCATGGAGCCGAGGGATGTGCTGTGGAGCAACCTAACTGCCAGTTTCAGAAACCGATTCACACGCTCTGTAGCTGTCAATCTGAGCATATGGTACACAGCCGGAACGATTGTTGCAGATGCATGTTGCAGTTGTATTTTGATACAGCTTTTTTTATGCCCGCATACTAACCATTCGTTTGTTTTTTTATGGAAATTCGCCAAACGCACCACTCAGGGTCATTACCATTTTCTGGATCTTCCCCACATCCTCGTTTTTGCTCTTGACATCGCTCTCGGCACTTTCGGAACGATTCCACTTTCTTCGACCTATCCTCGATGCATCGCCACTGATCCAGTCGCTGCTGCAGAACGTGTTGCCCATCGTATTCGTTACCATCTTCCTGGCACTCGCACCTGTGATCATCTTAGGTAAGGGCACTGGCATTGCCTGAAGACGAAGCACATGCCTTCAACACTCCACATACAGATATAATTAACGGATTGGGATTCTTTGTTTTGACTTGATAGCCATCTCAAAGCAAGAGCTTCCAGTCTCACACTCTGAACTTGAAGGGAAGGTGTTGCGACGTTATTACCACTTCTTGATATTCAACGTCCTCTTCGTCTTCATGATTGGAACCGCCATCCTCAAATCAATCATCGAGCTGATTCAAGCACCCACCAATATCTTCACTATGCTGGCCAAGGTTTTGCCGTCAGGATCGACCTTCTTCGTCTTTTACATTGTCTTCAACACCTGCACCCACTTCCTAGAACTGCTTCAAGTGTGGGCGCAGCTCGTCATCCACATCATTGTCACTGCGCGGAAGTTCACTCGCACACCACGGTCGCTTCAACGGGCCACTACGCCGTGGTGTTTCCAGTACTATTACTACTATCCACAGAACATTCTCGCCTTCGTGATCACACTCATTTATTCGATCATCAGCCCGCTCATCCTCTTGGCTGCCATCTTCTTCTTCGGGACCGCGCTTGTGATCTTCAAGTACCAGCTCGCGTACTGCTATGTCCGCAAGTACGAAAACAGTGGACGATATTTCAGACACGTCTTCCAGTATACCTCTGATGGTCTGATCATCTTCCAGCTCACGATGATGGGCGTCCTCTGGTTGAACGAAGCGCTCGTTGGAGGATTCTTTATTGTGGCTCTCCTCGGGTTCACTATCTACTTCAAGGTTTTATGCGGAGATCTCTTCAGATCTCGAACAAAGTTCCTGCCCTTGGACACTGGCCTTCGGAATTTTGACGGTGCCGAGTCGGTCCACGCTGACCCCGAACAGGATCTCTACGCTGCCAGCTCTATTTCGACACAGTCAGGTGAGTTTACATCTGGACTACGCAGGCGTCAAACGGGGGCCAATGCAAAAGCGGCAGAAGCTTCGATCCATACCGTTTCTTCAGCCAGTCAGGATGACCATGGAATGTCCAATGGCAGCGCAACAAGTCTCGGACAGCCAAAGACGTTCTCTCGACTGCGTGTTACTGCAGGGTACAAAAAACTGGTCCAAAGCGAATCAACCGAGGACATTCCGAAGGAGCAACAGGCAGATCGCCCAGTCTCAGATGCCGTCGAGGGAGGGGCAGCGGATGACAAAGAAGAGTTGCGCCAATCAGTCGATCACCATGGGACACCATCCAACGATATCGACCCTAGTTCGTATACCGAAGCCGCTGATGAGAACAAGGTGGAGCAGCGTAGTGGCGAGAGCGAGGACACTGTTCCGCCTTCGACCTTGGTTGTCCCTGAAGAAACTGCCACATATGGAGACGGATTTCTGTCCGGTGATGGCTATTTCATCGACTCAATGGGGCCACCCCCAGTGCATCCATACCCTAGCACTGCTTCGCATTTTGAGCATACATCGTCGAAGCTCGTCTACCAAGACCGGATATCGGAGTTCGAGACATACATGCACCCGGCGCTTCTTAGACCATTGAATCGCAAGATGTGGCTGCCGAAGAACCCGCTTTATGAACATTGGGATCTGGATGACACGATCGAGATTGACTTTGCACTAAACAGCTCACCAACCAGCGGTAAAGTCCAGTTCCGAGCACAGGCGACGGATGGCGTCATGCAAAGCCCCCGAATCGATCACGAAAGACAACCACAAAGACGCGACACAAGCGGATCGAACTTTGATGGTGCGACTGATGCTCCTGTCTCTTCTTCCAACTGGCAAGGATGTTTGGCAGACTCGAACTCAGGTCCAGGCGCTAGTCAATGGGCAGACAAGGAGAATTCGGCTCATGACGAGCCCGCGTACACAGGAGCATCGAGGATAGGGACAGATATGTCTGAAGGACCGAACGCTACTAGCGCTGCTAAACCATCTCGGCCGCCTCTGATGCAGTGCACATCGATGGCAAGCGCTCCTGAGCCTTCCACTGCGTCTATTCATGCCTCACTTGCAGAATTTTCACGCCAAGGCCTTCCCATCAGGCGACGCCAATCCTTACCGTCGGAGACAGTCGCGACCGCTTCGCAGAGCCCTCTTGCTTCCCCTCTGAGCATGAATCCTGCACCGACACGAGCCATCGAATTCCAGGGTTCGCGACCTTCACAGCGACCAACCTTGAGCCCTCAAGTACCTGGTGCTCCTCCAGCCCGGGCTACAACGTTCGGTGCTACGCTGCCCAGTCGCTACAGCGTTGCAGTTCATCCACAGAACATTTATTCATCCTCCGGCATTAACACTGTCTCTGGTAACTCGATCCGGAAAACTGAGCCCAAGACCACACGCGGGTTCTTTAATATGTTGTTCGGGAACTACGGCGATGAGGACCTTCAGGACGACGACGAACCCGAGAGTCAGCGCTTTGGCTACGAGACCAGCGGTATCTGGCGTAGGAGACGCGGTGCTCCTGATGATGACGATGATGATGATGACGAGGAGGCGGACTCGGATCGTGCTAGTGATCGGCATCAAGCTGGCACAGATAGTGCGGCCGATAGAGCGGTGGCGGCAGCAGCTGGTGAAGGTCACGACGCAATAGGACTTGAAGAACTGCAACTGGAACAGCCCTCGCATCTGGACTTGTCGGAGTCCTTGACCGTACCGAACAATGAGGGGCATCGATCTGGGAGCTTCGTACAAAGGACGATGAATTTTTTGCGGGAACCGGAGAAACAGCAGTAGTAGAACTCGGTTCCTGAGAAGGGCACTTCATACATATATATAGCACAATATCGCATAGACAACCCCCGCCCATTTCACAATGTACTTGTATATCTATCTTCCTCCTTTCTCCGTTAGAAAATATTTATAATATGGGATGTCGTACACATACAATGGATGACTCTAAAAGAAAAAAGAAAAAAAGGTATGGCGCATCCTCGTCCTTTTCTTTCTTCCCCCACAATCTCTTGTCTTCTCTTTACAACTACTGCCGCCGACATGGCCAGCGATATCGCCGAGCCACCCTCACAGGCCTCTCGTGTCGGATCCTCCCCTTCCTCGCCTCTCAAATAGTCGATACTGAAATCCGACTGAAAAGTACTACGAGATGTTACTTTGTCCTCTGAAACGACGCTCTGCAAAAAAACCCCCCTCCAGGAACGCTCACTATCTCCAGCAGGGTAGAGTAACAAGGCGTTATGATTCATGACTAGGGATGATGGCAAATAGTATACTTATTAAATGATACGTACAGTATGTGTATCTACGACTGAACCTCGTAGATCCTTGAGATCGAAGTTTTTTTTGCCCTAGATGGAGGATTTTCGTGCTTTGATGGCAATGCGAGAGGAACCATCGATTTTGCTGCGCCCAAATGGGATTATTACCACCATGGTCTCTGCTCCATAGAAAATTGTGTCACCATCCCTTTCCTCCCCTCCTTCTCCTCCCATACCCATGAATGCCGAGACGGCTCGAGGACTAGTAAACGTCACTACGACAGAAGGCACCAATCCGTCAGAATCAAGGGTCTGGAATTAAGTTAGTTCCCCAAACACAAGCTCATCCACATCCTCCGCCCTACGACACAGCTAAAATAAACCAATAACGTCTAACAGATGGTGTTAATGGCGACCACGAGTTCAACAGACAGCATAAATGACCATGATACATGTTGCCGTGCTTTTAGTAAACTGTTTCGGGGTTCACGCTACTGACTGTTACAGGGTTTGTGTCGACGAAAAAAATCTTGCCGTGAATTTCCTGTGCAACGCCGCCGCCAACTTTTCGTTTGGTTTGTCCCAGTAAGTACGAGATCTAAGGTAGTGGAGAAGTTGCTCTCTTCCGTACGGTGGACCTTTCCATTGACAAAGGATTTCTGGACTCTTCTAAGAATTCAGTCGCTGCGCCTGACAAAAAAAAAAGCTTTGAAGAGTGTCATGACGATGAAAGATGGTCCTCTAGTAATCTTTTTTTATTGTTCTGCGAGTGATTAAGGAAGTACTTCAAAGTAGATGAAAAAAGGAAGGCGACTGTACGCTGTGCCCTCCTTTAAATAGGACGCGGTGGACGCACATAGGCCTTTGGCATCTCTGGTGAAAACGCATGTGGATTTGTTCCATAAGAGCTCACAGAATCCCGCCGGTTGTAACCGCCCTGGCTATCCGTCCCTGGGTACGGACTCGCTTCCGACATCTGTGTGTTCGGTTGCGGATAAAACTCTCTGCTACCATCGCTTGTTATGCTCAGTCTCGGATCCTCATACGGCGTCTTGTAGGGATACGTCGATGTCGGTGTATCATACCCGGAACGCTGCATCTGCTGCTGTTGTTGCTGATCCTGCGCCGACCACTGCATCAGCGACGCGTTCGGTGGACCTCCATACCCGCCGGGACCGGCCATCCGACCGTCGTAGGAACTATTCTCTGGGCTGGTTCTCCTTCCGGGACCCACTCTGGCAGCAGGGCTCATCCTCCCTGCTGGACTCATCCTCCCTGCTGGACTCATCCTCCCTGCTGGACTCATCCTCCCTGCTGGACTCATCCTCCCTGCTGGGCTCATCCTCCCTGCTGGACCCATGCTTCCCGCAGGACTCATCCTTCCTGCGGGGTTCATGCTTCCCACAGGAACCTTCCTCCTCCCAGGACTCGTCCTCCCCGCAGGACTCGAGGTACCTGCAGAACTGGCTCTGCCTGACGGAAGCTGTCTCATCGCTGTGCCGGGATCCTCCACTCTGAGTAGGCTATCCCAATAGCCTGATCTCGGTACTTGCTGTGACCCACTCATGTGCGTCTCTCGTCCACCGCGAAGCGCCTCTGCAGCAGCATAATGATCAGAATTACGCACGCTGCCCAGATTCTGTTCGCTCGTGTTGATACTTGAGCTTATTTCGCTGTCCCTGTCCCGGTCCGAAGTTCCCGCGCCGTCCCCACGAGGCGCCAACGGTCCACGGCGATAGTATCGTTCATCCTCGTCGCCCACGCTCGACCCTGCCATCTTGGCGTCCGCGTACGCAGCCTTATGCGACCTCTCGCGCTTCTTGCGCCTGAAAACAATACAGATCGCAACCGCACATCCGACCAACACCAGAACTCCTGCTGCAGCGCCTCCGATGATCGGTCCTAGGTTAGACTTACTGCCGGACGAACCTGGGGTCGAGTTCGAAGGCGAAGAAGGGTCCGATGGGCCCGGTTGAGATCCTCCGTTAGGCTGTCGTCCTCCAGCCTCGTAGTTGTTGACCCAGGTGTCGCTGCTGATGTCGTAAATGATCGGGATGTTGTTGTGCATGGTCGACGTCCGGTTATCGGCACTGGATCCTCCGAAGGCGATGAACTGGCCCGAATGGAATCCACAGGCCATGCGCGTCCGTGCGATCGACGCCGGAGTTCCCAGTGTCCATTTTGCGGTATTGATATCCAGGACATAGATATCGTAGAAGTAGGTTTTGGCGTCTAAGGACCCTCCAAAGAGTACGATTTTGGATCCGTCCTCGGCTAATTTTGGTGGCGTACAACATCTCCAAGTTAGGCAACTGCTGCTTGTTGTTTGTTGTTGTTTTTGTCCTCCAAGCAAAGAAGCAAGTAAAAATACTTACAGGCAGCAACACAATGATCTAATCGACGCAGCGGCACTGCACCGGAGGTGGTCTATCGGTTTAGAAAAAATGATTACCAGAGACCTCGGTTAATTCTGTGCCTTTCCTTCTCCAAACCACTACGCTAGGTAAATAAAAAAAATTGCATACCATAGTTTTCCAAGTCTTAGTCGCCGGATCATACTCCGCCAGGTTCTTCAAATCAATCCCATTCGAAGCCGCCGGTGGGGCCCTGGACCCTCCAAACGTCAAAACCGTCTTCCTAACGGTCGACCATACCGCCGCCACATCCGTCAGACTAGTGTTCGCCGTCGCCGCCTGCTGCAGCACAACCTTCCTTGTGGACGGATCAAACACCGTGATGTCATTGTAGGTCGTGTTTCCAAAATACCCTCCTACCAAGTACACCAACCCCGTGGTCGGGTCCGATACCGCCGCATGGCCCTCCAACCCCGTATACGGCGGCTTCACTGCCGTCGGCGCGAGATTCGTCCATGTGGCTCCTTGCAAGTCATAGGTACTAAAGAACGTCAGTGCACCAGTTCCTCCGCTGCTCAAGAGATATCCCTGCTTTCCTGCTCCCAAACCCGCTGCATGTTGTGGTGAGACCACGACCATAGCATGGTGTGAGGCCGGTGGTCCGTTCTGAAGCAATGACCAGGCGGGTGAGGCCGTGGTCCAGGAGGTGCTTAGGTCCAGCGCGTTGAATTGAGCTGTGAACGTTTGTGAGCCAAATCCGCCTTGTATGTATAATTTGCTATCGTCCTGGGCAAAGGCCATTCTTCGCCGGGCGAGTGGGGCCTGCGCCTTGACAAGGGGAATGACAAGCGCAATAGTGAGCGCTGCTGAGGTTGAGGATAGACACAGCAACTTCATGGCGCCAGGTTGTGAGAAGGGGGAAGGGGAAGGGGGGTGGAAGGGGGGGTTGTGAGACCAGGTGAAAGGGTCCTTTGAGGGACAAGAAAAGAAAATAAGATTATTAGGTTTTACTGGGCCTGAATAAAGGGCCGACCAGCAAGAGGTGTGATGCAAAAGTGAGAGGGAATGAGAAAACAGCTTCAAAGGATCGATGCCTCCAGATGAGATGGAATGAATGGAGGAGAGTAATGAAGGATTCTGAGAGTGTGAAGATGAGAGCGAGGGGAGTTACGAGACGTTTGAGAAAACATTGAGCGGTGAAAGGTGGGGGACCATGCGTATCATAGTCGCGTAAGACAGTGCTTCCGTCAAGCCTTTTTGCCTAGTTTAAACGGGAGGAATAAGCACCGAACTAATCCCCACCTCTGATTCCAGAGGCAAACTGTTCCGCGCGAGCCATACCAAAGAGAGCGATGCGCTAATAATGCCCTTCCTATGTGGTGTGGGTGGGTGTTTACCAGCATATGTACTAAAAGACATAAATTCCAGGGGCTGGCATGCAGCTTACGGCTTCATCTTTTTAGGTTATGTTTCATTACGATTCATTACCACCAAACACAGGGGCTGGGATCGAATAAAATAGTGTCCTGGCCACCCCACTGCATTTTCCGGCATCATTCCCATCGTCTTCATCGTCTGACAGGAGTGTGCTCTAGACTAATCTACTGAACAGAGCGAGCTTCTATTATTTCAAATAACCCCTGAGCGAGGTCCATGGTGGCAACACGCGATCTGAGCTCGCGCTGGTCACACAAGAATCCCTCGCAAAATCCTGCTGGCTGAATCGAGTCGTGTAGAGTCGAGTACAGTAGAGTCGTGGCATGTGGTGAACAAGGGAGCCCAAGCATGCAGAATAATGCGCAGGTCAGCGAAGTCGCATGAAAGGACAGAGCAGTGCGGTCGAACCCACTTTTCGCCCGAGGAATAAACTTGTGATCGCGGGAAAGACAATTAAGTAAGCAGCCTAGCGACGGGCGGCAGTTGACTGATAATCGATTTATCGCCGATGGTGCATCGTGCTATTTCAGGAGTCGCCGAGAAAAATCTGCCTGTCAAGTCTACAAGTCTATGAGCTGGTTTTATTCGCGTTTTTGTGCTCTAAGACAGCAAAAGGTTGTTTGTACAGGGTAAAGAAATAATGAATGATTAGGAATAATAGAAAAAAAAAAAAAAAAAAAAAAAAAAAGGCTGCAAAGGAAACCACACTGGTTTAGGGTCCCAAAAAAGAAAACAATGTCTATGTATAGGATGATGGAAGGATGGAGGCATGTCTATATCAAAAAATAAAAAAAAATGGCGGCAATCAAAGAGCATCTTAGGATCGGTGTCGCACAGGAATAGGTGCCGAATGGAACCGGCGCTCCTCCATCGGTGAAGGAGACCCATGGTGTGATGGTTGCTGATGCTGCGACGAGGACGAGGACGAGGGGTAATGAGGTGAAGCTGGGAGATGGGATGGGAAGTACGAGGATGAGGACGAGGGCGAAGACGAATAATGGTGGTGGTGGCCAGAGTGAGGTGACTGTGGATGAGATGGAGAGGGCGACGCGGCATGATGGTGCATAGGAGAGTAGTTGGGGAAGGATTGCGAATATGGCCCAGGGCTTCCACTGGAGCGCGAATGCTGGTGGTGAGGCTGATGTCCGTGTCCATGTCCTTGTCCATGACCTTGACTGTGTCCGTGTCCGTGTCCATGCCCGTGTCCCTGATCATAGCTCTGGTGTGACAAAGGCGACCGCCCAAACTCCTGCGACTGCTGGTGGCGGTGATGGGGCGCCTGAGGATGCGAAGGAGACTGAGGGAGTGGGGGCGTGCCGCTGCTGCTGTGGTGCGTGTAGGACATCGCCGGCTGGCTACCACGTGGAGACGGGTGACTGGATCCCAATGAAGGCAGTGAAGGCAAAGACGAGGACATTGTGGTATCCATAGACTCGGTTTTGGGGCTCAAACTGCTGGCATGTGTCTGGCGACTGCTGGAGCTCTGGGATTCCCAACGTGCAGGTCTTGATTGCGAAGGGTGCATATGAAAGTGGGAAGGTAGGGATGAGGACATCTCCTGCTGAGAGTGGGCATGCTCTGAGTGCTGGCGATGATGATGGTGAGGGACCCCCTGAGGGTGCGCGTGGTGCCCACTGTCATTATAGTGCCCCGAGCTATGGCTGGTATGGCTGCTTGAGCTGGAGTGCTGTAGATGACGCGGAAGACTTCCGCTCTCTCCCTGATATGAGGAGGAATGACCAAAGCTCGCGAAATTGGGCGGAGATGGCCGTTGGAATGAGCTAGGAGAGCTTGTGCCAAAGTACTTTGACGCAGCCGCTGGACCTAGGGACTTGGATCCATGTGGCGATGTTCCGAACCGATCGTGGTTCAAGGATGGTAGAAATCCAGACCCATATGGGCGACCATGAGGACTTGGAGAGGGTGGTGAGGAGTGAGCGATAGAATGCGAGTGAGACCTCTGCAGATGAGGACGACCTGGGGCAATGGGGAGCTTGGTTCCGTAGCTAAGAGAATCGAGGACCCCTGCTGCGGCAAGCTGCTCCCTGTTCTCGCTAGGTATCATATAGGTTATTGAAGACATGTTACTTTACGTGTCCATGAATAAAACAATGCAACGATAACTTTGACAACGTACATGATGGTCGCCAGGATGTTCTTACCTGATAAAGCTCCTGATATCTGGCTCGTGTCCCTTCTGGTGACGTGTCAGAGTTGTGCGGCGGGTGAAGGTCTTGCCACAGCCTGGATGTTCGCATACATAAGGCCGCTTTCCAGTGTGCGTCCTGCGATGACGAGCGAGCGAGGAGGACTATTTGATGGCAGTGACGCGTAGTAAAAAATGATCAGTTTCAACTCGTCTGCTTTTGAAGATGTGTATGAACCATATCCATTCTGCGGTCAAGGACACATACATCGCTGAAGGACTTTTGACAGGACTCGTACTCGCACACATGGGGTCTTTCTCCAGTGTGGGTGCGGTAATGAACCGTCAAAGCCGAACGCTGGATAAACTGCTTTCCACAGCCAGCCCAGTCGCATTGATAGGGTCTAGAAGACAATTTGGTCACAAAAAGACATATTGAACGCGTTTAGAATCATGCAGCAGATAGACCAGCACAGCAATTTCTCGCAAGTGGGCAAAGAACAATGTGGACGCGTGGAATCTGTTTTGTGTAATCGATCATAGGCAGTAATTTGTCGTATCAATGTATCCCCATTGAGCTCATCTTCCAGGACCATCCCTTCCTTTTCTCAGTCATATCCCGTTAATGACCTCAAGAATAATCGTTTGGGAGCAATTGACTAACAAATGTAATTACACCTGCACGACAACAATCACGAGCAACGGAGCCATGTTATTTTACATATACATACCTTTCTCCAGTGTGAATTCTGCGGTGTCTTGCCAGATCCGATCGGCGAGAGAATGACTTTGTGCAGTCTTCCCAAACGCATTCGTAGGGTCTCTCAGAGACAGTGCCCTCTGCCTCGGAGGAGCTGCCGCTCTCCTTGCCGCCGTCGTCCATCTCGTTCTCGTTCTCGTTCTCATCATCTGGATTATCCTCCATATCTGTGTCACCATCCATGTCAGCGTCTTCGTTTCCATTGCTGTTGTTGCCATGACGTTGCTGCTGTTGCTCCTGTTCTCGCATCTTTTGCTGAGCATCGGGCCCAGAATTGAGCATGCTACGAATATCCATGGTCGAATGTGGATGGGTGTAATAGGGAATTGGGGTGTTGTGCTCTGGTTATGACAAAGAAAAAATTATTTTAAAGGCCGGGTAGGACAGTAGACAGCGAAGGAGCGTGCACGGGACAGTTGTGGCCAATAAGAGGAACAGTAGTTGGAACGTTCGATACGGAAGCAGAGGATCAGAGAGAAGGGAGATCTAAGGCAAGTAGGTGGAGAATGAGGACAAGGGATGGCAAAGACCCTGGATGAGGAAGACAAGCAAGGTGTGCTGGCAGTGAGGGAATGAGGGATTGAGGGATTGAGGGAATGAGCGGAGGAGAGGAGGATCGGTGATTCGAGGCAAGGTGTGAAGGTGCCTGTTATTTTAAAAAAAAATGAATGAGATCGACAAGAGGGGAAAGGAATGTAATGGACAGAAGAGCGATGGAAGAGGTGAGAGGGATCTGTCTATTGTGTATGAGAAACAAAGAGGAAGAGAAGAAGAAGAGGAAGAAGAAGGGAAGCAAAGAAAGAGGATTGACTGAGGTGAGAGACTAGAGCATACAGCGCAGAGCGGTGTAAAGGACAGGAGAGGGGGGAAAGAGTCTGTCCTGCTGCTGAAGCTGGAACTGCTTTCCACAACCGATCCCAATTATAAGGTCTTACAGTAGTCAGTCGGCCAGCTCATTCACTTCAGTCAGTTCAATCGATGGTGGTACGGGATTGTATTACAGAATGTATTAAATAATACACAGCTAATGGACCCAGACGCAAGGGTTTCTTTTAGGAATTCGGCCGTTTATTCAAAAGTACTATTACGAACACGCGTGGACTGAATAACAGGGCCGTAAAATAGAAGAAATAAGTCGCTGCTTGCACATATGGAACGAAAGGGTTAGGCGGTGGAAGAGCCACCTCCAGACACGTTAACGAGAACTTTATTTGGTACTTTATTCCCTTCCATCCACCCGAAGGCAATTCCATCTGAAAGCATCCAAGCTGAAAACTACACAAAGACAACAGAACATATCTTCCCAAGGACCGAGCAAGGCCCAGGAACATGAAAAAAGAGGGACATGCATGACATGGCAGGGAGATGATGACCTTCAAATAAACAATCCGTATAGCTCTGTTCCTAGGCCATGTCGCTTGTTTACCTGCTTTTTTTTACCGTTGGACCTTTTTCTTTTGTTCGATGTAGTCCGTGTATGTATGCGCGTGTCTGTGTTTTCGTGCATCGTATGCGTGTGTACGCCTGTGTGCATCTGTCTGTGTTCAAACAATGCACCTCGCTTGAGCCACGAGGGCAAACAGCCATCTGGCATGGCGCGCGCGCACGGTAACAGGGTAGGCACTTCCTGCTTTACACAAAAAAAACAACCGCTGATGACATACTGCTAGGGTTCCGGGATACACCCGCATACATACACATCGTCTGCAGGTATTATCTGCATGCAATAACCCTCCGATAATCGTACCAGCTTTCGTTTCGCCTCTCCAGTCCCACTGGATCAAAAGATTGGGCATCCTACAAAAGAGAATGGGAGGTAAGTCTGCGTTTTTAGATCTGCAGATCCTTAACCCCCTAAATAAGTGTCAGGCCAACGGATGACCATGAAAATATCCATAAGGTCGCTGGTGCTTAGAAAAAAGCATGCGATATGTGCCATGACGTTGAGGTGGACGCCATGTCCTCCCTAAACTCTGGCTTGTTTTCTGCCTCGCAATGTTGTGTTTGATATACTCCCCATGTTGTATGTAGAGAAAACGGGGAAGAATATGTAGACTATCACGGGAAGACGCTGTCATACAGACAGGCATTGTTGATGTTTTCTGTCCATGCTGGAGCTTGTGGGAAGGAATCTTTTCCGTTGGACAATTGAAAGACCCCTGCATCCGCTGAGGACCTTTTTTTTTTGCTGGCCTGTGGTTATTAGTTTACTGTCCTGCATTCCTGAGAATAGTGTGCTCATTCGTCATAAACAAAAGGGGACAAGAAAACATAATAATAAAAAAACGTGGCGATTTCAACCGCGGAGAAGAAAAGCAAGTCGATCTGACCATAAGTTTGTACACCGTCGATGTGTCAATCACCTTCTGCAAGTTATGCCCATCTCATTTCGAACCAGCTGTAGCATGCCTTGTGTTTTTCTGGTTACAGGAACCTTAGAAATATAGGCCGTTTATGAATGTTATGATGAATAAGGTCCTTACGCTTCCTATGCAATGCATCCGAGCCCAAAGTAATTATCGATTCGCAGACGATAGCATAAGAGTAACGTTGTTGACCTCTTAGAGAGCAATCGATCGTGTTCTGCTGTTTGTTTATCCGAGTCTGCACGCATTTTTTCTCTTTCTCTAGCCTCGCTCTACCTTATAATACCTTGCGTTGCTTCTGTCGGACAAGGCCATGCTATGTGTATATCACGGCGGCCATAGAATGGAATACACATCTTGACCGTATGAGGCGATTCAAGGTTAGATATGAGTACTGCCCACGGTTTACAACTGGCCCCTATGATATCTCCTAGAAACCGCAGAGAGGATAGGAGAGATGTTCCCGTCAATAAAAGAGCTGATGACCAGCGGTATTTTTCAGTGTTTATGCTTTTTTAAGAACCAGGCAGCAAGTTCAGTAAACAAAGTGTCATCAACCTAGAACGTGCACAATCTCACCGATGGCACAACAGCGATAATTTAATAGCAAGGCCTCAAACCCGACGAGGTGCACTTGCCATCCTTTTTATACGAAAGAACAGCACCTCATTGTAAAGCTGGCCAAGGTGGCACCTTTGATCGATTCACAAAGAGACAGGTTCACCCTCGGTGAGCATTCCTTACAACAACAAATGCATCTTTAGTCTAAGATGATGTTGATTGCCAGAATGGATAACGAGATGCATGAGATATACCTGTTTCTGGTGAAACTGTACATTTCTTTTTGCTTATTCATCAAACACCCTTTCCACCACTCTGTTTCCTCCTCTCTGGCGCTCTATCTCCATGACAACCGCGTGGCGATTTCTGGGTTGCTCTTATTTATTTTTGTTTGTTCGTTTTTTTTATATCCCTGGCATGTAAACAAACTGCCCCCGTGTTCTCTCCACAAGCGATCTTCAGACAGGCAAGCAGACTCTCCCTATTTGCATGGAGGAGCTGAATAACTTATCTGAAACTTCCCCCACTTTAAGATTTTCATTTCTTTTCAAACGAAAAACGTGCGCAGGAACCAATTGCAACAGGGCATGGACTCAACAAAAAAAGTAATAAAGAGAGGATCGCTGGGCCGATGAGCAGCTGGCTCCTCTCTTTATTGTTCATTTTGAAATGGGTTGGCGTCGAGCTAATTACCGACTCTATCAGAGAGCCATCAAGATTAACAGCCCTTGTAGACTAAATACCGTCGGTAGACCCACTCCACTCGACAAGCCCTCTAAAGGCCGCATTTATAGCGCTCATCGTACTAAGCGGAGAATGGACAGAAATGCTCGTTATTATCGTGCACATACTTTGCGTATATTAGAGGACATCAATGCCACTACAAGCAGCAACTCTTTTGTCAGTGATGATGAGTAATGGAAGAAGAGCGCTGACTCTCAGACTCACAAGAAAGCAGAGCCACGTATGACTCAACAACTGGTAAGGAGGTCCTCTACAAAAAATGAAGCGGAAGGAGAAAGTATGGCGACACCTTTGCAAGAAGGGAGATGTATCCCTTTGTTCGCGTACCTGGAGGCGTAAAGAGTTCACTGGGGTATATGCTGCATTGCAGGTTTTCCGATCTGCCCATGCACAAGGTCCTACTCGTAAGGGCAGAGCGTTTCTGTCTCGAGCAGCGTGCGTCGGTGACGGTACGCGCTTACAGCTGCAGGGGACCCAGTTTTTGTTTTTACTTTGTTTTGATTTGAAAGCCAGACAGACAGGCAGACAGACACACCGCCTTTGTGTTCGTCTTTGTGCGCCATCCAGCCCTGTCAGGGACGCCTCTCATTTACCACCCTAAAATCAAAAAAAAAAAAATATTCATGATGCGTGTCTGACCCCATTGCTTCCATGTCAAGGACCTTCAGGCAGAGTGCTATTAGAGAAGAGTTAGATAGATAATCTAAGGATCGATGGCGCGACAATGGTGCGGCATTGGTACCTCCGCCCTTCATGCGCGTCCTTTCATCAAAATGCCTCAGCTCGATCAAACAGAGACTTGAGCTGCACCGTGCTAAGTCAATTGCTCCTTGGGAAATAGAAAAGAACCTTTTGTTTGTTTGTACGAAAGAGTTTGTGTAAGGTTGTTAATGTTTTTTTTGTGTGCATGCGTTGCATAATTTCACTTAATTATCTCTGGCCATAAAGACGGTTGGAGTGCCACGTTTTTTATGTCTCTTTCTAGGAGAGTAGAAGAGTAGGAGAGTGCCTGCAAGTGATGGGGAATGGAAGCTTCTTTTTTTTTTTTTTTTTTTTTGCCCGCAATCATGAATGGACACCCCGGTAAACGACCCTCTTTGAAAAGTACGAAGCCCGACTGAATCCTACAGAACAATGTGCTCGCAGGTACCATCCGAAACAAGTGCGAGATTTCATATCCAACGATCGTCATCTCCTGATTCGCACCGTGCTCATTGGACCTATCTTTGAGCCTTGGAAAGAGGGGACCAGAATGGCAAGCTTTCAAACCAAACATTAGTAATCAAAACATTGCCACGAAAACAGGGGCGATCTTCGTAACACATGGGTAAAGGTAGAGAAAACCAAGATATCCATCCTGTTTTTCCTTGATCGCCCACTTCTTCCATCTCGCTTTCGTATGCAGATTCTATGGATTCGCCCGACTTTTTTTTTCAATCAAGAAAAGGAAAAAAAAAAAAAAAGACGCGACTTCTTTGTTTTCATGTCCTTGTCGAAGTACAACGTGTTCTAGCGCTGCACTTCAGATACCTTTCCTTTAAGGCTATAAAAAATGGCTCAGAACAAGGCGCGCTCTGACTGCATGACGCTGTCCTAGTCTATGCTGAACTATATGTCAAATGAGGATGGGAATAGTAAACTACGGTACGGTAGCCTAACCGAACAGAAAAGCGGCGTACCGCAATGAACAGGTGGCAGGCTAAGGAGCTGGGTGCCATGCATGAACACGTCCCATGTTGATGTTTTAGTGCTATTCGATGCTCAGACAAAAAAGGTTGCGATGATAACTTAGCAGGGTAGCTTTAAACGATCGTGTCCCCCAATGGGAAGGAAAAATCTAGCCTACTAAATATAATTGATCAGAATAAAGTTGCTGCTGCATAGTCCTCTCAGTAACATGGTAAAGTTATAGTCCTATGAGATTAAAAGGGACGGCGGTTACATGGTCCAATCGTCTGTTGATGTTGGTACCGTAACCATGTGTATCAGGATGAGGCGCGCACTATTGGATTGCTTGGGATCCAGAGATGCGAATAGTTACTGAGGGGAACCGTAAATCTTGGAGAATGGCGTTATACAAAGCCCCATGGCGGATCAGTGCACGGCCAGGACTGAAGAAGAGCAAGCAACTAGGGTATTTTCTTTGCAAAGATGGTCCGATAGTGGTCGTCGGTTCAATTGTTCAATACGGCCATTACAAATCCGTCTCTGCACGTTTCATCCCTCGTGCATGAGTCCCATGTGGGTGGGTGTGCATGTGTTATTTCTGGAAACGACTACTATTTTTGCTATGCAGTGCTCGCTCTCTTATTTTTCGTTTATAGCACTCCCACTTGCAGTGACCATCTTGGATACCTTCCAGAGTATATGCAAAGAGATTTGTATGCCATACCTGCCTTGTCTTTCCTTGGTGGGACACCCGCTCACAGACCAGCATGGTGCCTGTAGCACCACCACAAAATTTGGACCAGGGAGCCCCTTTTTGCATGGTTTTAACGGTCCTCCCTACGATTGGCTGCCCGATGGGATCCCCAGGAATTTAATGAAATGAGTGTACTTGAGCACTCTTCAGAGTTGTGGACCTGGCTGCCTGGGAGTGGGCCAAAGGAGGAAAACGGCATGGCAACAGCCCAGACCAGCCAGCAACGTGGCATATCAGCCTAGAGGTACATGAAGCCATGGTCCACGAAAAAAAAAATCGCCCTGAGTTCAGAATTTTTTTAGGAGTATAGTTTAAGGCATTTATCTATTGTGTCAAGTTAAGTTAAGTTAAATCGGCTCTTGCAGTTAAGCAAGCTCTGCATTCTTCTTTTTTTTCTTGCAGACCATCAGAGAATTTACAGAGCAAACGCAGACACAGGAGACCGTGCGATTGCAAAGCAACTCGGGCCGTCTATATTTTGTTGGTACGTGTATGCACCTGTTCCTTGTCTGTGTGCTCTGACCCACCAGCCCACGCATCACGTCCTCAAATATGCATTTTCTTTTTCCGGGGATAGGAAGGAAGAACTGATCTTTTCTTTCTTCCAATCTGCGGATGATTTGTCGGATTTGTATGTTGCACCAGTATGTATGGTCATGCATGGAATGTTAGTCCAGTTTATGGACCTGTAAGTCTCGTCATACTGCATTATACCCACAATGGTATATAATTGCACATACATCTAAGACTGGAAGAACGAACGAGGTCTCGTGGGTATGGGGTGCTTGGATGGACCCAAAGTTCTTTATAAGCACGCGGCCCAATTCAGCTACTTGGGGACCTGTCAGCTGGAGACCACAAGGGTACTTATCCCCTCTTGCCAGCCAAACAGGCAACCATTTTATCCTCAGATAGGTACCAAATACACCTCCTCAAAGAAATGAATGTGAATTTCATTTATGCCCTGGATTGAAATCGTGGGCGTCAATCATGCTTTTTTTTATTTTCATTTTTATGCTTTGGATAAATGAATGCAATAAAGCACTTGGAACTGAGATGAGACTAGATTTCAATCATGGCGCCGAGACAACAACTGCATTGTTCGATATTGTACGTGTACGTGTGGCGGGCGTACGTGGCCAAGCGCTGCTGGTGCTGGTGCTTGGACGGATGGGTATATTGCACTGGCTGCTTGGCCTGCGGTGAATGCGATGACGACGGCGTAGAGGGACTTGGAGTCGTCATGGCCGACAGGGGAGAGGGTGAGGACATGGCCGATGACAATGGCGAAGATGCCGACGATGAGGACGAGAGTTGGCTAGACGAGAACGGTGAGACCAGCCGTCGACTTGCTCGGGCTGCCGCTGCTGACCCGTGCTGCTGGGTCTCATTCGTAAGACGAAGGTTCTCCAGGTGCCTCAGCTCGTCCGAACTCGAGAACTGGACGTTGCGACTGTCATTGCGGACGCGCTTGGATTCGAGAGACGCCAAGGTCTCCTTGAGATGCAATGATTTTGCACGTCGGAGTCGAATCGCCTCCCGCTCTGCCTCCTCTGCCGCTGCCTTGGCCGCCAAGCTCTGCCTCTCCTTCTCTTCAGCTTCCTTCTGTTTCCGGACTTGTGCCTGCTCGAGCTCGTACTGGATCCGGGCCTTCTCTTCCTCCTGCTCTGCAGCGGAATACGTTGGCAGGAGTGGCGTCGATGGAATAGTCGTCAGCGGGTTTCCTGCAGCGGAGGGAGAGGCGACCATGATGGCCAAGGCATTCGAGATTGCCGCAGACTGTTCGCTCCCCAATGTTCGTCTCTGAGACTCTCGGCGCTTCTGTCGCTGCTGTTGGTGATATTGGTGTTGTCGCTGCATGAGGTCGAGCTGAAGTTCGAGCGTGACCTTTTCTTGACGAAGAGCATCGTATCCGCGCTGGAGGACTGCAATCTGGTCCATCAGGAACTCGCACTTGCGCTGCTCCAGCGTCAACTCTCCATCCTTGCGTGGTGCATTGACTGTGAAGCGGCGAGTGAGTTTTGTCCGGCGAGAATGGGAGGTCGAGGCAACAGAGGCGACTGAGGCCAAGAGCGAACTCAGCGTGCTTTCACCCATGCTGCCGTGCTTTTTCGCTGTGCCACCCGTTGCTGCTGACATGCTCCGTGAATGTTGCACAGTGAGTTTGTTTGTGCTCCCTGCTATGCGATTTTCCGAATTTGTCTGTTCGGATTGGTCCAATTCGTACTGAAGCTGCTGAGCCTGCTGCTGGAAAAACGCGAGCTGTGCCTGGACTTGGACGTGTCGGTTGCCCATTGTAAGCACCAAGTCCTGCAGTCGCTCGACCTCGGCCCTGAACCTATTTGCCTCTGTCTCCAGCTCGAGGACGGCCTTTCCCCCCTGAGACTTTTCGCGGTGCAATGATTCGATGGCATCTAGCTGGGCATCCGAGACTTGGACCACCTTGGTTCGAAGTTCCTTGAGCTGTTCAATCAACTGGCGATTCTCCTGCTGCAGCCTGTCGACCTTTTCTGTGGCAGTCTTGAGTCGCTTCTGTTGCCTTGCATTCTCGGCATGGCTCTCCTTCATCTCTGCGGAGAGGGCCTCCCGCTCGGATAACATCTCGTTCAGTTTGCACTCCTGCTCCTGCGTTGTCGATTCTAGTTGACGAACACGATCACCATTGGAGGCAAGCGCGGCTTTTGTGTCGCTGAGCTCGCGTTGGGAATCCTGCAGTTGGGAAAGGGTCGTCTCGTACTGGGACATCAGGGATTGGAGCGATTGCTGGGAATCGGAGGATTGCTGCTGAAAGAGGGAAAGGCGCTTTTCCCTCACGGTCGAAGATCGCTCGGAGCGCTTGAGACGGAGTCTGAGGGCAGAGAGCTCAATCTCCAAAGCCTCACACCGCTCCTGGAGAGGCGACTTTGGGAAGAAACCAGCGCTAGGGGGTGGTTCGACAGAGGATAGGGGAGGAGAGGGCAAGGATGAGATTTGATGGTTGTGGTGGTGATGGCGGAAATGTGGAGTATGGGGTGTTTGTATAGGGCTGGAGTGTGAAGTTGAATATGAGGAATGTGCAGCGGGCTGGTGTTGGAGTGTGAGTGGTTTGTTGGGGCCACGCGTGGACGTGGATGCCATCTTGGACAAGCTGTGATCAAAGGGCGAGGGCTGGCGCGTCGAGTGGACGGGGCTGGGAATGGTGGTCGTGATGGGATGGGGTGCTTGTTGCCTTGTGGGTGCTGGTGCTAGCGATGCTGGTGTTGGAAGGGGATTTTTATTGTTCTGGTTGCGGGAGGAGAAGAAGGAAGTGGCAGCAGCGATTTTCAATGCGGCCATGGCATCGTCGGAGGACGCACGATGGTGGTGATGGTGCTGGTCAGTCACGTTTGGATCGATAGACATTGTTGCACTTCACGCTCGCTCTTCGCTGGTGGATCCTGGTTGTTCGATGTTGTTGCTTTCCTTGTTCTCTCCTTCAAAATAAAGTCAAAGCGGTTCAGCTAAATAGATAATTTCAGGGGCGAGAAGAGAAACTAGCAAAAGGTTGACTGGGAATGGGACATAAAAAGAAATGGATGCACAGGTGAATGAATGGAATGAACGATGGACAAGACGCGGAGGAGGACGAGGAGGGGTTGATGCTCAAAACAATGAAGACACAGAAGAAGAAGAGAGAAAAGAGGAAGGAAGGGAGAGAGATAGGGTTCCTATGTCCTATAATATCCGTAGTGTGCGCCCTGTTCCGCGAGGATTGCTTTGGAAATCGGCAAAAAATAAAAAGATAAATATACAACCGTGTGAGAGCCCTCTTCGCTTTAATTAAAATCGTCTTATTTTGTTGACGCTGTGAGGGTGTGCCATTTTCACCGTAAAAGTGCTCTCCCTCTTCACACACGCTCTCTCTCGTTTTGCTGTTTGAAATGGGGATCGAGTTGTTGTTGTTGTTGTTATTGTTGCTGTTGCTGTTGTTGTTCGCCACTTTTTCCCCTCTTCTTCTCTCTAGTCGGTTTGCTGGTAACAAGTAACACCACAACACAACGCAACATAATAAACATCGTTGCACTATTACACACGTTGTCGAGTAGGAGAGTGCTGTAGGAAATATTGCTCTCAAAGGGCGATGTACAAGGGAACAGAAAAGAAAGAAAGAATAATGGGCGGGGTGTAGAAAATATTGTCTGCAATCGTTCACTTGCGGCACTTGAGGCGGAATAGAATTATAGAGCTAGTCAGGTAGCCTGCTCTACCTTGTTCGCTCGCCGCCATCCCTGGCCTACTTATAACCTATTGCACCATCGCTCTCATAATCCTTTATTTATGAGAGAGCATGGGCAAACGGGCACTTTTTTCTTATCTTGTCCTAGACTAACTAATCGGCCGGCAGCCTCATGGACCCACGTGTGGGTTATCAAGTACCTACGGAATACTCGTATATCGGTATGGCTTTGACATTCCACGCTGGGTACAGACACGTCTACCGGATACATACCAGTACATGTACGTGTCAGTTGCCACCAAAAACGGACATTCGCCATCACCAGTTGTTTCATCGACACTCGCATTTCTTGGTCCATACCAAAAAATAAACACCTTTGTTCAAAGCACTTCGACATGTCCGAAGAACCTAATGTCGATTTTGTTACTGACGCCACGACAGCGATCTGGGCAGCGGTTTTGTGGGTGATGATGAACGCGAAGGTAACGGAGAAGGAGGTGGAGACATGAATACCTATAGCACTGCAGCTAGCGGCAGAGGCAAAAGCGCAGGCAACACAGACAAGCAACTGGCGACAGGTCTGGCAGTTATCACGCAAGGGCTCAGACTTGCTCTTCAAGGGCATATAATACTACGGTGTGCCGGTTTATCTAGCTGCTGTGGTGGGATATCTGTGCGTCAAAATTCTGGAGCTAGCAGGAAGTGTTTGCACGAGACAACAAGGAGTGGACTACGCTTCGGCGTTTGTAATTGGCGGCCAAGAACGTCGAGGAGCCGGGCAAGCTGTTGGCGGACATCATGATAGCCGAGCGAGGTGTCTTACCCAATATCAACGGAGCGATCTTGCCAAAAACAAAAAGATAATGGAAATTGCACACGACGCAGTATGCTGTATTTTTTCCCTTCCTTTCATTGCATCACACGTGACAAGTTTTCCGAATAAATAGCGCAATTGCGCTGCACTTTGGAGTTGCATCTCTTTGCTTCTGTTTCCTCTCTTGGTTGCTGATTCTCCCTCTTCGCAATCAACTCCACGGAAGATCTTTACAATGTCTTTCTTACGCTCGCGTCCACCTGTGCAATCTAACCGCGCCCATCAACAACGGGCTCTCGGTGTCAGACCCTCACCTGGTGGCCCGGCCGTCAAGCGCGAGATCCCTACGAAGAAACCCGCGGCTCAACCCCAGCCAGGAACCTACACCGACTATAAGCTGGTCTCAACCTCGCACGACGTCCTTCACCATGTCATGCGATTCCATGGCAATAAGGAGGTCAGCCCTGACAAGTTCACACAGCCGGTCAAATTGCACCGCAAACGGAACGAGAACAGCGGCTACAACCGATACAGCTACTATAATAGCAAGTACAACTACCAAAACAAGGACACAGCAGGTGCGGATAAGAAGGATGGGGTGGCCGGTGGAAATGCGGCAGCTGGACCAGGTGGTGCAGCAGCACCGACAACGGGCGCGGATACATCACTGATTGCTCCCTATGGTGGAGGCGTGCGTAATAAGCAGATGTTGTTCAAGAAGCGTACGAGACAGATCTATATCGCGAACGAAGAGGAGCGGAAGAAGAAGGAGATTGAGGCGGCACCCTGGGTCGTTGAGGATTACGATAATCAGAACAATTGGACAGGTCAGTTGGAGGGCGGGCAACATGCGAACTATGTGCTGTTTTTGTTCTCGGACGACGGGTTCAAGGTCGTGCCTGCGGACAAGTGGTACAAGTTCACACCAAAGATTCAGTATGCCACCCTGACGGCAGAGGAGGCGGAAGAGCAGGTAAAGCGGTTACTATCTCGATGATACCTGGTTACCTGGTTTTCTTTTTGGTTGAATTCATATCCTTTTGATACCCATCGTATTTTGTCTTTCGCTACCTAGTACCAAAAAGCACAAAAGCAGAACAACAGCAGCATCCGATGGCTGATGCGGTCCAAGAACAAAGCAAAGACAGAGGATGGCGAAGAGGGCGCAGAAGAAGAAGTCGAAGGCGAGCACTTAGTCACGGTTGACCATGAAGACGACGTTGGGTAGGTCATTTCTTCTCGTTGGCACTGGACAAGTTCGACTGTTACTGAATGGTACAAGACTAATGACGCTGATGAATATCGGCTTTGTTCAATTAGATATGACGAGGATGAGGCCAGGGAGAGAAAGAAGAAGCGTGGAAAGCATGGCGACGTGGACGAAATGGACTTTGATGAAGTCTGGCAGGACGACGAGGAGATGCCCTCAGAGATGCCTGGATTCGAAGACGACGCAAAGGACGATGTAAGCTCGCCCAGCGCTTGCGGCATCTGTCTTTCTCGTTTTCTCCCATCGTCAACAGGTCCCTCTCTGACACATTATTTTGTGGTATATCACACAACTAGCCTCGAAGGAAGCAAGGACCAGCTATGGACTCTGATGAGGATGAAGACGAAGAGGACGACAAGGGACGCTTGACAGAGACTGGAAAGGCTGTGAAGAAGGCGCTCTTGAAGCTCGAGAAAAATAAGGTCTACGCCAGCGACGATGAAAAAGATCCCTATGCCAGTGATCAAGATTCGTCTGATTCTGATCTGGATGAGATTGACAAGGAGAAGGATACGAAGAAGGAAGATGACGCACAATTATCACAGGAGACCGCGAAATCAAAGGGCAAGGGCAAGGCCAGTGTCAAGGGCGCGCTCTTGATCCCAAAGAAGGCCGGTGTCACCAAATCTGCCACACCCAACAAACCCGTCGGCGTCAAGGCCTTGAAGGGCAAGGTCCCATTGCCACCACCCAGGAATGCCAGCGCCGGTGCAAAGCCCGCGGTTTCGTCATCATCACCTTCATTATCAACAGTGGCAGGCAAGGCTGTGAAGTCGTCCTTGGCGTCGTCGAGTGTACTCAGGGCTTCATCTCCACCTGCACCTGTGGCGGGCGGTTCAAGTTCATCAGGAACAATGGAAAAGAAGCGGAAAAAGACGGCTGACTCTGCAGAGACCGTCGATGAGGGGCCAAGTAGGAAACAGAGCCGAACAGCTGACGCGGCACCATTCTCAGGCTCGAGTGCACAGGCGGACGCTTCAGCTGGTGGTGATGGTCAGTGTTTGCACCAGTTGCTCTAATGAATGGCATGGCTGTGGGCCATGTTTTTTTTTTTTTTTTTTTTTTACTAACCTAAAGATTCTTGATTTTCTCATATGCTCTCGCTCTGCATGGAATACGATATCGACGGCTTCAAGATTCGTTGCTGATCACGGAAGCGGAGGTCATTGCACTGCTAAAGAGTCGGCCCCAGGTGACGACCCGCGACTTAATTGTCGACCTGAAGAGGAAGTTGCGGAAGGAACCCCGAAACAAGAATATCCTCGCTGCCATCGTCAAGAAAGTCGCCATCCCGCAGGACGGCATCTTGGTTCTGAAGGAGGGCTTGTAAGACCAAACTCTCGGACTCTTAAATGGCCTGTATTTGATTGCCAAAGGGCGCGCTTGCTTTCTATATCAACATCAAAGAACAAGCACCAGCCATTAAGTGCCAAGCTTCAGAATGGCTCATGCATCAATATCTTTCTTTACATATTGTACAATTGAAATAAGAATGAAAAAAAGAAAAGAAAACAATAACTGCTACAACGAGGATGGTAACTGTCTGACTAGTCTGCCTGGCCGGTAGTTTCTATGCGTTTAAAGCGCCAGGGGAGTATTTGGAACTATGCGCGCGCAATAACAAAACAATAAGAATACGGAGGAAATAACGAAATACGTGACATAGCGATGAATGGATCATGAATAATAATGGATATTTGAAGCAAAAAAGTTATGAAAAAGGGGAGAAAATAAAAAAAAATAGAAATAAAATCATCTAGGTGGATGGAAGGAATCGCCGCCGGCCCTCTTGCCGAGGATCTGTCCTGCCTCGTCCACGATGTAGCTAAAGTAAGGATGCTTCAGTGCCTGTGCGGCCGTGATGCGTTTCTCGGGGTCGTATGTCAACAGCTGACCAAGTAAATCTTTCAGTGCCGCCGCAAAGCCTAGATTCTCGGCGCGGTTGGCTGCCGGTACAACATAGTCCTGGATATCGATGGCAAGAAAAAACAAAAAGCCTCGTAGTTAGAAAAATGTGGAGGAGTGCTACTTCAGACGTGAGGTGCCAGGAGAAACTAGGTACCTTGAGGGGTTTCAGAGCCTTCACATATTTCCGGCTCGCACGTTTTGTCTCGTCATTAGGGTAATCCAGTCGTCCCTGCACAAAGTACTTTTGGGCCGATTTGCTAAAGAAAGAAAGAAAGAAAGAAAGAAAAAAAAAAGGCGCCGCGTCAAGTGGCCTGCAGAGTTAATCGCCAGTCTATCTCCATACGACGCGCAAATCAGGGTTCTTTCTTGCTGTTAAACGTACTGGCACGAGCGAATCATTTTATCAGGTATAGGTCCGAGGACAGCCTGCATCATGGCTAAATGCTCCAAATTGTCGTGGGTCTGAAAGAGCGCTTCCCCAGTAAGGAATTCCACCAGAATACAGCCAACAGACCAGATATCACATGGGTAAGACCAGCCAAGACCTATATTTCAATTTGAAAATATCATGAACGTTGTCCTGCGTAAGCATATCTGCTCCAAAACGGATGCTTAATTTGGTCCGCGCATCAAATGCGGTTACTTCGGTCATACCAAGAATGATTTCCGGCGCGCGATAGTGCCGCGTGCTGACAACAGTCGAATGGTGTTCATCCTGGAAGGTTGCACTTCCAAAATCAATCAGCCGAATTTCTGGGTCTAATAATACTCTCCGCATCTTATTTGGTGACTTCTAAAAAAGTAACCGCAAGGATCCCGAATTCAGGTTAGTACGTGGTCAAGTAATGCAAAAAAGTATGGCATTATACCTCTATTAGACATGTGGTAGAAGCTCACCTTGTATGGCACCTGCTTATATGCACCGTTCTTTAGCAGGATATTTTCCGGTTTGAGATCAGTGTGGATTAACCGCAGACGGTGAAGGACTATATAAAAACGATGGAATAGTGTTAGCGACCGCCTTGAGATAAAGACCTCCATTAGTCTTATATAGCATACGTACATTCTACACTTCTTAGGAGTTGCTGCGCGAAGAACTGAATCTGATTAGGCGGGAACGGACAAAAAGCGTTGTCCTTGAGCCAGTCATAGATCGACTGTCCCAAGAGATCAAACACCATGCAGATGTGGTTCCGATAATCGAACCAGTCATTGAGGTGAAGGCATTTACTGTAGATACAAAGTGCATGAAACAAATGAAGAGAGTGGTCAGTATGTCGTCCAAGATGGGTGGGTCACTGGACGAGAAAATATACTTACTATGCATTCGGAGGATCGTTCTTTTTCAACGTGGTCAGCACGCGGGTTTCGATCCTGCTCGCGTCACGATACTTTTGAACAGCACGGATGATCTTGATGGCACAATGCCTCCCTGTCTCCTTATCGTAGCACTCGACTACTTTTCCAAATGTCCCTTGTCCCAACAGTTTGATAATTTTATCTACATTGATGCATGGAAGTGAATAGGCCGGTGAGAGTCATAAAAAGAACTAATACGCGTCCATTTAAAAAAAAAAAAAAAAAAAAAAAATGGTGTACTTACAGCGGTTCGTAAAATCATCATTGACAACAACAATGTAATGGCCTTCTTTATCATCCCAAGGGGGTATATTAACCGGTGCCTATGCAGGGTTCGTAATGAAGGAGAATAAATAGTCAGCTATCACCGGCTCATTTTTTGTCCGCACCATCGAAAGCCTTGATTCTATACCCTGACATGATTTACATCTCGGTTAGCCACTGGTGCGTTAGCATGGGTCTGAGGCGCTGGTGGGTAGTAAGGTGCCTGGTTTTCTTGCCATGTTCGCGGCTGCACAAACTTGACATCCGCATTGGATTTCCGCTTTTTCCTAGTGGGTGCAGTGACAGCACTATTGGGCGTGTTTCCAACGTCTGGTCGCGCGACCAATGCTGCGTTCGCGTACATCTGTGCAGGGTGAGGTTGATTATGAAGGGCGGGGGCGTATGAGCCCTGTGCATATGCGTAGTGTTGATTCGGTACATGGTTAGACATGTCATTGGACCCTGAGGCAGCTAGATCAGATGACGGCGCCCGCTTGTTAGTCCTCCTTGTCACACGCCCTCCTGCATTTACTGGTATTGAGGAGACACCAGTTTGTGATGTCGATGAGCCTGGATAGTAGTGCTGGCCGGGGGGCAATTGAGGCTGCATTATCCGGTACCGTGGGGAGGTAACGGGATGGCCATTGGGGACCTGTTGACCAGAGGCCGATGACGATGTGGATGAGGAGAGCGAGGGCGGCGGCGGTGTATCGTCCTCAATTACAATGACCTCCTTTGGTGGCCCGTTTTTATAGAACTCTGCCCAGTCGGCCTGCCTCCTTCCTTCGGCCGTGGTCGAGTCGGTCATGATGGTCGATGGGGTCCAAGGGTCAGCTTGGGGTGGAGGTATCGTCGAGAGAGACAGCTTGGATGCCTTTCGCGCCTAGGACGGGCAGTAATACGCGGGTTAGGTGAGTTATTCTGAACTGCGCTCTTTTCGATACATGCTCTGACGGTATGGATAAGAGATATATACCTTTTGCTGGCTGAATGGAGGGGGAGGTTTGGATGATGGCAAGGACCGGATGAACTCGATGGTTGACTCGATGGTTGACTCGATGGTTGGACTCGATGGTCGATGACAAGTGACGGACAGGCTAGCTGGCTATGTCTGCTTGGTCTGCTTGATTGGTTTGTAGGTGTACTCTCCTCCACTACGGTTTGGCCAGTATGGGTTTTGTGCGGCGAACTAAGGTTTTTTCGTGGAGTAAGTCCAGATGGCCATGTAGTCAGCTGCCGGATGCATTACTCCTCCACCCATCAAAACACAGCCGAGACCTTGGCTCAGATGCAGCTCCATCGACTCTTGCGGGTGGATGGGTTGGATCTGGATGGGATGATGCATCCTTGGGCCGATTATTTCGCTGGAATACCATGCCACATAGGGTGACTAATAGTCTCAGCATAGAAAAGGTATTCTTACCGATGAAGACGCTGTGCCTCGGACGGAGCGGTTGTCGGGTCAGCTGGAGTAGCGTCTGGAGTCAGTCTCGAGACAGAGGGAGACGAGAAGAGACGGGTCTTAACTTGCAAGTGTGAGTGATGATGCTGACTGAACCCTTTGCCCTTTTCATCACTTCTTTTTTTCCACCACTCGCACCTATGGACTTACTTGCTTGCACCGCCAGCTGTCTACAGTCATGTGACACACGCATCGTCTGCGATTTTCCTACCCTGGCCCTGATCAAGAACGAGATCTGATCTGATCAGTCAACAACAATCTCGGTCCCAGCTCCGTCTTTCTCACCCTTCGACTTCGGGACAGGATCATCGGACTCTTCACGACCACAGTGACGGAATCCACAAAAGAACCCTCACTCCTATCACAGCAAGCTCAGGACAATGCTCTTCAGTCTCTCGGTAGTGAGGCGTTCCGCTTCCGGACCCATGGCCTCACGCCTTGCGGCCGCGGCCAAAGTTGATGCCCATTCCGCAAGTGCCTCACTTTGCGTTGCTGCTCGCCGCTATCAGTCCTCCTCTTCTTCTTCGTCGTCTTCCTCTTCCTCTTCCAGCGACATGTCTCAATTCGACTTTGCTTCACTCGTCACCCCCGAGCGTCCTATTCACGCTGCTTCGATGGACAGGGTTGATCTTGCCAACGGTTCTTTCTTTGCTCTGCACCGTCCTTTGCTTAGCGTCACCAATGCACCCATTGAGACACAACAGCATATATCAGATGACTACGAAGGCAAGTTTTTAACTGTAAATTGGCCATCGCCTTTTACGAAGGTCTCATTCTTCCTTGCCAGATTGTACCGAGTACTTCAATTAACGTCGAATGCACGGCGATCTTTATCTCACAATAGATTCAATTGAGGATTTGACCCACTATTTCTCATCGCTGCGCCCATTCACACCACCGAATCCAGTGCACCAGGGATCCATCCATAACAGAAACACAGAGCAGGCATTCCAGGACTTCTTGCGACAGATTGGAGATAAGCAATTCAGTGTTTCGAGCATTGACGGTCAGAACTGGATTCAGCTGCCAGTGCAGACTCCTCGTGAGAGTGTCATGGACGAGCTGGATGAGACCAACACGATGCATATGACGAGTGTGTTGCGCAAGAGGAGGATTAAGATGAGAAAGCACAAGTACAAGAAGTTGCGCAAGAGAACCAGAGCCTTACGCAAGAAGCTTGGAAAGTAGATGTCTGGACGTCTTTTTTATTTGGGCTGGATTAAGTGGCAGGGGGGAGGACGAAAGGGAGCTGGTTGGTGATGAGAGTTGCCAGCACAAAAAGAAATCATCTAGAGCATCAAATTATAAAGAAACCATTGTTCATTATCGCGTAAAAAGTCGTTTGCGCTGTTAATCGCAAAATGTATCTCATGCTAGTTGTCGCGTCCGAGTGGCTTTCCTTCGCTATGAATGAGGGTGTAGCGTGAACGTCGTTACCTGTTCTTTGGCACTGTATCATGAGGGCCACAGGTACCCATGTTGTATAGGGCGCAGTTACTCTTTGTTAGCAAGCACTACAAAGACCATAGCCCTATTCCTGTCCACAGCGGCGACTGTGATTGATCATGAGTCTATATAGTAGGAGTCACTGTAGAAGATGTTCCAGGCCCGTCGCCATAATAAGCCAGTACGCTTGCGCAAAATAATAACGCTCTACTTTTGAAATCCAACCCTTGTAGATCGTTTGGTAAGATCAGTTTAATGAGCAAGATGATCACCATTCCTCGCGACGCAACTGATTGACCAACTCAGAAAACAGGCCAACAGTAGCTGAACTCTGAAATCGCTTTAGGCCAGGACAACCCTTCCTAGAGCACCTGAAGCAATGCCACTTACGACGAGATAGGGTTCTTGCTTAGTTCTTGACACGTAGGATTAGAATGATGCGTAATGGTCCTTTTCACCAGCCTATGGTAGTCTGCTTTTGCGAACGAGGTGAGGGGTATAGTGCGTCATTGACAGAGATAAGTGCACTCATCCTCTTTCAGTGGCACCATGACGAACGAAGATTATCAGAAGAGCCGCCAAGTTCGACGTTCTCCGGGAATAACGCCCATAGACATGGCGAGTAAAAATATCCATACACCATGATGATACTCGATACGAGAGCGCGAATTGCAGCTGCTCCCTGATTGGACAACGGAATCCGCATGAATCCTCGCACATAGTAATTTGACCTCAATATCTCTCTTCTCACCCGTCCTTTTTTCTCGTTCGCCATCACCTTTCAACTCCTCCTCCCTTCGTCCTTGAACACAAAGTCCATCTATGCGTCTCCACAAGTCCAGCAACCGAGGTCTTCGGAAACATTGGCGCCGCCAACCACTGGGCCGTCTCCCTTTCCAGCCTCATCACCACTTTAAACCAAAGTCCTCCGTCCCCATCACCTACTTGCGACTCAAAGAACGCATCGCTGCACGCTCTCATGCGCTCCATCGGACCACTACCACTTCCTCTTCTGTCGGCAACAATAACCATACTCCCCAATCAATCTTCACTGTATCAAGCGAGCGTCCAAGAGTCCACGGGGTGAGTTTATTTTATTCATTTCGTATCGCTCTGACTTCTTTAGCTCGATATTCCCGCGCTTTTTTTTCGGCCCGAATGTTCAATAGGGGATGAATGGAAATATTAGGGTTATCATACCTCTCTGACCTATTTTTTTCGTCTCCTGCAATCAATCGAACTCCCTCGCCAGCTCTCCTCAACCCCATCTCTCGTCCTACCGAACCAAGCCTATAGGATACGTCGCCCTGGTCACACTTCCATTAAGAAGCGCTCCAGTAGCACTTCTGCAGGAGGCTCCACCACCGTAGCAGCATCTCGGACCCACAACTTCGGATCGCCTCCCACTAAATCAGACTTTGAGTCCGTATCTGGATCGGACTCGGATTTTTTCTCTTCTTCCTCCACATCCCATTCTCCCTCCTCACCGCCTTCGCCGACATCTTCCTCCGCCATGCCCACAGATCCGGATCATCACCACGAACTCATGATGCTGAAACGCGAGGCCTTTCAGGAACTCGCCTCACAGACCCAACGATTTGACGACCTCTTTATCGCAAAGATGATCTACTGGGAAAGTCTCGGTAACGAAGAGAAGGCTCAATGGCTCGAACGAGGTCATCACCATCATCGGCATACCCCAAGCAATCACCTACAATCACACGAGCAGCAGAGTTGTCAGGACATGGAGGAAGAAGTTGAAAGCAGCATGGAACAGGACGAGATTGACGACCTGGTGAATGCGCTTGAATGCAGAGCTACCTGTAAAGACTACTCAGCCCTGCTGGATTTCGAGAGAGAGGCTGCGGCTGAGAGGAGACGTCAGACGGTCGGTGAACGAGATCAGCTCCACGATACCTCGGCTGTGAAGATGCAGGATCCGCTGACTTGCTGGGACCTCGGTTATGAGGACGTCTTCTAAGGAACCCGACTCTTTCATTCCTTTTTTCCGACATGTTATTCAATTAGATCATCCACATATCTGAATGTGCCCTTTGCTCTTTACTCCTCACTTCATTTTTATGTTGATTGTGGTTTCTTTCTTTACAGCCTTGTTATCTGATTTTCTTCCGCACCTTGTATATACCAAAAAAAGTCCTTTGCTTGTTTCTTCTACCTCTTTTTTTTTTTTTTTTTTTTTTTTTTTTTTCTTCATAAAGATACTAATCAAAAGAGATCTCCAAAGCATATTGAGTAGATCCATTTATCTCCAGGCTGTTGTTTTTGCTCCATCGAATTGCTAAAATAAGTTTATATGTAAAGAAGTAGAATGCTATGGTACACAGTAATTGACAATGAAAACAAAGGAGGAAAAGAAAAAAAAAGGCGTAGCACAAAAATATTCCTCATCTTGACCAAATCCATCATCATCCCTCCTTCTTCAGCTCCTTGTCAACAACTCCATTCTCAGTCGAGGAAACTGCGACAGCGGCAGCATCTTGATCTGCCATCTTTTTGGACTCTGATAGTTGGTACGAATCCGATTCTCCGACAGAGCTAGGGGCCGATGAAGCCTCCGTTTGCACGCTGCTCGATTCTGAACCCGAAGACCCTATCTCTGAGGCTCCTACCCCTAAAGATTCTGCCTGGGAAGATCCTGCCTCTGAAGGCCCTGCTCCTGAAGATCTTACTCCTGAAGATCCTATTCCTGGAGACCCTACCCCTGAAGGCCCTAATAGCTCGCCAGTCGCAGTGGCTATTGGAGTGGCAGTGTCGGATCCAGATGGATCTGCGTGCGGGGTTGATTCTGCAGTCTGACTGCTATTCCGCTTTCGCAATGGGAGCGCAATCGCCTGTAGCTGCTCCATTCGTGTGTTTATCACTCGGCTCTTCAGAGACGTGGGTCCCGCAGCTAGTTGGCCCTGTTCGCTTTGGCGCTTCAATAACTTGGCATAATCTGCAAAAGGAAAGTAGATAAATGCCTTTAGTATTACGTTCCAATGGACCCAATACATTGAACATATAGAGTGCATAAAAAAAGTACATACGAAGACCGCAGGCATTGCATAATGTGCGGGCACCATCAGGTCCACGACGCCACTCTGGCGTATCCGAGGAATCGCAGGACAGACATCGGCCAGGAGGCTGGGTCCGCTTGGCGCGCTTGCGGTACTTTTGATAGGGTGCCTCGCCACTCTTCGAGTTGCGGCCGCCCTCGGTGCTGTTGTTCTTGCTGTAGCCATCAACGCTAGTGACACTGCTGTTGCTGTGGCGATAGCCAACTCTGCTCATGCCCGAGTCAGACGAGTACGATGTCGAAAAGCCTTCTTTGAAACTGTGACCACGATGCGACGTCGAAAGCGACGCCATAGCACTGCTGCTGTTTCCGTGCTTCATAAAAGGCCTTCCCTCATGGTCTACCTCCATTTGGCTGCGATGCAAATCTCTGTTGATGGCAGGACGAGGTTGATCATACCTTTCGAAGGGCTGCTGCTGTTGCCTGTGCCTCTGGTTCAAGGGATAGTTGTGCGACGGTCGTGGCTGCACCAAATCCCTCTGTCGTTCATAATAGCTCTTGGAGGTCGATGATGTTGCGGGCACGACAGTCCAGTCCTTCTGTACGTTGCCATGTTGGTCCACAACCGATGGTGCCAAAGTGCTGTCCAGAAGCACGCATCGCTTTCCTCGGATCGTATTAATCTCCTCGTCAAGCTCTCGCTCCCTGGGAGTCATGCCCACCCAGGCCTTGATACGGATTGCAAGCTGGAAGATCGATGTAGCAACCTTGGCGAGTTCATGTACCAGCTCGTTTGGTGGCACCCCGTTACTGAACCTTACTGGACTGGTCTCTCTCTCTATCCGTTCCTGTGATGTAGCATTCGATTGTGAAGGTGACAGCTCCCCACCATCATCCGCAACCTTTTCATTCGTCTTGATGACATGCTGCAGTCCCATAAGCATCGTCGTATTCATGTATCGAATCTTCTGCAGGTTCGCTCGCATCTCTGGGTCCAACTCCGACGATCGGCGGTCATCATGCACCGTATTTGCTTGCTCTGTATAGTGGAGCGCAAATTTGCATAGAATATCACAGCTCTCAATTGCGGCCTTCAAATCCACAGTGTTCGGCATATCCGTGCCAAATTTGAATCGAGGGTCGTGGGTCTTGATGTTGAACGGTGACATGTCCTCATCTTCCTCAGCGTTACTATCATAACTGGAGTCGTGTGTCGTGCTATGGCTGCCGTCGCCCGTGCGGTCAGTAGGCTCTCGGCGAGAAAGGCTCGGCAGCGACGACATTATCGATTTGCTGGGTACTCGTGGGGCTGAGGCCCGTCGCGCATTCCCTTGTTGGCCCGGCTGATAGGGTTGCGCTGGTTGCTGATGTTGCAGTTGCGTCTGTGATGCTGAGAATGAGGGACTGTCAGGATAGTGTGAAGACGGAGGACTATAGGAGACAGGAGAGGCTGAGGAATGGTGTTCATGAGAATACGAGGACGAATGCCGTAGAGTTGAGGGTCGCTGTTGTTGAGGATGATGAAAAGGACGCGGTTCATACTTTGGATCAACTGGTATGGATAGATGAAGCGGTGAATGGTGCTGGTAGTCTGATTGCTGTTGTGGTGAGTACACTCGTTGGGGGTTCTGCTGATCGAGATCATATTCGCCCTCGTACTTGGGAGGTATATCCTCGTAGCGGTGTCCTCGATAGCTTTGGCCATGGGCCAAGTGAGACCGGTAGGGGTGCTGGGCAGAATGTGACAGACTGTGGAGGCGTCTTTGATCTTCATGTTGGTGAAAAGATGTTATGGTTGAGGGGTGATCCAGAGCCCGATTGACTACATCAAGATTAGCCGAATCTTTGACCTCAGCAGCGCGATCTTGGGGACCTGCAGCATAACCGTCATCCGGAGGGGCCATCGTTTGTGGAAAAATCGCACTGTGAATGGAAGACTGGGCTGCTTCCTGTTGCTGTTGCTGTTGCTGCTGTTGATGCTGATGCTGATAAGCCAAGGACGACAATGTTCGTAAGGGCTCCTCTGGATGATGAACTAGTGAACTTTGGCCTCCTGAACATGCGTACCCCGGTTCGCTGACCCTCTCCCTCTTTCTTTCCTTTTCTTGGTCTCGTTCTAGTTCACGTTCGCGTTCGCGTTCTCGGTCTACAAGAGCCACGCCGGCCGAGGAAGTGGAGGGTGAGGTAAATGGATAGGATGAATGGCGAGGAGATGATCCATGAGCGTGAAGCAACAGAGAGGATGCTGGAGGGAAGGGACGTCCAGTGTCCTCTTGGGCTTGGCCAACGTAAGGATGGCCTCCTCGAGGGGTTGAGGATGGCCCGTTGGAGGAATGACCGAGAGCTGATGAGGAGAGCTGGGTCTTAGGGTTGTGGCCTTGTGTTGCCCAGGATGATGATTGCCTGTAGAGGGACGATTTAGTAACATGGGGAGGGTACTGTTCGGAAGGAGGGCCATCGTCAAGATCCATATCTGGTCTGTCCAAGGGATGCTGTCCATCGAGATACTGGCGGTAATGGAGCTGAAACTGAGGCTGGTGCTGTAGCTGCGGCGGCCGGGGATACTGCCGGTACCCGTCGTCAGGGAACAAGGGCGTGGTGGGGAATTGTGAAGAGGACGAGATATAGGCGGCACTGGCGTGGATCTCGTATGGGTCGTGCCCCGAGTTGCTGTGGTGTCGAGAGAGCGGAGGATGTGAAGATGGCAGTCGAGGATCAGGACGGTGAGCCTCTATGGCTGGAGCGGAGAGTTCTGCGGGATGTGGACGGCTATCCATGATGCTGAATGGAAGCAGATGGATGCTGCCTCATGGAACTGAGGAGAGATGGGAAGGATGTGTGTGTGCGATGCGGCTGTGTGGCGTGGAGTGGAGTATGCGATGCAAGTGTTCGAGGTATGTTAAGCGCTGAGATACTGGCTGTGCTGGTTCTTACATACACATACACACAACACCACATGCAAATGAAATGGGGAGATGGAAAGAGAGGCTGAATAATGCGAACGTAGATGCAGGTGTCAAAAGAACATGGGCGATGGGGGAGTAAAGAAGAGGGAGGGGCGAAAAGGAGAAAACAGAGCTGCGTGTGGTTGGCCTAACGTACCACAGCCAGAAACATTGGGAAACGAGACGAGACAGCGGAATACGGCCTATTCCAATCAAACATCTGCGCGATCCAGATTTCTCCACCCCTAGTCTTGTTGCTATTGTTTATGTGTGCAGTCTATTCGTAAGCACTCACACGGCCCGACAAAAAAAAAGCGTTTTCTTCCGCGCGAGAGGACAAAGTCCCTCAGGAATCGTCCTTAGACTATCCTGCAGCCAGAAAATAAGAAACGAAGAACCATTGCAATGCAGAATATCTTATAGACAGGTATTTTTCTTAACAACCATAGTACATCACAGCGTTCAATTACTATTTTTTCAACATACTCAAGACTCCGAGTATCCTGTGCGCTTTGAGCAGTCGACAATCTATGCAATCCATACCGCAGCTCGGTATTGCTCAACTTCACACTGTTCTTCATTTCGTCTGCGCTGAAAATCGTACAGATTTTGATGAAGCTGCAGGTTCAGATGCGAACCTTGCTAGTGCAGCGTCACCTAGATCTTGTGGGATCCCATTTTGATCTGAATGTACATCTGCAAACACTCTTAAAAGTAAAGCGGAAAATTTATTAAAGAGTTAAAGTATCAGGCCCAATCCCTGTTCGTGCCCCAGACCCAGAACAAGACACAGAAGCAGATGCAGTTACAACAATATGAGGCTCGCCATATGAGCCACCTCCAATACGTTACTCAGGGGGCTCCAACTTTTTTTAATTCAACTGCGGGAAGTCTGTGTAGCCTCACAGACGCTCTGAAAGGGTGCAGCACGAGCGGTATCTAACCACAATGCGCACTCACAATGACAACTGGTTGATCACTATCGGCCATTACTGCTGCACTTCCACAAGCATGGCTGGCTACTATCCATGGTAATGCACTGGCCACAATACGAGTTCCGGCATTTTCTGTACTTTTGCATACTCGGTACGCATACTAAGCAAGCCCTTACACCGCAAATGACACACGTGGACACAGTGCTGGTCTGCGTGTTGTCCCACAAGCAGTAATACGTACCGCACATGGAGCATTCATATGTGCCCATACACCCACTGCAATATCTCCCATGGCTGTCGGGGTCACATTTAGTACATCTTGAGCTCTTGCAGTCATCACATGTGTACAACCTGCAATTACTGCACCCATTGTACACACAGGCATCAGCACCGCACTGATGACATGGCGCCACCTCAGAGTCATCGTAAAGCACCATGCTAGTCATGCCGATGTACTTGCCATTACACTCATGCACAAAGATACGACCCCTGTCGACGTATGGTAGCAGCGTTGTGGGCGGTGCAATATCCAGTGGTATGCCACCACTCGTCATGTATAGATCCGTGGTGATGTGTGGCCACTTTACCATTGCGCGAGTAAAGATCCTCATCATGGCCTTCGCCTTCATGTTCGCGCACCTATCAACGCTTATCCATGCAGGGTTCATCTGCAGCAACTCCTCAAGATCCGAAGTAGTGATGAGTGTGCCTGACACATCTATGCCGTTGTGGTTCTCCGTTGTGGTTCTCCGTTGTGGTTCTCGATGATTCGTCGAAACGTGGGACTCAACGCTCTACTGCTGAACGACATACGCTTTCTCGGGTCTACCGCGGATACTTCCAAGGCTCTGCCAGAGATGTAGGACGTGACGATAGTGCTCATGCCGCGTGATACTCCCGTGCATCTCAGCAAGTCGCATAGATCGAGCTAGTCAAGTACTCTCCACGAGATGGTAATGTGTAATGGCTCCATGCGTGTAAATGCGGGGCGCAACAGTGGGAGTGTTGTATGGTGTCTGCAACGACGTCGGACTTGAAGAGCTTGGGATCGACTTGACTTGAAGAGCTTGGGATCGACTTGACTTGAAGAGCTTGGGATCGGCTTGACTTGAAGATCTTGGGATTGACTTGACTTGAGGCGCGAAAGCGAGGGTCTGTAGGTAAGGTCGGGGTTCTGGGAAGAAGTGCTTGGAGAACTGTTGCTGAGATATCTGGCAGGGGAAGACACACTCTTATATAGCAAGAGCAGCATTCATACAGCAAGAGCAAGTTGCGGAGTATCAAGGTACCATATTTGACAAGAATTTTACGCCTCGTGTTGTAGCACAAACAGACGCACCACATACCGTCGAATGCCATGATCGCGACAAAATCCATTTTTCTTAGTTTTTCTGCGGCACAATTGGCTAGGAGGGCTTTAATCTCTATTGAGCCCGTACGCAGGGAAACCTGAGTCCTTGATGTACCTTGGTTTTGCCAAGTTGTACGAGTAGACTAGTACATAGTCGATTGTGTAAGAATGTGAAGGCTTGCGAATCAGGGGAGTAGTGACAGGGGAGTTGTACAAATATTCCAGAAACTGCCATTTCATAGAGTCGGTAACAATTCCATATGAGACGAATGCCAGGGCACTGTTTGTTACATGCGTCTTAGTCAGAACAGCCTTGAGTTGTAAAGTACCTTGTGCGATTCCTTGCTTGATGTCGTTGTGTTTGACCTCGATGACGGCAGGAATGGACGAGCAGTCGTGTTTGGACTCCATGCTGTATGTACAGGATAGGAGGCGAGCAGACACTCTCTGCTGCAGACTGGCCACATCCGAAGAGTAGTGGTCGTTTTAGTAGTATGAACATGTGTGTCCATGCCAAGACCAGAGCTGGAATTAGGCTGATGCAGAGGCTGAGAGAACTTTCTTGAATAAGCTCGTTTCCAGGGTGTCTGGCAGTAGTCATCCTCTCTGTTACATAGCACATAGTTAATAGCTGATAGTACAGGTTAAACGCGACGCGACTCACAGTAGCGCAAATAGACTATAGCATAGGGATTATTCTTTCCTACACACCTCAGTGTCATCCTCATCATACTCTCATATGCGTTTCCTCCTGGCTATCTTCTGGTTTGACAACCACTCACTGCTAAGTCGCTATGCTGTCCATCTCTCGCTCGTTGTCATCCTCACTGTCCATTCCATGATTTCCAATTACCGTTTCTCTTTAAGAAAACGATGCTTAAATGTCTTAATCGTTTCCTGCTACAGTTTCATGTTTAATTTTTCACTACACACTATGACGATAAGGACAGTGGCAATGGCTGTCCCAACTTTGGCTGCCAAACGGCAGCAACAGCAAGAACAAAAATCCAGCACTAACAAGCGAATCGCGATCCCAATCATCACCCATAAGAACCATCAGCCGAAATGAATACCCGAAGAACTGGCAGCAATCGAATACAACGCAAGCTGCACGTGCCGTAGGCGTCAAGTTCTTCCTGGGCCCGTCATCTTCCAGTCGTTGGTCAGCAACTCGCTAATGGATAGTATTCATCTTGCTAGGATCCTGCTCCAGAGCGTGGGATGTTCTGTGACCGAGATGAAATCGTCTGGAACGTCTAAGGGACGAAGGCATGGTGAGACAGTGCGACACGATGACACGATGCTGGTTGGGTCTGGGCGCGTTGTTTATTTCTGAAGTGTGAGCTGAAGATTGGTGTATGTGGGTGGCGTGGATATTTTTTAACGAGCGCTGTCTACACAGAATAAGAGAGCGATTTTACCTCGACCCTTGTGTTTCTCTCTGTGAGTATCAAACAGAGCGGAATGAGAGTCTCCATTTTGTTTCCCCTCCTGCCCCGTCGTCATCATGTCTGTGGGCGACAACAGGGATCTGAGAAAGGGACCTGAGGCATGTGACGCGTTTGAAAAAATAGAATGCCGTCTGCCCCTTACTTGCATCGGCACCTTGGTGACTTGGTCCGCCCCCCTTCTTTCTTGTCACTTCTTTCCGCTTCACCTCACCACCATCCGTTCCTTGCAGTTGCGACTTGTATCTTTTCACCCACGAGCTGACACCTTCCTTTTCTTCCCCTCATTTGATATATCCAACATCGCAACCAACCTTAGCCTTTATAGAGAGCAAACGGCGGGCGTGCAAAGAAGACCAGGGTCCTCCTGAACGCCAATCCATCTACATCGACACAAGGAGTCGTCGAGGCAACTGGGACCAAGATAGAGATAAAGACCGAGCCGGAGCTTCATACAGAGGCCAGGACCACCTCACCTCAGACGTGTGGCACTACTACAGAGGCACGCACTATGTCACACTTCCCCTCTACCACAGTGGATTCGCCCAGCCTTCTCTCTGAAGCAACCTTTTCCACAGTCAGTGCCACTACTACCAACACCGCCGCAGAATCAATCACAGGTGTGACTACACCTGATACCCCGGAGATGATTAAGGACTCGTTCATTGATGTTCCAGTCAGGGAGCAGGAGCAGGACCTATCAGTCCAGAACGAAACGCATAACAGCACTGCTCAGGTTTTACCCCTGAGTGATGAAACCAGGACCGAGATGGAGAGGAGGGAACCAACGGGTCCGTCATTCGGAGACCCGCTGTTGACCTCGATCGAAGAAAATGTTTGGGCAATGGACGATACTAAGGAAGCACCACTGGTTCCAGATATAGTCGATGCTATGGCCACAAAGGACACAATCGTCACAGAAGACTCGAGGTTGCAAGAGCACGGATCACTCGTTCCCAAGACTCATACGGATGTGAATATCGCCCAACAGCAACAGCCCGATCATGAAGCCGTTGCGAATACTTCTGGCGGTTCTACCTCGCATTCTCAGACCGGAGCAGCATTTGTGGACATCATCGAAGCCGACAGTGCACCAAGACTTTCGTCATGGGATACCGCCAGTGAGCACGTCGCATCAGTGACATTACAATGTTTGTCTCAGGACAGGGACATGGACACATCGTATGTCTCTATTTTGTCGGCTATGACGGTGTTACAGAGCAAGCTGGATCAGATGCCGGAGATCAATGATCCAAGCGAGCATGTTCCACGCGAGATTCAAGACGCAAAGACAAAGACGGCCAAGGTCTATTCAGACATTCTGAGGATCATGTGTAAGTCGAGTGTTGCGGAATCTCTGGGCAAGGAGACAGTTCATCAGGGTGTCATGTCGTCCGAGGCGCTCTACACGCAGTTTTATGGCTCCATTCAGCAGGCTGGATACGACCTTCAAGTAAGTATACTATCTAATCATTCGCACCATATTATTCATTGACAACAGGATCGCAGAATTGACCGAGAAACCATTGTTTATTGTATCAGAACGAGGCACATTTGGCAATGGCCCAGTACTGGATCGAACACAAGCAGATCGAGGAAGCACAGGATTGTCTTGGCCATATTGAGCCTGCAACGTGGACGGGACCTGTGTACCGGGCAGCGATTACGTGCCTGTTGTTTTCCAAACCACGCCAACTTCAAGACGCAGAGGCCTTGCTGCAGAAATACATCGACTTCAAGGAGACCACTCAGCAGTGCGCTAGCGATGAAAAGTCTAGGATCAGGACATGGTACAAACTGCAGGCTGAGGCATCCAAATGGGAGGAGGTCAAGGCTCAATACGAGCATCGTCGTACTCGTCTTATTGAAGGCCCTTCAGGTCTGGAGCGCTCACCGGCTGCTGCAGATACAGAATCAAGACTTACGCCCCAGGCACTGCAGCAACATCTTATGCATGAACAGCAGCTCTCTCCTCAGCGGCAGCTCGGCAATCATGTGCGGAGTAAATCCATCACATCGTCCACGACGACATCTTCCCATCGTCACTCTCCCTCAGTGCGCACCTCCCCGAGTCATCAGCGATCGCCATCAGGGCATCAGCGCACCCCTTCAGTAGCTCCATCGTGGCCTTCAGGAGCCTCAGCTCCTAGTGTTAGCACTCTAGCTGCTCCAGTGGCCCAAGCACCAACCAAAGGTGCATTTTCGTTTTTGTCATCACTCAAGTTCACTAAGAGTAACGACGCAGAAACGACACTTAATTCATCGACTATCCTTCCAAGTCGTCTCAACGTGAATCGGCATCTTACTCATCTGGACAATGGCATGCTCGAGGAATGCGTCGGCTACAAGGAGTTTGAGTATGGCTGGAAGCAGATATACGAAAAAATGGGACCTACGCTGGAAGATGGTGATACGGCCAAGATCGCAATGCGACTCTGCAGGCGCGCTTTTCTGGGCCATAGCGGCCTTGACATAAATCGACCAGGGGCGCCAAATTTGATTGCCAAGGATATTCGCTTTGAGGATGAGGTGGATTATAACGGGCTATCAGATCAGGACACAGCCAAAAATCTCAAGTCGGACGCTGAGCTTTGGGAGGCACGCGCATGGGTCATCTATAACAAGGCGATGATGAATCCACATACCTTCTTTGTCAACAGCAACCACTCTCACCCTCATCCTCACTCGCATCCTCACCCGTCAGCCGGATCTGCGAGTGGCCAGGCGACTTCAGGACATCTGTCCCTGGCTAGCAGTAACGGAGCATCATCCATGGCTATGTTCCTACACGACATTCTGACGATTGCTAATCACTCACCGGAAGTGTCCTCGCGTTACCTGAAGGCGTTCAAGATCTACAGTGCCATCCGAAGTGATCAGCATAATCAACATCACCTTCGCGACCCCTTCGTGATGACCTGCGTGATCAAGGCGATCTATGACGCGGCTCTGGCGGTGGTTCACAACCCGGATCAGAAGGCACTCCCTCAAGCAAAGAGAAGCACGGAGATCTTAAAGCATCATCGTCGATCCTCTTCGATTTCCTTGAACCGATCGCAACCCATGACTCTTGGACCACTGATGGACTTGGCGTTTGAGATCTATGCGGACATGAGGAATGTCGGACCGATCCGCCATATCCCAGCATTGATCCTTCTAGCACCCGGCTCACCTATAAGCACCAACAAAACCCATAAAGCCTCACTATCGACCGCAAGCGCTTCATCGATCACCGAAGAACCCGCCGAGCTCGAAAACACATCCACCGTCTCGGTCTCGCCAAGATCATCGTTCACTGCACTCAACGTGCCCGTCTTTCAGGAGCTCAACCCGACCTTGAAGCCGAATTCTCAGGCTCGACGACTGCCAACCGAGCTATACTTGGCTCTTTTGCATCTGTGCGCTCAGGTACCTGTGTTCAAGATTTCTTCGCAGGTGGTCAAGACGATTGTCAGCGATATGTCCTCAGACTTTGGACGACCAGCGTGTCGGTTGGACTATCATCTAGCAGCAGCATTGCAATACTATCATGACACATGGATGTGTCCCTTGGAGACGGTGGCGACGACGGTAATGACTGCAGAGTCAGATCAGCAACAGGATAGGGAGTCGAAAAAGTGCGTATACCATGAGTGGATGTACCAATCAGACGACTTTGTTCAGAAACACATTGCGGCTACTCGGCAACTGTCCTCGACTCCGGACCTGCCCTTGGCGGAGGAAGCAGAAGAGTTGCATTCGTCTTCGGAGGGAGGGCCGGAAGAGACTTGTAATGACGAGTTTTATTGGGATATGTGGTCAAGCGAGGACGCGGAATTAAGGAGGGTTCGATACTCAGGGACGAAGGCCAGGATGCTTTGGAAGCATGTCACACAAGCACTCTTGTAAATAGATAACAATCGTTGAATACGATATGCCACTACCATCTCTCTGCTCCTTCCGACTTGCGGGTAAAGACTAATGGTACGAGATGTATAGAGCGATCATTGGGGTCTTTTGGATGCAGCGCGACTGCACTACACTTGAGGATAGGATCGGCCTACGCTCTGTGTGGTCAGTCCTAGGAAATGAAAACCTAAAAAATGTGATCGGGCGCAGGGTGCTGTGACCCGCTTGAGCACCTCCTCCACAAACCCCGACGGCTAAAGTGATAACTCCTTTACCATCTCTTGTTTCCCCATTCACATTTCACCGCTCACACCTTCCCCACGAACTCATTTCGAAATGCACGTTGAGAATAAAGTCGCGATCATCACCGGTGCCTCGTCTGGTAATTGCAATTGCTGGACCCGCTCAGAACTACTTTTTTTCACCAGGGACCTGTTGGTGTTTGTGTGAGATAGTGGTATTGACTCATTGCTTTGCTTTGCAACCCTGCTGGGGCTATTGCTTATCCTCTTCCCGTCTCCGACAACTCAGGCCTGGGCAAAGCACTTGCAGAGCGTCTTGTCAGCAAAGGGTAAGAGGCTCCTAACTTTTTAACTGGCGAGGCAACTAATCAACAATTTTTTACGCTTGAACCTGCGTTTCGTGATCAATTGGACGGATCTGCTGTTTCTTAACCTGATGTTCAAACACTGACTCTGCCATGTTCATGCTCGTGTCTCTCAGAGCCAAGGTCATTCTCGGAGATATCGACAAGAATGATGGCCTCCGTCTCGCCAACGAATTGAACCAGGGGTAAGAGAAAAGACTGTCTTGGCCCATTTCGCGAATGTTAATCCAGGGTCGAACAACGACTTATTGATATCTTAACGCTCTGTACATCTATCTATATGCCTATACATTTCTCCCCTCTCCAGAAAGAAGGAAGAGGTTGCATTCTTCGTCCAATGCGATGTGACCAAATATGACCAACAAGTCGCCCTCTTCGACGCCGCAAAGAAGCACTTTGGAGGCGTCGACATTATCGTTAACAACGCTGGCATTGCCGAGAGCGCGCCTCTGTGGGAAGATGAGAAGGGTCTTTGGAAGAAGGTCATCGATATCGATCTGTCCGCGGTGATCGAGGGCACGCGCCTGGGTATTCAGGCTCTCCAAAAGCAGGGTCGTGGAGGCGTGATCATCAACACGGCCTCACTTGCCGGATTATACCCCCAGGCCTTGACACCGGTGTATTCGGCTGCAAAGTTTGGAGTCGTCGGACTTACGAGGTCGTTCAAGGAATTTGACCCAAGCATTCGTGTCAATGCTATTGCACCTAGGTATAAACCCATATTTAGCCTTGCCTATCCTTGCGGGCATTTGCTTTTTTTTTTTTTTTTTTTTTTTTTTTTGTTGGTAGACCTTTAACGTGTATATTTCATCGAATGACAATTTAGCTTTGCACCCACCAAGATCATCGAGCCGCTCAAGGAAGTGCTTTCCAAATTTCCTTTGGTTGCCGTAGAGACAGTTACAGACGCATTTATGTTGCTGATCGAGGACGACTCGTACAGGGGTGATATTGCGAGGGTCACGCCTCAGTACGGCATCAATGTCTTGGGCAGAGCTGTTGGTGGCGAGGGCAAGGACAAGAAGGCCAAGCTGTAAAAAAAGACATTGTGTTGAGGTTCATGAATGAGGAACCAATAAATACGTGAATGATCTATTATTTTTAAGACGAACGTACCTTGCGCTTCGATCTAATTATTATTCATGTCGAGTATTACTCTGAGGAAGTCTATTCTGTGCGCATGAATAAAAGATTTGACGCGAGCTAGCCTCAATCATAGTCGGAAATATATCGGGCTATCAATCCCCATTTCCTGCATCTAAAAGGCTTCGCGTTCTGGGCAATGCATGCCTATAAAATCCGCGCCTTCTAGCAGCTCTCTATCGCTCCTAACCTTGCAATGCATCTTGATTTACTAGAGTAAAACTTTGACTTTATCAATCTTTCTCCTACGCATCTCCAGTTTTCCCTACAGAACCATGCTCCAATGCAAAATATAACTTTTATCCCTGACCTCGGATGGCATACGAAAGCCCTGAATGTCCTGCAAGCCCAGGCTCGACAGGCCCAGTACGCCCACCAGAACGCCGTTCTGCATCGACGGCTTGCAGCAGCTAATGCCGACAGCAATACGTCTGAAGAAGGGGAGAGCGTCCACAAAGCTCCTGCGCGCTAGTGCAACTTGGCCTGGTCGTCGAGGCGTCCCATCACCCGACTCTTCAATAGCACATAACTATACTGTAAAGAGCAGTGCATCATGTCCACACATCTTCAACCTTACCTCCAGCGACTCTTCCCTCGCAACCATCCGCATCCCCGAAAGGAGCCGTGCGATGCTCTTCCATCTCTCCAATCTCTTAAAAATCAACATTTATCTCTTTCCCGCACATACCAATGCCACCTGTACCATTGGTTTTTTTTTCACAGTATTGATCCGTACCTCCAGACCAGTCAATATCTCATCCTCATACCCATCAGGCAATCTCTATCTCCAAGACCTCCCACGGCAAATGTCATGAAGATGAGTATATGGATATTGAAGGTATCGACGAGTCTCTGGAGGAGAAAGGTGCCGATATCAGGAGTACCTCTCAGCCTTTTACTCAAGAATGACGGGCACCCAGGCTATGAAGCTGCCCAAATCCAACAGGATGACCGCGCGCCAGGTGGACGACATCTCCTACATACGAAGGATAGCCAAGAAGCAGGAGAGGCGTTCGAGCCAGCAAGAAAACAAAAATATCCAAGTAGTGCACCAGGAAACACCCAAACGAGAGAACTTGCTTACGGAGGCAGTGACTATCAAGGAAATCGATGCGGCCTATGACGCTCGGAAAGGTGTCCGTGATATCCTTCAGGTGTTCGAGTCCTTCTCAGTTCGCCAAAAGGAGCTTCATACGCAGCAACTCCGAACAGCACGCGCACGGACTAAGCTCTGTGCTAAGGAACGATCTTACGTGCGACAGCATGCACTCGAGGAGCATAAGAGTGGGTTCATTTATTTTATTTTTTGTAATAGCTTTTATATCCATTAGGGAGCTGGAACTAACGTGGTCCCTTACACTGTTGTAGAAGCCGCTTTGGCATAATCGCCAGCGCCGTCGATATTAGCATCCTCTACTGCATAAACAGCCGCATCAGCGCCGGTATCTCCAGTTTCTTCGGAAGATGGTTGGTGCGCACGTTGTAACCGCCACCACATTCCATCCGTATCGAATTCAAATGACGTCCGGCACGTGGACTGCTGCCCAAAGACGGCGCCTGAGGCGTGGTCTACCCTGTTAATAGGTGAGGCTGACACCGGTGTGGGGTTGTGCTTGGGAGGTCATCCAAAGAGGGGCGGCGGGAGGATGCGAGGGGATCATAGGAGATACTGCACCATTGCCATGACCGATGAATATCGTTCGTCCAAGACATGTATCTTTTGATTCCACTTGGTCCGTCAAGCCCGGTCTCGTCGAGTCGTAAAGGACAAGATCAAGGTGGTGAGCGTCCACGGCACAGTTGAATGTATCAATTTAGATTGCCCGTCGTTCCAGTGCGGATATGTTACCAAACCCCGGGATTCGCACCCCGCTGTGGCAATCTCAATTGCAGAGGCCTCGGCCCTCATGGATCCCAACCGCGCCTGTCTGGCACCTTTTCCCGATCTACCTCCGGCTTTAGTGCTACCAGCGCCACTACCACCGCCAGTTAGTAAGCACTGGAGTCATCTTCAAGCTCTCGACATCCAAGGACGATGCCATGGGCGCTCCTAAAGTGAAATGGGGATTATGGTAAGATATGGAAAAGTTGTTTCAGTGCTCTTTATTCTAACATTTCAACTATAGGTTGTAAGAGAACATTTGCTGGTCAAATCTATTGCCTTCAAGGTTAGCTTTCCAATGGCCTTCAATGTATCAGTCAATAAACACACTTGCTCATCAACTGCATCCGGGGTTTCGTCTACGTATGCAGAAAATGCGCGTTTTCAAGGACATGTAATGACAAGGGCGTAATCCATGAGATGCACCTCAGAGCGAGATGCAACACTGCCGTCTCACTAAATTCATGCTCTTCAGTATGCTGCATATGTATACGATATTGAGAGCGGCACACATGGCTGAGAGTTAACAAATCTTGAGTCTGTGTTTGTTTGTTACCGGGTATTTTTAGTCGCCCTATTTTCCACCCCTCATCCTACGTACCATGCTACCGCCACATCGCTACTATCGGCACAGCATAAGAGGCGCGTAAGCCGCGGGTAGTCTGTTCAAGGGTGTGGGTGGATATGACACTGCAATTGAGGAAGCATTTTCTACACGCTGTAGAAGCTGCGTTCCTTGCCCTATTCATGAAGCCCTTCTCAAGAGAATGTTTTGCCATGGCGCAGGCTCGGAGCAATTTAAAGTTATAGAGCAGATTCCGAACATTAATGGACCATCTTCCGGTAAAGACCTACTTTTGGATGAGAAAGCGAGAGGATGATGATGAGCATCAAAAACCGGGGAATTGGAGTGAGAGTGAAAGTGCGAAATCCGGGTAAGAGGCGGCATCCCTCCTGACGACTTGAATATGCAGTTTTCATTCCTATTTCCTGGGAAACGATGGTAAGGTGGAACGTGAGGTGTGAGGCCAGACCGCCCTGACTTCTTTATGCAGAACTGTGCCTGGATTTTTTTTGCCGATTCTGTCCAGAAGCGGTTAAAAATAAACATTCATTTGGACTTGTTTGAGATTGGATGTTAGCCCGATGCGTAAGTTCTAATGTACTCCTGGACAACCTGTCCATCCTGTCCATTGCTCAGAACAGTTGTTGCCATCGAGAGGTTCTCCGAGCTGCTGCGACTTTACAGGAGATTACAAGGGGTCGTAGGGATTTGCAGGGGTGTGTCCCCCCAGCATATTTAAGCATGAGATCAGGTACCGCCAACGTGTTTTTTTCTTTTAACCTTCGTCTTCCTGTCCTCCTCAATCCCTTTCCCCTCCCCCCTAGTCACTTCCGTTGCAGCCACTTCCGTGTGCTGTCCCTTCCCTGCGTATCACCGCCTACGCATTAACAGCTTCCCGTCTCACTCCCTCCGTAACGATCTTCACTGCCTGGCATTGCCACCGTCAAACAGCAACAACAACAACAACAACAAAAAAACAGGCGCCCATCTGTGCAGTAAACAACCGCGACTTTGTCCAAAAATACATCCACCACCACCACGATCCCCTTCCCGCTTTACGCACCTCCTTCCCTTTAAATACCCCAGCTCTTCTTTCGAAATATCCTCCAGCCCGAATCATACACACCCTCCATTTCCACAGCTCATATAATCACTACGAAAAATGACAGCCGCTACATCTGAAAAAAGGCCAATGCAGACCAAGAACAAGGTCTTGATTGCCGCCGTGTCCCTCGTTATCGTTGCCGGTATCGCTATCGGCATCTACTTCGGCGTTCATAACAAAAACAGCAACAATAGTTCGAGCGACAACAAGTCCAACAATTCCACCTTGACGCCTACAACCTCCAGCGGCGCACCTACCCCCTCGCCTTCGGGCGGAGTGACCGTTCCTGGTCAGAATGGTACCATGATCAACGGAACTCTCTTCCCCTATTATACCTTGACCGGCACTGCCCCTGCGCCTGTTGGTGTTGCTGGCATGGTCTACACGACCTGCAAGACCCCTGGCACCTTTTCCATCTCATACGATGACGGTCCATCCGCTGTAAGTCCTCCTACAGTCCTTATGTTTCATATTGGTTGTGGTTTTTGATTTGTTACCAGGAACTGGCTCTTTATTTATTACCCGGGAAACAAGGCCAGAATCAGCACTATCGATTGAGCGAGAGCATTTTTTGCTCAAGAAAAGTTAATTGTCCACTCGCTCCTATTTTTATTACATTCGCTCCATTTGAAGACAGATTTCTGGCCTTCTACCTAAAACGAAAAGCTCTCAGCGGCATGCACTAATATTTTTCTTTCTCCTCGGAATACATATGTTACCGACAATCCTGTTAATCTTCGATCATAGTACACACACGAGCTCCTCGATATGCTCGACAAGGAGAATCTCAAGGTGACCTTCTTCGTCAACGGCAATAACGACGGTTGCATCTACGATCCTGCCATCCAATCAATCCTCAAGCGTGCCTTCCAATCTGGCCACCAGATCGCCTCTCACACCTGGTCTCATCCTCATCTAACGACCCTCAGCGAAGTCCAGATCAACACCGAGATGACCCGTCTCGAACAGGCCTTCCAGGACGTCCTCGGTGTTGTGCCCCGCTACATGCGCCCTCCCTTTGGTGACGGTACCTTCAGCCCAGGCAGCGCTGGCGATGTCAAGGTGCAGAAGGTGCTGAAGGATTTGGGCTATGCCATTACCACCTGGGATATTGCTACTACGGATGCCGACTTTGACGATAACAACACCCCACACAAGACGACCGATGAGCAGATGATGCAGACCGAGATGAAGCAGGTTACCTCGGTTGTGGACGCATCGCCCAAGGGTGCCACGCACATGCAGCTGATGCACGATACCTATATGCGTACTGTCCGTTTGATGACTCCGTGGTCCATCAACTACATTAAGAACCTGGGCTACAAGATCGTCCCTGTTGCCACTTGCTTAGGTGAAGAGGATCCTAGGAACTGGTACAAGTACATTGGTCCTGCTGCCGCCACCACCCCTACCACCTGCACCAAGTAGACATCAATCATACTACGTAGTCATTTATTTCTTACATACAGACATATATAAAATCATAAACTCATAAACTCATTACTATCATCGTATTCAGATTGTTGTGTGCTGCGTTCATCATCATCGAGCAATTATGCGTTAAATGCACGCCGACAGATTGGTCCGTCGCCTGCAGCTCGGGGATAGTCTTTTAAACACAAACACCCACGTCCTCGTTACACGTTCTTTTTTGTACCCACGATGGCGCACATCAAATTCTAATAATATCGGCTAAGCGCAGAACTGAGTCCTTCAACCGTGGCATTCATCTCTTCTTTTCGTTACAACCCGAACAGAGGCGATAAAATGCTTCATATTGTATCAATTCCTTATCTACCTCACTTTTGTCCTTTTCTCCAGTTGTGATCAGACCACAAGTAGTTTAAAAACAGGGCGTCGGGCCTTTAGTGGCGTTGCCCGCGGATATGGCCCTGAATAAGAACAGGAAGTTCTGTAAATGGAACGAGGCTACGCGAAGGACAGGAAGTTCTTTAAAGACCTTGTAAATGCTTCTCAGAAGCTGCTCAAGCTCGATGTTAGCTTTGATGAGAACGCAGAAGTCTACCAGTTCAGACTTAGCACTGTTTAGGTGAGAGAAGAAAATAAATACAGCCGTTGCCACGACGCGTCGTTGCCTTCTAAACGAAGTTGTAAACAAAAGCGATGTGCGACAGCGAATCTGCTTCAGGCCTTTCCGCGACCAATGGGGCACCCATGAAACATTAAATAGACTACCAACGTTTTTCTTTTCTCTTTTTTCTTTTTTTACAGCTCAGGAACAAAGACCCGAAGCGCCTTCTCTTTGAGCTTAGCATGGCAGTACGGGTGGCACAATCTGGACGTCTGCCGAGTTGGCAGATAGAAAGACGTTCTCCCACAGGATCGCTGTCTCTGAATATCTATTCTACGGAGAAGTCAAACTCCTTGGCATTATTATCCACCAACAACAAATAATAACGTGTCAAGTATAGAACACGCCGCGCTGATCTTTGTTATTTCCTTCCACAACATGTATTTCCTCCCATGCTCACTCGCGACAGGGTGACGACTTTCTGCTCTAACTCTCTAACTCTCCTGTCCGTCTCGATAATCATTAACATCCTTGCATCCTAATCATCCCAACCCCCTTTTACACAGACACATTCATCATGTCAGCTGCCGACGTGCCTGAAGGCCTCAAGACCATCGCTCCATACTTACAGCGTGCCGCGCAGCTGCAGGAGCGGGACCCAGTGGTTTCTTACTATGGTACTTGCCTTGAGCACGCGTTCGTGGACTGATTGACTGGTGCTCATATGCCATTCGTCGAGCGCATCTCCAGAGCTTCTAACGGAATAGCTCTTCTCTCAATATATTATCCGCTTCTTGTAGCTAACTATTACGCTGCCAAGCTCGCTATTCCAAAAGCAGGCCAGGACAACAGCAACAGGGTGTTCGTTGTGAAGCTTTTGGATACACTTGAGAAGGTTAGCGGAAACAACAACGCTGTTTTTATGTCCATCGGCAATATGAGTTCGACTGAACAGCGTTTTGTTTGTGCGTGGAAAGCAAAGCAGGGTCCAATCCATTGACTATTTAAGCGATAATCACTTCTTTCATCATAGCAACGGAAGGATATCGGCGATAACGAGGCCATCTCAAATGATCTGGTTGGATACGCCCACATTGAAAATTTTGCATTAAAGATTTTCAGCAAGGCTGACGATGAAGACCGCGCTGGTCAGGGATCGCAGTAAGTTTTTTTGCAGGATGTCATGGTATAGCTACTAGAGACCGATCGTAATCGCGATTAGGCTGACGCACTGTTTCCTGACCTCCACATTTAATAGGAAAACAGCCAAGAACTTTGTGGCAGCGGCCAACTTCTTGGAGCTTCTCAAAGTCTTTGGCGACATTGATGCCGAAGTTGAGGAAAAGATCAAGTATTCAAAATGGAGGGCTGCGGAGATTGTCAAGGCCATTAGGGACGGTCGCCAACCCACTCCTCCTCCAGGGGCCAACAAGCCTCAGGAACCAACCCTGACATCTGCAGATGTAGCTCAAGCAGGATTAGATTCATTGGATAACGAGGCTGCTGCAACGGGAGTGGACAGTAATATTAGCAGCGGGACATTTTCGCCCGCCCATATTGCTCACTCGAACCCCTCCGTCACCCCTCAACCGACCGTCAGCAGTGGACCAGGCTTTCCAACGATCTCCAACTTTCCTTCACCACCTCTCGGACCATCGAGCACGAATGGTAACTCATTTAATGACTCGATTAGCAACAGTTGGAGTCAGCCTGCTGTCAGTCCCAGCTTGAATCAAGGCCAGAACTTCCAGAGCCCAGCAGGCGCACCTATTATCCCCGTTCAGCCTCCTTCGACATATATCCCACCTGCCGTCTCGTCACAGAAACCCAATTCAGGTTACGCACCAACCCCATTGAATCCCGCCTCCCCTGGACCTAACGCACAGTACGGATATGGCGCCAGTAATATCAACAACAATATTCCTTATCAGCACTCTGTGGAACCATCGCCGGCTCCTGCACCTGCCCCTACACCTATGCAGACACCTTATCCACAAGCTGGATTCAGCTCACCTTCTGCCCCATATCAGCAGCCTCAACAGACGCCATCACCGCAGTCGTACGCCCCTGTGCCCATGGTTCTGGACCCAACAGTTAGCGCACAGGTGCAGAAGCACTGCAAGTGGACCGTGTCTGCATTGACATACGATGACGTCCCAACTGCCATCGACAATCTTGAAAAAGCGTTGGCACTCCTCAGAGTACGTTTTCCCCACCTCTGTTTCATTCCGATGTGTATTATGATGACCAGAATGGCAGCTGTAACTAACGTATCTATCTCTTATGGCGCGTTCACGATAGCCCTACCATAACAAACAATAAAATGCCAGATGACTATATGTCACTCGTACCAAGTTCAATGTTCCGTTCGCCAATGAGGTCCCTTCGTCTCGGGGCGGTTTCAAAGGCTCTTGTTTATTATACTCAGAGCGATCCTCTTTCGGAGACTGGGCATGTCGTTTTGCGAAAAAGCCAGATCATCCACACCACGACTCTTGAACTCTATGAATGTGCATGTAAAGACTCCACAATCGAAACCGTTTTTTTGTCGAGGAATGTCCTTGGGGCACTTGTTCTCCCATCCGCTATCATCAAACGGCTTCTTCAGTTTGTCCTGTGATTCTTGTTCCAAATAATTACGCAAAATCTATTGGGACATGCAACGCAATATAAATCAACCTTACTTCCTTAGTGGACGTCTCATGGTCAGGTTAAAAAAAAAATACAGGGGAAATTGTTACCAGGAAGCACTTAGGATTGTTTCCGAGAAGTGAGTCGTAGTACTCTATTGTCTTGTTCTTCATGTCAATTACCACCGTCGTCCAATGATTGCCCGAGTGGTGAATGGGGAGTAGCACATAGTCCATTTCAAAGATCTTGACCTGAGAAACAATATTTGAAGAAGAAACCATGGTTTAGTTCATATGCCCACGCATTACACACTCCATTCTACTTCCAGGTTTCGCCGACTAACCTTCTTTGTCCACCGCCTGACCTTTTCGTATCCATTCTCGCTCAATGTCTTGTAAAAGAATGTGCTGAAGACATGGACCTTGGGCAGCGTTGTTGACTCTTTACTCCTTGCCATGATCAGGTTTCCGTAAAAGTTGATGACTTCGTCGTTCAGCCATTCTCCAGGCCGAAGGGTATGAATGTCTTTTTTCAACAGAGAAACATTGAACCCTTCCGCCACCACGCCATATCCATCTGCCAGTGCGTCTTCGATCTATTGTTGTTCCAGTTGAGTTTTCATTGTAGTCCATAATGGGTTTAATATGTTAAACAGTGCATGTTTGCAGGATGAGATGAAAAAAAGGCAGGAGCACGTACCTTTTCTTCATCCTGCTGGGTGATCGGTTTGAACGGAGGTTGCGATGACTTCTTTCGCGCGGCCAACTATTTTACAGAAATGTTAATGCAACAAATTATTAGCAATGGATGCAAACACTCGTTCAGTCGCAAGAAAACATCTGGCTCCTATATTACCTCCTTCTCAATGAGCTCATGCTTGTTCACTATTGCCTGATAATTCTGTGGCTTCGGTTGCTGCTCGATGCTGGAGTTAAGAAGGAAATGCAATGCAGTTGTTAATATCCAAAAACTCGTCGCATCCAGCTTCATATCCATGAAATGTCAAAAAATCTACCTTGGCAGATTCCTGTTGATTAGGTTCCTGACGTTCCTGAGCCATGTTGGTTCCTTATCTCCTTGGTACTATTCGCACAACCAAAATAAAATATCAGAAAAAAGTTATCAGTATCGTAGTTTCGTGAACGATGAAAAAGGTCGTCATCTGTTCCTGAATGATCATGGGGTCTGCCGCGTTTAGATACCTTTGTCCGCAGCCAGGCAGCCTGCCGTGGCACTATGTTCCGCTCAAAATCCCAATCTTCCTTATCGCTCGATTGGTTATACGCTCTAATCCTGCGCTGTTCAGCCACTTGTTCCTCAATGGATGGAGTTGAGCTCTTTCTGGAGCCTGCATAGCTCTCTCTATCTGATCTCAGGGCACCAATTGTCGCATCCAGTGCAGCTTTGAGGCGATCTACATGGGTAATATTCAATTTATGGTTAGCACAACCAGTTCCATCCTAAGATCAGATCGAGTTTACAATCTGCAGCCGATTCTTACTTTGTTCAGGCTTAAGATGGCTCTGACTGTGGCGCTCAAAGAGACGTTGACGCGCGATGGATTCATCCTTGTTATACTATTGAGAAATGGTTCATACGCATCGTTGGAAATAATCAGTACATGCACGTGCTGCCAATTTCCAATCAATCCCACAGCGCATTTTGTTACCTTGCTTTGGAGCAATGAAGTCGTCCGCTGGGCTTTGCTTGCATAGATCCGTGGCCGAGCCCGCAAAAGTGAGCTCTGCTCATATCTGTTATGAAAAAGTCCTCCGAGCCGCGACGACGACTGCGAGTGCTGAGTTCGATACGCCAATGGTTGGTAAGTTGATTCATCCGAGGGCGAGGGTGTCCTGTATGACTGCGAGGGACGACCATAAGCTGAAGGTGGCGACCGTGATCGTGTTGGGGGCCGTTCCCGAAAATCCGGTATCGTAAACGCAGGTATTTTTGTGTATGGCCCCAACTGATAAGGCTTGCCCTCCTCTACCAAGGCATCGGGCCCATTTCTGGGGAAATATGGCGTAGGCGCAGCGCCGAGACGGCCTTGCGTGAGCTGTTCCTGATCCGCGTCGTACTTCAGGAGGACGCCTCTGACATAGTAGCCGTCCTTTGGATCAGAGAGTCCAGGATACGCCCCCACCCAGTCCCGTTTCTTTCGCTGTTGTTCAATGGCTATTGGTTGCAGGTTCAAGAAGAAAAAAAAAAAAGAAAAAAAAGAAAAAAGGAAAAGAAAAACCGAAGTGTGAAAGGTTTATCAGTCACTTCGTACAGATTCAACGAAGTTAAGTATTATGGTAAAACGAGTCAAGTGTTGGGACGCACCAAGAACATCCAAAGGTTTCAACTTGAGATACGAGCTCAGACCATCAAGCCCCTCAGTGAACCAGAGTTTGGCTCTTTTGGAGAAGTCGGACGTGTCGACCATAGATTTGCGTTTTGAGGTCGCCATGGTTTTGGTGTTACCGGAGAACGCGTAAGTCCGCTTTGGCGTGTTGTAAAGAGAAGTGGATGATGATGAACCGCGATTGCAATTGTCTTAGGTGTGGTTGTCGAATGCGTGCCCTTTAGTCGTATTATCGTAATGAAAAGCGGAAAGGGTGAAGAGAGTCAATGGGAAAGACAGACAGGCGGGCAGGGGTGGATGGGCGTGAGTTTAAGGGAAGGCCGCGTCGAAGGGAAGTGAAGAGCATTTTGAATAGGGGAATCCTTCCTGGTCGCACAGAAACAAAACTTGTTTGGGTTTGTGGCTTTGTGCTTCTCAACCTAGCACAGCTTATTTCTGCACTCTTGGACGGTCCTTCAACCCTCTCGATCCTTCTTTCGCGCGACCCCTCGATTCCTTATTCTCCCCTCGACTCAACATAACACCGATACCATGGAAGCCCAAATTGAAGAGGTGTGACAGCCAGTGGATTTATCAGGAGACTCCTTGTAGCCTTTTCCTCAGCAGCAGCGGTCAGCAACTAACGGCTTTTTATTTATATCTGTGCGTGCTTCGCCCACTTAAATATAATCGACCAAACCAGCTCTTGCCCTTTCTGCACGACGGCAGAATGGAGGTACGACGAGAATACCTGACTTTGCAAGGGACTATTGATGCGTTGTACTCTATCTGCGCAGTTATGGGCTCTATCGAGTATTGAGTAGAGCGCGCTGACTCTTTGAGCTCTCTGAACAATCATATAGGTCCGTCAGATTGCCATCCACAACATCGTCTCCTTTACTCCGAGCAATTCAGAGTTTTTTCACGTCTTTCTGAAGCACGCCAAGCCTCTCTGCAAGGATCTGAAGGCATTGGTCAAGGAGGACACGGTACAAGACAAGACAACGAAAACTATTCATCTGGCAGATCCTGGCGCAGTAGGACATTGCTGATTAAAACTGTAAATATTATTTTCTTGTTATAGGCCATTGCCCATGACGCTCTTCGCTCGCTTATCAATCTTTCAGGAGAGACTGTCATCTGCGCAGAGTTGGACGACGAAGACTTTATCAAGCACCTCATCTTCAACGTTATCGTCGTACGTGGATGGCATTGGGAGGAATTTTTAAATTTGTAGGAGGCGGTGTGGTCACCAGAATTCTAAACTATGAGTTTTTTCCCTTCACACTTTCTAGTCCAAGACCAATATCTTGGCAGATTTGGGATGCATGTTGCTCTCCAACATGTGCAAGAACGACAATGTTTCAGGCAAGGTCCTGAACTTGAGCGGGAAGCCAGTCGAGGGATTGACGACAGCAACCAGCGCTGTCGGACAGCTGGCAGATATTTTTTTGAAGGGCACGGACAAAGGATACAATCCTCAGTGCAACTTCGACTTTTTGGCGAGCGTTTTTGCAACATTGGCCACTGTAAGTTTTTGCTGCGAACAAAAAAAAAAAAAAAAAAAAAAAAAAAAAAGCGACATTGCCTGCGGCACCTTAAAGAAAACGATCGAAAATCTTACAGAATGGTACAATGTTATTCGTTTTGTGTTTCGACAACTGGACCATAGTTCCCTAAAGGCCGTACGCTCCTTTTTGCAAAGGACGACAACGCGTTGTCTCCCCTTTCAAAGATCGTGTGCTTCACTGAGCATCCCAGCGTGATCCGTCGAGGAGGTGTTATCACAACGATCAAGTAAGGCATATCGATATTAAGCGACATGAGAAGCGCATGGTTTACAATCAAACAGAGCACTGACGTGGATGAATATCTTTGTGCTGTTCGCCACAATAGGAACGCAAGTTTCGCAGTCGAGAACCACCCAGCATTGTTGGATGAGGACGATATCAATGTCCTGCCTTATATTTTGCTCCCTCTCTGCGGCCCCGAGGAGTTTGATCTTGAAGTATGTGTGAAGCTCATCGATTGTTCTTTTTAAAAAATGGTTTCAACGAAGGACCCAGTTTATTAACGATCCGTATCACTGTTTTATGACGGTATTCATATAGGACATGGAGGGAATGCCAGAGGACATCCAGCTCTTGCCTCCAACAAAAACGCGTGAGGCCGATGCCCATCTGCGGGAAACCTTGCTGGAGGGCTTGATCATATTGACATCCACACGCCAGGGACGTGACTATCTCCGCGAAAAGAAGACATATCCTGTGATTCAGAAGATGCACCTGGCAGAGACGGAAGATCATGTGCAGGAGGTTGCGGAGCAAATTGTCAATATGCTGATGAGAGACGAGGTCCCAGAGATCACGGAGATTGAGGAGGTCAAGCCCGAAGGAGATGATGAAGACGCTATTACGGAAGTGTAGACATTATAAATGGTTTATTTAAATAATTGTTTAAGACAGCCCAAGATACGCAATGTGCATATTTGGACAACAGACCCACAAAGCATCAAAACATGAGATTAAAGCTTGCCCTTGTCCTTGACTGCTCCCACAGATCGTCCGTCAATATTTCTTCAATCATTTGGCTCACAGGAAGCCATGGTCAACAACAAAGATAAAAAAAAAAAAAAAAAAAGGTAGATAACTCGCTCACTGAAGATGCAACTGGGACCGATTCCCTGTTACCAACTTCTTCAACGCGTACCGAATATAATCTCCGTTTAACGATCCCAAAGTCGTCTTGACTGCTCCCATGTGACTATGAGAGTCTTCTATTGACCATGGGTGCGCCTACGATTACAAGACTTGGAAATTTCGGGCGTTTACTTGTCCAACTAGTGAGCATCTTCAATAGATTCATGAGGGAACGAATGAGATGTATGATTGAAGAATGAGAGTTCCTCCTCAAGGTTCTGAAAATCGGGAGGGTAACTATAATTATTTCTGCCTACAGAGCTACGGCCGGGACAGTGGCAATAGGGATAAGGATGATGTTCTGTTGAATAGCGACGAGAAGGAAAGGAGATCGATATCGAGTGCTTGGCCGATGGTGACGAGAATCGGATCAAACCTACCCGTCGTGTCGCCCTACGGGCGATATATTGTGAGTTCTACACTAAACTGAGTCAGTCAGCTGCGCCAGTTGAAGACACTCGACATGTCCAATGCATACTGCCGCATTCGAGCCCAGGATGCTCTTGCATTAACGCTTCCTGATCTCCAACAGAATATTTATTCGTTACCGTTTCGGTGACACGAGTGGAATTTATTTCGGATACGGGCATGGCTTCACATGTATTGTAGATGAAGCTAAAAGATAGAGGGTTCTAGTCAGCAAATACAAGTATGCAACCAGAGAAGGACCTACACTGGGTGGAGAAGCTCAGCCTGGGTGGTGTTTAAGATGTACGACTCAAGAGTTCGATTCCGACTAGTGTGAACCGTCACTTTCAAGGCAAGTTGAGCCCCATGATCGCAACAGTGAGATCTTGGCGCTTCATCACCAACCACTCCTTTATTCCGCCCAACCTAACTATGCCTAAGAACAAAAATAAGGCAAGAGAGCCACCCGGAACGCGTGCCGCAATCAACACCACTCAATCATCAACTTCAGTGACGCGCATCACCTCCCCTGTCGATTTACCCGAGATCCTTTCCCAGGTTGCAAAGCACCTCAGCCCTGCGACGCTCTCGCGCGCCTGTCAAGTATCGCGTCTTTTTCACTCTGTCTGCGCACCACAACTTTGGAATACCGTCTACTTGCAAGGGGAAACCGTCAATGATATCTGGAAAAAACACAAGGGCTTTCGCCTAGGTCTCATTCGATATGGCCGCTTTGTCGAAAATCTCCTGCTTCAGTTGGCAGAGCTCCAGGACGGGGATATGGAATTGATTGCAGAGAACTGCACGAGATTGAAGTACCTAGACCTGTCGCGCACCAACGTCACCGCTGAGACACTCAAGGTCTTGATCCATAGCGATCCCTATAACACAGCTCCCGGATCCTCCAAAAAGCGCAAGAGATTGACGATGGGTGGCTCGGATGACGACGACGAGGAGGACGATGCCGATAAAAAGATGGCCAAGTATAGGAGTATGACAGAGACCGAGACTGAGCATGAGGGCGACTATCTTTATGAGAGTGTCGGCGTTGCACCCTCCACATCAACGGAATCCGAGCAGGAACAACAGCGGCAACATCAACCCACCGGACCAGTTCTGCCAAATGCAGTTGCCACACCATCATCCAAAAGATATCCAACCCGTTCCAGTTCTGGACGTGCACCTCCCCCCATTGCACGAGCTGTGATCCCGCTCCACCGTCGAGCCGGTACTGCCAGACCTGCAAAGTTCAAGGGCACCAAAACGCAATTTCCCTTCCATCTCGAACAATTGAGGCTTAATCGCTGCAACAAAATGACCGGCAAGTCATGTCTCCCAGTCATCTCACGGCTTGGACCCCAGCTGAAAGTGTTGCATCTGGACCACATGAGCGACCTCACCAGCCAAGACTTGATCGAAACAATGAAACACTGTCCATATCTGGAGAGCATTCATATGAACGGCACGGATGTAACGGACAAGTTCTTGACCGCCTTGAGTTCCTGGAGCGAATCAAACGAACAGCGATCAAGAAGGCAAATTGCGAGTCTAGATGTCAGCATGACTAACATCACGAACGAGGGTATTGTTCCCTTGATCTGGGACAGCAAGGACAAGATGAGCATACTGGCCTGTCAGCACAACAATCACGTCAATAACGTCATGCTCTATGCGTTTGTTGAGGATCCTGCCGAACCCAGGGCTCGCCTCGAGCGTGAACAGGCAAAAGAAACACCCAGGACTTTCACGACTGTGCTGGGCTCATTTAAGAGGACCTTCATTCCAAACAGCGTCTTGACGGTGATTCAGCTCTCTTACTGCGACAGGTTGACGGACGACGGCTTTGAGGCTTTGTTTCGCTACGCCACAGAGCTGCAACACATCGAGCTGGATGGCTGCAACCTTCATGACAGATCTTTGCTGGTACTGGCGGAAACCTATCGAAAGAGGATGGAGAGGCTGGGATTGGGTGTGCCTGATGCTTGGCACGAACATGAGCTTGGACAGAGACGCGTCGAGGCCGTGAAGAGGTTATCCAACAAGGAGCAAGTCAAGATCAAGGCAGATATTATTAATGGGTTGCCGGAAGACTATTTTAAGGATCTCGACAGTACATTGCTGCCGGCTCCGGAGGCCAAAGTTTTCTCGGGTCAAGTGGTCCCAGGCGGACTCGCTGCTCTGTCGCTCAAGCACTGCCGCAATATCACTACAGTGGGTGTGAGGGCCATTGTCCGGTGCTGCGTCGGTCTGTGGGGACTGAACTTAAGCGGCTGTGGCAAAGTGAGACTGCAGCTCTTCAATGGTCCATGGGCATGTTTGGGGCTGCAAGACTTGAACGTCTCGGGCGTGTGCCTTCATGCCTTCGACGGGGTCTCCGATGCCGCTAACGAGGAGTCGAACCTATCGCACGAGAGAAGCAGCTCGTCTCTTGAAGCTTTCGCAGACTTCATACGGTTTCCCCCAAAGCCTCTAGACCACGACGACTACAAGTTGAGGTACGACTTTGATGAGGAGGGGTACTACGACTTTATCACTCCGCGCGATGAGGAGGGGAGTTATAAGGGCAAAGAAAAAATTGAGATTGAGTGCGAAACCGATGATGAAGAGAGGAAGGACCTGAAAAAGAACGGCACCAAGAAAACTCATCGCGTAACTCTCCCAGCTCAGAAGCATCGCAACAAATACCTCGACAGGGTCATCCTCCGAGAACTCTTCGTCAAATTAGGCCAGATGCGTCAGTTGAAGGGTCTCGACATGTCCAACGCCGACTATCGCATTCGTGTTCAGGACGGTCTTGCGTTGGTATTGCCTGGTCTTCAACAGAGTCTTGAAATCTGGAACATGTCTCGCTATTTGGGCTACAACCTCCACAGCCGCGAGATGAAGTTTTTCGGCAAGCACTTTGGTTACGGACATGACTTCACACAAGATCAGAAGGAACTTAAGCGGCAGCAGGCGAGGGCGCGCGAATACCAGGGTGCAGCCGCAGGTAACGACTTGAACCGCGTGGGCAAGCTGGAGTCGCTGATGATTTCCAAGCATGCGCTCGATGGGGGGAGCTCGGTTGTCTACGAATGGTTTATCGACCAGGGGATTGAACTCGACTATGATGACGATATGGACTTCATGTGGATGAGCGGTACCTATGGCGGAGTCCAGGATTTTGACTTTGGTTTTGAATCTGACTGAATGCAACAAAGCAGTGTCTGGAGTTCGTAGTGATCACACATAATAGTAGCCCGCTCACTTTATCTCCTTGTTGAGCATCAAGTCTGCACATTCCAATAAGAAATTAAATAGTTTCCAAGGACCAATACTCTATCACCGGAGACTAAGGAGCGCGACGTGTAGAATATTATTGGTATCCGGATGAGACCGAAGGACCCATTCATATCGGATTTAAAAAAATCGGTCCATGAACCGAGCCTTGAGAAAACGCAAGGACTGCATTGCTAATGTTTGAACTGAATACGATATTTACGATATTCCTTCAAGTAGAAGCCGCAGATCTATCCATCGCTATGCAAGATGATACAGTATGCGCCTCGGCATTTTACATATCCAGTCCAAAGACTCCTCCACGCGTGTATTTCTTAACATTTCAAGTGCAAGAACGCGTTCAGGGCTGCACGCGATCTGAATCCAATAAAGTTTTGGGCGAGGGTCCTCCCTTCTCCTCTGCCTTCCCTACCCACCATGACCAAAACATCACGTATTGCTTGCGATGGAGCCATGGCTGGCAAAGAAGGCAAGACTACCGACCCACCTAAGACGTGTGCGCTGACCCTCACAACTCGGGCCATTTCCTCACCCAGATCTCCCTGAAATTCTCACGTAGGTCGTACGGTATTTTAGCCCTGCCATGCTATCCCGCGCTCGTCGAGTCCCATAGCCTCTTCTGCTCCACCTGTATGCCTCACGCTTGAGAAACCATCATCTTCGAGTCAATAGCGATCAATAGAGTCTGGAAGGATCACCGGGGGTCCCGCATGGATCTGGTCCAATGTAGCTGTTTCATCGAACAGCTGGGCTTCTAGGATAGGCGGGTCAACAGCGAGAATATCTTCCTCCTCTCACAGCTTAGTCATCAATTCCCCCTGGTATGTGAGGACAACCCCGACTTCAGTGAAGGGGTGCTCTATGAGGTCCTCGCAGACAATGTTAACGGCCGATTTCTTCACTCTATAAGGGCCGCGTTATCCGGTAACCTGATGTTAAATCCCAGCAATGATTTGACGGATATCAGCTTCTAATCCTGTACATAGTTGATTGACGGGGACTTCCAAGATTTATTCTGCCACGCCATGGAACTGCAGCATATTCAGCTCGATTGTTGCCACTTTAAAAACAGTTCCTTACTCGCATTAGCGGGAGCTTATCATAAGAAGATGGAGAAACTGGGGGTTGGGTGTGCCTGCCGCGTGGCATGAGCACGATCTCAGACAGAGACGCGGTAAGGCTATGTGTCCATTGCGCTTGTTGCGTCTGTTGTGTATATTGCCACTTCGGGAGCAGCATCGCCTAGTGGACAGGATCCCAGATAATTATTTCGACAAACTCGACAGCATTTTGCGGCCGCTGCCAGAGACCAAACTCTTTATGAACTTCATCTAGTGATATATACCGATTTCTTCCTTCAGAGGGTTTTTATTTCGCCCCGACGTCCCTTTATCGTGTCTAAATCACATTATTATTCCTTATCCCCAAGAATGCACTGGCTCGATTGCTGGTCTAGCAAGTAACGGCTGGCGACCTCTTTAACATCAGCGCTTGTTACCTTCAACAGCTGCTCGCGGCGTCTATGAAGATGAGTATCAAATTACAGCAAAAAAAAAAAAAAAAAAAATCAGTCGCCATTCGACAAGAAAGTATTTCAAAGCCGTCTCAATTTTTCAATTGTCTACTCACGTCTGCCGCATCTCGTCCGTGATACCCTCAGTGAACACAACCATTCCCTCTTCAGCCGCACTGACAGGAGCATCCATGCGCTGGAAGATCGACAACTTGGCCTCGGCCAATTCCTGATCCGTAAAATCCTTACGATCCAACACCCAGCGCACCGAATCCTGATATGTCGCCAGTGTCTTTTTAGGGCTAGGGTCGCGGTATGAGTAAAAGGAAAAGAGCCCGCCTGTTGAGGAGTATCCTGCTCCACCACTATAGGCACCGTTCTTCTCACGAATCTCGCGGTGTAAGTACAGATTTGACATGAGTGAAGCCAAAATCTGCAACTTGGCTCCGTCTTCGTGCGTGTATGGTACTCCACGTAGACATTTGGCGGTAAAGTTGATGCCATAGGGCAGCTCAAAGAACGAATTTTCGTACGATGGGGTGAACCCGGGCTAATTTGTCGAAGAGAACAGAGGAAGACATCCCATCAGCGTTAGCAAGATTCATCCCTTCATAGTAGCACATCTTGGTACACGTGCAAAAGAATTTTACCTGAGCAACAGAATCAACAGGTCTGGCATCAAGGCGCGAGATAAACTGGCTAACCACTTTCTCGTTACGTGACATCTGGTCTTCGCCACAGGTGAGAGCAAGTCTCAAAGTGGACCGTTTGATGGCAAGCTCTGCAATTTCCTTTAGACGCTGCGATACCTCGGAGAGATCCTCCTTTTGAGAGAGAACGTTCATGAACTGGACCTGGGTCATGCCGCCATACAACTCGGATGCATGCTATACAATTCAGTTTCATCGATATACATCACAAAGGCCACAAGGACGAAACGTCAGCTATCTGTCTTGCCTGTAGTGAAAATAATTTGGCCCGCAGCCTTGTAAACATCTTTTTAGGACTTACCCCAGCAGGGGTCAAACGTGAGCCGGCGTTTGTTCTGGCGAAAGCGTGCCCAGATTCAGCGACTGAGTTCGACAGACCAGATGCATTCTAATAAAGCAAATAAACCGTGAAAAGTTAGTGAATGCATAGCCATACATCTTTACACGTAAGGAAATAGCTGTGCTAAACCCATATCAAGCAAATTAGAGGCATCGACTTACTCCTTGAATAAGAGTGCGCAGCTTGTCAATGTTATCAAAGTTAGTCTCACGAATGAGAGATCCTAGGAGATCGTACATGTGGTCTTGGTTTCTGTCCAAGCAGTATGAGCTGAACGAGACCCCCTCCTCTGTGCTGTCGATGGCTATAATCGATAAACACAATGGCACATAGCCCGTTAACAACAGCAGGATGCACTATCAGAGACATTAAATGCCGTTCATAAACGCCATGACGTACCGGAGTGGTTGGTGGAGAGGAAAGGCGCGACACGGATACCACCAGTATATAACCTGACCTCGTCGTCAATCTCGCTCATAGCACGGCTGTGTGTTCCCAGCGACGTCAAGGACTATGAGACCCGATGAAGAAAATAGCAAAATATTCTCAATAAGTGTGTCCAATAATCCAAAGATTCAGAAGGAAACAAGCTCCGAGGCTGACTAAACTTACGTCGGTGAACAGGGGCAGATACTGCTTCAGCTCAGGCGTCAGCCCTGGGATGACACTGATTCCGCGGAAGTACGTGATGCCGTTGGTTGAAGTAGGACGCCACTGCACAGGAACGCTGCTGACAGCGCTATGCTCCAACGAAAACGTCTTTGTTTTCTTTGAAATATCATCCACCTTCAATGTAGGAAGGCATGAAACATCTTCGACTTGTTCCTGATTCTTGAGTAGCGCCTGTCCCTGTTGATAAATGGCCTCCTTGTCAGCCTTTGTCAACACGCTCGTTTTGCCCATGAGACGTGTCGTCTCGTTGGCCGCTACTTCAGTGCCATAATCTGGGCTGGGGGTCATCGAGAACACCAGTTTGTGAGGGTTGTTCAAAAGGTATTTGGAGATGAGGTTCTGGAAGAATGGTCCTGAAGCAATCTCGGATTTCAGGCGGTCAATGTTCTATCATTAAAAAAAATACTATATTAGCCTCTTACGTCTGAAGTAACACGAGTTTATCATTAGCTGACTCTGGAAAATGTTGCCTACCTTGTTGAGTTCTAACAGGTCCACTGGATTGCAGCCATTGAACCACCCTGAGGACAGTCCTTGCATAAGACTCATCCCAAAGAACGATGTTTTCTATAGACATCAAGATGCACGCAATGAGAGCCTAGACCCTGTACCATTCTGAGCTCTCTTAAAACAGACTCTCAGAAGTAAATGCTTACATGTTTTTGTCCGAGCTCCATCTGGTGAACAATTGCCTCGATGCGCTTAGGATCAACACCTTCTTCCTTAACTTTGTGAAGGACCTGCATGATCGTCTCCTCGACTTTTTGAGCGTCCTCCATCATCATTCCTTGAACACCAAACGAAAGAGAGCTGACCATAGTCGATGAATCGTAACCAGTGTTGGCAGAGTACTCAGATCCCAAGCTGGACTCGATTAGCGCCTTGTACATGGGAGAAGCGTGTCCGTCTGTGAGCAGATCCGAAAGAATCCTCAGCCCGAAGCCTTCAAATGTATCGGTAGCCTTGTTTGTAAGAAAAGAAACTGACAGCTTAATCTGCTTCTCCGGTGAAGCCATTGGATCCACAGGGCAGGTCAGATTGACGCGGAGAGGACTCTCGAACGGCTTCACGATCTTTTCAGCGAGCGGGGGAGTGATAGGCGAAAACTCCTGCAGTTTAGTGTTGATAAACTCAAGCGAGTCCTCCAAAGGGAAGTTTCCGTAGGTGTAGAATTTGGCGTTACTGGGATGATAATGTGTTTTATGGAAGTGGACGAGCTCCTCATGGGTGAGATCAGTGATGTTCGCAGGATCTCCTCCACTGTTGAAGGCGTATGTCGTTCCTGGAAACATGTATTGTTGCATTTTTGACCAGAAAAGATACCCTGCGTCCGCCATCTGACCCTTCATTTCATTATAGACAATTCCCTTAAAGACAATAGGAGAGTCCTTGTCTATCCATAGAAGTGTAACGCGGAGTCGTCAGCACTGGTATTGTTTATCACTGCAGCAATCATCTGCAACACAACGGCGCAAGGTATGTCCTTACCATTTGGGTTCTCGTGCTCCAGCCTCCAACCTTCCTGTTTAAAGTCCAGCTCCCTGAGATGTGGAAAGAATGCGGCATCCATGTAAACATTCCTCAAGTTTTTGTAATCCACAGGATTGGTAGTCGAGAATGGGTACAACGTGTAATCACTTGCTATGATGTGTATAAAATCATTATAAATGTTAGTCATCGAGGACAATAATAAATTATTGCACCGCCACCAGCTTCTCATACAGCTTACCAGTGTAAGCATTCATAAATGTCGCCATGCTTCGGTTCAGCATTTTGAAAAACGGGTCCCTAACAGGATAAGATCGACTTCCGCAGAGGGTCGTGTGCTCCAGAATGTGAGGGACGCCTGCACTGTTGTCGGGAGGTGTGGCGAATCCGACACCAAAGACATTATTCGAGTCGTCGCGCGCAATGTGGAGATGCTCAGCCCCAGTCTTTTCGTGCTTCAGGCGAATAGCGTCTAGCTCCAGTTCCTTGACATGGCGTGTCTATCAAGCATGGAAGGCAAAATTAACTTGTATCCCTCAATATCCAGCTTGCCGATTCGAACGAGAGGAGTTGCAGTGGTTGTACCTCGAGAACTGTGTATCCATGAATCGATTTTCCTGGCTTCCATGACTCTAATTTAGCAAAACACGAGGCGCCGCGGTCAAAGGTAAGTGCCATGGTACTGCGTAGTCGTTTCCAGGTTGGTCACTGGCTTTATCATTTTACCTGTGGTTGCAGCAGTGGCAAGGCAGGCCCTCTGTGAGCGTCTGAATGAATGCGAAGCGTGCGCAAAGGAGTTTCTGAGGGCGGCGACCCTTGCAGCGGCAAGCATGGCGAGATGCAATGAGAAGTCGAGAGTGGGAAGGGTAAGGAAGTGCAGGTTGGTCGGCCGTTGGAGAACAGAAGAAACAACACTGCTGCAGTAGCCCGTCACACTGCACATATTTCTCGAAAAGGAAACTCTGCCTTGGCAGACTTTCTTAGCACTGCTTAGGCTAGGCAGACCAACACGAAAAGAACGACGAAACGATGAACATCCTACAGCACAAGAGGTACCCATGTCAACGACATCGCAATCCGTATGCATTCGCGTTGAAGGAGGACCGGAGAAGCGCTGGTTAACAGTAGTCCCATTGTATTTTACGTTCCGTAGCTGGCATGTCTACAGCCAGAAGAACCAGGACAAAGTCAGGAAGGACGAAGCCAAGGCAGAGGCGGGGGAAAAGCAGATTCAGGAGCGCGCTCTCGCAGCTGTAAGCGAACTTTGGTTCGACTGCGTAGATGAGATGCGATGGATAAGGACATAACCCTGACATCGACTATTATATCCATGAAATGACTGCAGGATAGGGAACATCGCCTGGCGATATTACGACAACGAGCGCAGCATCGAACCGTAGATAGTCTTGGTGCCGAACCACCAGACAATAATCATGCGGTGTCTACAATAGGACCACCAACTTCAAATGATACCAAAGCCCTGACAATCACGAAGCAACAGGTCAATTTTTGGCCAGACCTGGAGCACGAGGTATGCTGGAAAGAACACGTTGCAATGACAGCGATATGGTGTTCATTGAAACATAAGGCCGTTACATTCTCAAGCTTCTTTTTTTTTTATTGCCAATTTTCAGGGCGCTAAGAATGGACATGGGAACCCAGAGTATGAGGCAGAGGTCAAAGTAAAACAGGAGAAATGGAACCGCACGATAGCAATTCATTTGGACACAGGAATTAGCAAGGGTAAGCAGTTAGCATCATCATCTATTTGCTCCTACGCACTTCCTACCCGCGAAAGAACGTTTATGCTCAATTGCTGCCATGTTGTATTGGTAGAAAAAACTCCTTGGTACGCCAGAAACCATGCAGTCTCCATGAGTACGAGCCGCAGAAAGTAAGCAGATAGTTTTCCATCGGACTAAACTGCTGCTGTGGAATTGAGCTCTAAGATTCAAGTGCTTTCACTATGATAGGGAGGATAACCAGGAGTTTTCAAAAATTCGCGAGGACCCGATGAATGTAGTTAAAAGCATGCTAGATAAACGGGACAAGAATCGCAGGGATAGAAGCAGGTCTGCGTCACCAACCAGACGTACTAATTGGCTGAAAAACAACAGGGCAAGAGTCCAGGTAGGCATGAGCTATCATCGCCAAGCATGCTGCTCGTTCCACATACTGCATCTCCATTAAAATTCACATGTGGACATTGTATAACTATAGGACCTAAAAAATAAACCCGAAACGAATACGATGGCTAGGTTGAGAAAAGAACGGCTTGAAAGAGAAGAAGCAGAAAGGGCAAAGGCGCGGGCATTATTGAATCCAGCCTATGTGGATCCAAAGGAGCACTATCGGCCCGTCGGCACGTACAGCCAACAATACAATCCGCAGGATACGACCCTTGCACACTCCCTGCATGCTCGGAATTCGAATATGGATAGGCCGCATGAGAGCCATGGTTATAGGCATGAGCGTGATACACGTCGGGATAAGGACCGAGAACGGCACAGTGGCCGAGATTATGGGATAGATGAGGACAGGGATCGCCATAGAGTATCGGATAAGGATTATCATCACGGCCGCCATCGAGAAAAGCAACGCTATAGCGATCGCGATCGCTCACGACCATACTAAACTTACAACTGGTCAATTTATTCAATTTCAATGGTAAATATAAAACTACCACTCCAACTCAGCCTCGGCGACAGGGCAGGCGTTAAGCGTCTCGTCCGGATGCGCAATACACTGTCCGTTCTTGACCAGATCGAATCCCCAGTAATGCACGCCACATCGAAGTGTCATATCTGCTCGCAATACACCCTACAATAAAATGGCCCATAGAAAATAACAATATTAATTCATATCCTAAACACATGGTTGAGAACAACACATGGAAACATCTGGTTCTTCTATAAAGCACATACCCACTTCAACATATCTGCATTGGCATGAGGGCAATACCGATCCAAGTCAAACGTCTTTGATTTTGTCTGGATGCGGAGTCTCCTAGGCGAGTTGATGTGGATATAGAATCCAGGGCGATGTGTGCTCTTCAACCCTTTGGCCTTCAGGGCAGCCTCTTCTGGGCTAAGCTCTTCGTCTGATTCAACGGTAGGCTTAGTCTTGGTGTCAGCATTTTCAGTAGCAATTGATTCTGGTTTTGAGTCTGAGGAGGCATTGACACTGAGATTGGAGAGTGACCCTGTCAGGGCATCCACAGCCTCTGCTGGTGAAGACAAGTTCTCGGTCGTTGACGGCGGGTTGGTTTTGTCGGCTGTGGCTGCGGAAGTCGAGGCAGTGCCTGAAGTCACTGAGGCGGAAGAGAGTGGTGAGATAGTAGTAGAGCTGGTCTGTGCCTGAGAGGAACTGTCCGAACTGGAACGCTGTGTTGGGGTAGAATTTGCGGGCGCAGTGGCGTTGATTGACATTGTTGATTGGCTGGTGAATATTGGAATGAGAATGAGAAATCAAGGAGAATCAGAGTAGACGCCGAATGAATGGAATGAGCGAGGGATCAGAATGAGAGAAATGAGGTGGGTTGGAGTAGGATCAAGATGAGTAAAGTGGAGTGGAGTGGAGTGGGGAAATAAACAATAACAGGAGGCGTTGTTGGGGGGAGAAGGGAGTACTCTCCCACGCTCTCTAGTAATGACATCTAATAATACACATGCTTGCGCTAATCTATTTCCGTCTCCAGAAAAGAAAAGGTTCCGGCAATTCGGTAAGGTGTCACCTCAGTCCATTGCTGAAATAAAAGGGTGCCAGCATGGTCAGGAACGAGATTCTAGTTAAAAACTCGAAGGGGCCCTCCATTAGACCGAACTGGCACTTGCACCGTGCCCTTTGTTACGGACTTACCAAAGGTCTATTGCGTTGAGTAGTTCGTCAGCTATATAAGGATCCATTCTGGCTACTCCTTGTTGAATCATAAGCACCAGATTCCTTGTCCACGCCGCAACTCCTGGTTCCCCACCCTCATTTCCTGGATATCTCTTTTCGCCATATCAGCACTTCCGTCAGAAAACACCACTGAAGAAACAAGAATGCCTCGTCTTGCACCCAGTTTTCTCCTGCTGCTCTCTGCAGCTTTTGCCGTCAGTGCTCAGCAAGGTATGCATATCGCTCCAGGAGAAGAATAAGACTGCGGGCTCTGCAGTTTCACGCGCGCACCGATCATAAAACTCTGAATCCATTTGAAAAAAAAAAAAAAAAAAAATAGACGAATGCTCAACGCAAGTACATGTCTCCTCCGAGGCCGACCTCTCTCCGGTCATGGCTTGCTCAGCCTTCAGCGGCTCTGTTATTATCTCAGGCTCAAACATCAATTCTGTCGCCTGGCCCGCTCTCAAAAGCCTTGCCGGGTCTATCAAGATCTCTTCTAACTCACATTTGACCACGCTCTCTCTCAATGGGCTCCAAGCTAGCACAGGGACCATCACCCTCTTCAACAATACCCTCCTCTCCGTCATCAGTATGTCAAACCTGGAATCTCTGGGCGGTCTTGAGATTATTACTGCGCCCGACTTGAAGCAGCTCTCTCTTCCCAAAATCCAAGCCCTGAGCTCGCTCAAGATTGAGGACACTGGATTAGATAACTCTGGCACTCTCCCTTGGACCAGTCTTTCCAAGGTGACAGATTTCGGCGTCAGCAACAACAAGTTCTTGAAGAGCATCGAGATGCCCAGTCTAACATCCATCTCTGGACGGCTCGTCGTCGCTGCGAACGGACTCATGGAAGGTCGAGGCAAAGGATTAAGTCTGCTGCTTCCAAACTTGACCTCGGTTTCGAACTGCACGCTCCGCCACTTGACCGGTCTCCAGATACTTTCGCTCTCAGAAGTGAGTTCTAGCCTGTCGTTTGACGAGACAAACCTTGAGGCTATCAAAGCTCCGCAGCTCAAGACCATTGGCCAGACATTGAGTATTGTCTCGAACAATCTCCTGAGCAACATTTCATTTCCAGATCTGACCTCCATTGGAGGTGCCTTGCTGATCGCCAACAACACTGATCTGACTGATATTAGTGGGTTCGGAAAACTGAAGGATATCTCAGGCGTGCTCAACATGCGCGGAGCTTTCAACAATATCTCCCTGCCCTCTGTTTCGACGGTCAAGGGCGGCATGTCGATCCTGTCGAGTAGCAAGGACTTTGATTGCTCATCGATAAACCATGTCAAATCTGCCGCTCGCGGAAAGACCGTATGCCAGGCCATGGTGAAATCTGCCAAACCAACCAATGCGAACGGTACTGACCTTGCAGGATCTCTAGTCGAATCTTCCGCGACCACTGTTATCAGTGACCCGGAGATTATCTGGGCCGCTGTTGCCGTACTCAGTAGTGTTGCCTATATCTTCTGAAAGCCATCCGCGTCATCTCCATCTTTTTTATTTACCACGGCTTAAAGGCATAAACATCTGATAGTAATAAAAGATAGTCTTCAATAATATTTGCCAGCAGTAGGGAGCGTTCCTCATGCTGAGCGCACGATTTTTGCCACCGGGACGACAGCTTCTTGAAACCTGCATAGACCAAATAAATCGCCAGCACTACAGCTACTGCAGCACGCGAAACTCCATAAAAGCTCTGCGTAGCTTTATCTCCGAAGATGTCCATACCGATTGGGGACGGCAAAGAACGCGGCAATACAAAAGTTGAGCAGTGTATGCCGCCGTCAATATAGGAATTCAGGAGGAAAGAAAATATAATTGTATGCCATTCACGAGTAAAAAACGATGGCAAAAACACTCAGTAGAAGCCATATGTTATGAAAACTCTTGTACGACAGCCCAAGGCCTTGAATTTTCACTACGATGCATTATATGATACATTATCAGCTTTCGCACATCTCAGAAAGACCTTCATTCTCACCTTCCACTAATAACTTCAATATTTTACCCGGATCTGTAGCTTGAATACAAATCGGATGGCAATGGACCCCAATCCATTAACCGAGTGAACAGGAGTTGTCGATTGAGGGCAAATTGCATCATTTTATTCGGCTCAACTGTGGTTGCACAAACTCATCCGATGCTGTGCCTGTAAACTCCTAAGGGCTAAAAGGAAGTCGATACTCACCTTTGATCCTACGCAGACTGCGTATCCCACCAGAACTACAACAGTAGCTGCAGGAACGCCATCGCATGCCCAGAACGGCGTCGTGTCCCAGGTATTCCATGATGGCGACAGCTATATTGGCCGTGGCGAACCATAACCAGAATAAAACGTGCATTGATCGATGCGGAATACTTGAAGAAAACAGCAAGATTGAAGCTTATCTTGAACTGGAAAAGCGAAGGCGAGCAGGGACGTATCTGACGCCAAGGCAATGTTCAAAACGAGGGTGTTCATGGCGAAAGGAATGGCAAAACCAAAAAGTGTTGGACGCTGAAGGCAAAGTACGTCCTTCTTTATTCAATTTATCCATTGTGTGTAGCGCTGAGGTCGAGACAGAGGGCCAATAAACCATCGATGACGACAAAAGTATTATTGACTGTAATGGAGTTTGTGCGCGCTCCTTAGGATCTTTTAAGTCCCAGACACCATAGTAAACCAGTGCCTAAGCGCAAAAGCAGTACTTTATTATTGAAGCTCAGCTATGCTTCATCGTTTAGTTGCTCAGCTCGATCCTGAGCGGCCTGATCGAACCCTCGTTCAACGATTGCAACTCTTTGACTGGGCTAAGATATATATGGTGGCTGTGTTATTGGGTAGGCAGGCATGTACTGCCCAAGGATAGCTCAGACCCTGGGTTTTGATGAACGGGACCTTCAGTCGTAGCCGTATTAGTAGCCTTCATATCGCAGTTTTTCTAGCTATCTTCATGTCGCCTCAACTTCTCTCTACTTATGAAAGGATGTATAGCGGGACGTGACATGTTGTAACGGGATAGATGACTTATTACCAGTAGGGATGCGATCGGGCCAAAGATATTGAGGTAAGAAGCAGAAAAACTGATACCGTCCGAGCTGCAGTGCTTTCAACACAGAGAAATCGTGGCATCCAAGCAGACTCCCCCGATTTGTTCTCAATAGTTGTACATCTCCGGTAGTGATGTAGGATTTAAGCCAAGCTTAATAACCAGGCTTTTGGACTGTAATAAAGACGCATTATTTGGAATGGAACACTTACCTTGTTGCGTGTCGTTGAAACAGCCGCTTTAACCAATCTCAAAGGTAGCCGAGAGTATCCCAGGTAGCCGCAGGGTCAAATGCTTGATGATATGGTGGTTAGAGTGCGAATAATATCGTCAAGCAACATTTTCCATCTCGCCGTCCCTTTATCATTTCTAATGTCCATATTAGCAACATAGTACTCGCTACTTCAATCCCAAACATCGTGGTAGCTGAATCTGATCCTACGGTCACCTTCTCATTCTAGTGGTATAATCTTTTATTAACGGCAATAAAGCTACGCAGAGACCTGTTCAGGCCACAGACGAGAGCGCTCGTCGCGTTGGGATACTGTAGCTGGTCTTGACCAGAAAAGAGCTATAAGAGTCATACTGACAAAACTAAGCACTCCAACTGCAAGCGCCACAGTAAGTCCAACCAGTAATGTACGGTATAGACCGGGAAGTTTTGTGGAGTCATCCACGGCATAAAGACAGATTGACAGACCCAGTTGGATTATGGCAAGTAACGAGTAGTAAAGAACCGACCGAATTTGGTGAGGACTCTTTGGGCCTCTGTAGTACCCGCATGCTCGGACAGCGTACACAGCGCCGAAAAGACCGCCCCAAACGAACCACGTGAAGCTGAATGGATCCCACTGGCGCTCGGTATCATCGTCTAGTCATTTTTTTAGGAAACATACTCATTAATTGCTTCGACATATACAGCTGTTCATTAGTAGTAGTAGATAAGCCTTTACTTTACCTTGAATTGGAAAGGCGAATGCGATATGAGGTGTAAGTGATGCCAAGATTATGGTCAGAGTGAATGATGTAAACATGGTTGGAGGTAAAGAAGAAAAATAAGAAGAGCGAATGATCAAAACGCAAGATTCTCTTATTTGTAAGTGCTTCGCCAAATAGTCCAGCACGCAGGGAGAAAATCCGTTGTCGGTGAAGAATAAACTAAGGTGCAAAGGAGCGCCGCCCGTATTCTCTCCTGAATTCATGCGCTACCACAGGACTACAAGCCAGTTCATATCCTACACTTCAGTAACCGTCGCTGCGTTTTGGAAGCGTCTCATTTTTATTGCGTACAGCAGCGTCCGATTTCATCTTTTTGGAGGGAAAAAAAAAAAAAAAAAAAGGAACAGCTACGGCAGCAGTCGAGAGCGCTTCCCGTCTTGGGACCATACGTCAAGCACAAGACGATAATATACCTCTGCAATCGCTCCAGCAAGGACTATTGTCGCAAAAAAAGCCCTGGGTGCCAATAGCGTGCCGTCTGGCAGTAGAACACTAACGTACTGCGAGTCGTCGATTGAATCTCTGCAGCATATCTATTCTTTATCCACAACGACAAACCCTGCTAATCACTGCCGGTTTGGTAACAAAGAGGAGCACTCCTCACGCTGTGCTCGCCATTCTCGCCATTTCGGCAACAGAAAGTCAAATAAGAAAATGAAAAGGAAAAAAATCAGCCTCGCGACAACTATGCTGAGAGCCACCATAAGAATGCCCTGGACAACCGATTTGGAGCTCTCCCGGGGGTCATCTCTAAGGTATTTCATATATGCTCCGACTGGGACGAGGATGGCAAATGCGATATTGAGAACGACGCTGAAAATTCGACACGGAAAAGTTCGGTCTGCATAGATGTCGCGCGCTTGCGATAGGCATATGATGAACATCATGATTGCGAACAAGAGCCAGACTTTGCCTTGTTCATTCTCGGCAGGTGGGTCGGCAAAGCCGTCTAAAACGTTGTGAGAATATGGGTAAAAGGGTAGGAAATCGGACATTGAGCCATTGCGCTTACTATGTTCAGTATGGCGCGGCAATGTCGATACTCACCCTGGACTGGCAAGGCGACTGCGGTATCAAAAGTATGGGATGCCAAGAGCAAGACTGGAGTGAGGAAAGAGTGCATGGTAGAAGACGTTGGAGAGCAAGGTTCGTTTTGCAAAAAGACTTTATGTGTCCCTCTAAATCCACAAGGCGAAGCATTCAAACGATCTTTTTGGTCTGGCCTCTCTGACACCATCATTTCACTAAACCACCTACGTTTTGGCAACGTCCTTGACATATTGGTTTTATTTTATCCACAATAACCATCCTGAAGTATTGTCAAGCATAGCACAAGTGAGCCGGGAGGGAAAAAAAAGGAAAGGAAAGGATGTATTTTATCCTTAGTTCTCTGAATGGCAAAGGCCACCAACATAGGACTAGCCTTGTCATCTTTATTCAGCCGATGCAGTGGCAAAATAGGTCGTTGCACATCTGATCACAATTGGGAGAGCTCCTCTCACTCAAATAAGGACATATTCAGCGATAACAGCAAGAGGATCGCAGGCGGAAGGATACAAGTGGTGACCAGGATGCTAAGAAGCGCTTTAGCTATGGTGCTGAACACCGCTTTCGAACCCTCAGAAGCATCATCTTCCAAGTACTTCATATCCTCAGCAATCAGACAGCAAATAGCAGCCTTCATTAAAACCAGAATTACAAAGATATCTTTGGATGCATGGTTGATTTTGATTGCACAGAGGCATTCTCGCATAATATCTGCTCGCGCTTCAACCGAGATTCTCTTTTCTTTTTCTTGGATTCCTCCATCCTTCTTGGATCGCAGTGCCCTACTCCTCAGACCCTCCATCTACGCCCTAAGTTCATTCGTATATGTGATCCTTGCTCTGAGAGCTGTCTCTTTGAGCACCGTAAGAGACTCACGGAGCGCCATAAACTAGTTCCATTTTGACGCTTGAGCTCGGGGATATTCATGAAAGATCGTCGCACGACATTAGAGGACTGCATTGAGAACTCATCTACATACCGTAAAAATCGCCATCGTCACCACCATATCGTCGTCGCTATTTTTTGGGGCGGATCCGTAGTTGATATATCCTTCGTCTGGTTTGTATTCCGTCAGCCCGTATCATGTCTTTTCTTGTTGCGGATCTTAGACTTTGCAGCCATGAACGAAATCTTTTGTGCGGTGTGAGAGTAAAGGATGGAGAGACGCGGAGAAAGAGGAAAGAGAGAGGTTTCTGAGTATCTTAATGCGCTCTGTCTGTCTACGGAGCCCTATTTACGCGCCAGGGCGTCTATGAGATTGATTGGCCAACTTTATTGAACTAAGCAAGGACGGTCCTTGTTGTGCAAGCCACTGCGACTTGTTTACTCTTTTTCTTTTCTTTTTTTTTTTTTGTGTCCAGAACAGCATGCCTCAGTAGAGTACCATTCGTCTTCGACCGGTCAACTACTATTCCCATACCTCCTTTTAGTCCACTACCTTCATCCCTGTTGTGTCCACTTCATACTCAAATATATACACGTACACAAGCATGCCCGCGGAAACCACAATCCCTGACGAGGCATTGCTCAAGAGCTTTGCCGAAGAGGTTCTCGACAAGCCAGAGGTCTTTCTCACAAAGTCCGAGGTGTCTGCAGAGCAGGCCAAGGCTATCACGAAATACCTCTATGACCTCGGTAAAAAGCCGCAACACCACTTCATCATAGTTTCCGCGTGCAGCAGCAACCCACTTTCTCCTTGCATCCCAGGACTACGTTGTCAAGACAACTAATCACTTGCCACTATTTCTTGATATACAATCCATCTAGGCAAATCGGCAGAGACTGGATCATTAAAGGGACAAGGATCAATTTTGGAAGAATTGTTTGTTGACGGTTTCAACAACGATCAGATCTGGGAGGAAATCCACATGCAGAACACCCCGTTCCTGTCATATCTCAAGGCAGAAATCAAGGACATCAAGTCCAACAAGACCGGTTCACAAACAGCAGCCGACGAGCAGGGCGATGGGGATGCAGAGGGAGAGGAGGATGAGGACGATGCGGAAATGAACCTGGGACTTGACGACGAGGACATGGGTCTCGACATGGACGATACAGATAACATGGAGGGATTCTCTGGTGAAGATGAGATGGAGGGATCAGACTCCGAAAATATCGTGGACTACAATGACGACGACGATGACGATGACGATGACGATGAGGAAGAGGAAGAGGAAGAGGAAGAGTTGGATGATATTGACCTGCCTGTCAAGAAGAAAACCAGGACATCAGAAGTCGACGATGACTTTTTCAACTTGGCAGAGTTCAACGCTATGACCGAGAAGCAGGAGGAGGAGGAAATTGAGGGCAAGGAGCCAGATGAGGACGAGGAAGAAATTGACTACTTTGCTGATCCAGATCTCATCGACAGTGGCGACGAGGATGACGACTTTGGCGATATGGAGGAGAATGAAAATGAGGTCGATGCACATGGTACGTCGCGGTTGCCTCTAGCTTATCCATCTCTCGCTATACTGCCCTATAGGAGACAACAGAATTGACTCATTCTATTCTGCGTGATTAATAGATGTGGGATACGGCGACTTTTTTGCCCCGCTACCAAAAGGAACGACGAACCGTCCCAAGGCACAGCGCCGCCCCAAGAATGATGAAGGAGATTCCTTTGGCAAGCAGAAGGCCGGACAGGACGACGATGAGGATATGGAGATGCAGGACGCTGAAGACGATGAGGAATCCGCAGAAGTGAACGCGCTTGGCGATAGAGTCTCCAACCTCTTTGGAGCGGATGAGGGAGAAGCAGAGACAGGTACCTTTTGAAACCCTAAACAAGAGAATGACCAGGACTACAAATATGAATCATGGAGTTTGACCTATCTGCATTTCCTACCCCTGACTACGATAGAAACCCTTTCAAAGTTCCAGAAGGCACAGCAGAAACTGAAGCAACAAATCGAGGCATTAGAGCAGGAAAACGTTGTATCCAAGGACTGGACCAAGAAGGGAGAGGCCTCATCGGCCGATCGGCCCGTGAACAGTCTGCTGGAGGAGGACCTGGAGTTCGAGACAGTCGCCAAGCCCATCCCCGTTATCACCGCAGAAACAACACAGACCCTCGAGGATATCATCAAGGAGCGCATCTTGGCCGGCAACTGGGACGATGTCGTCCGTAAGGCACCACCAAACCCCAAGGCCTTCAATCCGTCCTCCAGGGTCGAGATCTCGGACGAAAAATCCAAGAAGTCGCTTGCAGAACTGTACGAGGATGACTATGTTCGCCAGACATCTTCAACAGGACCCGTCCTGAGCGAACGCGAGGCAGCACTGGAAAAGAAGCACGAGGAGATCACAACACTCTGGCAGGACCTTTGTCAAAAACTCGACTCGCTGAGCAACTGGCATTATGCACCCAAGCCTCCGAAGGCTGAGCTCACCGTTGTTACCAATGCACCGGCAATCAGCATGGAGGAAGCAATCCCTGTTAGTGTTGCAGACGCGGCCCTTTTGGCACCAGAGGAGATCTACTCTGCAGGCAAGGCACCGGTCAAGGGTGATACAGAGATGGAGCAGGCGGAGCGGAAGCGCAAGAGAGCTCAAGCCAAGCGTGCGAAGAAGGCGGATATCAAGGAGAAGGGGCGCAAGGATGCAGAGCGCCAGGCCGAGAGAGAGGCCAGGGACCGGAGATTGGGTCGCCAACCCGGCGACAAGGGCAATTCGAAGACGATCGTGCGCGACAAGATGGATGCAGTCAAGGCGCTCTCGGGACAGAAGAACATCAGCTTTATCGATCGCGAGGGCAACAAGCGGTCGAGCATCAAGGGCGGGTCCCAGGCAGAGGCGGCCAAAAGCGCAAAGCTCAAATTGTAATAATCGTATTATCAGCATCTTCGTTTTCACCCTCTCCCTCCAAAGTTACCATTTCCACCTTCGCATTTTCTAGATATCGCCATGACCATTCTCATTGTTATAAAAACTGTTTGTTTGAATCGGCAATTGAAGACTCTATGATGAAACCCGCAAAACAATGGATACCGTCCGCTTGCAACTTTCAAACGCGTTTGGGCAATTTCTTGGTCAAGACAGATGCCTGTCCTTCCCATGATATGTCACACGCGCATTTTGATACTCTGTGTTTTTTATCTTACCTATTATCGCTATCGCTTTGGTGGAAGGCCGTTCCTATTTTGTCCTTCAGTCTTTTTTTTTTTCTCTTGGCGGTCTCTTAAGAACAAGAGGAGGAATTCCGTATGGCTGGCGAACGTGAATCCGACCCCTGATGATTCATTGGGCATTTTCTGGGGCCGGAAATTTTTTTAGCACGCTTTTTCAAGCTAAGGTTGTCCACACGGACAACCTAAACCAGGATATTATTATTTTCAGGAGTATGACTACGATTATGACTATGGCCAAAGAACAAGAGGGCCTATGGTAAAAAAAAAAAGGAAGCTGCTTCATGCGGCCGAGGATGCTGTCCGAAGTAGACTCGGGATAAGCAATGCCGAAAGCGACCACTGCCGGCGATGTCGCTTGCCTCCGGTATCGCTATTACTATTATTGCTACTATGATTATGGTTGTGAAGATGGGTGAACAAGGGTGGCACCTTGAGATGTTTCTTGATCGCTGCCTTGAGTGACAACCGAGGAGCACTGCCATTCTTGGTCTTGCTATTGTCGCCGCCGCTAAGGTTCCCCGAGACGGGTGACGACGACACCTCTGGCGCAGAAGAATACTCAATCCTCTCGTGAGCCATCACCGTCTCTGCGATACCATTACCATTGCCGCCGCTATTGTTGGCATCCAACCCCATGCCGCTATTCTGGACCGCAAGATCTGTGCCCATGAATTCCGGCAGCGCATTGTCGTGAGGCGAAGCGGGTCTTCCAGCCTGTGGCAGCAACGACCGCTGAGTCGTCAAGACCAACTGTTCCTTGAACCTCGACCAACCCCCTGTCTGGGTCCTCGTCGCCGTCGTCGAGGTCGACAACGAAGTCTTGCGACGGATACCTGCCAGGATCTTCCCACCCGCGAGGTTATGGCTGCTGCTGTTATGCCGACGATAGTTCTCTCGGATACAGTCCTGACAGACCCGCTGGACGTAACCGAGTCCGAAGCAATCCTCGCAGACCTTACGACCATCCTTGCAAAAAACGCAAGGTGCGCTAGTTGATGCGGGCAGAGGTGGCGGTAATACAGGCGATGCAGGAGATGGTAAGGTGGGAGATAGAAGTGCGGACGGGAAGGAAACTGAGACGGGGGAAGGGGACAAGACTGGAGATTGCAGGGGAGGAGGGGGATGCGAAGAAAAGGATGTCGGCAATGGACGTGAGGAAGGCGTTGCTCGGGACGACGATGATGATGATGATGAGGGGAATGCTGTAGAAGTCAAGGTCGTGGATGGCTCGAAGGAAAGACTTCTTCGGGGATGGAACAGCGTTGAAGTCGAGGATGAGATTGTGTACGATAGACGGTGCAGTTTACGGCCCTCGTTTGGTTTGGGTGTAAGGATAAGCGTAGGTTGGCACATGTGGCAGGCGATGGATCCCAGGTTGCACTTACGGCACCGGTCCCGGACAAAGCCCCGGACACAGCCGGGGTTGCCGTTGGCGCTACAGGATTTCGGGGTGTTCTGAGGTGTTATGTTCATGTGTATGTGTATGCGTCCTGGGGGAGTTGAAAAAAAAAAAAAAAAAAAAAAAAAAAGGAAGAAAGAAAGAAAGAAAGAAAGAAAGAAAAAGCAAAAAAAAAGAGTTAGTTTGATGTAAAGAATGGAAATAAAATGGTTGGGGTTGGTTGAAAAGAGGCAGGGAAAGCTGGATAGGTGGCCGACTTGTTGGCTGAAGGGAGCTGGCGGATAAAGTACATCGATGAAGAATGGAGGCCACTAACCGCACGTCTAAGCACGAAGGTAAAGTCAGGTAAAACACGCATGCAGTGTGTGCTGGACCCAAAGAGGGCAGGATGTGTGTTGGTGCCTGGATTTTCTCTCACTTGAGCACAAACAGGGCTTCAGCTTAAGGAAGTGGGGGACCATCTGAGCAAGTCCCTGTTCTTCGCACATATTCCTCCCCTTTGGAACAAAAATAAATAAATAAATAATGCGCGGCAACACCGAAAACAAACAATAGGCAATGCATATGCAAAGTCCTGTGCAAACAGTATCTTACAGCATCAACAGCAATAAAATATTAACGCGTCTTTGTTTCCTCATTTTTTCTCTTTGTTTTGCCTGAGCATGGCACATGAAATAGGGAGCGTATTCTTATAGAAGCTGCAACAAAGAGATCTGTCTCGTGCACAACAGCTTATATGGTTTAAGGCCTGGTCTGTTCACAGAATAACGGGACCTTCGCTCCTGACTATCACTCCAACCTCTTTTTCTCCTTCCCTCCCTCTTTCCTTCTTTCCTTTGTTTTTTGTCTTTTGTTTTTTTCTTTCCTCTCCGGCAGGCTGGGCTATCATGCGAAGGAAAGTGAATTCATCCTTCTTGATAAAGCCCAACCAACATCTCACCCCTGTTCCATAGCAAAAAGAGAGCCACGCGCCTAGTACCTTCTCTCCTTTCTTGAACCAAAGTGCGGAGGAAAATAAGCAATGTTGGCTTTGTGAGAATTTGCGCTATAGCCCATCATGCATTGTGTTTCCGTCCATGGTAGCAGCAAAAGACCCATGACGCCCAAAGGAGCTTTTTTTTGTAACCTGTCCAGGGATTTTTAGAACACCTGAGATAGCCTTTCCTTCACTTCGAAATGAACACCTTAAGACGTTCTTTCGCATATCACACGAGCAGCAGAACAACGAATGTTTACTTCATTATAGTGCAAAGGATGGTGTTTATTATTTGAAAAGGTCATCAGGGAGTGCTACTATGAATACAAGGAGAAAAGTAAAGTCGTGGATGAAGGATCAGTCCACCTCAACAATGTTGTGTGCCTGAACTGCTTCCAACACCACCATACAGATGATGATACTCTTCCACATATGACTCGACGGTGATCGACATATGAGACTCCAAAGGCGCGACCTGCTTCTCATTTGACGTGTAGCCGTAGCCCCCGCTAGGCGTCCCATGCACGGCACTAAGAACCCGCCTCTCCCTCGATCCGCGACCCCCGCCCGGTGCCCGTCCACCGCCGCGCGAAGTCACCCAGTGGATCGTAATCGCGTTCAATGTGACATCCAGTGTACATGACGTAAGACAGATCAACCCACGCTCATGGCCTTGGAAGTAGACTAATGTGAAGACGTTGGCCGAGCTCAGGACTAGGGCAATCACGCATCCCAGTAACGTTCTCCGAGCAACATCGCGGAGCTTGCCCTTGGAAGGGCCCTGAAGGAGCGAGGTTGAGCTCATAAGGGGGCGGATGAAAAGCGCGGTCAGCCAGGACGACAGAAAGATGTCGTAAAGAATCAGTGGCAACGCCGCTGGTTTTAACAATCCGATACTACAATGCCCCGTTAAGGGATCAATCTCGGAGACCCGGTAGATGAGCATGAGAACAAGGATACCGACGTATGGCAGGATCAATGCCATGTTAATCCTGTAAAGCTAAGGATTGAGCAAATAAGATATTGGAGAAATCAGGCAAAAGTCCAAAAGTACTGCTCCATCGCCCAGGAGAACTATGGTTAATGCAGTGAGATACAATGCCACGTCTCTTTTACCTTGAATTCAGATCTCGTGGATCCTACTGCTGTGACAACATAGACCTTCTCCATTAAGAACAAGTAGATAACAATTTTGGAGATCGCATAGAGGATAATGCAAATGTAGATGGACATTGTACAGGACACAATATTGTAGTTGTTTGTCTGAGCAAGCATCGTGGCTATAAGCGAGAACGCCCAGGAGATCAGGTAGAGTGCGATAACCAATCCTCGGGCGTAGTTGATGGCTCCCAGCTTTGTCCCTGCAGTTTTGCGACCGAACAGGACCGACATCAGCGAGATGCATATCAGAGATATGAACAGCGAGACGGACTCTGTATGCAGCAATAGAAAAGAGATGGCAGAGAATTAGGTGAATAAGCCTTCTGATGTGAAGGTCACTGTGCGGCTATTCAAGTAATTTTGTGCGAGGAGCATTTGCATGGTCAATTGCGTGGTCTGCGACTGTGTACTGGTCGACGAGCAAGCAGGGGTTTATGAGCGTGCACGTGTACAAGATAGAGAGAGATAAGGACGAGAGTGGAGACATGTGCGGCAGGTGTATGATGACGATAATGTGGCCGTGCAGGCTGACGGTGTGGATAGTACTGATAATACTGGATACCAGTTACCAGGATGTTTCTTTTTTTACAGGGAAGTTATTGGTCATGAAGTTTGGGTCGTCTGCGGGCCGATATGTTTCATTTTAGATTGTATAGTATGGGATGGTTGGTCATAATACCTTCAACATCTGGCTGGTACATCGTGAAGAGATGACTGAGGAGGGGGAGAGAAGGAGGGAGGCCGAAGAATGAGGAAAGAAGCGGCACGGAATGGGGAACCGCCGCCCGGTGAATGAGGTTAAAGTGATCAGGGGTAAGAGCGAGGTGTCAGTGAATGAGAGGCTGTCGGTAAAGAAAGAAAGAAGTGAATACCGATTAGCAAACTATGTCCCTTGGAAGCGCCAAGGTGGCATTGGTTCCATGCATCCAAGCAAACTAGATAAACAGGCTAAGTCGGCACATGGGAAGCGTGAGCACTCGCGGCAGGTGGTGTATATTGGTACTTTCTGAAGATCTTCCATGCAGAATCCATATGTACTATGCGCACCACAAACCAAAAGCTCAAGTCCGGCAGACCCATAAGCAAAAGAACACACATTGAATAAAGCATGAGGCCTTCATGAGAACCCACGACTGACCACTCACATCCCATTTGGGGTCTTCATAGTATCATTGAGATGGCCGTTTGGATTTGGCATTCCCCAGAGATGTTATCGTGCGATTCTTTTGAGTCCAGGGTTGCTGATGGTCAAATAGTCATACCTGGAAATAAAACAGCAGGGTTGCCTCTGAAAGTAATGAAAACGTGAGGATGTGCTGCAAGAACGGGACGGATTGATAAACAGAAGTAGTGGTTACGATAAGAATTAATGGATGGATGGAGGGTATATGCGAAAGGTTGCAAGAAGAGGGTAGGGGCATTATATACTTCCTGAGTAGAGGGCGTTATTGTGCGCCTGGACCGTTTTGTGCTTGACGCACGATGGTTCCGCCTAATGGTAATTACATGTATCCTTCGCCCCTGAATCTCTATGCGTCTGCCCGCCCATCTCGCTCCATAGGCGGCGCCCCGATCCCTGGACCGGTGTTTTGGCCATGCGCCAAATAGTCCTGTGCGTCAAGATTTGCATGAATGCGTCTGCGAAGACTGTGCCAGTAAGAGAAACAGGAAAGAGGGAAGGGGGGGGGGGGATTGATGTTATGCATCTGCGTAACGGCACTCTCGTGCTCTGTTACACCTCCCTGTTTGCGGCGGCGATATTGGCTAGAGATTTTGGACGTGTGTATTGATTTATTTGTTGCTTTTCATGAGCTTTCAGGGAGTCGTATATTATGGTACAGAAGAGCTGTTGTACAGGGGTGTTGATACAAGTGATTTCGGTTATGTGTAATGTGTTCAAGCAGCCATGGGGGTAGATTGGGTACGGCTGAAGGACGACCAGGACCACTTGCGGTGATGAGTCATATCCTTGTGCGCGGTGCTGCCAGAAAACATAGACGTGGCCCTGCTCAGTTTCAAGGCTGCTGCTTGGAGCCTAGGCTTCAGGGATGATGAGAGACTGTGGGCACTCAAACCGCTGGATACGTCCGAATCGCTCTCGTCCCTGCTGTCATAACTGGGACCGATCTTGGGCGATGTTTGAATGACACTCGTAAGCGAGACCATGCTCTTGGAAACCTGGCCCATGGCCTTGGTCATTTTGGCTTGGGGACCTTGGCGGCGATAATGTTCCTTGATGCAGTCCTGGCAGATGCGTTGGACAAAGCCGAGTCCGTAACAGTCGTCGCATTCCCTGCGGCCGTCGACACAAAAGCTGCAAGAAGCTGAGGAAGGGGAGCACATCCCACAGACGATAGAGCCCGTAGCGCAGCTGTGGCAGGTGTTTCTGTAGAAGCCACGGACGCACTCGCGGCGACCTTTAGCGGCACAAGCTTTGGTGGACATGGTAGTTGATTGTAGTTGGAGTTTTGAGATAAGGGTTGGTGTTATGTTTTGTTGTGGTTGTAACTGCTTACTCGCTATTACAATTTGCTTTACTGTTGGTGTGGTTGATGATAATGAAAAATCCAAGACCTGGTGGGAATCCGATGCCTTTTATAAAACTTCGGTGTGCGCACATACCAGTTCATTGTGCTATGCCGAGTATCGCTCAAAAGGTGCCGCGTGCAACCGAGATTTCTGCCGATCCATGCCCTATGATCTTTCTAGGCTTGTGCCAAGAAAAACCACCAAGCGACTCTAATTTTGAGTATTTAGAGTTCACTGAGCGTCATTGCACTACGGACACAACCACCGTGGGTAACACAGATATGCTTTTTCTTGGCAATTGCCAAGGCGTCCACCTAACATCAACACCGCCGTCGAAAAGAACCCAGCCAATGTTAGCAGCCAAGAGTTTGGTCCGCCGGAAATGATCCGTTTTGACACTTCTTCGTGCCATTTTTACTTTCTTCCTCGCCGCTTCTGGTGTCCACTCTTCTGGGAAAGCTGCGCGATACCCAATCATTTCAAAGAGAGAGGAGGAGGAGGAGGGGAAGGGGGAGGGGTTGATATTTCTAAATTGTCGGCCCCCGTCTGCCAGAACCCGAAAGGAAAAAAATATACTGGATTCTCATTCCTGTCCCAAAAATTCTAGCATGCAGGATAAGGTTGCGCTCCCAAGTTACGGCCGTCGATGACATCTCTCGGCATGAGATCCAGTTTTGGACGTTACACATGGTACCACGTTGAGGTTCACTGTTTTTCTTAAAGTGTTCATTTCTTTTCTTACCCTCCTGAAAAACACTTGTGCGGACCCCTGCAAGCTTGGCTACCCGCGTATCCGTTCTATAATAGTGCCAAGGAACACACATGAAGAGCCTCCGCTCTGCCCCAACCTCGCGAAGACACGCTTGGTTTCTCATCCGAGACCCAAGGACAACAACGATTCACGCTCCACTCCCCCGCTGCTGCCCACCCGAATGATACTCCTTCACACATGCCTCGACCGTGATGTGCATCTCTATCGCCTCATGCTCCTTCTCTTGGATCGACAACCCCGACCCATATCACTGGGACTCCCACGCCCTCCATCTCCGCATACACACCCCGCTGGTATCGCCGCGTCCCACCCTTGAATTCGCGCTCGAGGTCACCCAATGGGTCGTGATCGCATTGACAGATCCACGCTCGTTGCCTTGGAAATAGACCAAGGTGGAGATATTGAGGTAATTGAGGATCAATGTGAAGATCGCGTCGACGAGGACTCTCCGGGAAGCATCGCACACTTATAGGAGCGGCCCTGGAGCTCAAGAATAAATGGATCAGTCAGCTAGAGAGGGATATTTTGTAGAAGATCAGGGAGAAACACGGTGGACGTGAGGAGTCTGATATAGTATCCATATCTACCAAACGATGGACATTCTGTTGAGTAACCACCATATGCACATATGAAAGAGAAAGCGACCTTCATTATCACGAATACGCAGATGATGGTTTTTGAAAGTGCATAGATCGCAATACAGGCGTAAGTCGGATTTTTGTGCACGAGGGGTCGCGTTGTAGTCGTTCGTCTGCGTGAAGTTTGTGGTTCATACACAAGAAGATCCAAGAGATGATGTTGAAAAGATATGACGAGCCCGTGCGCGTGCTTGATCATCCTTAGCTTCGTTTCGGAGACCTTGCTATCAAGAGGGTCTGTCATGAAGGTAATACATTCCAGAGAAAAAAAAAAATCAGACGTGTAGAACGCATGTACCTACTCTACTATTCCTAGCATCAATAAAGTCCACTCCCCTAATTAAAAGGAGGGGGATCAAGTGTTTTTTTTTTTTTTTTTTTTTTTTTTTGGAAGCCAAAGTCGACATCTCGCGTGTGATTCTACTCCTAAGCCTTCAACGCGCTACATTGTTAGCTACACATCCACAAGGAGGCAGCGAGGACAGAGGATTGTATGTAAAGAGACTTCAAGCAACTGCGAGTCATTGGGAGGGGGTGGTCGTTTAACTGCCATGGGGGCGAATTTGGCTGAAGACTGTTGTGTTATGCCCAATCCAGTTTTGTCGAGCCGCTCCTAGAGTTCGCGCTTTGACCGATGCAACATCCACACACACACGATTCAATTGGTCCAGAATCTTAGCGTTTCGTAATCCGGACTCGAGCACATCGAACACACGGAGAGGGGAAAAATCTCAACGAGAGCACTTTTTTTTTTCCCAATCGATTGTTCAAGCGGTCTATGGAACCAAACGCGTCGTCTGCATTTTCCCTTCGTCCCCCCGCATCGGATCTCCCCCCTCTTTCCCCCCCTTCTCCTGAAAACGGCTTGGTGCGACTACCCAATTGGTCATTTCTGGCATAGAAATTATTGTCGATTGATGAACTGTCTGCGACTCGGGCGCGTCCGAGATTAAATCCTTGTCGGTACCAAGCAGTAGGGGGTCTCGCTTTTGGAGGAGGAGGAGGAAGAGGGAGAAAGCGGGGATCAAGTAGCCTTTTGCTCGGCGTAGTTCGAGAATAGATCCATGTCTCAAAAGGGGTAAGGAGTTGAGTTGAGTTGAGTAGAGTGAGAGTTATATTAGATTTGCTGTCGCGATCATGGAGACGCCCACAAAATTGCTATGCGTAGTCCCCCCCTTTTCCTAAGAGCTTGGGAATGCTGATTACAAATATTCGCCCGGGGACGAGATTTTTTTTTCTACGTTGTGGTCGGTCCATGATTAAGCCCTGATACAGAAACGAGACCGTAAATGAGGATACTCATAACTAACTGAACGAAGGAATGAAGTACAATAACACTGTAGAACGAGAACGAGAGCGAGAGAACAATAGTATCAGCATTTATTTTATTTTATTTTATTTATTATATTTTTTTTGAAAAAAGGTGTAGTGTAATGGCTTAGACATCCTCCAAGAGCTCGTCTTGCTCTTCTTTATCCATCGCAATATCCTCCTGTTCTTGCTGTCTCTCTCCATGAACAGCACCCCTCGGTACCACACCCGTCGGGCTCGACCTCTTAATTGTATCTGCAACAGAGATAGAGCTGTGCTCGCCAATCTCCATCTCTTGGTCCTCATCATCCTGAATCATCTTTTGCCCCTGGATCACGGAAGAAGCTCCAACGGTTCTGGATGTGTCATCCAACTCATCCTCCTTATCGTCATCTCTTAATGCGATCCGACTCACACCTTCAACGTTTACATCTTCCTCTTCCTCCTCGATATCCCCTGGAGTCTGCTGCTGCTGCTGCTGCTGCCCTTCCTGGGCCATTACCGCCTCCTTCGTCGCCTCCCTTTGCCCCCCCAAGTCATTCGTCCGTTCCTCTTCGTCCTCGATATCTTCAACTCCCTTTGGTTTCAACATCAATCCAAAGTCCTCTGAATGGAACGAAGCAACCACATTGGGCGGGATCAAAATCCTCCACCCTGCAGTCTCGACTCGCGTAAAGAGCGAGTAATCAATACCCATCTCTTGCTGATCCTCAAGCAACACATAGGACGATCCTTTGGCCACTCGGAAGGCCTCCAAAGAAGGGTTGGACGTTTGTGAAAGACCCAGACCGACGTCTGCACGCTTGCTGTTGCTGAGAGTCGTATCATTACTCTTGGCAAGATAATTCATGCCAAACACTTGAACCGCAGGAGCCGAAGTTGGAATCGATGGTGGAGACGTGACAGCAGCAGCGGCAGCAGTGACCGCAGCGACCGCAGCCGCAGCCGCAGCCGCGGCAGCAGCGTCTAGACCTAAACCTGTGCTGAGCGAGCCAACTAAGTCCTCATTGGTAGTATCAGACGGCGACGCAGAATCGGAATCTGCACGACGCTTCTTCAATGAGCTACCAAAGTCCGTTCCATCGGGCGATGGGGACCGTCTGTAGCCCAAGACCGACGATGTGGATCGATCCAGAAGAATATCGGGATGCGAATTCGAGCGCTGGATCAACACGGACGAGCTGTCTCCGTTGATGTCGCTGCTATCCTTCGAGTGGTTGCGCAAGTTGGACGCGGACGAATACGACTGCAACGAACGCGGCTGTCTGATTTCAATGACGATTTTGGAGCTCTGGTTGAGCTGCAACGCTATGGCTTTGGATGTGTCCAAGGTTTTGGTTTTGGGCAAAGCGTTGGTGGAGGGCTTGGATTGGCTGTTAGGGAAGCACGTCATCTTGATCGAACTGCGGGGCATAGCTGCGTTCAAGTCGCGGGGATCAGAACTTTCTCGGAGAGAGGACGGGGACAGTTGGTGTGGAGACTGACACTGGTACTGGTGTTGCTGAACACTGGTTGAATAGAGGTTCTGGTTAGAGCTCGATCGGCTGAGTGGCTGCCCCAGGCTCTTGCGCTTAAGGCCCTGAGGACGCGCCCTTGCGATAGGACCTAAAAGGTGACAGAGACAGAGAACATTAAAAAAAATTGAACTCTAAAATGGGGGGCCAATTGCCATGTTCTTATAATATAATGGGCACCTACGTCCATCCCCATCGATGTCCTGATAGTCAGGAGACATATCCCTGTCATTCTCGTTGTCAAAGCGTTCCCTGTCCTCCTGTCGAGGGGTCTGGTAATAAAGGCTTGACGAAGAATAATGATGTCTCAATGGAGGTTTGCCCTGTCCCATGGGCATCGAGTGCGAGTACCGCATCGGCTCAGCCTGGGGTGCTGCCAGGTTGTGCGATACTCCGTAATTGCTTCCGCTACCATTCATCCAAGGGGATGAGGCCGTAGATGCAGGATTTGAGGATCCGGAGCTTTGGTGTTGTGAGGATCTCATCGGCGGAGTTAGAGCCTGCCGTGAGGTATCGTCAGTTTGATCCGCAACATCCAGCGGATGCTGACGCGTCTCCATGCCACCGTTGGGGGAGCCAGACGGGTAGTGGGGCCGGAATTTTTGCTGTGGTTGCTGTGGCGGTTGATGCCTTGAAGGGCCCATTGCGGAGCTTGGCGCAATCATCGTGTTTGCGTTCAATCTCTCGTATTTTTCACGATGCATTTGCGGATATTCATCGACCTCACTTGCACGACGATCATAAGGATGAGACAGAGGCGAAGGCAGAGGTGGCGGCAATCCAGGATGGCCATTGCTGTAGGCGTGGCTGGGATGGGGCTGACTCATACGTCGCTGGAAGTAGCTGGCTGCACTATTATCGTCGTATCGACCACCAACAGAATGCGCCCGAACAGGTGTGTGAACGGAGTCATGAGCGGAGCTCGAGCTGGGACCTGTGTTTTGTTGGTGGTACGTTGACTCGCGGCCCGGGGGTGATCGTGGGGATGACGAAAGTGCTGGTGAAGGTGCCTCGCCCATGTACTTGGAGCCGGCGACATTAAGCACAGGAGACGGGTGAGAAGAGCGACGGTCCGCTCCTCCATGGTACTGAGATGAGCCTCGCCGGACCACCTGGCGCTGAACTGGACGCTGCTGTTGTTGTTGCTGGTTTGAATAGTTCAAACCACTAACGGTTCCTCGCTGTTCACGTTCTTGCTGCTCCAAGTACTGCTGGTGTCGCTGTTGGCCAATGTTTGGATGTGAGTGCGAATGATGAAGCTTGTGGATCTGTCGACCTGCTGTCGATAGAGGCGGCTGTGTGCCCGTTGGTCCCTGATGACCGTAGGAAGAACGCGATCGGTAAAGCCGCGGATCTTCACTGTCCATGGGGGGCGTACCGGGGATCTGAAGGTGACCAGAGTGGTTTGATGGAGGCAGCTGGGTTGGTGGGTCATCGTAATCCATCATTGTAGACTCGTCTCCAGACATAGACGGGCGTCGAGGCGGCGGCTGTAGAGAACCCCTTCGGCTGGAGCTGCCTTGCTGGAAGTGATGTGATAGCGAAGGCCGGCGCGAGTCTATGGAATGGGGTAGTTCATCTGTCTGTCTCTCATCATGGGCCTGGTTACTCTCTTGCTCCTTATCCATACGCTTCGTTCTATCCGAGGTCACCTCTGAGCCAATGCGAGGACTACCCTCAGCCTTGGTTGAGGCGCGCCGAGGCGTTTTGACAGCCGGAGGCGGCGCAAGTGCTAACACGTTGTCTCCTGGGCTGGTGGCAGACCCCGGCGTACTGGAGTCTGGCAAGGAGTGACCGTAAACGACCCCGGCAATCATATTGCGGATCTTAGACTCTGAATACGATTTGTTGCAGATCAGACTCATAGAGACAGGCGGCCGGCATTTGAAGCGAAGATTTCCGTCTTCGGATTGACATGGAAAAGTAGAGCAGAAAGAAGACTGTAAGATGAAGTAATAGAAGATGATGTATAACGTAGTCAAGATATACCAAGGGAATGGTGGAATTATTCTTTACCTGACATTCCATCACGCTGGATGGTGTTGCGACAGAAGCATTTTGCGCAAGGAATCAAATTGCGGTACTGCTTAAAGAGCGCAATTGTCTCCTCCTGGAGCGCAGATCTAGGAAGAGTTGCTGTCATCGTGCGAAGCGAGGGACGCCTTGAGGACGGCGCTGTTGTCCCTGCAGTAGTAGGTGCATCCACTGTCAAGCTAGAGATCACAGGGGTGGAATCTGAGTTGCCTTCAGAAGCTACCTCATGAGCAGTGTGGACAGCTGAAAAAGATGTGTCTACGATCGAATGACCCATTTCTTGCTGCTGGTGTTTCTCATGCTGCGAATCACCCTCTGGAGCCGGCTCACTCGATGCAGCGACTGCATCTGCCGATGTTTGATCATTCGAGTCGTTGCTTGTCATCACGATATCTGGCGTGCTGACAGGAGAAGGCGTTCCAGGGAATCCATGCTCAGATTTCAGTTTTAGTAGTTGTTGGTGCTGTTGAGGCTGAAGAGATTGTAAATAGGGGCTATGCTGCGTCCTTGGGGTTGTAGGGGAATACATATTGGGTGACGTTGATGTCTGTGGTGCTGGCGCCAGCGGATGGACTGGCGTCTCGTCATCATAGTCCATATGGTCGTCCATGTCACGCAAATGTGCCAAAGGCGAATCAGCTACTTCGCTATGTTGTTCCTGACCATTTTCCAGCATCTCGGCTAGCTCGGACTTTACGACGGATGGCAGTTTCTTTGCTGGAGATTGTAATCTGGGATCGGAAGGCTGTCCGTTGCCAGACATGGATGATTGTGGCAATGCAGATAGCATGGTGCTAGGGTTGCTGTAGTGGTGCTGCGTGATAGGGGAGGTGTATAAAATCGCGTACGTTGGGATGCAAAGGCTAGGATATCAATTAGTGATAGTAATGTAGTAGCGGCGATGACTAATTGAATGAGAAGAGGAGGTCGATTAGAGACTGTAACGAGGGAATGGAAGTAGGGAGATGAAAGAGGTTGGAAGGAGATGAAAAGTGGTCGGTTGATATAGACCGTACACCTGCACAGCGCAACTTGAGAGGGATTGTTCATATTGTAACGATAAAGATAAACCAAAGGGCTCCACCTGCACATTGAATCGCGTATGAGACAGGACCAACAAGCACCAGCGTTTATCAAGGGATAAAGACCATCCGATGTAATGAAGAACACGAGAAAGCACGGCGGGGAGAGGAAGTGAGGGGAGCACAGTACATGAAAAGGTGGGAACGGGGGTAGGAGGGCAGGCTAGGCAATCAGACAGGCGGAAAGGTAGGTACGTAAACAGGAGTGCAAGTGATTACATAGAAACGACCTTGTTACTCCAATTAAGATGGTCAAGGTGTTACAAAAATAAAGGTAAGGGGATAGTGCAGATCTCCTTGCATGGTATGGCATAAAAGAAATGCAAACATGCATGCCTCTTTGTATTGTTCTCCTATCGACCATTGGCTCTCAAATGGTTCGGATACTCCTCGAATAAGCCGTACAGCACTCATTGTTAAGGATATTTTAAACCTCGCTTAAGACGGGGAGCACTCGGCTCCAGTCGTGAGCAAAGGAACCGTGTAGGCGAGGATGGGATTGTTAACCCATAGGCAGCGCAAATATTAGGTGATTAAAACGATAGAATGGATATTCATGTCTGGGACAATGATTCGCCCCCTATTGTATATCTTAAGCATGCACAAAACCGTAGTAGATTGAGGCTGACGTGAAAGAGGCAGTAATAGAAGGGGCGTATGAAGTTGAGGGATGATGATAAAGGAGACATACACTGGACAGGGTCTAGGGACACAGTGCAGAACGGCCATGAGCAGATCGCCTTTACTGTAGCTCTCAAAAAAAAAAAGGGTGACGGGTGGGGACCTTACCGAAGACCGAAAGGAGGGAAGAGGGCCAAATAGGTTCGAGTGTCACTTGGTGGCAAAGCGAAGAGAGGCTCTGCACTTCGTGAAATAAAAGAGTTGCGTGGAGAAGAATTAAGAATTATTTATAGTAGCCTTGGCTGAATAAACGAAGTTGGAGGGAGGGAAAGGGGAATGGGGAAGGGTCCTACAATGGGATTTGAGGAGGTGGCCAATGCTCGGACGCGTCAAATTTGGTCAGAGTCGGTGCTGGTGTTGGTGGTACGATGGTGTACAGGATATGATATTGGCGGCAAAGGCGTGATATTATTTTGAGAGAAAGAGGGGACAAGAAGTGTGAGGTCCAGAGGTTCAGTTCAGACTGCAGATGTGCGAGAGATGGAAGCAATATAAATGAGGGGGCAGATAAAGAAATAAAAGCGAGTTGCTAATTCTGGAGTGGGGGGCAGAGAGAAAGAGAGAAAGAGAGAAAGAGAGAGAAAGAGAAGGAGGAGGAGGAAGAGAAAAGGACGTTTGTGCGTGCGATTGAAATATGGAATGCAGAAGAAAAAAGAGTGTCGGAATGGAGGGCCGCATTCTTGAAACGCAAACGAACAAAAGATGTGGTAGGCAGTAGGGGGTGCAGAGATGGGGGGTCCTGTCTAGGACGGTCGGGTGCACGAGAAGGGGTGGATCCCCTTGCTGCACGATCGGCTATGGCTAAACGAGGGGGTCAGGCAGTCCTACGGTCTGCAGTAGACCAGAGGCTATTTTAATGCCACTTTCCTAGATACATGGTGACGACTACGACTACGACTACAAGACTATTACTATAGACTACACAAATGAATGAGGGGGGATGGATGGACAAAAAGGGGTACCAGGGGACCAGGGGGTATATTTGTATACCCATCAAGGGTGCACCCAGCTCCCTTTGCGTCATTGTCCTTTGTCATGTTGCCTTGACGAGCCATCCCTATCCATCATCCTGCTCTTGCCTGTACAGCATCATGTACACCGGGACCGGGACCCAGTGCGCTGACAGTTGCCATAACCCAAAAGCGATCTAGAGAAAAAAAAATAGAAAGGCTACAGCGGTGGAGCACTTGCGCATGGCTCCACGTGTAGATGGCTGTATTAGTTTACAGCAGCATGTACGACTGCTTCCTTATGGTTTGCTGGCTCGTTTGTTTTTAGATTGGCCAGAAAGCGTATTGATAGCCCTTGAAGACCCCTCGATCCTTGTTCCCTCGTCGTATTCAGCGCTCTACCATGCTACTAACATCCATCTGCCCCTTCAAACACAAAGGCGTGGCCAGTAATGTGGTCTTCTCTTTCTGTTCCCTCTGCCATGCCCCGCATCCCCCCCTACCCCCTACCCTACCCCCCACCAAAAAAAAAAAAAAAAAAAAAAACCATGAAAAAACAACCTCTCATTCTGCCACAATGCCAGGGTATGGTCTGTTCGCACATTCTCCTGTTATTATCTGGGAAATATGAACCACACAGGGGTCGCAATATCAGACTATAGTAACAGATTCAATTCGACGTGTAGGGCCACGTCTTTCTTGCATTGTGGGCGCCCACGCAAACTCACGGTTCAAGGCCATGATTTGACTTTACTCCTTTCCTCACAAGGCTGTATACCATCACACCCGATACCAAACCCCTCTATCACCGTAAAGATGAAGACGACTCTGGCTTCTATGCGTCTACTGGCTCCACCCCGGTGGTCTCTATCCTCTACTATCGTCGATGAAACGCCGCTCCTTTTTTCCTGTGCAATATGGTCATACTGCTCTCCAGATTGCACTAGCAGCAGCAGAAGATGCACCAGCAGTGTACTTGTGCACATCTCGCAGACTAGACCGTTTGAGGGAATAACGCGTACCCTTGAGCGCAATTTGTTCCCATTTGCATGAATGCGAGCTACCGTGAAGGCGACCAGTGCTTAAACCTTAAATATCTAATGCGCTGGCTGCATGACCTAGTTTGCCATCGATTTAAAGGACCATCACCATCTTGCATTCCTACGCTCGATTTTGTAGCATTCTCAGTGATCATCATTCTCCAAGAGCAGCTCCTTCTCTTTCAATGTTGCCCATAACTAAACGACAAGACACTGATAGCAAGAATAGCCATGATCGAAACAATTGCAAGAGATTTTGTATTTTTTATTTTTTTTAATAGGACATGACCTGAGAGCGAGGAAGAGACAGAGCGATTAAAGAGCATGACAGCATGTCATCTACCAAGAGGAAACAGACGACTGCAGCAGCGAAGGCATCCCTCTGGCTCCAGACGCTCTCCTAATATTGCGTTATGGCTGTTCTTCCGGAGCTCCCCTTGGCTTGCATCGGATCGTCATCGGCCTTTGACCGCACCAAAAATCTTTATTGGAGGAGCATGGAATGTAAAAAAAGATCCCCGAGTAAGCGATACGTGTAAGTGAAAGAAGACGAGAGAGAGAGAGAGAGAGAGAGTTAGAAAACAATAGAGAGAGCGGAGAGAGAGAGGAGAGAGGAGAGAGGAAGGAGGGAGTGGGGTGGAAGAGAGACAGCTGGAAGGAGTATGTATGGGTCGCAGTGAAGTGAAGACGATCTCATCAGGTGTCTTTTTCTCCTTGCCTCCTCTTCTGCATAAACGCTCGCACTCCCTCTCTTCCCTTTTCCCTTCCTTTTCTTCTCGTCCACATCCAACACTCAACAGCATACAACATACACCTCCTGACCCTCAAGTACTTCCTGACCCTATTCACTGTTCACCCACATCGCACACAGCCAAAACAGAAAAAATGTCCGATCCCAATCCTTCCAAACCAACGCCCTTTGCCCAGTTTTGCTTCTTCAAAGGCCTGTCCCACTCGCTCTTTGAGGACGACTGGATCAACATGGTCGAATCCTGGCAGGCCATGGTCGCCGTCAATGCGCCTATCCAAGAGCTCGCCCACAACATGGCCCCGTTCTTCGCGAATGCGCCTCGACTCCTGCCTACCTTCCACCGATACATGGCCTGCGCCGAACAGGTAAAAAAAAACCCCCCCCCACCCCAGGTTTCAAACGGATGACTTTTTTAGGCCCAGCATACCCTCTGCTTTTAGCGCTGCGCGTGACCTTTGTGCATTGTGGGAAGACAGTCCAGTTAGTGCTACGCCCACTTTGATTGGTTAATTGACCGTGCTTTCTCTTGAATTATGCGCGTGTGTAGGATCCAGAGTTCCTCTCGACCCTTACCACGGTCCTGATGTCGACCCCTCTCCTCATCAAAGTCCAGCACATCCTGCACTCGCCCGAGCGCTTCTCGGCCTACATCCTCGCCCTCCAGCTCGACAACCCCTCGGCCTCCCACACCCAGGTCATGCAGTCCCTCCAGACGTTCCTCTCTGGCATCCCAGAGGATAAGAGGCTCCAGATCCAGAAGGTCTTTGCAGAGGAAGAGGTCTCGGATTCGATGGGTATGTCGCTGACTCCTTCTTTGTGTTACCTCATTTGCTTGGTCCTGTTGCACAAAGTCGACCTGTGCGTATCTAACACACATCTCTGTCTAATTTCAGGCCTTTCCCCCACAACACTGGACACCGCTTTGCAACTGCTGCATTCAGACACCCAATTGTATATCGATATTCTGTCCGCTTTGCAGCTCAACCAGGCAGAGAACATGCCATGGGAGGAAGTCGTCGACAAGATCAAAACCCTCATCGATGTCAAGAAGCCCCATGCATGGGCTGGCGTCGAACAGTTCCTCCAGGGTCTGCATTGGGGTTCTCAGCACGAAGAACCTGCCACACAGGCAGCGGACGCAGAGAATGATGATGATAACGTTCTCGAAATGATCGAGGGTATCGACTATTACCCTGATGAGGATGAAGAGGAGCTAGAGGGCGACGACTACGACCAGCACTTTGCGGCCTTCCTTAAGGACGTACAAGAGATCAATGATGCTCAGGGCTTTGCGGATGATTTTGGCAAGATGGGTGTCGCATACAACCGCCAGGCTATCGAGTCGTGCTAAACCCCTGAACACTTTTTTTCTTTTTTTCTTTGAAGACGGCATCCCAACTTCATTTCCAGACTTCAGTGATTTTTGCCATTCTCAATATCTTTTTCAATACCAAAGAAATAACTCTCAACAGCTGAAATGTTGTGGACAATGAAATCAGCAAATCTCAGCAACACACAGCAACTTGACACTCGACACACACACACACAAACGCGACCGACCAGCAACCAGCAACCAGGAAACAAACAAACAAGCCAAACCAAAAAAATGTAAATACCCACGCGTTCATGGAGGAGGATCTCCACAAAGACTTTCTCCCCTTCCAACTACCAAACCTGAAAAAAAAAAGATACCCTCACTTTGCGAATTTTACTGCCGTATTTACGTTTGTTTTGCTTCATTCTGTTTTGTATTCTATACATTTGCCGCGTGTGTTCTGTTTGCTAATCTTTGTAAATGTAGCCCAACTGTTGCTTTTCCCTTGCTCCTTTTGATTGTACCACTACATTTTGAAAATAAAAAAAACCAGCTATCTTTCGATACGCGCTGAATCTTTCTTTTTAATCGCCGAATTGTTTCCTTACTCCGTCCTTGTTGGATCGTACGCGACGCGTCAGACGGCTTTTCTTGCAATTTGATTACCTGCTCCATTTTCACGAGTGACGAACAAAAAATAGAACAGACAGATAATGGAATTTTCCCAAGAGCGCATAGAGCAAGATGGTCGTCTTTGATCATGGTCCTTGTGAAAGTAAAACCGAAAATAGAAAGTGGCACATGAGCACTGGTGAGTTAGTGAATGACAGTGTGTATGTGTGTGTCCATAGCATAAACTTTAATTCACATGTGCTCATATCGGGAAGTGGGGCTGTGTCACCATAGGTTCCCATTAATTTAATCTTTGCACCGCTGTCGTTAACCCTAGGCAGCAGACACGACGGGGGTAACTGCTCCAACCAACAATAGAACCACATATTATTAGGGTTGATGATGCTTCTTGATATCATCGCTGGTGCTCAATGCCCTCTTCATATTTTTTTTACTCCGCAAAGCAAATCGTCCTGCGGCTCTGGACATGGGAGATGTCCCTACCTGCATGGGTTGTTTTAGTTTGATCCGAAAAGACGGTGAGGAGGAATGGGTGTCGGAGATCGTATCTTTCCCCCTCGATAGACTACAGAGGGCATAGACTATGGAGTATAGACTATGCACATCCAGATCTGGGCATCCTTTAAAGCAAAACAACGCAGGTGACCAAGTTTGCAGTCAAGCCAACCCGAGGGCAGCCGCTGAATAATTAATACCTGACTTTTTTTTTTTTTTTTTTTTTTTTTTTTTTTTTTTTTTTTCCTACGCGTCCAAAAACAGCCCAGAACGCCATCGTCCCAGCCCTTGATCCCAACCTTTTTATATCTCTGCCCTTGCGGAGCACCAATGCGTAGATACGAATCAGAGGCCTTCACTCTATAGTTTACTTTACTGATCTAACTCGAAGTCAGCGTTTGCGAATGTGTGGTTCTTCAGGATCAAGGCGCCTCCCCCTGCTTGCTCAGCAAAAAAAAAAAAAAGCATCCAGACCCACTACCGCAAAAGCTCCAGGCGCGTGAAAAAACAACAGCAGTTGATTACTTCACAAGAGCCTTCCCTCCCCCCCTCCCCCCTCGCTTTTTCATGACGGAGGTATTGCTTGAGGCGTATCAAGGTTTTTGTTTGTTCACATTTTGATGTCTCTCCATGACAACAAGGAGGGAGGGGCTCGCTTTTTTTCATTTAATTCATTTTTGATGGCAAAAGGGCGATTTCAATACGCAACCGTCAGTCGTTGACAGGTGTATGTTTGAGGGCATGAGTCCTCGTGCTCTAACTTATTGGGACGGTTATTGTGGGGTAGAAGTAGGTGAAGAAGGGGAGGGGGGGGGGGGGAAGGAGTGGGAGATCAGTTGAAAAGCATGTATCGCTGCAGATGTTCGTGAAGCCTGGATCCATCGCCCATCTCACGTATAATGACGATGACGGGAAATTATTAAGCGTTGCTATATAGTAGGCCAGCACATATGGAAATTGCCCCACGGTTCCTGAAATGGCCATTGTCAAAATGACCCACGATAACACACGGACGGCGAGAGAGAGAGGGAGAGAGCTGTAAACAAACGGAACGGAGAAATCAAAGTGGCCCGAAATGTCTCTAGAGAATTTCGACTTTCTAGTATGATTGAGTATGATTGCAATTACGCACGAGAGGTCCTCGGAGAACGTCTGTATCCTTTGATCTTGTGCAGGACATACTTGGGGCAAAATGAACAAGTAGACCAACAAAGGGCGATAGAGAGAGTGAGAGAGAGTGAGAGCGTCGTAGGATCCGAATTAAAGCCGAAGAATAAAAGTGCCACAAATACGGAAGTTCTTGTCCCCGAGGAACACGCGCGTCCATCTTTGAGAGGCGCACAGGCTTTTTTTAAAGGGTTTAATGAGGAAGGTACTGCCGTTCATTCCCCCCCCCCCCCCCCCCCCTCCCCTAAACACAACCTCCTCCCCCTCACTGGCTCTACGTGTTAAGTAAGGTGCGAGGAATACAATGAAGTGCACAGGAACCTTGACAGCCATCATCGTCCATCGTGGACCTATCCCTCTAACAGCGATCTAGTCTATTCATCCTTGAACAAGGAAGACGACGCTATCGGACAAAAAAGAAAGGCCATGTAGTTCTACATACGTATGGTGTGTACTTTATTTTTTTTTTCCAGCGTTTCCTGAGTCAAACCAAGAGCTCGCTGGGTAGTTCAGCCTCTTCCCTCTTTTGGTTGGGACTCGTAAGAGATGTCATGATGGTTCCCCAATGGCATGGTGATACGCCGGAAGAGTATCCTGCGTATTTCTGGTCACACAAGCATGAGAGACGGAGGTGCTCTTTGCGTAAAATGTGTACATACACAATCTGTACTGTCCTACCCAGAGGGGAGGGGGGGGGCCAGGGGCCCCCCTCATTATTAAGTGCCAAGAATAACTGCGCGTTTTGAACTGGTGGAGTGCAAAAAAAAAATAAGGATTATTAAAGTCGAACGACCAGTTTATTGCAGTCTACTTTGTACAAATGAAATGAAGATTGCAGTTGAACCAAAGGTCTTCTTGTTTGTTTTTGTCTCTGCAGCTTTTTTTTTTATTAGTCCCGTTGTAGGTAGTCTATGTAGGTTCCATTGTTGGGGGAGGAGGGGGGGGGGGGAGACTATCGGTCGATCGTTGGTGGGAGAAAATCAGAAGAAACAAGTTTCATGAGGAATTATTGTGCATAGATGGGTATGGGCGTCAGTTCAGCAACTGCAGCAGCTACACATCTCACGCACACGCCCCCCCCCCCCCCCCCCCCTCCCCCCCATTTACATTTACCCACACGATAAAGTCTAGGCGAGAGGCACATTCATCTTCTATGGTACGATCACGGCGGCTTGAGGCATGGACCAAGGAGGTCCGGACAGTGTCTACATTGGAGTGAGGCGGACATATACGAGAACAAAGTTTGTAAACAAACACAACAACCAAAAAAAAAAAAGAAAGAGGATGAGAGCGGGTGAAAGGCTAAGATGATGAGAGAGCGAAGGAAGGAACGAGTAGATAACCGACCGGATGCTGCATGTAGCTGGCGATAGAAGGAACAGGGGGGGGGGCCGAGCGAGGGGGAGCAGGGCCCGGAAGTGATGGTGCCAGGGTACCCGAGGTCCCTCCTTCTGCACTATTATTACCCGCACCAAGCAGTGGACAGCCCTGCTGGTCGACACGACCTAAAAACCACACACACACCCGCACTCCCTCACGGACACAGTGCTCTCTCTCTTCGCTTTCTCGCCTTCTCTTTCACCTCCCTCCCATTTTCACCTTTTTTTTTTTTTTTTTACTTCCTTCCTCCCCTCGCTCGCTCATCTTTCTTCCCATCTTTTCAATCTCCTCCCTCCCCCTACCTCGCTCTCTTTCATCCTCCTCAGATCCGATCTCATCCTGCGAGCGAATGATCCTCAACAGATCATCCCCATCCCCTCCATCCCCCCGCCCGTAGACTGTTACTCTTTCGTCTCCTATTTATATTCACACTCCACTCCTCTCCACTCCCCTTCCCTCCACTCAGCACCTCCCTCTCTCTCTTTCTCTCCTATGAATCCATATCTTGCTGCCTCGGCCACCGTGGCCCCACAGCCCCATTCCTTCAATCCCTCTGGTCCCAATGGTCCCCAGTTGGCGTCCTCGCCACCACAGCAGCCGCAGCAACACTCCCTCCCCTCGCAGCTGTCCCTTCTCCAGCGTCAGCAGCTGCCTCAACAGCAGCAGGACCAACGCTCACAACAGGACCAGCTGAGGTTCGAGCAATTTCATCAAGAACACCAACATCAACAGCAACTGGCATCCATCGGCGCTAACAGTATCATGTTCAGCAATGGTCCATTGCAGCAACAGCAACAGCAGCAGCAGCAGCAGCAACAACAACAGCAGCAACAGCAACAACAGCCGTACGGTGCCTATACTATCAAACAAAACTGGGACATCCTCACCGGCCCCAATGCCATCGACGATCCCATGGCCCTTCAAATCGGCCCCGACGGCACGCTGGTGACACCTCGCTGGGATGCCTATGATCTCAGCAACCTGCCGCCTGTCCAGATAGCCCCTCGGGCCAAAAACATCAGTGTCATCCCTCGCACTCCGGTTGATTATACTGCACAGCAGCACCCTATGTTATTACAGCGTCCGACATATATGCAGCAGCAGCAGCAGCAATCTCAGCAGGGAGGACAACAGCATATCCCATTAGGAGTTTCGGAATCAATGGGGCCACAGCAACAGCAACAGCAGCAGCTGGCGGCTAATGGGCAATATTTATTCCATGCATCATCACCACCTGTCCCCACTATATCCACGACGGAAATGGGCACGATCTCCTCTCAGCAACATCATGCCTCTTCGACGTCCCCCGTCGCCACCTCAGGATACCTGCAGACCAGTTGCTCACCAGAGATGCCCATCAAGGCATCTCCTGTAGAACAGCAGCTCTCCTGGGGTAAGTCCAGTGCACTCCTGCATAAAGTCTTTCATCCTGCTCTTATCTATATTACCCTCGTTGTTGTACGATCGTTCTCTCGGCTCGGCTGTTCTCTTTTTCTTTGCAAGGGGATGGCAGTATGTCCTCTACTCGCCCTTTCCTTCATTCTCTATCCATCACTGCCTCTCATCCTCATTCTTCTTCAGTACTAGCCGTAGTGTTGACCCCTCGATATGCTGATCCATGCTGAATCATTCACCTGCCCACCTCCGTCTTCATTTTTTTTTTTTTTTGCTGTGCTTACGAGATCATTACCTTGGGATGTTTATTCTGACTGACGATTCCGTCTGCGTCTTCTTTTCCTTTTCCTCTTTGCTCCGATTGTTAGCCTCGTGGGAGGAGGCTGCTTCTCATCAAGACGATGCTTATACTCCAGCCCATACATACGCTAGTTACGATGAAAGTTCACGGGTGAGTAAACGGATCTGTTGCTTTGTGAGCTCCTGTGTCTGTCTAGCCAAGCATAGATATACATGGCTGACCGGTAGCTCTTTGTTTCCTATGCGGTGGATGTAGGAGGACATTGGCACGAAGCACTTGAAGGTGTTTACCTCTTCCAAGAAGGACGACGATGGCGAGTTCCGCAAGGGTCAGCAGTTCTACCTCAACATTCAGTTGAGCCCAGAGGACCGTGAACGGTATCATTACCTCAGAATCCCTACTGAGAACATTGTCCTCCCATGCAGGGCAGATAGCGCCGGTCGTATTGGCCTCAATCCTTCCGGAAAGAGAAATGCCCAATCCATGTCCATGCCCACCAGTGCCCAAGAGGAGGATGTCTTGGCCTTGAAGCTGACCACGTTTTTGGAGCCGGAGCACCGTGTTGTGGTGCCATGTGGTCGCTGCAAGGATAAGACCCCAGAGATTCTTCGGTTCCACCCTGGCGTCAATGGCAAGCCCATGATCGATGAGAACGGTATGGTTTCGCTCCGCGATGGCCACGTCAAGCTGATCGCCTCTGCTTGGTGTGCCAGTACATCCCATCACCGTGGCCCAGGCACAAAGTTCAGTTTCCAAGTGGAGTTGTCCGGCATGAGCCGCCACCAAGTCGAGCCCGTGCTCGTGTATGAGGGACGCAGCGACGAGGTCGAGATCTATGCTAGCCATGGACGTGACAAGGGCACAAGGATTGCCAATAAGAACCTTGAAAAGGCTGCGTAAGTATATTTTCATTACTGCTGGGAGAATTGAGAGCAAATCATGCATACTGCGTGCTCTCTTGCTCTGCATCCCGCAGGGGGGAGGGGTTTATAAAGTCGCTTGTGCGGCGTGTTACGTTCGATGGTGGGTTCTGTAGCTGACTCATTTTTCGTACTCTCTCTATGGATACCTTCCAACAGGAAATCGCATTCGCCACCGTTTTCGGACCGTGGCCATACTGGCCCCCCTTCTCCGGCAAAGACGACGGCGTCGAGTCCGCCCAGTTCACCCTCGACCACGTCAACTCATTATGAGACTGGCCCCGCAAAGAAGCGGAGGGAGGATCCGCCATTGACGCCTCCGATGGCCGATTCTGACATGCCACCGACGATCAGGAGTTTGGAGCCCAGGAAGGGCCCAATCTGCCGTGAGAACCATGTCATTATCATCGGATCCAACTTTTCGCGGGGTATGACGCCCATGTTCGGACGCGAGTATGGAACAGTCGTTGACATCAACCCCTTTTACATTGAGTGCACAACTCCAAGATACCCCACCACCGAGACTGTCCGCATTTGGATCTATCATAACGAAAACTACATTTCAACCGACAAGACCTACGAGTTCACTGATGAGCAGGCACAGAGCGACATGGAACAGCTGCTGAGGAACTTGATTCAGGATGGTGAAAGTGGTGACGCTGGCTCATACTTGTCGCTGCTGGAGCGTATTGCGGGTCTCCCGCCCTCGACCGATATCTCTGGTCAGACCCAGTCCAATGGCTCGACCATGCTGCACAACTCTGTCTTTCTCGGCTATCAAATGGGAATCAACCTGCTGATCGAGGAGGGCATTGAGCTGGATATCGAGGATGACTCTGGACTGACAGGTAAATTTGATGGCTCTTTTTTTTTTTTCCTGTTCTGTGTCCATAGTGGTTTTTGGCCCGGAACGCAGCTTTGGCCTGATTCTGATCCCCCCCGTCTATTTTTTCATTTTTCAAAATAGCACTCGACTATGCAATCTTCACCAACAATGTTGAAATCACGGAAGCACTACTCCTGGCTGGTTCGATGCCCTCCTATGAAAGACTGGCGACACTGGCCCTTACGCCCTCGACTGAGATGTCGAATCTTTTGTGGAACATGTGCGGCGTCGAGATTTCAGAGCGTCCACCATCAGGTGCACTCGAGGTCGAGGTCACGCCAGCGACCGAGATCTACAACGAGTCATCTGCAGGAGCACTGATCCAGGAGATCATTGAGGAAGAGACAGAGGCCAGGCTCGCATCCGATTCGCAGGATTTTGATGAGCGCATGTCACCGCCACCATTTTCATCCTCTGCCCCCGCCTCTGAACATCCCAGGGCGACGTCAACGAGGAACCCTCGTCCTCTCTCGATTGCAACGGTCGTGACCCAATCCACCGGGATGATGTCGCTCGCGCCCACCATGTCTACGATGGCTCTCTCCTCCACCTCCTCCACCCAGTCACGGCCGCCCGTTTCCCTCATGGGTGGGCGTCCAGCAAACGCAGGCACCAAGGGCGGTTTGGAGAACATTTGGCTGTGCGCCAAGAAGGGCAATCTGACTCTTGTTGAACATCATCTGCAGAAGGAGCCCGGTTTGATCAACGCGCCATGGAAGTTTGATGGTCGTTCCGTGCTCAGCAGTGCCTGTGCTTCGAGCCAGCCACATGAATTGGTCGAGTACCTGGTCCAGCGTGGGGCGCAGGTTAATACTGCTGACACGTTCCACAAGCGGACGGCACTCCACACGTTGTGTGAGGAAGGTGGTCTTTCCCAGGATGAATGGCGTATTGTTGTGTCGCAAGCTGATCAGGATGCCAACGAACGGGATGTTTTGGCGGCGATGCGGTTCCTGTTGGACCACGGAGCTGTTGTGGACGCCAAGAACCACTGGAAGGAAACCCCGTTGATGCGTCTCCTTGCCGGGCGAGACTGTCCTCTGATGGTGCAGGAGCTGTACAGCCACGGTGCGGACTCGAGACTGAAGAGCTCAGGCAATGCGTACCCACACGGAACAGCGCTATGCTACGCTGCGTTCTATGGCCGTATCCAATCACTCAAGTGGATGGTCGAGAACGATATGTTCCTCAATGACGAGGCCAATGTCAAGGAGGCGATTCGATGGGCCAAGTTGAGCAAGGGTGAGTCGTCTCTGGGCAGTCCTGGGGCGCCTGTTGTGCAGAGCGCCAGCATGGCCAAGAAGAAGGAGGAGCGCAGGGCCGAGGCGGTCCGTTTGCTGGAGAGCTGGTTGGGCGAGAATGGTCTTGGCAAACGTAAAGCCCTGGCCATGGAGGTCACTGCTCATTCGGGCGATGATTGGTGGCGCCGGATGAGTGGTATCGTCGAGGAGGTCTCTGGCAAGGTCAAGGGAGGATCCTCCGTGGATTCGAACGTCCACAAGATGCCATCGGAGATGACGCCGCTGTGGAGGGAGGTTCAGGTTCTTGCGGACAGCTTGTCGCAGGGTCCGGACACTGTCTCTAGCCCTGGCAATCGAATGAAGTGGTTGACCATGCTGCGAAAGTAATTTTTTTCTCCCTTCCCCCCCTCTCTCCCTCTCTGCCTCTTTCTTTCCGTGCTCTTTTATGGGGGGGTTTTTTTTTGTTGTATCTAGTTTAGTTTTTGACTTTTTGTGCCATATGCCGCCATTTTTTGTTGTTTGTATAATGTATTTTAATCATTCTGTCCCCCGCCAAAAAATAAAATAAAATAAAATAAGTTACGAAACGAAAATCATTTCTGTAGAGTGCTGTCGCGTACCACGACCGGAAGGATCAGGTCGACTCTTGGACCACCCCCCTTGGGGGCAACGCGTGCGATCGTTACACAAGGACAAAAGACACATAGAGAGAAACCCCCCACCCCCCTAAAACTGTATATATTCCATAGTTCTGTATCTGATTTATTATTTCTCCCACCTAGTGTTAGTAACTTGAATACAATCCTACGCTTTCTCCCCTTGACTTTGGTGTATCTACCCCTTCCTTTGCTCTGTTTTTGCTCTGCCCCTTTTGCTTAGAAAAAGGTCATTCTGACTCTGAATAAGCATAGGTTCACGACAGGTAGCTATGCGTGTTCAATAAAAAGGAAGGAGGGAGATGTTAAAAAGGTCAAGACGATGCATACGTTTTTTTTTTTTTTTTTTTTTTTTTTTTTTTTTCTTTTGTGGTGGTTATGCAAAGAGAAATGCCGTACTATATTTGTTGTTGTATAGTTCACCGGAGTCAGACACCTAAATAGGCTGTACATATATGTTCTTCCAGCTGTACGTTAAACCTAATAGGTCTTCGAATCGATTCGACTCTCCGGGGAGGTGTTGATTTATAATGGTGATGAGGAGTCCGTAGAACTCAAATGTATAGAGGAGGAGGGGTCTATCGATGGTATAAGAGTAAATTGAGGTTAAGCCTTGGATACGGATACTTGTAGGACTATAGGTACATTATTTGTAATGACGGTATTCAAACCAGAAAAAAAAAAAAAAAAAAAAAAAAAAAAGAGAGAGAGAGAAAGGCGGAGAACTTACGTTGCGGACCAAATTGTTTTAGCATACAGCAGCTATAGCTTTGAAGGATATGGGTATCCAAACGGATTTTCTAGACAAAAAAAAAAAAAAAAAAGTTCCAAACAGAAATTGAGAAATTGTTACTCATCTAAGGGTTATCATTCGACTCGCCGCGTGGATTCAGTATAGATCTTTGTCCCTCGAAAGAGCAACCAGCCTTAACGCAGTGTGCGACCATGAGGGAATGGGGGGATCGTAAACGGCTACCGTAGCAGAAGGAATATTTGGACATACCTGGTTGAGACTACAATACCGCTTAGATCAATAATACAATCCCTTAACGACATGGACTAGAGGATAAAAAATAATAACAATAATAAAGGCCCCGGCCCTATTCCATGTAATAGACATGTTCTCGCGGGCGGCTACCAGGTTGATGTCGGAATACCAGGGGCTACCAGGTCGATCTCAGAATACCGGGGGATTGAAGTTGGTCCCTATTCGCAATTCCTCCTCGATATTCTTCTTTAGATAATCGAGTTCCTTAGGCGAATAACGTGGTGTCCATCCCAACGTACACTGGCTTCGCTCCTGGAACGACGTTAATCTCATGCTTCCATGACTCCATTGAAGTCGAGATGTGTTTTTTTGTTGTCGCGTATTCAGAACGTCGTCTTTTCTCGCCCTGCCTTGACGCGGTGCAGATGTTGTTGTTCCATCCATTGTGATGTGGTGATTTTGATTTGTATTTGTCCATCGTTGATGCGTAAGGAAGGCGCGCACGCGTATCTATACATACACATTTATATACAAAAAAAAAAAAAAAGCATGATTAGGACAGTTGAATCAATCAGGACAAGGCATGTGGTGCTCGTCTCTTGAACCACCTCTCAAAGCCTTCCTTCTACTCCTTACTTTTGAAATGTTTCCGAGAGGTGACCACAGTATAGAATGGATGAAAAATAGTCGCTATCGGGCGGATATATCGAATTAATATGGACCACATCCCCCATCATCCTTGGTGTGTCATGGGGGGTTTTTTTTGCAGGACAGCGTCCGATCGGGAAAGCCGACTAGACTATTTATTTATTCAGCCGCGAAGCCCAAAAAAAAAAAAAAAAGGGAGAGAGAAGACCGTTAAACTGGTACATTCAAGAAATTATCGCTATCCGATGTATTTTCCACCACGATCCCACACACACACACGCTCTCTCTCCCTGAATCTTTATGCAGAAGTGAACGACTTACCACCTTCGGGTGTCGTTCGATACGAACCAATCACCCCTATCGCCTGCTGCTGTTTTCAAGGGAAAAATAATAATAACACGGGGTTAGCGCGCTGCTCAGGATTATCATATTCATTTTACCCTGAATTAATGTGGAAACACAACCTCAAAAAAAGGAAAGAAAAAAAAAGACAAGGGGGGGGGGTTCATTCGAGAACTTTCCACTGTTGAGAATCACTTCTGCATAATCGCGCAGAAAGCATGTCAGAGGGAGGTCTCGGGGGAGAGGGGCCACACGATATAGTCGCCATTCCTGAATGAGTGATAGGCCAAGCAGCACCAATGACCAAAAAAAAAAAAAAAAAAATTGCTACACACATTACAGTGTATCAAATTCTGGCCAGGAACGCGATTCCCCTTCGTCCACCCGTCCCCCTCTCCCTTTTTTTTTTCTAACAAACATAACAAACAATGAATCCAACGCAGGTCAGAAAGCAGTGATTGGTGCTACGCGATACGTTACGTGTTTCATGGGCAGAAGGGGTGCTTTGAACCAAAAAAAAAAATGAAGATAAAACAGACCCAGCCTGCCCAGTTTGAGAGGTTTGCCAGCCGCCTCTCCCTCCCCCTCCTCCTCTTCCTCTCTCTCTCTATATATATATATATCTATCTATCTATCTCTCCCCTACCGCAGCCTGGGCCGCTGTAGCGATACGTGATGTCAGACGCTTTGGGAAGAAAACGGGATGCGGAAAGAAGGAAAGGGGAATGAGAATGAAAATGTGAATCAGGAACCGTGCTTTTTTTTTTTTTAGTTTGGCCAATCACGTGTAAGATCCCTCTTTATGCATCGTTGCCACCAAAAAAAAAAAATTCTAAGTCTTCAATAGCCTACTGAAATGTATGTGCTACATTCATGTACGTACATGGGGGGATATATGGGCTGCAGCAGGTTCGAAGGGGGGAAGGAAGTGTACATGTTTTTTTTTTAAAGCTCGACAACCGCCGCCTCGCTGCTTTCCTCCGCGTTCACCTCCACCTCCACCTCCGCCTCCACCTCCTCCTCATCCTCCTCTGGCACATCTTGGAACGTGATCATGGCCGTCGTAGGATCGTCTGGGTTCAATGGCTGAAGCAAATCCTTGTTCCGCGCAAAAGTATTATCCCGACCCCATCTGGCCCGGAAGAACCGAAAGATCGAAGGCATCTCATCCACGAGCGTGAAATCAAACTCCTCAGTCCCGGCCTTGACACAGTTGCAACCGGCGTGATCCCTGTATTCGACCATACCCTTTTCCTCAACTTTGGACTGAATGAACCCGGCGGCATTCTAGGGGGGATGCACAGTAGTTATTGGAATCATCCATGTAAGTAATCACCATGGTATGACCTTTTTTTTTTTTTTTGTATTCAGGAAAAACACATTGTCGCATCGAACAAAGACCGGGGACTTTCTTACCAGCGACCACCACTTTTGAAACATTGGCTCAGGGACAGAGTCGATCGTATGTGTACCATCGATCACCGCGATAGCAGCGACACGGTCTTTGAAAAAATCGACTATGAAAAAAAAAATTGCAAGGCAAGATAATATGGATCAGGCCTGGGATCCAAGGAAGGCAAATGGCCACATTCTCTGCAAACACCTGTGCTTACACTGCGTGTGGAGAGCCGTGATCAATGCATGGGCACCGTACTTGTGAGCCATGATGAAGATTTCTTTGGAGGCAAAGTTCCTAAAAGCGCGACCAGAAATGTCGAAAAATATAACCGATTTTAGGCCTTGATTCACACCTAACGAACAGACTCTCGATTTCCTCGAAAAGCACACAAATGCAACGGCACTTTACTGTATGAAGTTCCGGAAGACGTAGTCGACGTGTACTTCCGGTGACTCCAGATCTATTTTTTGGTCCCATATGAAAAAAAAGATGGGATTCATGTATTAGGCATTGCAAGCTTGACCTTGTCTCATTTCGGGCAATGGATCACTTCCTCCATTCTCAGGCTTACGAGGGATAATGGCATAGTCCTTCTTGGTGGGGACCAACACCTATCAAATGTGCAGAAAACGATGCGTTAGCTCATATCCTGTGGATCATCCCATCATTCCTTTTCAGCGAGCTTTGGGAACGGGATTTGTTCCTTACCGATTCACGGCCATCGACCCACCAATGAGCATTTGGGTTGAGAATCGCGATGCCGTAGCCCTCGGCATGAGCCTGCTTGACAGTGGTAAGCATGGATCCGATCTAGTTTTTTTTTTTTTTTTTTGCCGTTTTCGTTAGTTGTGTCAGGACAAGCACGCAGTAAAAAAGTTGTGTATTGAACAAATAGAATTTAGCTTGTACCTCGACACTGTAGTTGCTGAGCAACCTACGAGACCACATGCCTAGACTATGTGGATCGCAATTTCAAAAAAAAAAAAAAGATAGTTAGAGCGAGAAAAAGCTAATTCGATGAGACCCTTGTTACCAAAAGTGTAACACACGCCAAGAATCCGTCGTGGTTCATACGATTCTACGGTGCCTGGGACGAGAACCAACAGGCGCTGGGCTTCCTTCGCGTTTGATCTATAAGCAGGGAACAAAATCAACCGAGTCTTTTGTTTGCACGGATGGACATTCACATTTCCATTGGAGAGTGCGTCCTTTCCATATCGTGCACCACATGGGCCCACTTACGACAGCAAGATATGGGCTCGAGGCGAGGTTGTGTCGGTGCCTTTGATCCCGAGGGGCACGGTTGCTTTGACCAGATCGCACTCGTCCTCCATCCTCTTCAGCATCACGTTCATGGCGGCAGCTGTTCCGCGAATACAATGTTAGGAAGAGAGACAAGAGGGGTCATGATCAATACCGATGCATGGAGAGAATAAAGATTAAACCGGCTCAGTGTTTCCTCAGCGGCAATACGAAAAAATCAAATGTCCTCTTACCGCTCAAGGCGCGTCCATGTGCCTCCTGATAGTCTCTGTCCTTGGCCTTGAGATCGAATGCGTATCGTTTTCCTAGTGTGATGTGGGGGCCGTTGGACGAAAGGGTGAGCTTGTATCCTCGGGTTGGGAGAGAAGGGACAATGTTCGCGCGTGGCTACATACAGGCCCCTCTTTTGTGCTGGCGTACCTTCTTTGTCAATAAGGTGACCCTGTTCATTGATGGTGAATCCGAATTCCTCAAGGGTGTCTCCAAAGACAGGTGTCGGGGCTTTCTTGATGCGGCGGCGATACATCGGTAGGTGTCAGTGGCAAAATGACCAAAAAAAAAAAAAAAAAAAAAGAAAAAAAAAGAGGGCAATCGCGTGAGTGCTGTGCTGTACTGAAGCTGATCGCGTGGCGAGTAGAGCGAGGAGAAAGGATGGGATTGGAAGAGGAATGTGGAATGTGAATGTGGGGCGTGGGGTGTGAATGGCGAAGGAAAGACCATGCATGTTCTAAAAGGGTCTTTCAAACAAAAGGATGTTTATTTCCCGTCACATTTTCTTGAACTTTGAACGCATTTTTTCCTTTATTTGCAAATAAATGAATGAAGCCCGCGCGCTTTCGTTATCCCTGGCTGGAAGGGGTGGGTGGTGGTCCCTGAAAAAAGAAATTGCATGGTTCCGCGAGGGCTCAGTTCATGTACCCTTTTCAATTGCCTCCGGCAATTCAGCTCAGTGCCGCAGATACACACCCTCATTCCATTACAAGATGAGCAGATGGATGAGAAGTCGAGAGAGGAAAATCAATTGATGGCTCACTCAGCAGACAGAGTGGTCTTTTTTCTCCTTCTACCCCAACCCCTCCTTCTTCATACCACAGCCATGTGATGATACCACCGGATGGAGGAAGGCAAAGGCAGTGGGATGGGATGGAGCACGTCGGCAAGCTGCTGTGCGTGTGTATGCGAGTGTGCAGTCTAGGGATGGGAGCTTGGACAGCGAGATATCGGGTTAGACATGGACCAGGGAACAGTGAGTGGGACACCCATGGGACGGTTGCTTTCCCATTGCTGGACATGGGGCGGCACATACCCATAGAACGGGGGCAGACAGAAGACGGACAAGGTTGTCCGTCTGTTCAAGGGAAAAGGAAAAAAAGTCCATTCTTTCTAAGCGGGAGACCCGCATGATTTTTTTTCTTGTTCTCTTCTGTTTGTCTGCGTGTTTGTTTGTTTGTTTGTTTGGTGGAGCGCACTGCGGTTCTTTCGCATTAAAGAGTATTTTAAACAGCAACTTTAATTCTTCACATTCAACTTTGATTTTCTTTTTTTTTCCCTTTTCCCCTTCCGACAGCCGCCCCTCTTCCCTCTCGTCGTCGTCGTCGTCTTCATCCTCCTCCTCTTTCCTTCCCTGTCTTTTCCTTCTTTCCTTTTTGTCCTTTTTGCTTCATTTGTCTCTGTCTCTCTCTCTTTCTCCAAACAACCGCACCCTGACTCATTTTACTTCACAGCCCGCTCGCTATCACCCACCCCGACTCTGCACCTCTCACCCTGCCCTCTCCACAGCAGTCAACCGGCACCCACACTCTGCCTCGTTCTTCATTCCTCTCTTCAGCTCAGCACCGGTGCTGTGTACAAGCAACAACGGGTAACGTTGCAACTCGCCCTTGTTCCAACCATACCACCCACAGTGTGTTCCTTTTCCCATTCTCATTCACCGATCATTGCAATGAGGGGAGCAACCTCATTAGCCATTGCGAGACAAAAAGGAGCGAAATAACTAAGCGTACGGAGGGTTTTGTCTTGAGAGTGCTCTTCTCGTTCTGAACCTCACCCAGTCTTCCTAGGGCATACTATTTCTATTTTTTTGGAGTACAGAATTACACCATGGGTTGTTTGTAGCAGCGGAGGAGGGAAACAGCCCTTTTCTGCTGCGTATCTCTTTATGATAATGATATTATAGTTTTTATTGGTTTTTTTTTTTTTTTTTTTTTTTTTGTTGCCCCCGAATGACTATACGAGTCGTGCGCTGTTTTTTTGTTTGTTTATTTGTCTATTCAATATGCCGGCCCCTTCTTTTCTTCTTTTCCCTCCTGCCCATCCTCTGGATTTTTATTTTTTTTTCCTTCTGGTTCTTCATTCCTTCCTTACTTCCTTCCGCTGATTTTCTCTCTCTCTCTCTCTCTCTCTCTCTCTCTCACACTCTCTCTCTTTCTCGCAAACATACACAGACGTACAAACGCAACCAACAGGAGGCCCATTTCAGACCTAGGTTTCCCTTTGCATACCTGCCACCACCGTTCGCATTGTGAGTACGCTTTTCTTCACTGTGCCCAGTGCTCCGTCTATGCGGTTTTTGTTTATATTTTTTTGGGGAGTGGGGAGTAGGAGTGGGGGCAGAGAAAGGTTGTTTGCCTTGGCGGTCAATTAGCCTTTGTCATCCCAGCTGATGGGTCCGATGTGATGTATCTGTGCATTTGTGCATTTGTATTGTGTGGTGCTGATGTGTATATACGGCAGATGTTTGTCCGCTCCTTGCTGTGTCCCAGTTCTTCCCTCCTTCCCTCTTTCTTTTTTGATTATTTGATTAAAGGGCAATGTGAATGGATGGTGGTTATTAGTGATAAAAAAAAAGAAAAAAGAAAAAAAGAAGAAACATGACTTGGATGGATGAGTCCCTAGTCTACAGCTGCGTGTGTGTGTGTGTGTGTGTGTGCGTGTATGTCATTTCTCATTTTACTTTACTGCGCTGTTATATTGGGTTGAATTGATAAATACAATATGTTCCAACTCAATTATCATTTTTCTTCTGTCTGATCGCAATCTTTTTTTTTTTTTTTTTTTTTCATTCTTTGGGTGCAACAATTCGTAACCGTTTTTTTGTTTGCCTGTCCGTCTGTCCGTCTGTTTGTTTGTTTGTTTGTGTGTGAGTGTTTATGTTTATCTCTGTAAAGTCAATGTCCATGGCCATGTCCATCCCCTCCCCTTCCCTCCCCTCCCTCCTTTCCCTCCCTTCCTTCCTTCCCTCTCTCTCTTCTCACACTTCTTTCCTCTTTCCCTCTTCCCCTTTTTTACATTATCATTTCTCTTCTTCTGTCCACCGCCCATTCGTCCATCCACCCTACCCACCATTGCAGCAGTGCACCAGTAGACTTTCCTGTATGTCTCCTCCTCTCACCAAGGAAACCCGATAATCATGTCCCTGCGTGTTCTCTCTCCTCCCCTCCAACCCACCATCCTGCTGCACCCACGCCTGTGCCTGTGCCTGCCTGTGTCTGCCTGTGCCTGTGCTTGTGCTTGTGCATGTGCATGTCCTTATTCCGGACCACACCCTTGTACCGCACCTCACATTTCACACCCCACTTGCACCTACTTGCACACAGGCCTTGACATGGCAGACAGAAAATAGAGACGACACTGTCCAGTCTTGTCTTGCCATGTCATGTGTTGCCGTTATTCCACTACCATTCCTCTTGACTGTCGATCCCCTTCAACCATTTGTTTCCAGATGGAAGTGTATCCTCTGTGCCAATTGACCGGGCGGTTGATTGGTGTGCTGTCTTTGTTTTGTTAGCGTCCTTTTGATGTCTTTCATTTCCTTCTGTGAGATCGTCTACGTGGATGGACAGTATCGAAATGGTCATTGTTGTTTTTATTATTAATATTGTCTGTGGGCATATGGTCATCGACCATGCCCTTTTCCCTCCACTCTGCTCTCCTCTCTTTTGCTCTCTCGCTAATCTCTCTTCCCCCCCCTCTTGTTCATTTACTCCGTCCGCCGTTGTCTGCGGCCTGTTGTACACACTTTGTTCCTAACGACTCTTCACTCTCAATTGCTCTCAAAATAGAATTTGTTTAATTAAGACTTTTCCCTCCCTCGCAGCTGCCCACGCGCCATATCTCTTTTCCCCCGTCTACAGCAGTCGACTGCACACTCCGTCCACATCCTTGGCCCGCACCCATGCATCACCACCAGCCATACCCGCACCACCCGCAGCAGAATCCCTACCCACCGCCTCCACCGGCCATCCTCCTGGAGATGGACCACCCCCATCATATGCAGCAACTCCCATACGGCTCCCCAATGCCGCCCCAGCCAAGGGGCCCTTCCCACAGGCGATCACACTCCAGGTCAAACTCGGCTGTCTATGGACCCCCTCCTCCACATGGCTCCTTCCCCGGGCCACATCACGAGATGGCCCCTCCCCCGGCGCCAGCCTTCCAGGGACACGGCTCCTTCCATATTCCTCCTCCTCCTCCCTCCATCATTGCACCACCGCCTGAGCCAATCCCTGTAGAGTCAAGGCACCATGCCCGCTCTCACTCCCAGTCCATGCCCATGCCCATGCCCATGTCCATGTCTCCCTATCCACAGTCATCACACCACACCAACGATCCCTCCACATGGTCTGTCCCGCCTCCTCAACACCCCTCAACCTTCGGTCCACCCTCAGACCAGCATCTCCACCAACGTCCTCCACACCACCCTCATCCATATCATCCCAGCCAACCGGCCTCGTTGTCGCGCCCGCCCTCGCGTTCACATTCGCGTACGCACTCGCGCTCGCAACCCCAGTTTGCTCCTCAGCACGCGATCCTGTCCCCTCCTCCTCCAAGGCACGCGTCTCCCTCTGTTCCTGTTGTAGCTCCACGGTATCCTCAGGAGATGCCCTACCCAGAAAGAGTCGATCCTGTCCGCTTCCCCGCTCCAACATCGCAGCACCATCCTATGCAGCGTCCCCCCATGGCAGAGGAGGAAGAGGAGAACGATGGCGAAGTCGTCCAGGATGCAACGCTGGCTCCTCGTCGCGCCAGTGCACAGTCAGCATCCATAGTGGATGAGGACAATGCGTTTTTGAGCAAATGCCCCGACTGTGGCAAGATGTACAAGCATGCAACATCGTTGTTGAAGCATCGCTGGGAGCATTCTATCTATTGGAAGGTAATGCAAAACATCCGAATCAAGCGAGCAAACAAACAAACAAAGCAAACAGCTCTAGCTGGAATCTCTCCTAGCCCCATTTCCGCTAACCACCGCTTACTCTTTTCTTTTGCAATGAATCATGCATAGCCCGCGACCAAATTCTTGCTGTCCAAGCACCAGCAGGTGCAGCTGATGGAGGCTGCATCGATCCTTCTGGGCATGGACGAATCCCGTGATGGCGACAAGGACGCGATCGTCAGCATGTTCATCAAGCAGCGTGGCCAGCTGGCGACCGGCACTTCCACGGCCTCAGCCTCACCACCAACGTCGACAAAGTCCCTCTCGGGATCTCCACCTCCGATGAGCGAGCGTGCAATGGCCATCAGCGGGCCCGAGTCCGGCTCGATGATGAGCCCACCCCAGGCCTACCATGGCAGCAACAGAGTTTCCAACATGGCAACGAGGCACTCGGTCACATCGACGACCTCGACGGCCTCGTCCTTGTCTTCCACCCCCCCTTCCTTGGCCCCTGATGATGAGAGTGTTGCAGAGATGGAGGAGGATGGCAGGATGTCGGCGCCACCACAGTTCCGGCATCATCATCATCACCATCAGCAGCAGCCACAGCCACAGCCACCGCATCATCATCATCAGCAGCAGCATCACCCCCAGCATGCACAGCATCCTCAAGCAGTACCTCCTCACGCCCCATCCATGACGATGGGTATGGGTATGGAGATGGGGCAGAAGCACGGTGTGGAGCCACACTACTACCCGCATGACCCTCGCTATAATGCGTCATATCATCACCATCAGGCACCACAGCATGCACAGCAGTACCCACCATATTACCATGAACACATCATTTGATTTGATTTGATTTGATTTTCGCTTTTTTGCTGGTTCCTGTTCTGTTTCTGTTTCGTGCATCTTTTCCACTTTCTTTTATATGTGCCTTGTTATTCTTTTTTTTTTTTTTTTTTTTTTTTTTTTGCTGCTCGCTTTTTGTTTTGCGTTTTACTCGTTCATCAATCCCACACACACACACACATGCACACACGCCCATACGCACACTGTACATATACATTTGCCTTATTCCGCTCTCTCTCGTCCGTTTACTCTACTTTCGCCCCTTCCGAATTAAAAAAAAAAAATTACAAAAAACAACAACATTGTATCCGAAAAAGAACAAATAAAAAAATACAAAAAGAAAAAAAAAAGAAGGGCGGTTCATTGTTCATGAATATATGATGATACTTTTGCTTGTTTGTTTGTTTCGTAGTAAATGGTTTCTATTTATTGTTATTTATTTTATTTTATTTTTTTGCGTAGAAGGAAATTCGAGGGTTAGAGAAAGGATCTATATCTATGCCAAGAGATCTCGGACAAAGGTCTCGTAATTGACGTTTCCGTCCTTGTCAATGGCGGCGCTCTGCAGGAATGCGTCGATCTCTTCCGGGGTCAATGCCTCTCCCATAGTCGCCAGCACTAACAAGGAAAAAGGAAAAAAGAAAAAGGAAAAGAAAAAAATGAGAAAAATATCCGGTTCCTTTTCATTTCTTCATAAAGATCGAACATGGAGACATGGACATGGACATAAAGAAAGAGAGAAAGAGAGAAAGAGAGAGGGAGAAAGAGAGAGAGGGAAAAAAAAAAAAACTTACCATGACGGAGTTCTGTGACAGAGATGGATCCGGTGTTTTCGGGATCAAAGGCCTTGAATCCATCGATGAGTTCCTCGGGAGTGCCCGCAGGCTTGAATCCGTCCGGGCGCAAAGCGATCTTTGTGAACGTATCGAACGTCATGGTCGTAACACCTAAACAAAGTAAATTCCATTTCTCAGTTGAGTAACCAAAAAAAAAAAAAAACTACCACACCCTGCCTATCCTTTGCAAAAAAGAAGAGAGAGAGAGAGAGAGATGGGACAATTGGGGTCACGAAATCAAGTTGAAAAAAATAAAAAACATTACCCGAAGGATCGGCTTGAGCGACGAGTTCCTGGATCTCGGCTTGGGTGGGGTTCTGACCAACGGAGCGCAACAGGTCGCCGAGAGAACTTGTAGGGACATTGCCCGTACCCTTGCGGTCAAACAAGTTGAACGCGTCCTTCAGTCCTGAAGATGAAAAAAAAAGAGGAGATTAGTGCAAACATCCAGTAATAGCAACGAAAAGGATCTCCTTCGTATTGCGTATGCGTATGCGTGCGAGGAGTGAGAGTCGAGTTGAATGTTCAGGTACGCGTACGCGTTATGGATTCGGTCCCTCATCCGAAAGGGATTACTTGCATCCCGAAAGGGTGGTCTCATCATCCTGCTGTGTGATTCGTTTCGGTGATGAACCATCGTCCATTTTTTCCTCCTGAAGTGTTCTTTTTTGTCCAAACACTATAGCGTCCATTTGCTTGAAAGAAAGAGAAAGAGAAAGAGAAAAAGAAAGAAAGAAAGAAAGAGAGAGAAAGAAGAAAAGCAGCTGAGAAGGTGTTTGAGGGGGGTCGTACCCTTGATCTGATCGTTGTTGACGGCAGCCTAAGAGAGGTGGAGAGAGAGAGAGAAGTAGGATGAGAAGCGTCAGTTTCGTTTCGTTGGTGTGCCTGAGCCTTCGCATTTTCACAGTGAGACGATAAAGCAAGATCCATCGAGATATTTCCACACGAACCATTTTTGCTATTTTGCTTGTCTTGTTTCCTTTTGGGTCTGTGTTTGTGTTTTGCGAGTGGAGTAGGGTGGAGGTGAAGAAGAGTGGGAAGGGAGGAAAAAGAGAGTGGGAGATGGATGAAAAGATGATGAGACAAACTCAAGGATGGAGTCCCCTTTTTTTTTGCATGAGGTCAAGTTCCACCCCCCCCCCCTCCTTTCCCCTCCTGGAGGCTCGCACGTGACGTGATCAGGACCCTGGAATCGATCCAATCGACCCCTGTCCTTTGGACTTGACTGCACAGCTCAAAGTGGCACTACGTACGTGCACCCCTGTGGACTGGTGGGATATACGCGAGGGTCTTCTTATTGTTTCATTGTGGAGAGAAACAACGCTAGGTCTTTGGTCTTTTCCTTGTTGGTGCAAGAGAGAGAGAGGACACGAGCAAACAACCGGTCGTCGATTATGAAACCAAAAGGAGTCTTCAATTGCTATGCCTTGGTCAAAGACATGCTTCCTTGTTCTGGACATACTGCACATCCCTACATAGGACATGCATAGTGGTGGGCGAGGGCGCAATTTTCGTCCATGGAGGCGTAGTTTCTTTTTCTTGCTCCATCCATGTGTGTTGCTTGGCATAAATTTCTCCCCTCTCTACTTTACGATACATGGAAAATGCATGCTCCTGCCTCCTGATGCTCCTCCTGCTGACGCTCCTCCTGCCGGTGCCACTTGCCCCTACTTTTGGATTACCCCCAACAAGTTTTTCTTCAGTGTGATAGAAAATAATAGTATAATAAAAGTGAGCATGCTGCCGGACGAGGTCATGCGGGAATGGACCGCGGCGAGCGAGCGCAGTTTGCGATAGAGTTGACTGCCTTGAAGAAAGTAAAGAAAGAAAGAAAGAAGGAAAGAAAAGGAAAAAGATGGTGAAGATGAAGGAGAGGAAGGGAGCGTGGCCGAATCACATCCCGCGAGTGGGATCACGCTGAGCATGGTAACCAGCCCATCATTCTGCCGCACACCGGACAGAAGGGCGTTCCAAAGCGAACGAGGCCGCCTTCCTTTTGTGTGCGTGTCCACTCTTTATCTCTCTTTCTTCCCCCCTCCTCCCCCTTTCTTCTCGATTCGTTTCTTTTCCCCATCCGCTCCTTTTGTTCATTCATTCATTCATTCATTCCTCTTCTTGTTCACTCGCTCCTCCTTCTTCGTCTTATACACTTCCCTGCCGTGCTTCTTTGTGTTCCTTGTACTTCTCTTGACTTTGCCCAGACAAAGTCTTTTCTTTCCTTGTCCCCAAACAAACAAGAACCCTGTCCGTAACTTTGTCCTCCACCGACTCCCAGGAAGGAAACGCTGATCAGCTAGCAAGGCAGGTTCGACTCGATGCCCAACAAGAATGGCTATCTGCCCCTAGGCCAGGACGAACAGGATACTCCATATGAGGAACAGGAGTCACAGGAAGGAGCCGACGACACCAGGACTCCTGCTCAGACACACAACACAAACCATGCGCAAGCTGAACACGAAGGAACACCTCAGCGCCAGGGCACCGTCACACTGGACAGGCAAAGCAGCAACAATGATACCCGGCAGTCTTCTGCTGTGGCTGTCTCTAAGCACCAGCACCAGCAGCACCAGCAGCAGCAGCCCACTCTGTCTACCACGACTGCGACCGCGACCGCGACTGCGCCAACAATCCAGCAGTCGACTGTCACCACCATCCAAACCTCACAGGTGCGACCCACGCCCTACATGACCGTGTCTGCGCCAGTGGCGGGAACAGAACACTCGAATTCGTCCACGTTTCAGTTCACTGGCTTTGGCACCAAGCACAAGAGTCTCCTCGGCACCAAAGACAAACCCTCAATGTCCTCCTCCTCCAACAGCAACGGCCACAGCAGCTACAGCTCTGGCTCAGCCTATGCCCGATTGACAGGATCGAACCCAGACGACAATAGTAGAGCACCAGGGGGAGGAGGCCCAGGTCTGGCCCATCTTCGTCCTAAGCAGCATCCGCACACGACCCACTCGGGTCCACGGGGGATCGAAGAGTCGCAGAAACGAGAGGTCCTGCGGGAGATCCGACCGGACCCACATAATTTACCAGAGGAGCTCTTACGGGAGCAGGCCAGGAGTGGTGCGGCCGTGGATGCGATTGCGAACGGCGGTCTCTATCCACAGGACGGCGGGATCCATCCGCTTACGTTACCTGGTAGCCCCGGCAGTAATCCAGCGGGCCATGTCACAGGAGCGGGTATAGAGAGGAGAACGCTGCTTGGGGCGGGCGACGGTCTGGGTCTGGGGATCGGGTTGGGAGGCAAGGCCAACACACATTCCTCCAGATGGAACAGGCCGTCGGGCCGACGGCAACGGCGTGTACCGAGCTCGGGACTGGGGCGAGAGTACGATCAGCGAGTGATTCAGTCCTCGGTGTTTACGCCCGTGCTGGAATCCGTGGACGGTAGACAGGTAAAAGAGCTGCTGGTTTTTTTTTTTTTTTTTTTTTTTCCAAGGATTACAAGATAACCATGGGAAAAAGAGTGCCTGAATAGGGGGAGTTGGATCTCTGTTGATATGTGCTCCCGTCCAATACCGCGGATCAACAACAACAACAATTTTTTTACTTTTTTCTACACGGATCACAATGGAGGGGAGGACCCATGCTTCTTCAGCCCCCATCGGACGCATTGGGCTGTGGTTTTTTTTTTTGTTTTGTTATATTTTCCATAACAATGGACAATGAAACCGCACAGGAAAAATATTAACGCGTTGTTTTCTTTCTTTCTTTCTTCTTTCCTTGCGGGACGTTTTTTTTTTTTTTTTTTTTTTTCACTATGCGATTCTGGGATTATTATTATCATTATCATTATCATTATCATTGCTAATTATTTTTTCAGCCGGTGAAGTCTGCTCCAGCACTTACGCCGGACCATGCGGAAGCCATGACGAGCGAACGTTTTGTGTCGATCGTGAATTCTGTAAAGGAGGCGATCCATTCCGGGATCCAACCACTCCGGATTGCGCAGGGATCGTCTGGGTCGTACTTTTGCAGGAACACGGATGGCAAGATTGTCGGGGTGTTCAAACCCAAGAACGAGGAGCCCTATGGACAGCTGAATCCTAAATGGGCTAAATGGATCCACCGGAACTTGTTCCCATGCTGTTTCGGACGTAGCTGGTAAAGTGTCACAGAGGAGGAGGAGAACGGAGGAGGGTCTCTCTCCTTGTCTTGCTAGATCTCTAACGAGAGCTTTTTTTTTTTTTTTTTTTTTTTTTTTGGCAGCTTGATCCCGAATCTTGGATATATCTCTGAGGCAGCAACATCACTTGTGGACCGTCGACTGAAACTCAACATCGTGCCGAGTACAGAGGTCGTCTGGCTGTCGTCCTCTGCTTTCCACTACGATTACCTGGACAGACGGGCGGCCAAGCTCCAGAAGGGCGCGAAGCCATTGCCGGATAAGGTCGGAAGTTTCCAGTTGTTCCTGAATGGCTTCAAGGATGCGAATCTGTTTATGAGGGACCATCCTTGGCCCGTGGAATCGGCCGCCGCCGTCGCCTCTGTGGGGGATGCCAGTGGTGCCAAGGGGAAATACTCGTCCGCATGGAGGCGGTCATCGCCTGACAGCGCACAGAACTTGCAGGACACGGATGGGGCGAGTACTTATGGAAGCATTACAGGGTCAGCGTACGGTGGATTGGTTGGTGGACAGGGCTATGGGCTCGACAAACCGGGGTTTAACTGGACGCCACCATTACAGCAGCAATTCCGGGAGCAGTTTGAAAAGATGATCATTCTGGATTATCTTATCCGCAACACAGGTATGTAAAGGACTCATCAGAAGGGAAAAAAAAAAAAAAAAAAAAAAAAAAAAAAAGGAAGCGGCGCCCGTCCGCCGAGTACAAGAGACGAAGAGAGACAAGGAGAGTGAGTGCAGCGTTTTCAACCAACTATTAACGAGTTCTATCCGGCCCATTTTGGTTGACTGTATAGATCGTGGATTAGACAATTGGATGATCCGGTACTGCGAAAAGGAGGGCATCTCTATTGTGGCGAGTCCCCTGAGTGCGGTTCAAAAGGGCAATATGCAGCAACAGGCAGATACCAGACGGAACTCGAGGATAGGCGACTTGTTGGGCTTGAGCTCCGATCGTGGATCGCTCCGGTCCCTGAGCTCATCTCTGCGCGAGAGCGGAGGTCGTAATGGCATGCTGGCCACCCCTCCCGGGACACCACCACGGTCGAACCTATCCCAGGCGCCGACCTCCGGAGTCGACCTAGTGCAGGACGAGGACACAGGGGGGAGCAGTTCTAGATCAGGATCGCCCGAGGGAGACAGCGCTGCAGGGCCATCCAAACCATTGGACCCTGCTGCGTCGATAGAGTCGTATTATGGGTCCAACCACGTCCATGTGGCGGCCATCGACAACGGTCTTGCTTTTCCGTTCAAACACCCAGATTCGTGGCGGTCGTATCCCTATGGCTGGCTCTTCTTGCCCCGTCATCTCATTTCCCAGCCCTTTACTAAGGCCACGCGCGATCACTTCTTGCCTCTGCTGTCCTCGCCTGTTTGGTGGCGTGAGACGATCGCGGACCTGAGGAGGCTATTCAGCATCGACAGTGATTTTGACCAGGGGATGTTTGACAAGCAGATGGCGGTCATGAAGGGACAGGGCTGGAATATTGTCGAGACGCTGAAGAATCTGGAGCATGGACCCATGGATCTATGTAGACGTGTCGCGCTGGTCGTATGGGATGAGGAAGTGACGTTGGAGCCAGGGGTGTCGCCCTCGATGCTGAATCGGTTGTCAGGACAGCTTAGCACGGAGGGACCTGGTGGAGTGACGTATACGAATGCACAACCCAAGGCGATGACGATGGACGCGTCCAAGGCCAGCTACACACATTACGGCAGCATCATGAGTGTTGGCGATCGATTGTCGACGGCCAAGACGCTCTCGACGTCCTCGACGGCGATCGGGGAGGGGACGCCGTTCCTGAAGTACGACCATTTGCAGGCCAAACAGGGGTCGTTGCAACACCTGGTGATTGATATGGAGGAGGACGCGATGTCGCAGCCGAGGCATGACAGCTTCCGGCAGGTGGTCAGCGATGGGGAGTACGACGACGACGATGATGATGATGATGACGAGGACGCGTTCTCGTATGATGAGGAATACGATGATTTCGACGAGGAGTTGGAGGTCGGTAACTCTGGGTTCCGTCAGGCTGTAGGGTCAGGGTCTCAGACGTTGGCTCCCGTATCGGTCGGGGATATGGTCTCGATCGACATGACGCTGACGAATCCGGAAGCGGCTCGGAGTCATCGTCGACGGGCGAGTCAGCAAAGTGAGGAAGGGCGGTCCCGGTCACGGCGGCGACAACGCAGTAGTAGTGATGCTGTACAGAGTGGTGTTCGTACGCAGGAGAGGGAGGAAGGGGAGGAGGAAGGAGGAGGAGGAGAAGATCCGCGGTCAGGAGCGGGATCACCGAGGTTAGGGAATAAGAAGAGTCATCAACGGAGTAGGACTGAGCAGGATCATCGGACGGGTACGATCCGCTTCGAGAGCACGGCCTTGTCGCCGTCGGTGGATAGGAGTAGGGCTGATTCTGGAGATTTGGAGAGCGGGTTGTTGAATACGTCGTCCAAGGGCAGGGACCCGTTCAAGTCACCGGAGGATGATCGTGTGGCCCACCGCACAGCAGGAGCAGAAACAGCAAGGGCAGAGGAGGAGGGGCGGGAGCGGGAGCAGGAACAGGAGCGTGGACGTGGACGTGGAGTCTTCGCACGTGGGTATGGCGCGATATCGAGTCCTGGAGGCGACAGCAACGACAGCAACGATGTTAATAAGAAGTCCGATGACGGTGACGACGAACACGGGCTGAGCGGGCGGCCGAGATGGGCGGATCGACTGAAGCGGGGGCTGAGTTTCGATGGACATTTGTTGGTGGGGGGGATCGGTCAGGCCGCACGGAGGGATCGGAAGCTGAGGAAGCAGCGGCAGCGGGAGAGGGAGCTGCGGGAGCGGAGGGTGATCCTGGTGGAGAGGATTGAGCCTGTGACGAAGAACTTGCCGTACTTTAAGTGGTGGTAGCGGGTGTGTGGATATGTGGGTGTGTAGGGGCAGGAGAGGGGGTCCCGGTAAGGGATTGTAGATACTGTCTTTGTTCTCGACCATTGTATTTTCACACTTCATGTTACAAATATTCGTGCGTGCTACGGTGCCTGCTACAGCTTGTGATGCTTCATTGCCTCTTGTTGGGAGGACAGCGCTGCTGTCCAGACTGTCCAACTGGCCCTTGTTCGCCTGTGTATCTGTCCCAAAACGGATGGATGCTCGTCCACGGCGATGATAATAATAATAATAATACTAATAATAATAACAATAATAGTTTTCTTTATTGCCACAGCTCACAACTTTCATCGCCGTTTGAATATTAAATTCCCGTGAGGGGGAGAGGAGGGAGAAGGGTTCGTGAGACGCCGTTTAATTTGGCCGCAGAGGAAAAAAAGAAGAAAGACCCACGGAAACGCGAAACTACATCGCCCCCAAATGCAATAATAATTTGCTGAACGCCCGCCCCTAATTTGTCTTTATTGATGATGGGTTCCACCAAAAAAAAAATGAAAATAAAGATGGTGGCAAAATTTTATTGTTGAGATGTTTTGGACTTTTGGGGTTCATCTTTTTTTTTTCTCTTATCTTTTTTCTGTTGTTTCAGTTGAGAAGCAATAAAGCGCCGCAGTTTTATTTTTTTTAAACGGTTACACTTTAGTTGGGCGGATAGAAAAAACGTGGTCCGCGGGGGGAGGGGAGGAAGGGTTTTTTTAATTAGGCGTAAACTACCTTTGTTCATCCGATAAAGGCGCAATGCTGTAATGCTGTAATGCTGCTGCTGTTCTTATTATTGCTGTTCTTATTGTTGCTATTGCTGTTGCTCTTGCTGTTGGTCTTTTCAGCATCCCCACTTGATTTGGTCCACCTACACAAAGGCCGGGGATGGACGGGGCGAGGGAGCAGCTCTAATGCGCGTGCATCGCATCAGATTGCTACGCTTTTTAAAAATAAAAAGAGGAAAAGACCAATAAGCTCTGTGCTGGTCCTGGTGCTGCTGCATTAGGAACGACGTTAATGCTCTTCGCTATGAATAAGGGTGCATTCCATGTTAGCCTATGTATGGTAGAATGGACAGGCAGATCTTTTTCTGTTTTTTATAAATCCTTGAGCATTGGACATTGCGCATTGGGGGGGGGGGGGAGGATCGGGATACGATGAGCCATTGATTGAAAGAGGGAGGGGTCTGGGCTAGAAGAGAGATGCAAATGCAGGTCAGGGGAACTCTATTGAGCCGGCTAACTACAGAATAGGGAACACACTGACTCGATCGATTGATAGATAGATAGAAATGGATGTAGTAGGCCCTGCTGCTGTCGGATGAGCTGTAGACTAGATGCGGTCGCACCTTTTGGTTCAATAATATGCACAGTTGAAATAAAAGAAGGAAGGAAGAAAGTACGCGGTGTGATTCGTCGACAAAATTAGGCGGGGGAGGACCCTCCTCCTTGAACCAAAGATGGGCAGAAGGGGGAAACCCCGTCTAATGGGTCCAATATTCATTCATTTGATACATGTGCTATGGTATATGATGTGATGTATGATATACGATGCGACACGAATGGAAAAGCAGATCTAGTTCTCATTCTCTCTCTCGCCCGCTCTTTCCTTCTTTCTCTCTTTCCTTCTCTTTTTCTCTCTTTCTTTTCTCTCTCTCTCTTTCTCTCTCTCTCTCTATCTCTCTTTCCCTTCCAAGCAGTCCACCTGGACATCTCATCCTATCCCTTCCTTCTTTTTCACTCACCCTCTCTCGCTCTCTCAACCACATCCTTCCCCCGTCTCCCCTTCTGCCATTGGTCCGTCCCCACACTTCCCTCACTGTACCCTGATCCAGCGAACACAGGTACATGTCAACGAATGAACACTCGATCGAATCAACCTTTTGATCACACCCATTAGACCAATCAGACAGCTGGCCAGGGGGTGGTGTTTGCTGCTCGGTGGTGATAAGAGGCGGCGAACGAGTCCCCCGTTTCATCTTAATTTTCCGTACGCAATTATTGATTGTGTACGTGTGATGCTCCAGGCACTCCCTCTCCCCTCTCTCCCGCACTGGTGGTCCTCCTGTTCGCTCGCAGTGCCCCATCACCAGCCAGATCTCATGCCATTCCATCCCACACTTTTTTTCATTCACTCCCATTTCTACTGTTAATCTCTCCCTTAACTAACTTGGCGGGTAGACACAGCACAACACAACACAGCATGACATAACATAACAAAACATAACACAACATGGACCCTACTGCGTTGCTGTGTCACCGGTGCACCGCAAACTATCTATTCCGAGAGCTCATAAAATGCTGATTTACAGTTCGTATTAATCTTGGTTTTGTTTTTGGCCATTGGGGTGGATCCTGCCCTGCCCTGCCCTTGTTTGCCCGTAGCTCTTTTTTTTTTTTTTGACGACTGGGCGTCAATTCGTTGTCTTTGCTCGATTCAGCACACAATGCTATTTTATTTTATTTACAAAAGTAGGATGAGTGGTGATGATATCCGGGATTGTGGTTCTAGTTTTGGCCTTTGCCGTTGTCTTTGTGTTCCTGATTCCACTTTATTTTTTTGTATTGTTTTATGGTGCTTTTTTTTCTCCTTGTTTCTGGTTCTTGTATAATGTTTCTTGTTCCTGCTTTGTGCCTGCTTTGTCCCTGCTTTGATGTTTCTTGTTCCTGTCTCAGGCTGGGGCAAGCCCAGTCCTCGTGTTACTACGCTCGTTCCGCCACTCTCTCTCCATCGGCCATTAAGTGTCTTTGCATACAAAGCATTGCCTCTCTCTCTCTCTCTCTCTACTTTTTCGCTTTTTCTTTCTTCCTTTTTTTTTCTTTTCTTGGCTCCTTGCTCCTTTTTACCCCTCCCCCATTCCTCCTTCCAATTGCTATCAACGACTACGCAAGACCTAACGAAAAAAAAAAGCCACCATTATTCTCGCTTAGGACATCTCAGGAGATAAACCGACTACAAAACCACACTCTGGATAGGAAAATATAAAAATGCATATCAAAAAGACGACTCTGGTCATGCTAGTGCTGGCACTGGCAGTGTCGACCGTCAACACCCTGCCTCAACCTCAGATGTCCGGCGATATCATGCCAATGGCTTTGGACCCAGATGGAGGACAGGTCCCCAATGCTCCTGCACCTTCGCCCTCAGCTGGTACAACAACAACAACACCGCCAGTAACGAGTACGGTCGCACCGACAACGCCTGCGCCGGTAACGCCTCTGCCGGTCACAACCACGGTTGATCCCATCACTACAGACGTACCCACGACCACGATCGCTCCCATCACACAACAACCCACGACCACTCCGTCAACAGAGCCGACCAAGTCCAAGACAACTACTGCTGTTGCTGGTGGAGGAGGAGGAGTAGTAGTGCCTACGCATATTGGTACTTCAATGACGACGGGCACCAGTACAAGTGCGGCCATACCGACTCAAAGCAACAGCAAGGAGACCAGTGGAGGCGGATCGACGGGTAACCTTCAAACGGCCGGTATTGTCGTGGGATCGGTTATTGTCGCAGCCGCCATTGGTATCTGGGTCTTCAGAAAGTGGAAGCTTTCGGTATGTATTTTTTTTTTTTTTTTTTTTTTTTACGTTGCGAGAAGGCCATTTAAAAGAAAGAAAAGAAAAGGAGCGCATTCTCTAACCAAGTTGTTTTCCCTTTCAAAAAACCCCCCCTCGTTCTTGCTCGCTCGAAAAATAGCCTTCAAGAGAATTCCAATCCAAGATCAATGGTGACGAATATCAAGACTATCCTCGCAGCTACGAGTCCGATACGGTGTTCTTGCGCAACCTTGGGGACCAGCCTGCAGAGCCAGCGCCTGCAAAATCGCCCTACAGTGCGCAAGCGGCCTTGCCTGCAGAAGAACCCGTGCAACCGCAAAAGCAGCAGCAGCAGTACTATGGTGCCGACTATGCACACGACGCCAATGCGGGTTATGATGGATATGGCGGCGCCGCAGGATATGAGCACCAGGGCGGATATGACCATCATGGTCAGGGTGGATATGATCCTCAAGGATATGGACATGGATACGATAACGGGTATGGACATGGTGATTATGCAGAGTCGCAGGTCGGTGGAGGATATGCGGCATCGAACGTAGGAGGCGGGTATGCGGCGTCGAATGTGGGCGGTGGCGGTGGATACGGGGCGCCGAATGTGGGAGGAGGATATGCGGCGTCGAACGTTGGGGGTGGTTATGCAGCCTCGAACGTCGGAGGTGGATACCAGCATCAGGGATACGATGAATATGGTCGGCGATAGACGAGTCCATCCAATCCGTCCCTGCGTTCCTTTCTCTCTATCTCTATCTCTCATTCTCATACATATACACACATACACTTACACACATACACACATACAACACATACACGTTCGAGGAGGGCTTTATTTTGATTTTTTTTTATTCTTATAGACACTCCCTCCTCTTTCACTCGCATTCATCCTTTCTCTCGCTTTTTGTCTCGCGCTCCCCTCTTTCCTTTCGGACGAAACCCGATACATCACCCTTCGCGATCTACGGCTGTATATATTTACTAATATCTGTTGCATCTCTCTAATACATACACGCGTTTTGCTTTTGCTTTTTTTTTTTTTCTTGGAGAAATTAAAAAAAAATAAAATAACAAAGATGTATGGATATAAATAATATATATGGATCTACTTAGATTTGGACGCGTAAATATGGATTTGCAGTATAAAGCAACTCTTCGCTATAAGCAATCCTTCATTGCAATCCACTACTCTATACAACCCTTCGCTATATGCAAACCGTCCTAATGCTCCTGCAAATTTTGAGTCGTCAAGTATCTAGACTGTACAGTTTTCGGCAGTAATGACATGCACGTCATTAAGAATCTGAGTCTTCCATGCTGCATATGTCCATCGCTCGAGTCTCCTCTTTGCAACGTCTGTCCAGTCTGTTCCTTCCTTGCCCAGGCAAAGTGCTCCGTCTCCTTCTTCGGTACTATCAATCTCCCAGACATATCCATTGAAGGGTGTGATCAGAGCGACGTGATTCTCGTCTGTGTGGGGTAGGCGTCCGAAATTTGAAGATCCTTGGTTACTTTCAACCAGGACATCATATCCTCCGCGCAAAAACATAATAATGTGTCACAAGCAGATGGCTGAATTTGATCCGCTTTCAAAAAGAATAAAACGCGTTTTGTGAAAACAGTGGAACACCGTTGAGCTCCTACATGTGTCGAGATACTTTCAAGGATTCGTTTCGTCATAGGAAGCCCACCCTTGTTGGCAACAAAATTGAAAAGAGCCATCGTACAGCACGGGTCATTGTCGGTCTATTGTAGAAGGTATGTTAATATTAGCATCCTTCCGATTGCAATGCCATTCTGCATCTTGCCCACCTGGGATAAAGCATCGCGGATTTATGACATTCGGTCCGGGATCAACTGTTTCCTCGACCTGACACTTGCTTTCATAATGAGGAAAGCGATTCGACTCGGTGTCCCTGTCAAAGACACTGCGTCGCCTTATTGTCGGAGAGACGTCTTGAAACATCTTGTGCATACTCTTGCGTGTAAGGTACGAGCTGTTGTAACAAACGATATAGCCGAGATGACCACTTCTCGCTTCGTCCTCGTACGCAAAGATTTTGTCCGTCAGCCGAAAGGGCTCCTGCATCCATGAAGCACAATTCTCATACCGTATCTCCTTAACGCAGCGTACTGAACCCTTCCAAATCTCACTATGGAGCCATATTGGTTTCCGAAACCCGCCCACACATTGTTAACCTAAGCCCAGTAAAATTTGTACTGTGATAGTAAATTTATTTGGATGAGTAGCTCAGCGCCAGAGTCTTGTTCAATGGGTCTCGAGGTGAATGAGGGGTATATAGTTGACAATATCCTCTCGCTTTACAACAGATCAGGTAGGAGGTGACATGTACCTTTATTGAACCAGTATCTGTAAGCTCGTACGAGCAGAGTATTTCGTGGTCCAGCATCTAATAATTCAGAATAAGAACCAGGCTATAGAGTACAATAAGGGACTCACAATATGCAACATTTAGGAAACAACTCTGGGCGATGTTTTTATACCTCACGGTCCGTAAATGAAAGAATGATAATGCTGGGAGTTACGTGGATTGCTGATGCAATGCTCTGCCGTATCTGTACGATTGGTGTGTTAGAAGAGGATACGACAAAGGTATAAACCACGTTTGGTTCTTCTTTCAGGTGGAATTTGACCTCCATGATGGATAAACGGGAACGAACAACAAGGCAGCTGAGAGGGGAAAGAAGAGAGATTTTCTTTTTTCTCGATGGAAAGGTCATGAGATAAAGATAATAGCCTCCCTTGTTCAGTTTCCTTTCAATGCAGAACTCGTTCATGAATACTAGATTGCTCAAGGACCACAGATAAGAATACATGATGCGCTGCTTCTCTTGCCTGTCTACGCCCCACCATGCGAATATCGCTCCTGCACGTTGAGAACGTTGTACGAGCTCACTGAACTTCCTCTGGACCACTGTAAAAACTGTATGATGAAGAGACTTCTTCGAGCGGAAATGAGGCAAAAGGTACATGTAGCGAGTAAATATCTCACCTCCACCATCATCAGCCCCGCCACCCTTAAAGTCCACCAATGTCCTAGAATAGCTGAAAGTACCGCCGATGTACCAAAGAATTGCTCGGCAAGAATACAGCCACTCTACACTCAACCCACAGCACTGGTGAGAATTGACTCCATTTGTTATTGGCTCTTCGGCTGCAAAAAACTTAAACTGGACAAGTAGCCAATCAAACACTATTTTCCATGCCAGAATATGTTTTGTGTTCACAACCGCAAACGCGATTATCGCGTTTTGTGTCATGGACTGTCCAAGAAAACAGACCCTGAATGATGTCCATGCAGGATGTCACTCTTGCCTCCACGTCCTTGCATATGCCCATTGGCGGCCAATAAAATTAACAACGAACTTAGTTATGTATGTCAGTACTCTTCAACTTTACCCCTTCAGATGTCAACTAATGTACATACCAAGACTTTCCTCTGTTCTCCTAGTGTAGTCTTCAACAGTTATATTTAACTGTCCAACAGCGTTTCGCTTCAGGTGGAGCATGCGCTCTTCGTTCAGAAGCGCATCGGCCTGCTTAATCTCATTGGCATGTAGACTGGACCAGAAAGTCTCAATTTGTGCTGCATCTCTCCTCCACTCCCGATCTAGTCTTGCGCACTCCTGTTCCAAAAGACGATTCCCACTGTTTCTTAGAGATGGTAAGATCGTGGATAGCCATACTCCACTATAGATGTCCTTTTGTGACCTGCACACTCGGCAATATCGAAGGAAATCCAGATATGTAATGTCCCGAGGTCGCTTCAATTGCATAAAGTATTCTGTCCCAGGAGCATGTGCAAGGAATGCAGCCCATGAGGGATCCTGGATATCATCGTCCTCTAGGAGACTTGCTTGCATTGTCGAATGTTCGAGTTAATGGACTGGGTGCGGTGGTCGCTAAGAATATTAGAATATTATATAGCTATCTGCAACTGATATTTAATTTTTGTATAACTGAAGAACATAGAATCGCTGGAGACCCATACCCATTGACGTCCTCTGCCGAAGGGGCCTCAATGAGCAGGTTCCACGGAAGACCTACTAGGACGTTCACAGTCACCAGTTCCCCTCCGGCAGCAATTGGATGAAACGAAGGGAAGCAAATGACGGGAAGTCAGGCACACCAGCATATAGCGCCACCTTTCTTTCTCGGTGTCCCCCTAGTAACCTCTGCCACTAATGCTAGTTCCATCAGCAATGAGCAACATTGACTTTTCGCTTGTGATCAAATAGAACCAATTCCTTAACGTATTATAATGAAGAATGAGCAGGTGAAGAGACGAAAATAGGATGATAGCGCAGTGTTTCCAGTGACGCAACAGGCTATATATTCGCACGTTTGCCAGCAAGCGAGGAAGCGAAGGAGAGGCGAGCGAGGAGGTGAGGGAGAAGCAAACGAGGTGGTGAAGAGGAGGTGTGGAAGGGAAGTTCCCTCATGACCTTTTGCCACCCTGGGGCCTGCGGAGTGAAAAACGCGAACTCCAACGCGAACTGCGGATGAAAGTGACGACGAACCCGCTGAGGGACCACAACAAAAAAAAGTTGTGTGAATAAGCCACCAGTGTTTGCTGCGGGGCAACCTTTTTTTTTTTTTTTTTTTTTTTTTTTGTTTAAAGGCATCGCCAAAGAAAGAGCATCCCAGGCACTCTCCTCATTCCTCTACATTTCTATTACTTTTTATCGTCATGGCTGTCCGTAGGTGCAAAAGAATTATTCATGCTTTTATTATTTTTCGGGACGAGGGAGTCTTTTTGGCATGGACAGACATTCGAAGCAGGAGAAGAAGGATGCCAATCGGATCTTTACGAGGACTACCACAAAATAATAATAATAACAGACCCAGGATATTGCAGACAGCACCGGGGCGCAGGGCGATAGAGAGGAGCTCCCAAAAAAAAGAAAAAAAAAAAAAAACTCCCCTCCCGCAAATAGGTCTCAATGGACAATATTACTCTATTCTTCAGCAGACAGACAACATTCGCTCAGTAAGGACTGGGAGGAATGCTTCAGTCGGGAGTCAAGGATACAATCGTTCGATCATATCAACATTCAGGATCAGGATCATGTCCTCTTTTTTTTTTTTGTTGGTTCAGAAAAAAAGAACTGCGGATTGCTGACAAACTCTCTCCTACTGCTGCTGGGGTGTTTTTTTTTTAATGATATAGGTGCTCAATTCGAAAACAACAACGAGATTGGCGTGTTTGCCATGCTCACCAACAGCTACTGCTTGGTCGCCATCGGTGGTTCCGAGAACTTTTACAGGTAAAAAAGAAAATGAAAAGTGCAACGTTAATCGTCTTTATTTCCTTCCCTTCAACAGAAGAACATGCGACTGACACAACATTTTCCTCCTCCTCCTCCTCCCCTTCCTTCCTATGCCCGCTTTTTGCTGTGCTCTCGATCTCCCCTACCTCTCTTACTGCTAACAGTGTCTTTGAGGCCGAGTTGAAGGATGTGATCCCGATTGTGCACACGAGCATTGCGGGCACCCGTATTATCGGACGTCTCTGCGTCGGTAACCGCCACGGTCTCCTGGTGCCGTCGACGACGACAGATCAGGAGCTTCAGCATTTGAGGAATTCGTTGCCGGAGAAGGTTGCGATCCAGCGTGTGGAGGAGCGTCTGTCGGCGTTGGGCAACGTGATCGCCTGTAATGATTATGTGGCCTTGGTTCACCCGGATATCGATCGGGAGACGGAGGAGATCATTGCAGATGTGTTGAAGGTCGAGGTCTTCCGTCAGACGATCGCGGATAATGTCTTGGTCGGATCTTATTGTGCATTGAGCAACCAGGGTGGTCTGGTAAGATTGAGAAAGCTTTTTTTTTTTTTTTTTTATCGTCGGAGTGGAAGGGGCAGTTGTTATGGAATTGTGTTGTGTACGTATTCTAATTGATTTTTCTTGTTTGGTTTGGGTTTGGTAGGTCCACCCCCGTACGTCTATTCAGGACCAGGATGAATTGTCAACCTTGCTTCAAGTTCCTTGTAAGTCTTCCTGTTGCTTTTACTCCTACCTTTTCTTTTTTTTTTGTCTTTAATGGAATTATCGAGCTTGCAACTTACCTAATGTACATTGATACAAAAAAAAATAGTGGTCGCTGGTACAGTGAACCGTGGTTCGGATGTGATTGGTGCTGGATTGTTGGTCAATGACTGGTGCGCCTTTGCGGGTCTCGACACGACCTCAATAGAGTTGTCGGTCATCGAGGGCGTCTTCAAACTCCAGGATAACGGACCCAGTGCCATTGTTGAGGATATGCGTGATTCCCTGGTTGACTCGATGGTGTAAACCCCCACGTTTTGCCCAGGAGGAAGGAAAATTACTACAGAGACCTAGGATTGCATGTAGATACATATCTCATTTTAAAGTGGAAAGCGGGAGGAACAGCAACATACATAAACATGTCAAATAAGAAGCGAAAAGCAAATGTGTGGAGGAGGGAGTGGGGATGCCTGTATTAAGTAATCTTTGGGCTTGGCGCTCTTGACCCCCGCTCTTGCCTTCAGTTCCATCTTTGCGACTATATTATTATCAGACTAGGACCAACAGCACAGCTAGCTCTCATTCGCATTTCAACCATTGCACAGAAAGAAAAACAAACAACAGCAACAACAGCAACGAACAGACTATGGATATCAAGGAACTCAAGGACAGCAAAGAGCCGACTACCAGGCGGCGGAAGAAGAATACGCAGGACCAGCAGCAGCGTTCGACAGCGCTCCAACGGTCGGCGTCGACTTCATACTCGCAGCATTCCGAATCTCATTCACAATCCCAATCACAATCATTCTCTCCATCGCCCTCACCATCCCATGCAGAGGCGTCCTACAGTAGCAACAGCAACAGCAGCTGGAGCGATACGCACTATGGCAAGATGGCCAACCGTCAGCTCGGTCGGTCCCTCTACGGGATAGTCTCCTATCTCTGGGATCTGATTCTCGGCACAGTGATCATCCTCCGGCCACTATTCTCGTTCCTCCTGGCGCTGGTCGTGATCATCTTACTCCTCGCAACGCTGACCAGGAGTCTTTCGATCTTTCGGTCCGAAATCCAAGCGCGGGTGGTGTGTAAGATCCCGTTGGTATCGAGTCTGATCGACTGTTCGAGATCATCATCGTCTTCGGATCTCGGTATGCTGCATATCCCGAATTTTGCAGAGCTCGTGAATAAGCAGGCGGCGTCGTATGAGATGATCGCGGATACGTTGAGCGCCCTGAACCCGGGATTCTTGCCAAAGAACAAGCGCAAGCGGGTGAGGGATAAGCTTGGGAGATTGCTTGGACGGAAAAGCAAGCCCAAGGGCAGCAGCGGCAGCTCACGGACACAGGGCGAGAGTGGATCGGGAGGTTGGGATCTCAGCGGCAATACCGCGGGTGAGGAGGGGGAAGGAGACGGGGGGGAGGAAGAGGAAGGTGAAGGTGAGGAAGCGGATGATCCGTATGGATTATCGGTGCATACGCGACAGAGCGGTCCACCCATGGCGATGTTGTTGAAGCGGGCGGAACTGGCGGTGGTGGATTTGAAGGTGTTGGTGAAGCACTCGACGTTGGCGGAGGAGGCGAAGGAGTTGTTGGTGGGACAATTGCAGGCGTTCCATACGCGGGCCAAGACGACGACGAGACAGATGCAGTTCTTACAGGCGCGGGCGAATGGATGTGTGGATGGGTTGGTGATCCGAAACGTGTACCTGCGGATTGAATTGGACCAGTTGGAGAGACAGCAGCGGAGGTTGTTAGGTGGGGGGAGTGAGGAGGGGTTGGGGTTGGGAGTAGGTAGGGTTTGGGATAGGGTACTGGATTTCTTTGCGGGCACGCTTGGTAAGGTGTTCTTTTCGGATTATTTGGATTTCTAGCATGGTGTCTTCTTTCTTTTGTTTTTAAACGATCCCTTGCCTTTTTTTTTTTTTATTATTACTCGATTCATAGGCATGGAAATTGCGGCGAGTGAGAAGAAGCTTCAGCAGCTGTATGTTTCGACGATGGAGGATGCCAGGAACCATATCCGGGATCTTATCATGCAATCGCAGGAAGTCTTACAAAGGTACTCTCTCGCATACCAGCTGCCCCCCCCCCCCCCCCCCCCCCCCCCCACACACACACACATTATTCTTCCCATAGCCAATGGACATGCCACCTCTGACCACCCATTTCACTCTCTTTATTTTCATGTTGCCCTCTCTTTTTTTTTTTTTTTTAGCCTGGATATGTTAGACCAGATCCTATCATCCATCCACGAAATCGGAACCCAAGAGCGACGACAGCAGAACCGAGCACACGAAGAGACCCTGGCCATGTTATGGTCACGTCTAGGTGGGAACCGTCTCCAACGAACCTTATACCGGGAGAACCTCGAGTTCCTCCAGGATCTAGATGGGCAACGGAAGGCGACGGTGGGGCAGATCCAGGCAGCACTTTGGAAACTGACGGAATTCGAGGCGGAGATTGGGGTTCTGAGGGAAAGGATCGTAGATGCAGCGGTGGGGGTTGCAATGACGGGAGAGGAGGGACCAAAGATGGTCAGGGCTCCGGAAGATGGAGGTGGAGATGGAGGTGGACTAGGGACAGGAGGGGTGTCGACATTGAGGACACATATCGAACAGATTGATTTGGTGACGAGCAGGTTGAAGGGCCGGAGCTTCTTGGGGGGTGCGATGGTCAAGGCGCAGCAGGAGTCATCTTTGTCGTGAGAGGACAGGGCAGGGCATGAGTTTCAGGTTCCATTTCAGTGGTACTTTTTGCGCCACCAATTATTATTTTTGCCTTTGTCTTTGTCCTTTGTCTTTACCTTTGTCTTTGTCATGTCATGTCTCGTTTCGTCCCTGAAGACGAAAACGAGTTCAGCATTGCTGTGCAGGTCGAGCAGAGTAAGAATTCTTTGAATCTATTCATCCGATTGAAACGAATCACACCATGCGATTTCAGAAGAGTCGATTTACTCGAGTGAGATGCTCATTGGGTTCTGCTCTGAGGAGGAGTGGGGGAGGGGTCGACCATTTGAAGACATGTAATATGACAGTTAACTTACTACAGACAATCTATCACTTCATTTGGATGAAGATGACTATGATGTTGAAGAACCTCTCTTGTTGTTGTTGGTAGCTGTTGGTTAAATCCTGCATGAAAAATACTGTTGTGCACTGTACATGTAGATTGTATGCTGTATGGATATTGTACGCACGCGTGCACGCACATGTTCTTGCGTCGTGGGGATGTAGTTTTATCCTTGTAGATTGAGAGCAATTGAATAATGGATGATCACAGCATCAACAGGAGCAGCAGCAGCAGCAGGTAACTCACGACCCGAGAGTTGAAAGTTTGCATTAAGCAGCGTTTGTCTGAACCTGTTTCCTGCAGCAGAGTTCGTTCATATTCAGAGCCCACTGTAGGGACCTGTGGACGTAGAAGGAACGGAAGGGAAGGAAGGGCATTTGGTGGCTGAAAACGAAAAGGGAGGGAGGGATGGGAGGGATGGGAGGGATGGGGATGGGGATGGTTTCCGTTATGGCTGTCGCGTATAAATGATGTGGTGCCTGCTTTCCTCCCATGTGGCCCATTGAAGTATTGAAGCATTAAACGTGGTGGAACGTAGTGAATAAAATAAAGCCAGGGATAAATAAAAAAAGGGGCTCTCGTAGTAAGGATGTGGGATACAGAGTAGTGGCGCCAGCCAGCTCCTCCTTCGCGCGTCTTTTTTGTTCAGGACAGTCCCTTGGTGGACGACAGTGGCGGCAACAGCGACCATCCTCCCTCCCTACCCTTCCTTCCTGGTAAGAAATTACTATGAAAAGAGTACTCATTCGCCACAAGGGAGGGAGAGGGAAGGGTGAAGAGTGACCACAAAGTGCAAAGTGCAAAGCGCAAAGCGCAAAGCACAAACACGGAACCAAATCGAATGATGATATTATTGTGTTTCTGTTTCGCCACTGGGGGTCCTCATTGTAATTTCGTCTCCTCCTCCTTCTCTCTTCTCCTCGCTCTCTCTTTTTTCTTTTTTTCTTTTTTCTTTTTTCTTTTTCTTTTGCTCATCATCTTTCCCCCTCCCCCTCCCTTCCATTCTCTCATCGATCCCTCCATCCTTCCATTCCCCTCCCGACTCGACGACGAAGTTCGTCTGTAACGAATCCGCCCTTCCTCCCTCCTGACGCACCCTACCCCACTCCATCGCCATCTCCCCTCCATCTCCACCAATACCCGTTTAGAGCCCATTCCTTCGTTTCGTGCCTTTTCTTTTTCTTTTCTTTCCTGTCCCTTTTACCTTCTCATCTCTCATCTCGCTTATCCAGCTGTAGTCTATCTCACTTTGCTTTTTTTATAATCTTCTCTCTATCTCTTTCTCTTTCTCTTTCTCTTTCTCCATTCACTCCATCGCTCTCTTTCATTCTTCTGTCTCATGGCTGGTAAGACCCCCTCACTCTAATGAGACTTTGCTCAAGGATCAATGAACTGGAACCTGAAACCTGGAACCTGCAAGCTGAAGGCAGGACTGGATATGCAATAACGGCTATTCCCGCCAAATCCACAGACGCTGACAGGAATTGGATACAATATCGAAGCTCGGGACAGCCAAAATGCTTTGATACTTCACTGTAGATTTGATCACTATGGCGGAATCCTATGATTTCTCTCGGATGTCTATCTCGTATGAGACCTGTTTGTCTCTTTTTCAAAAATGAGCGGGAAAAAAAAAAAAAAAAAAAAGCGAACCACAGGAAAATATATCTGGAGAGCAAGGAGCAACAGCCATCACAAAGCAGTAGGAAGGTGAATCGGAAGCGAAACAAGGAGTAACAATGACACGGCGAATGACGGCCTGAAATGGATTCTAGACAGCAGTAACGACCTACGAGGAACAGGACTGCAGCAGCAAAGCAACTATGATTGCAGAAACATACAGCGATCCAGCAGAAGCTCAACAGCCCACCGGCATTTTTGGTTCCGGAGACATCTATTCGTCATCGTGCATTGGAACCTGGAAAAGTGCAATAAACAAATAGTGGCTACACTCAACGTCAATATTTGGTAGGGGGATCGATGGCGGAAGACTGAGAATAGCACTTTGCAGGAAAAAGGGAGTCATGGACAAAGACAAAAATAAAAAGCGCCTTGTTACATCAGCCTCTCTCATGATTCAACCAGCATGCAATCTCATAATTTGCTGACTACGTCGCACTAACGCTCTAAATATCTTTGTCCTTTGAAAAACCTTGTTCTTGTAGACCTCGGCCTGTACTTTGGCGCGGACGAGGATGATACACAACTCGAACACGAGGACAAGGATCTCTCGTACCTCCTCCTTGCAAACGAACAGGATGATACCTTTGATTCCCTCGACACAGAAACGCTCTTGGCAGAAATAAGTGCAGGTATGAAGGCCGAAACTCTTCTTTTTTTTTTCACTGTTGTTGGTGTGGTTCAGAACACGCGCGAATGGAACATTATTTTTTAGATTGCATCAGGTGGCTAAACTTTGCATGGACGTATATCTTTCTCTAATATAGATCCCCAGGAAAAGAGCATTATGGAGCTGGGCGTCGACGCAGATGTCGTGCAATTATTCGCAGATCCAGGCCTCTCAGCTGTGGAAAAGGCACAGATGCTGTCCAGGAGCGACTATGACTTTCATCGGTACGCTATTTACTCGATTCGTTCATGGCGACGCGGCACAACCGATACTTAGAAACAAGAATGAATGAAAAATTGCCCGCGCTCATTTTGTCAATGGACCTTTTTTTTTTTTTTTTTTCTTTTTTTTTGGTATCATAGAGCCTTTTTCGCAAGAGAGGTGACAACGCTTTTGCCGGTAATGGATGTGCGAGACGCGATTTCCTGTGTTATTCCGATTGTGCGCGACCTTTCAGCAGATCCTCAAGAATCGGTCAGGGAATCATTGGCGGCACAATTGGACAAGATCATTCTATACTTTTTTCAGGTATGATTACCATGCCTGGATATACTTCTTTTCTTCTTCGCTATACCCATTTTTCTTCAACATACTCATGGAGATGTTATTTATTTTCAAATGAAATAGAATACCGTCATAACGTACGAGGAATCTGCAGCGGGGCAGCAAAATCAGGATTTAAATAACACACAGCTGTCCTCATCCCCGCCCCCATTGATGCACGACATATTCACGCTCGTCTTTATCAACCTGCTTCTGGACCAAAACGCAGGGATTGCACATCAGACACGCGAGGCAGTCAAGGCTGTTTCTGAGAACGTATCCGAGCAGGTTTTGGAAAGCGAGATTTTGGACGGGATCATTACAGGACTGGAAAACCTATACATCAATACGGATACTGCCGCGGACGACGATCAGCAGAATACAGCGATGTACCCAGATGCCGATCAAGATGGCGAGGCAGAATTGGGCAAGATGCTCGTCGTTGTGGTAAGTGATTTGAGTTTGAAACGAGCAATTAAAGTAGCATCAGCGAATATTCGTACCTTCTTCCCCTGCCAGCAACTGATAACCAAAAATCATATTCGATCAAAATAGCTACTGACATCCTTGGCTCCGATCCTTGGAAAGGACCGGTGTACGCAGATTGTTTTGCCAAAGCTGGAGAAACTGGTAAAAAAATCACAGTTTTATGTCCGCAAGGTAACATTAGTCAGCAATGGGCTTTTTTTTTTTTTTTTTTCTCCGCCGTGGTCAATGTCCACAATCGACATACTCATACTATTAGCTTGCTTTTGTTTACAACTCTAGGAAATTGTGATTGCATTGGGGACACTATGCAAGGTTGTTGATCAGCAAGTTGTCATTGACCGTCTACTCCCTCTGTATGATGTTTTCATTCACGACGATACGTGGCACATCCGACGCGCATGTTGTACAGTTCTCGCGTCCTTCGTGTCGTCATTGCCAGTCGAGATGAAGACCAGCAAAGTGGAGGAGCTTTACAATCTGTACTCGACCGATATCAGTCGGAGCGTACGTCATTCGATCATGGAAGTTTTGGGCGAAGTCATTGCAGGATTTGAGAAGGGAAAAGTCCCGGATTCGCTGTTGAATCATTTTCTGGATATGGGGCTCCAGCCGATGAACGAGCACGAGCTGGCGGTGATGTGCGCCTTTAGCTTCCCAGGTAAGGCTTGTCCCCTTACTCTGTACTTTAATTGTATTCTGCCAACTACAGGAAAGTAGTCCCAGAACTGATCATGTGTCTTCATTATGAACATATAGCTGTTATTTTGACTGCGGGTCAGTCGAAATGGGAGCAGATGAAGCCGGTATATATGAGGCTTGCAGGGACATTCAGGCCGCCTATCCGGAGATCACTGGCGTGCTCTCTTCATGAGGTGGCGCGTATTCTCGGACCCGAATTAGCTGATCGCGATCTGGCGTTGGCATTCTCGGACTGTTTGTTGGCAGAGGACGAGGTCAAGGAGGGCGTTATCGGGCACGTCGTAGAGTTCATCTCTTGTTTGTCACCCAAATGTCGGTCAGAGGCCTTGCGGGATATTTTTAATGCATGGAACGAGCTGGAACGGTCTAGTAATTGGCGCCTCCGGGACTCCTTGGCAGGACAGTTACCGGCGCTGTGTGAGATTGCTGAGGGCAAAGATCTCTTGGAATACCTGATGCCTTTGAGTATACGAGCCTGTACAGACGGCGTATCCACCATTCGCGAGTCTGGAGTCATGGCGTTTCCAGCACTTTGGGAGGCTAGTGCACGCATCGGCCCGTTCGTTCACACAAAGGGGACAGAGGATGTCTTGTCGCCGGATGATGACGAGCCTGTTCTGGGTTCATTCGGCGAAGGCGAGGATGTGGAGATGGAGGACTTGACACACCAGTTGTCTGACTCGACCGACAATAATGTCACGAAGTCCAAAGCTGATACCGCTCACACCAATGGCGTTTCGAATGGCGTTTCAAGCTCATCATCAACCCCGCCTTCTGAACCCGAGGAGAAGGAGACGACAACGATCAAGGAGCAGGTTATCCGACAAATGGTCGAGTTCACCACGAACGGAGGATACCGATCACGAGTCGTAGCGGTTCAAATTATCCAGTCGTTGGTCGACTCTGGCATTTCCGCAGAGGAGTTTGAGGAGCACTTTTTGTCGCTTCTGGCGGAGCAGCTGATGACGGACGCGGTTGTGAATGTGCGCATTTGGGTCTCTCGCGTCGTGAGCTGGATGATGGAGGGTGAACTGTACAGTGAGGAATCCATCTCCAGCCGACTACAGGGAGCACTCGGCATTCTGCAGAAGGACCCGGATCGCGATGTTCGCATCTATGCTGGCGGACCGGCGGAGCTACCAAAGCCGAAGAAGAAGAAGAAAAAGTCCAAGAGCAAGAAGAAGAAGAAGAAGGAGGAGAAGGCTGAAGCAGGGGCTGTGGGCGGATTTTCTCAGAATCCAGAGCGAGGCCAGGTCTCGACCATTAGCGAGGAGGACGAAGATGGAGAGGAAGTTCAGTTCTTGAAGGGTGAAGGCGACAGCGATGAGGATGAGGATGAGGACGAGGATGATGAAGACGACGAGGAGGGCGACAGTGACGAGGAGAGCAGCGACGACAGCATGGAGTTTTTGAACTCTGTCAAGACAAAGGGCATTTCGAACAAACCCCGGAATCGAAACAGCATAGGGATCGGTATGAAGGTCATGGTCGGCAACAAATTGACAGTCTCTGGCAAGGAGATCCGGAAGCCGAAGACGAGCTGGGATTACGTCCATGGCGAGATCGACGAGGACGAGGATGAGTCGAACGGCAGCTCAGAAAAGTCGTTTGCTGCGTCTCTGGGATCCAAGGAAGCACAGCGGAAGCATTGGAACCGGGAAGGCGAAGACGATGAGGAGGAGGAGGAAGGTGAATGCTTGTTTGATGCGCCCCGTCGGCCACTCGACGATGACGATGATGATATTGTGGGTGAGGACAGAGAGAGCAAGGGTCAGTTTGGTAGCCGACGGGACATCTTCAAGGTCGTCCCTTATTCTGCAAACGGCATGAACGGTGCCAGTCCATTAGATGTAGAAATGGAGGAAGCATTCCAGGACAGCTCTGGCGAGGGCGTCACAGTGGTTGTTTCTGGAGCTGCAGGCGATCTGTCTCTTGCTGGTCAAGAGTCCAAGTCAAAGGATGCGCAGGGCTCATCTCTATCATCAACACCGCTGTCAACGTCAAAGGCGAATGAAGTAACGCCAACCAAGTCCTTGCCCAAGCCATCTGCAGCGCCGGCAGTGTCACAATATCCACCATTGGCACCTGGGTCAGCTCCTTCGATAGAGACCGTACTCTCGGAGGCGCCTCCGACACTCAGCTATGCAGCATCGGTAAAACAGGACGAAGGTCTCAAAGCGAACCCTGCGGCGACAACATCAAGCGTGGGCGCGATCACTGTGGACGCGGTAGCATCAGGTGCAGCAAGCAAGAACGGAAGCTTGAGCAACAACAATCTCCTCAATGGAAGCACGAACAAGGGACGATCGCCCGAGGAAGCAGTGCTGCGTGTGCTGAACGCTAAATTGGGAGCGGGTAAGAGATCACATTACCCATTGCCGCCACCAATCTCTATCAACCCACTAGCGCCCTCAGCCAGCAGATTGGGATTGCCAGGATCGTCCTCGTCTTCGATTGACCCTGGCTCACCCTCGTATGCAGCCATTGTTGCATCAGGGGCAACGTCGCCACACCCGGGTGCACTAGCTGCCAGAGCCGCGTTCTCGCCGCCGTTGGGGCCCATGGCAACCTCGACCTCCAAGTTTAGCTCTTGAAAGATTGTGCCAATCCTGTATCTTTTTTTTTTTTTTTCGGTCGACATAGTCTTTTTCCTCACTTTCTGTTCATCACATCTACTAGTCAATGTACCTTATTTTCTTTTTCTCTGCTATCTCTTTGTTTGTTATCCCTCATAATGCAGCACAGTTTTTCATAAAACAATAATGTATGCCTACCATCTTGGTCTTGAGAAACCATGCAGTGGTGAAGAGGAATAAAGTTATGACAGATAACGTTTCAGGCCCTGAGATATATATTTTTTTTTCGTGTGTGTATGCGCTCTAGTATGCTAGGCTAGCGACTTCGAAGTCGCGACCCAAATATTTTTATAATAGAAAACCAATTCAAAACCTCACCAAGCCACGATTTTTCTGAAATTTTTGTGCACTGATAAAGCCGTCACATTAGTGATTTAAGATTTTATAATAAAAACGTCAATTCAAAAAAAAAAATTGTGCACCCGCACAATCTCCATGTAACGTGTGGGGAGACCTGAACAAATTCTATGCTTCGCCTTTTTTCAACGGGAACTGCGAAGACGCGAGGAGTAAACAGAGGTGTGTTTTACCCCATATCAAAAAAAAATTGACCATCGGATCTCCTTGACTTGATTTTCTATTATAAAAATAGTTGGGTTGCGACTTCCAGGCGAGGACTCTATAACCCGCCCATTCAAACCTCGCCTCAAGCCTATGGCGGACTTCATTTGCCTTTGCGGCGCGTTTGCCCACAACTAGTAGCCGCATGCTCTTCTGGGTTTTCAGCTTTGTGGTTGTATCGACTCATCCATCTACAGCTCGACATGGAACAACCATCACACGACGAATCTCCACCTTCTTCACCTTCCCCTTCGCCATCGCCTCCCATCGACAAGGTGGTACAGCACAATTGCATCCTCGTTCCTTCATCGTCATCATTGAGGATCGTGAGAATGATGGGCTACTCCAGGCTGGATAGTAGCTGTTGGCGTTCTGACTTGAATGGCATGGGTGTCGGGTTGGTGGTTGGCTTCGTTCATCATCATTTTTTGAGCTGTAAAACATTTTCAGCCCTCGAGGTGGCGGTGTTTTGAAAATCGCGTTTTGGTCACAAATAACGCGCCCCATCTATCAAAGTTTAAAATCCCCTAATAAAATATGCATGGCATGCATTGAACATCCCTCTGCCTGTCTTTTATATTTGTTATGTCTCCATCGTTTTGTCCCAGTCCATGATGGAAAGAACAAAAGGGCGACTTTTGCTGAGGGCGCCTGCTATTGCGCCCAGGCAAGCACATCCTCATCATCAATTCATCAACTTATCACATCCGCCCTCATCCACTCTGAATTCCACACTCTGTCTTTTTTCCAATCGTACCTGTATCCTCCCCTCCTGTTTGTGAGAACAGCACACTTTTATTGACGCGTCCCACCCCTTCTGCTTGATCGCTTTCATACCTTTGCTTGATCAACAAAAAAAAACTTCGGAATCTCCTCGCTCTTCGCTTATCCCGCCTTTCATTTCTGTCACCTCCAACCATGGCGAGCAGCAGCAGCCGTTGTCGCCGTTTTGCAAACACCTCGCTTCTTCTCGCCGCAGCGGTCCTCCTCCTCGCCAGCCCTTTCATTCTCCTCTCTCGGGCACAAAAATCGTCCGCACCTTTCCCCGTCTATGCGCCCGCCTTTGCCAGAACCGCCACACGTCTCTACGTCCTCGGAGGTAATTACGCCACTATCAACTATGGTTAATTCTTCTCGCTCGACCTCGCCAACTCCTGGAACAGCACCACGCCCCTCTGGACGCAGCTCAATGATGGATCCCAACAAGCCATATTCCCCACTACTTTCTCCGCAGACCAAAAGACCATGGTTACCTTCCATTCGGGCGCCACAGCCTTTGCCTTTCACTATTCTGTTGCTACCGGTCAATGGACTCGAGCGATAGTGCAGGCGACGTACGGAGACACTATGGGTGTCAACGCGATGACAGACCCTAACACTGGGTTGGTCTATCTTGCGGGTGGGTACACGTCCAGCGACCACAACTCGATGAACGTCTATAACTTTGTGACGGACACGATATCAGGGAGCGCATTGCCTCCCACAGTTCTTCTGAATCGTTTGTTTTATGCCAATGTCTGGTCACAGAAGCGGAAGAGTATCCTTTGTTTTGGCGGGTATAATTCTTCAAAGGGTGTGATTCCAGATCTCAACACCGTAACGGAATTTGTGCCCTCGACTTCAGTGTGGTCCACATTGGTAAGCGATCAGGTATCTGCGCGACTCCCGACGACATGTGTTTTATTTATTTATTTTTTACTCACCAGGTCCCCGTTGCTGTTTTTTTTATTCTCTGCCAGGCCACATCAGGAATCGCCCCAGCAATGCGAGCAGACCATTGCATGGCATCAAGTATGTCGTCTAGTACTGCAAATATAGACTTGTTCACCACCGTACTACTTTAATTGATTATTTTCTATCCTCTCTCTTCGGAATAGATGATGATGGCTCACTTATGGTGATCTATGGAGGAAGGCTGTCCGACCTCACCACATTCAGTGGCGAAGTCTTTATTTTTGACACTGTCAGCCAGACCTGGAGACAGGGCTTGACCGGCACTCCTAGAGTTTACGCAGCCTGCACCATTGCCGGCAACCAGCTCTTGGTCTGGGGAGGACAGAACTCGACAGACTTGGTCGCGCCTGCACCCATTTTGATCTACGACCTGAACAACAACGCATGGATCACACAGTACACTCCCCCAGCATCTTATGTGGCTGCCAGGGCGTCCGAGACTTCCTCGAGCTCACCAAATGCGACAAGCACGGGCTTACCCTCGAGCAATAGATCATCTTCGAGCAATGCGGGTGCGATTGTAGGAGGAGCCGTCGCGGGCGTAGCTGTGCTCTGTGCGGGAGTGTTGTTCATCATCTTCCGACGACGACAACGACAACAGCACAGGGCTACCCCATTGAACACGACGAGCGATCATAGGGGTAGCGAAGGGTCCGGATAGACGACACCGCCACCGGCAGTGAGTACTCATGATGATGAGCTTCAACAGATGCGGACACAGATTCAGAACCAGCAGGAGCAAATGGAGTTACAACAGAGTTTGCTGTTGTTACAGCAACAGCAACAGCAGCTACAGTTGCCGATCCGACCGCAGCATCAGTATCAGGATGCGACATATAATTACCAACCACCGATTTTCTATTCAGCAGCTGGGGGACAAACAGCAAACCCATTGATTGCGACGACGACAGGTTCTCCACCACAAGAGTGGGATACAGCACATACGTCACCGGATTCGATGAATCTGGTACCGACGAGTGGTTGGTTGGTGCGTGCAGGGTATGTGGATGGAGGAAGTAGCTATGCGAACGCGCAGCAACAGCATCTTGGGATCATGCCTGTGGTGTATAATCCGCCGACAACGACTGCAGGACCCTCGGAGGTGACGACGGAGGAAAAAGGCGAGTACGAGAGTAATTACTGGGAGAGACGTCCACTCGGCAGCCCACATGCTATTATTGAGACGTAGATGCAGGAATGTGAGTGTTAGAAAGATGGGAGACATGGAGGAGGCGAGGAAGGTAAGGGAGGAGAAAATGATACCCCATAGTTTATTGAAGGATCGCTTGGCTAGTGTATTAATTGCATCGAAATGGTCTATTCTTCACCTCTGTGGGGATGAAAAAAAATAAATGCGCGCGGTGTTAAATACTCGGTTACAGTGGGTATGCTACTGCTATTACTGCTACCTTAATGCGCTATTGACCTTTTAGCCATCGCTTTAGCGGTACCATTGATCCATGACCCAAAGGAAGCAACAAGCACGCCAGATATGCAAACCATACAGCGAGACTATTGCCCTGAAGAGATTCGATTTTCATGGCTGTCAGAAATCAAGGCCATCGAGGTGTATGGGATTGCATCATAAGAGATACTGGTACCCTTACCACGGCGGTCGCATCGGAGGCATTGACGATTTTGTTTGCTGGGAGGTCTATGGATGCAATAATTGGTGGCGATGGCGATGAGATGAAAAAGGCACACTGTTTCAGGGCAATTAGCGCTGCTGGGGAAAAGGTGTGCGCCAGAACATGATGCTTATTGACTCGACTATCTTGAACGCTGCTTGAAGAACATGATTGGCAAGGATGATGAGATCAGACCACGTTGTCTCGGGTGTTTTTGGACGGACCGAACAGCCACCTCGACCATGCTGCGACAAATCGACGGGGCCCCAAAGAAGGGTGAGATTGTGTCAGAGCCCGGTCGGAAACCGCTACTTGTTATATTAGCTACATTCATTGTGTGGTGGAACAGGTGTAAAAAAAGCAGTTGCAGGCCTGGTTCGTCAGGGATGGCGTATACATCCGCCCGGCGATCAGGAAGACTCGCCTCGGGGGTAACCAATCGTGATGAGGGAATATGAGGGCTGGGTTATGGAAGGAGGTCCCCAAAGGAAAAATTCGAGAGGCTGGTATCATGGCGGGCAATTGCGACTATAACGACCACTTCACGGCCGATGTGTTTGATGGCATCTTCGAGAAGCTTTGCAATAACCTCACTAACATGGGGGTTTGGCCCTTGTAATTAATGTCCACCTCGACAGCGCGCCATACCATTTCCCGCACACTCAACAAAGAAACCCATCCAATCTGCTAATGTGGTGGACATGATGGCATGGACCCAGGACGGCGAGCCATGAACTCTCCGTGACAACAAAGGCCGAAATGAAACTCGAACCAAAGCAGAGCTGCTTCAGCACATTGGAGACCTCTCCGATCAATCAACATGCACAATTTTTACCGCCATCTCATTTTTAAGACGCTTCAATATTCCTTGCGAGCTTCAACTAAATTGAGAAGGTCAGGGGCAGTTGTAAAAGTAGATGGTCGCCAACAACACAAAAGGGGGGTCTTGGATCGTTTGGGTGCCTCAAAGTCCTGCTGAAAGAAGCACCGTGTCGGTGGTACCCGTCAGCACATCTATAATTCCTGTGAAAAACAAGCATCGATATCGGACAACAATAATTTTAGCTGCTGGCAAGACTCCGGCTCCTTTGCTGCCATCGCTTCAAGCAAATCATCCACAAGCACAGGGGGCCCCCAGTGGGGAGGCAGTGACAACAGCAGTTTTTGGGAGGAAGAAGAGGAGAAGGAGAGATTTTACAAGCGTTGCGGCGGATAATACTCTTCTGGGTGAGGGAGGCCTGGACTCAGCAAGGCGTCTTTCTTAATTTTTATAGATTATAGCATTATATAGTCTATAGTAAAAAAAAGAAGAAAATCCTCTCTCTTTCCGGGTAATTTCAACAAAAAATATAAAAAACTTGTAAACCGTTTACGGTTTAGGTTGGGATATAAGGTTATGTCTGCTATTCATTTATTTATTTTTGTTTTAAAACAACATCTGGCCACCGAAAGCGAAGGCTGCAGCGGTGGCGAGGACAGCGAGGGGATTGAGGAAGCCAGCAGGCATGGTGATGGAACCACTGGAACTTCCGGCCTTCCCGCCCGTAGAAGCTGCGTTTGTACCAGTGGAGGAGGCTCCTGAAGGAGTGGAGCCGTGCAGGGTGTCGTTGCTGGTGGTGGTGGTAGAGCTGTCGGTGATGACCCTGGTGGTAGCGGTGCCGTCCATGGTGGCGAGGGTGATGTTGGTCTCCCTGTAAGGGGTAGCATCGTTCATACAGGCGGAGACGGGCATGGCCTTCCAGGTGGCCTGGACTTGGGGGAGGTTCCTGATGGCGGCGTCGACGGTGTTCTGGTAAAGCTCGTGTTGGAGGGTGATGTGGCCGGTGGTGTCGTTGTGGGCATTGGAGATCCAGGTTTTGAATTCCTGGTCGACACCCTCGGGGGTCATGGGTCCGCCGCCCGGGGGGAGCTCCCAATCGTCGGTGTCGTAGTCCCAGATCACGGATGTGTAGCCCATGGCCCAGAGCAGGCCGCGGATGCGGTTGTCGATGTCGCCGTAGGGGGGCTGTTAAACATAATGGTGATAATGAAATATAAAGTCGGATGGTTAGAAAACGCGGTGTCAGTGGTTGTCGTGTGAGCAAGAGCAAGAGCAAGACAGGGAAGAGGGGGTGGAACTTACGCGAAAGTACTTTGGCGTGAAACCGCAGAGCTCCTTGATCGCCAGTTCCGTATACTTGATCTCCGCCACAAACTGCTCGTTCGTCAGACTAGTGGAGGGATTATGAGACCAGGTATGGACGGCGATATGGTGTCCTGCCGCACAGGCTCTCCTAGCGGACTGCCAGTTCTCGATCACGTTCGAGCCGATGTAGAACAACGTGGCCTTCTGCTCGGTCTTGTCTAGGAAATCGTAGAGCTGTGAACTGAACGTCGTCGGGCCATCATCGTACGTCAACCCCCACACTCCGAGCGGACACACCGTCAGGTCCTTGTTGATACAATTGGTCTCTGTCCAGTCGCACGCGTCGGCTGGGATCGCTTTAGGGTTCTGAGGATCGCCACCGGATGTGAAGGGGACGAGGGGGAGAGAGGCGACGTCCGTCAGGTTCAGTTCGGAGAGCCATTGCTTCACCAGCGGGGTGTCGGTCGGGGCGACGACATCCTGTGTGGGGTACTCATTGGCGAAGGTGCCGGAGAAGTCGGGGAGGGGGAGGAGAGGGGCGGCGGTTGGGGCTGTGGATGCAGCAGTGGTGGTGGATGAGGAGTCAGTGGGTGCGGCGGACGCTAGGGCCACCAGGGCAGCCACCAGGGAGAGTCTTGCGAGCATTATAAGTTTGTGTGGGAGCAGAGAAGTCGCGGAGGGTGGAGGATGAGGATGGGAGTGTGAGTGTGAGAGGGCGGGAAAGGAGGGTTTTATAGAAGACGAGAGCCAGAGGAAGACGACTGTTGCAAAAAGGAGAGGGCTGCCCAAAGGGACAGGGGAATTGACCAAAAATAGGCGGTGCTATGTGGTATGTGAGATGTAAGATGAATTAGGGCTGGGGCGTAAACACCCGCCGTGGTATTACAGGAGGAAACATCTGCAATCGGCTGCTGCAGATATAAATAACCTCCCCCCCCCCCCCCCCCCCCCCCATAATCGACCCAAGACAGGGGCGGAGAGGGATCTGCGCCCTGACAGAGTTTCCGCCGGCAAAACCCTCCATTCAAACCCGGGCAGCCTCGAGCGTATGCGACTGCATCGTTGGGCTATGTCCACCCATGCACTTATCATTTCTTTCCCCCCCTTTATGCTCTTATGCGCGCGCGCACACCCAACTCTGTTTATAGGTCGCATGGACATGGTCCTGCCTTTCTTGTCCGCTCGATAGGTGTGTCAGAGGGCTATGCTACCTCCATTCATTTGTCAGTCGTTATTAGCAAGCAGGACAGGACAGATCTAGTCTGCGGCATAGCTGAGTGATCTTCATTAAGTCCTGAAAACGGCGCGGTCATGACCACCGTTCCGGAACAACGGATCGTGGGTCTCTCCACCACCGTCCGTTTGTCCATTTAACGGAAATAGATCGGTTAGGCCGCTATTCTTTTTAATGAGGGATCAATCCTAACCTTTAGCCTTTTACGCCAGATCAGGAGGACTAAAAGATGAGAGTATTCCTACTTTGATCAGATATCGGGAGCTGTTACTCTCTACAACGGTAGCAGAGCCTCATGCACGACCCTCGCGTGCATGGCGGGCGTGCGTGCGTGGGGTTTTTTTTTCTTTCTTGTGGATAAGGGCCGAGAGCAAGTGACAGGCAGTCTATTCTAGCATGGCAAAGACGAAACTTGTCTCTTTCGGAGGAAGAGTGTGCTCTCTTTCTGACTTCAGACAATTATTTCACTGCTCTCAGGACTATCATGCACGCTGTCCCAAATCGGCTAGAATTGTGCGAATGGACTTTTGTATCACCCAGCGACGTACCCCCCTCCAGAATTCCCCTCCTTCCTTCCCTGTGGCTATTTTTATGGGGAAGTTGTCGTGTGCTACATTCACTCCTATTTTTACCCGGCTGCGCCATGAATATGTGTGTGTGTGCGTGTGTATAATCGTCCGCGAGAGCTGGGGAATGTTATACGGAAGGAAAACAAAGTTGCACCACCTTTTTTTTTTTTTTTTTTTTTTACAAAGAGAGAGAGAGAGAGAGAGAGTAATCGGCGAGTGAGTGAAAATTGCGGCTCGATCTATTGCGGCTGCTTCTTGCACTCTTGGGAGTGCCCATTTAGCCATCTGGCTGATATAGTCTAGTCGACATATGAATGCACAAATGATGTTCCGTTACACTGTGGTTTTTTTTTTGTATTGAGCCCGGGCTCTTTTTTAAAGGGAAGGGAAAGGAAAGGGCGTGTCCCAAGCGGTTCGGGTTTATCCCGCCTTCGCTCTCCCTCAAGGACATCCAAGACCGTCTTTCTTTTTTTTTTTTTTTTTCGTGCTACCGACGACGACCGCCGTGCATCCGATAGACAACATGCGAAGTTGTAAGGGATATATATTCATATTAAATTTTGTCTTTTTAAAAGCAACTTACACGTATGAGAGCCGACCCAGGTTTTCCTTCTTGGATGACACTGAAGGTCTGTGTAGTCACTTTGCAAAGTATATCCGCGGTTTTACCAGGCTACCTCGCGTGTCATCTTTCGGGCATGGTCTCGTCTGGTTTATTGATCCGTCGACTTTACTATGCACACTTACTAGAAACAACAACATATATATTTTGGAAAAATATACACAACGCACAAAAATTATATATATAAAAGTAATAGATGGTCTGGGGATACGAACAGCTAGCGCAGCTTCTACACAACAAAGTCATACACCATCCGCTTCTTCCCCGGCTGAGGCTTGACCGTCTTGTATGTCGTTCCCATCGGCTGAGTACCTCGGGGGGCAGTAACCGTTTCAGCCTCCAAAGTCGTCGCACTCGTTGACATCAGCGCGGGACCAGATCGGATAGGTGCCGACGTCGGACTAGTCAGTCTTTGAGCCACAGGCACAGCACCGGTAGCGGGTGCAGTAGTCACGGCGGCGGAGGAGGGGGTCGAAGCTGCAACAACGGTGAAGGGCCCGCTGTATGTCGGCACTCCAGACCCGTCGATTGCCGAGAAGACGAATCCGACGCCCGGACGGGTGGGTGTGAAGACACAGTGTCCGGTGGCGAAGTCGACATTCACACAGGCGGGGACGCGTTCTATGAAGAGGTTGGTCGGATTGCCGTAGCGTAGTCGGATGGTGTCGCGGCGGCCGTTGCCACGACAGCCGGAGAACTGGACGAGGTAAGGTTGCCCGGTTCGGAGGACGGTTATGGGGGTGGCGATGGTACAGTTCATGACGGGGGCGACGGCTTTGGAGGGGAGGTAGGCGGAGGTCACTTGGGCAGAGATAGTGGAGAGCACAAGAGATGAGAGGGCGAGCAAGGTGGTCAAGATGCGGGCCATTTTTGTTGTTATAGTTATAGTTATAGTTGTAGTTGTAGTTGTAGTTGTAGTTGTAGTTGTAGTTGTAGTTGTAGTTGTAGTTGTAGTTGTAGTTGTAGTTGTAGTTGTAGCTGCTGTTGTTATTGCATGTGCGAGTAGTATGGATGGAGCGCTGAGGAGTGCGTGGATGTGGATGGACACCTCGAAGGGCTTGTTTTTATAGCGACCCCGATTCCCGGTCGAGACAACCCAGGAGAGGACGGACCAAGTTGCCACGAGGATGCCACGTTGTAAGATTCCTGGACTTTTTTAGAAATAACATGCTTTTTAGGAATTTTGGAATGGTATGTGCGATGCGTGTGTCGGGTGCAAGGGTCCGAAGGGGAGAAGGATGTTTTGTTTAGAACTAGCATTCTGGTAAACGCCGGAAGTAAAGGCACTTCCATGCTTTGTGTTGCCTTTCTTTTTTTTTTTTTTTTTTTTTTTATACTTCAAGAAAGACGATCGGTACCCGTTTCTTTGCTATAAAAAAATAAAACAAAAAAATAAAAAAAGGTAGACGAAATGGAGCAGAATGGAATCCAGGTCCTGGTCATGATCCAGTCTGGATTATGTAGCGCCGTAGGAACAGATACACCGCGAGTTGGTGAATTAGCACCCGGATATAATGATTTCTGTCATCCACCCCAGAGCTTCCTATCACAGACGAAACGGATGACAGGACAAGGAATAGTTCTATTGATATGTATTTCGTCAATGGAGGATCCTTCCGAATACAAAAATTCTGTATGAGCTATAGATGGAGCATCCTTGTTTACAAAGCAGGAGGTTGCCATTTAAATCTTCCATCGTCTCTACAGGCGCTGTCTGCTCCAGAATGCTCTCCCACATCCATTGTCTCCTGCATAATCTCATCCTGCTTTCTCAACCGCCAATATCAACCTTGACCTCCGCAGCTTCGACCTTATCCTTCACCCTCTTCGCCTCCTTTGCCGCCCGTATCTTCGGCAGTGGTAATAAGAATTGTATTCGGTGAATCCATGATCATAAGTGGCCCGCTGTAGGTTTCTACACCGGATGCATGGGGTCGTCGAAAAGCTGAAATCCATGTCCTGCGTGTGTCGGCGCAAACATGCACACAAATCCCTCGTCGGCTTCCAGGTATTCAGGGGTTGTCATAGTGCAGTTGTACGGGACTGGTCCCTGACCTGGATTTTGAAGGGTAGGAAAGCATGTCGGCTGAGATGGGCATGGATTGGCGGCCAAGGGAGACAGCCAGAGTGATTACATTGGTTAGTCGAGTTTGTTTCGCTTTGTTACGATAGAGTGTGGGGGTGAGACGGAACGATTGAATACACAGCGTCAGGAAGAGTGAATACGAATCAATAAGAGTTTGTTGGTTGTGGATAACGAGCGAGGCAGCCACTCTGGAGACAGTACAGTTACTAAATAGAAAAAAAGAAAGAAGAAAGTTGCCAAACACGGACAGGCGCCTACACAGGAGGTGCATAGGCTCTGAAAAAAAGGTAATTTGTCCAAATTTGGTGGACAATTCAGAAACATCTTTCCGGCACTTTCCATCAGAACTTTGAATAAGGGCCCCTAATATTGTGCAGTTGTGTCACTCAAACTGTTTTGGTTCCCTCTGTCGCCCATGTGGATTAACTATGGTCCCCAACATAGACAAGTGCGTATGCGACGTAGACTATGTATGTACGTACGTCAAGTATAGCAAAAACAACATAGAAAAATGAGGAAGGGTTTATGGAAATGGAAGGCGAGGAAAGATGCGCTCGCTTACAACACAAACAAAGACAATGGTGTGATTAGTTTAAAATGGAGTTCATCTAGCCTTTTAAGGTTTTGTGTTCATGGCCAGGGCATTTGTCCACTCTGACGTCGTGTCCGTGTCGTAACCTAGAACTTTCCCGAGAAATGAAAGGCGAAATGATGCATCGCTGGGAAACCCCTGAGGCCGTAGTCGCCTCTTTCAGGGGGGCGAGGGGAGCCGAGGCCATGACGATGACACAAACCGGCAGCACGCACCACGCTAACAAGACTCTTTAGCAGTGAATCGAGCTGATCGGACAATGTCATCATTTTTGAATGGGGACTCAATTGCAAACAAGGTGGTACCCCGATTAAAGTTAATGGGCTAGTGTCACTAGTGACGGGGCCCATGTGATTCTGGTATGACTGCGCACCAGGCGAGGGGGGATGGAGAGGCCACGTTGAGTCGATGGGCGATGGGCGATGGGAGGGGTGTGGAGTCGAGACAGACAGCGCAGACAAGAGTGGTACAATTGCTCGGTAAGACTACACAGCGGGGGGCACAGAATGAAAAATAAAGAGTGTTGGTGCGCTCGGATTAACGGTTTTCCAGCAGCGTGCATATGCTAGACCAGAATTCTAGAGACCTCGAAAAAGGCTATTAAGGTTGGCCCCAGAAGTTTTCTCGTGACCTGTAACCTTGCCTGTCGTCATCCAGTTCTCCAGTAAGGGCCAGCTTGCCGCCGAGAACCCTGGGCATGCTAGTACGTCGTAGTCTGTTCTAATGGGACAGAGTACTTTAAAGCAGGTGGAATGTATTCCTGAGACATCTGCAGAAGACGAGGTGCAAGAAGCGACCGGACACCTTTGTTTGTCTCGTCTTTTGGAAACAGATCGCCTCTTCTGCTCCTCAGTGCATCCGATCCGCCGGGTGTAGGAAAAAGTTTCATTCACTCATGGTCGTTGCCCGGGTTTATAAATATGGCAGCTGTCCCCCCTCCCTCTCCTCTCTTTCCTCATCAACCCAGGGATTCTTCGCCATCCAGCTACTTCTCTTTTCTCCCCTCTTCTCTCTGTTGTGCATACATTCCCACACACTCGCAGATCCCTTGTACAGACCCCCCCTAAAAAAACTCCCCACCGGGCTACTTCATATACCTCCCTCCCCTCCCCATCGCACTCTTCATCCCCCGCCACCCTTCAACGTCACACTCCGCCCTAGCCAGCCCTCCGCTGATCATACAAGAACACCTCGCTCGTTTTGTAATGGCCAAGAGCAAGACCGTAGAGATCGAAGAGGAAACTCCCTTCCACACTTTGTCTGTCGAGCAAGTCGCTGAGCATTTCTCCACCAATATCTTCGAGGGACTGAGCTCCCAGGAAGCTGCCGAGCGACTCAAGAAATATGGCAACAATGCGCTCCAAGGAAGCGGAGGCGTGAAGTGGTACAAGGTGCTCTGGCGCCAAGTCGCCAACGTCCTTGTCGTTATTCTTCTGATTGCAACTGTAAGTACCGTATCGCGTGCATAGGACAATACCCGATCAAAATGAAGCCCGAGCGTCCTTCAGCTTAGCGCACAACGGGCCACACTACGATCTCGTAAGACATTATCCAGTCTGATCCAATGTGATCCAGTGTGATATCCAAGTGACGGGATCCTCTATTTATGGAATATAGACGATCTTTTTGTATTGACCTCAGTTTATATCAACCGGGCTGTTTTGAATAGATCTTATCGTTTGCGACCAAGGACTGGGCAGAAGGCGCTGTCATCCTGGTGATCATCATCATGAACGCCGCTATCGGTTTTTGGCAAGAATACAATGCCGAGCAGACCATGGAAGCTCTTCGAAACATGTCCTCGCCCACGGCCAAGGTCATCCGCAACGAATCAAGAACCACGATCCCGAACAACCAAGCGGTGCCCGGGGACATCATGATCTTCGAGGACGGAGACGTCATTGGTGCCGACTGCCGTCTCTTCGAGATCTTCAACTTGGAAACCGACGAGGCCCTTCTCACTGGCGAGTCTCTGCCTGTGCAAAAGAACCTCGACTCTATCGAGGATGTAGAGCAGCCGCTGGGCGATCGTCTCAACATGGTGTTCTCCTCCACAACCGTCGTCAAGGGCCGCGCCAAGGGTATCGTCACCTGTACTGGTATGAGGACCCAGATCGGACGGATCGCTACCAGTCTCATGGAGGTCGGGGGTAATGAGACTACGCCATTGCAGAAGCGATTGAACAAGATGGCCTACTACATTTTCTTGGCAGCCGTCATTCTCGTCGTCGTCGTGTTTGCTGTCCACAAGTTCGAGTACAACAATGAGATTGCGATCTATGCGATCTCTGTTGCCATTGCCATGATTCCCGAGGGACTTGTCGCCGTCGTTACTTTGACTATGGCTTTTGGTGTCAGTCGAATGGCTGAAGTCAAGGCTATCGTCCGACGACTCTCCAGTCTCGAGAGTCTGGGCGCTGTTACCAACATCTGTTCTGACAAGGTGAGTTTTATTATAATATTACTATTAAAAAAAGAAAAAAGGAAAAGAAACAAAAGGTGCGAGTTCCGATGACTAACAAGACAATACTTTGGACTCCTCGACGATATATAGACCGGTACCTTGACTCAGTCCAAGATGGTGGCTGTTCGTATGTGGCTCCCTGGTGATGGTTTCTACCGCGTCACCGGCACTGGATTCAATCCAGAGGGTGATATCTACCAGCAAGGCGAGCAGGCAGCTCCTGGTGGGAATCCCGAGCAAGAGCACCTTGTCGAGAACGGCATCGGATCCGGCCACTTTCTTCGAACTCTCCAGGCTGCTTCTCTTTGCAACATGGCCGAACTCCGCAAGATGACACACCCTGAAAACCGTGGCGAATGGTCCGCTATCGGCGACCCTACTGAGATTGCACTCCAGGTCCTCTCCTACAAGGCTGGACTTGCCAAGCCCGACCTAGTCAGTCAAGGTTTCAAGCTCGTGGCCGAATTCCCCTTTGATTCCTCTGTTAAACGCATGTCGGTCCTGTACCAGAGCCCTAATAGGCAGGATGGTCCTGGCGAATACTTTATTTTCTTGAAGGGTGCCACCGAACGTGTCCTTGGCTGCTGCACGCACTGGCTGGATGGAGATACGGAGCGCAGCATGACCGGAGACAAGGGAGGTATCGATCGCGAGGAATTTGAAGCCATGATCACGGAGAAGATGGATATTCTCGCCGAGCAAGGGTTGCGCGTTCTGACTCTCGCCTACCGTCGTTTCGAGCCGGAGGCTGGTGTTGACCTTGTCCACGACTTGGTTCGTGATCAGGTTGAGCAGGATATGATTTTCCTTGGACTGGTTGGAATCTACGACCCCCCACGCGCTGAGTCACGTCCAGCTGTGCTTCAATGCTATGACGCTGGAATTCGTGTCCATATGCTGACGGGTGACCACCCATCCACCGCTGCTGCTATCGCCAAGGAGGTTGCCATCATCCCTGCTGATGTCCCCGTCAAGAACAACCCTTTGATCATGACCGCCGGACAGTTTGATTCTATGACAGACCAAGAAGTTGACGAACTAGAGGAACTCCCTCGCGTGGTCGCCCGTTGCTCGCCCAACACAAAGGTCAAGATGATTGCGGCACTCCACCGTCGTAAGCTGTTTGCGGCCATGACTGGTGATGGTGTGAACGATTCGCCCTCGCTTAAAGCTGCAGATGTTGGAATTGCAATGGGCCAGTCTGGGTCGGATGTTGCCAAGCAAGCTGCTGATATTGTCTTGACAGACGATAATTTTGCTACCATTGTGCACGCTGTCGCTGAAGGTCGTCGTATCTTTGCCAACATCCAAAAGTTTATCTCGCATCTTATGGTAAGATTGAACGCTATTTGTTGAACATCTGGACAATCTGTTTCGGGGGACTCTCAATGACTAACGACATATTTTACTATACCTTGGATCGAACTAGTCTACGAATGTGGCCGAAATCGTGGTTTTGATCGTCGGCCTCGCCTTCAAGGACAATGAAGGTAGTGCTGTCTTCCCCATGAGCGCTGTCCAGATTCTGTTTCTGAACATGATCACATCTTCGCCTCCAGCCATGGGACTCGGCCTCGAGCCCGCAAGTGAGTCCAACATGCGCGAGCCCCCACGATCAGCAAAGCAAGGGCTGTTCTCGTTTGAAGTCGTCCTGGATACCTTTGTGTATGGCCTTACCATGGGAGCGCTGTGTTTTGCGGCATTCTGCACAGTGATCTTTGGACTCAATGGCGGCAATTTGGGACAGGGCTGTAACGCTGAATACTCGAGCGCCTGCGAGGGCGTCTTCAAGGCACGTGCGACCGCTTATGCCTGCTTGACCTTCCTGCTCTTGGCTCATGCTGTGAATTGCAGGAGCATGCGCTCCAGCAGCTGGTCGATCAAGAACCTCAAGACATTGCGTCTGAACAAGATGCTCTGGATGTCCATCGTGATTGGCTCTCTTGTTGTCTTTCCCTGTATCTACATTCCGGGCCTGAACCATGATGTCTTCAAGCACACCGGCATCAGCTACGAGTGGGGCCTTGTGGCCGCAGCCTTAGTTATTTTTATCATCGTCTCCGATCTGTACAAGTTTATCAAGCGCAGAACTATGAAGCCGCTCTCAGTCAGGGCCAACTCTGAGCTTGAGATGGAGCGTATGAGAACCTTTATGTCACAGCACACCCAAAACGACTCTGTCATGGAAACCAAGCCCTAGGAGTGTTTTTTTTTGCTATTCTTTTATGAAGCGGAGCAACCGGATTACCCCTAAATGCATGTACAATAGTTTTATACCGAAATAAATCAGAAACCAAGCATATTATATTGGGCCTTCATAATAGCCTACCGATGAGAGACGGAAGGGCGTTTTCATGATTCCCTGGTAAATTAACATGGATACTCAATACGCCATGCCTGCCCCATTGAGCATAGTCCGGCACTGAGGGGTATCGTCCGGCCCATCCTATCTCATACATCCATCCTCTCTTTCTCTCTCTCTCTCTCTCCTCGGACCAACGGCTTTCGGTATTGAATAAGCACGACCAGTGTGGAGGACCAAAGAGGGGAATGGAGACAAGCTTAGTGATGCATGAGATGCGCCATCACTTTATCCAGTTTAAGTTTTTTCGCGACAACCCTGGGGACGGATGAGGAGGAGGAGGGAGGGAAGAGGGAGAAATAAACAATCTTTTTCGGAGTGTGCGAAATGCATGTGCATGCTCCGCTGGACAAACGTCCAATCCAATGGTTCATCATAGACAACGTGGATGGATCCTTGTACGACCTAGGCTGACCATATTTGTATTTCGGTGCTCTGAAGCGGCAGAATAGAACCACTTCTGGACGTCAACTTGCCCACGTTCCATACTTCGTCTTCCATATTTGAACGAACTTTTTGTCCATTCCCGCTCTCACACACATGTATAACCCTAGAACGTTTTGTGTCCTCCAGAGGCAGAACATGCATTCATTCATCCAACAACAAGAATCACAAAAAAAAAACCTTCCTTCCCTCAAAAGCGCGCCGTAATTTTTTTTTTTTTCCTTCTGAGGTTATTTTTGTACTGTAGTAGAAAATCGATGCGAGCGCGCTACTTTGAGGATCGAAGGTAGAACCGACTGTGGAAACCAGGGAAGGACGACGGCTATGGCCAAAAAAATAATAGCGCACCCCATCTTTTAATGGGGAGGTGAAACACAAATCAGACGATCAAGACAGGCCACCCCATCTAGTCTATATCCATCCACGCCATGCACAGAATACACAGCGGACGTGCGTTGTGCGGGGGTGTAGCAGTTGTGGAAATGTATACATGTAGTCCGGCTTATTGAGAGAGCGGTCCATGTCTTTATTTCTCGTCACTAAGGTTGGAACCTTAATCACGGTCAGCCAGCCAATGACCGCTCGCCCTGCGCCACGCGTAGCAGATCATTGGGCATCAGCCCCCTGCAGTGCTCTCGCACGGGGGACAAAGCCAATGAAGAGTGGGCGCTTTTTTTTTTGGTCCTCTTTGTCCCGTCTGTCACACCGTCCCCTCTCTCTGCGTCTCTCTTTTGGTCTGGAAATATTAGATCGACTGCTGTGAGAGTTCTCTGGCTTCTTTTTTGCTCCTTTTTTTCATCACCCGATCTATATACACCCTACTGGCACGATAATGTACCCTGTATTAAAAAATATATGCGGCCCTATCTCGACGGAAGCCCTGCCCTCGTGCGGGGCGGTGTAGGCTCCTCGATTGCCGCCCAGGATGAGCTCAGGCCCTGTCAAATCGCCCACGTTCCCATTCTGCTGGTGCACACGTTCGGCCCCGCAGCCAATAGGAGCCCGCATCTCCCCCTTTCGCTTCTCTGCCTTTTTCTCTGGCCTCTGAACGAACCTTGTTTGCGGTCTAATTTCATGTGCGTCCACTTGGTGTCCATCTTCATGCCTAGAACAGATGAGCGTCTATCCATCCGTACACCCCTCCCTCCCCATTTGCCCATTGCGACCATCGGTGCTCTTTGCTCGGTAACACCCTCTAGTTCTCCCGCCTTGCCCTGCCCCACTCGTCTGTCCGTTATAAATACTGTCCGCATCCCCTGCCTCTTTTTCTTGCTCCCCATCCTCCTTCGATCAACACCTTCTCTCCCCGTCCTCTACTCCTTGGCCTCTCCGCCTCCATCCTCCCTCCCCCGCCTCCTCCCTTCACCGCCACCACTCCCTCACACACCATGTCCACCTATAACGCAACCGCAAAGTTGGATGCCAACCAGCTAAACGAGCGTCGTCGCGAGGCCTTGGCCAAGATCGACAATGCTGAGTTCGGCTGGTTCCACATTCGTGCCTGTCTCGTCGCCGGTGTCGGTTTCTTCACCGATGCCTACGATCTCTTCGCCATCAACTTGGTCACCCCCATGCTGGGCATGATCTACTTCAACGGCCCTCTGCCCTCTGATTTGGATTTGGGCATCAAGGTCGCCGCCTCCGTCGGTACCTTCCTTGGTCAGGTCGGATTCGGTTACCTTGCCGATCGTCTCGGACGCAAGCGCATGTACGGTATCGAGTTGATGATCATTATTGTTGCCACCCTCGCCCAGTCTGTCTCTGGAAACGGCTACGTCCTCTCTTTGCCCGCTGCCCTTATCATCTGGCGTGTCATTGTCGGTATCGGTATCGGTGGTGATTACCCTCTGTCTGCCGTCATCACCTCCGAGTTCGCCACCACCAACCGCCGCGGTGCCATGATGGCTGCTGTCTTTGCCATGCAGGGATTCGGTTACTTGACCACCGGTATCGTCGCCATCATTCTCCTTACCGCCTTCAAGTCCAGCATCATCGCCAACACTCAGAACCTGGATTACGTCTGGCGTATCCTCATCGGTTTCGGATGCCTCCCCGCCCTCGTTGCCGTCTACTTCCGTCTGACCATCCCCGAGACTCCCCGCTATGTCCTCGATATCGAGAACAACGTCAACAAGGCCGAGCGTGATGTTGCCACCGTCCTTAAGGAGAACCGCAACCACCTCCAGTCTGAGGATGATGCCAACGATGTCGTCGTCTCCAACCCCACTGTCGTCAAGGGCTCCTTCTCTGACTTCTGCGCCTACTTCTCCCAGTGGCGCAACTTCAAGGTTCTCTTCGGTACCTCCATGGCCTGGTTCGCTCTCGATGTTGCCTTCTACGGTATCGGTCTCAACAACTCCTTCATCCTGTCCTCGATCAACTTCTCGTCCGTCAAGGGTGACAACTGGAGCACCTGCTGGAACGCCGCTGTCGGTCAGATCATCATTGTCCTGTTGGGTGCCGTTCCCGGTTACTGGGTCACTGTCTTCACCATCGAGCGTCTCGGTCGTATCAAGATCCAGATCATCGGTTTCGTCATGTCCTGCATCCTCTTCTGCGTCCTCGGTTTCGCCTACACCCAGATCAAGAACTACTCCATCGCCCTGTTCGTCTTCCTCTTCGCCGCCACCCAGTTCTTCCAGAACTTCGGACCCAATTCGACGACCTTCATCATCCCCGGTGAGGTCTTCCCCACCCGCTACCGCTCGACCGGCCACGGTATCGCAGCCGGTTCCGGCAAGTTGGGTGCCATCATTGCCCAGGTCGGTTTCTCTCAGCTCAAGGATCGCGGTGGTCCCAACGCCTTTATCCCTCAGTTGCTCCAGATCTTTGCTCTCTTCATGTTGATCGGTCTCATCGTCACCTTCCTCATCCCCGAGACCAAGGGCAAGACTCTGGAGGAGCTCTCGAACGAGGACGACTTTGCTGCTCCTTCGCACAACCAGAACAATGCCTTGTACGATGAGGAGAAGTAGAAAAGGAAAAAAAAAATAATCTCGATTCTCAAGTGCTTTTCAGTGGGCTATCTTGTGTATTTATAAATATCATATACCATAGTATTTTTTTTCTCTCTCGTATACAATTAAAAAAAGTGACTTCAAAGCGACTTTGTATATGCTTATCTGGCTTGTTTGATCATGTCGGGGAAAAGGAGAAAAAGAAAAAAGAAAAAAAAAAAGTAGGATCTTGGTTTGGGTGTGGAAATGACCCCGGAACTTTTGCATGCAAATTGATCGTTTGACGGAAGATGTGTGAACACTGAACAGGGACCGTTCCAGATACGGGGAATGAATGTGGTGAACAGGCGCGTCTTTGGTGATGAGTCGCAAAAGAAAAAAAAAAGGGGCGACACAACGACGGTCTGTCTGAAAATATCTAGGATTGGATGTGGGAAAGATATCCTACGCTTTTAAAGTCATTCGTTGTAAAATGGAAAATGGAAAATGGAAAATGGAAAACCCTGTATCGCGTAAGTGTGCCATGAAGCCGCTTTATAGGATACCGGTGCTGCTGCTATGTCGGGCAAGGGATCGTAAAAACCAATACAATATAAAGTTTCTTCGCCGTCGATGGTACTTTTGAGAAATAGCCATCGGTATCCTAAGAGCGTGTCTCAATAAAAGTAGCGGTGAGAAAGTCGTTTGGTAGCAGTAATAATCCCCTGCAAGCTGAAGTATTTTTTTTTTTTTTATCTCAGGAGCGCGCTACAGAGAGTGAATACATCACATGATGTAAATTGAGCTCAAGAGGTCGGTGGCACCAGCACAGTGTGGATCTTCCTTTCTTCCAATCTCCCCTGACTGGTACATAAAGTGACTGAAAAAAATATATGGGGGGAACCATCCGGGAATGCATCCAACGGCGCCGCCATTGAGAACCATTCATCCATCGATCTATCGACAACGCAGCATATCAATTTCCACCGTCATCCACGTTTGAATCGACTATCAGCAGACAGAACTTCAGAGCAGGAACTTTCACCATGGAGTGCATCAGAAGGGCTACTGGGTCATGGGACGGCCCCATGATCATGAAGGAGACTGTACTCAGTCCCTCGCCTTTATAGGCCATTCGGAAGAGCATGCGTAGTCAACACCAAGTCGAGCAAGGAACAGAATGCCGTGAGTGCGATCGACCCCTTCACTCTAGGCGGCACCGAAAACAGTTGTTGTGGAGCCAACAAACACCCAAAGTCGCTATGTGCTCAAGGACAGCAGCAGAAACACCAGGATTCAACTCAACATCTACGAACGAGTTTCGGCAGTCTTTTGGAACCTGTGCTTATGGAGTCCTTGGCTGGAAGGCCAGCTTGGTGAATGCATCATGGAAGGTTCTTTTTACTGACGAGATCTATACCGTTTTTTTTTCCTCCCTTGATCCCTCATTTATGTCGCCTCAAATCTTTCACCAAATCACTGGACATCGAACTTGGCGAACGCAACTCTTACATCAACCGGAAACTGTTCATCTCTGGATCTCGTTGGAATCAACTGTGATGCCCTCTACCGACTCTTTACGCCCGTCAACAGACCATGAAGCACAACAACCAATTGCCCGGAAACGTATGTATCCTGTTTTTTTTTTCTATTCAGAGAACAGAGCAGAGGATTTGCTCACAGGAGTCTTGATGGCCTTTGATTTTGGAGGAGCGGATTACGCTGGGTCTTTCACCAATTGCGCCGGGATATATATTTCGTCCCTTGCAGAAACAGACCAGCGTGCACTTCCAATCAATTGCTCATTCAGAACCTGTTTAGCCGTGGAGTCCTGTCCTGCCTTGTTCTCTTGATCATATATCTGTATGGAAGTAAATTTGGATGTTGATCATGGACTTTTGAGCGCTTACATTTTTTTTATATTGTTATTTTGAACAATACAGCACTTCCGCAAGGACTGGCAGTCGCGCGTCAAGACCTGGTTGGACCAGGCTGGTCGCAAGAAGTCCAGACGTATTGCGCGTGTCCAGAAGGCCGCCCGCATTGCTCCTCGCCCTGTTGATGGCTTGATCCGCCCCGCCGTTCGCTGCCCTACCATCAAGTACAACACCAAGCTCCGTGCTGGTCGTGGCTTCACCCTTGAGGAGCTCAAGGTATGCATCTCGCTGCTTTTGGTTACCCTGTTCTCGCGGCACGGAATACGGGGAGGACGAAAGCAACCGTTAGCATTGACGATGAGCAGATCTACAGGATAATGACCCGACATTCGACTCGCAGCAATTGAAAAGTTGGACAATATTGGCGGACCATCGTGTATTGATAATTATAACAAAACCGCCTCGACAGTTGTACTGGGGTTCTTCTTTTGCTCTCTCGAGAGCTGCAGGAACACTCTCGCTCTGGATCGCCGCCCTACCCCTCGCAGACATCCAACATAATCAACATCGACTTGGAGCGATCTATTTGGGCGATAATGAGAGATGGCATGGTAGCAGCGTATTTAAAGGCGACTATTCTTTTGCACATTATCTTGTAGGCTGCTGGCATCCGCCGCAAGGAGGCCCTCTCGATCGGTGTCTCGGTCGATGCCCGCCGCCGCAACAAGTCTGAGGAGTCCCTTCAGCTCAACGTTCAGCGCCTCAAGGCCTACAAGGCCAAGTTGATCGTCTTCCCCCGCAAGGCCGGTAAGATCAAGAAGGGTGATGCTGAGGTCTCTGAGCTCTCGAGCGCCACCCAGTTGTCTGGCGATCTTTTCCCCGTTACCCAGATCTGGGGCAAGGACAAGGCCCGCAAGATCACCGAGGAGGAGAAGAGCCGCTCTGCTTACGAGCAGCACCGCAAGGCCCGCTCCGTTGCCCGCCTTCACGGTATCCGTGAGGCCCGTCGCAAGGCCAAGGAGGAGGAGGAGGCCAACAAGAAGAAGTAAAGATCTTTATAGTCCTTCTGCCTTCTTGCGTCTTGTCTCTGTCTCCCTTTTCAATAAAGCAGTCGCCCACAACTGTTGCCAGTGCTCTGGTCAAAAAATTATGTAACCCTGGCGAACAGAAATGAAGAAGTTGTAATATTGACATTGACAATGGGTGTCGATCTGCTGAAAGAGCGTTGACCATGGTTTATGAAAAAAAAAAAAAAAAAAAAAAAAAAAAAAAAGGGCCCTTCCTTGCTCCCGTGTGTCAAGTTGGGCAAAGTCCGAATCCAACAATGATTGTCCGTAGCTGTGCGTCACCGTGGCATTTCCAAGATAGTCTGAGGAATGGAGTCATGGGAGTATATCCATGGTATCTAGCCAAAGAGAGAGCTGAGTTAGTCGGGAGGGAGAACCAGCCAGCCTATGGGCATAGTATATTGAGCGAACGTAGTCTAGCGGAGGGGCGATTTCGAACAGGAAATTAGAGGTCCACTGGACCTGTTGGATCTTGATCCTTGCATGCAGATAACCTTACCTCAGGCTAGAAATACCATAACTTGTTTTTGATTTTATGTATAAAAAGGAAAGTAGCCGTTTTAAGTGCGGTATTCCCCTCTCTTTATCCTCTCCTTCATAGTTCCTTTGTAATGCTCAAGAAAAAAGAAAGAAAAAAGTAGAGTGAACAACTAATAGCCAGTATTCCCGCATTCCGCTCCCAAGCTTCAGCATCGAACAAAAAGCACTCTTCATCCATTCGAAAAAAAAAAAGAAAAAAAAGAAAGAAGCAATCAGCGGGATTAAAAATGTCCAGCAACAACTCAACACAGACGGTCAATGTTCAGAAGCATTCTAGTGAAAAGAAGTGTGAAGCCATTACGATCGACAAACCAGGGGTAGCACGGCCGCCCCAAGAGCTTCAACCGACCAAACTAAACAGGCAAGACGAAGACGACGGTATGCAGACATTCAGCCATGACAAGCTATCGTCGATCCAGCAAAAAATGTCGCCTCTGATGCTATATGTGGTCTCTGTCGCTCAATTTATCGATATCAGTAAGTCGGACGTGGTCTTTTTAAAAAAGCAAACACTTGTCGCCTTCCTCCTTTGGGTCTTGCATGATTGCTAATGCTTCCTCTCCCCCTCTTTTCTTCCTCTTCTTCTTCTCTTTCTTCTTCTTCCTCAGTGAATGGTTCGGCCATGACTGTAGCGCTCGTTGATATCTCCAAGACTCTCAGCTTTGACAGCTTCAACACTCAGTGGATTATCAGCTCCTATATTGTCACCTTTGGAGGGTACGTCCCGCTCTCTTCACTCACGTCTTAGTACTTTCTTCTCTGTACCTCCTGTTTGACTGAACTGTCTCCTGTCGCGACTCTTCACTAGGTTCCTCTTACTTGCAGGTCGAGTCGGAGACATGTACGGCCACCGTAATGTCTTCCTCGTTGGCCAAATCTGGTTCGGAGTTTTTTCCCTCATCGTCTCGTTCTCGACCAACCCAGCCATGTTCTGTGTCACCCGCGCTCTTCAGGGCATCGGCGCCAGCATGAGTGTCCCCACAGCCCTCGGCCTCATCACCACAACCTTTCCTGCAGGACCCAGGCGTACGAGTGCGCTCTCGATCTTTGGTGGTTTCGGTGCCGCCGGTGCCGTGGTCGGTCTCCTCCTGGCAGGCGCCTTGATCTCGTCCATGAGCTGGCACTGGATCTTTCGGTTCTCGTCCATCTTTTCGTTTGTGCTCTTCATGCTTGGATTCTTGGCTATTCCCACAAGTCCGTTGAAGCTGAATCAGCCCCGGATCGACGTCGCGGGCGCGTTGACGGCCACGTCAAGTCTGATCTGCATCATCTATTACATCTCCACGGGCTCGGGCTATGGCTGGGCGTCTGTCCAGACCCTGCCTGTCCTGGCGGCGGGTTTGGTACTGTTGGGGTTGTTTGTCTGGATCGAAATGCGTCTAGTCAAGAATCCGATCATGCCGTTCCGGATCTGGCGACTCAAGAATTTCTCATCGGCGTTTGTGGCGATTCTGTTCCTGCAGGGTCAGTTCCAGGGATTCTGCTACTTTGCGACGTTGATCTTCCAGAACGTGATGGGGTACACCTCCATGCAGACGTCGCTCGCGTTCTTGGCTCATAGTATCGCGGCCATTATCGCGTTCACGGTCCTGGGAAAGGTCCTACCAAGGTACCGTCTGAAGCCCTTTATCCTGACCGGATTCGTGTTCCGCTGTGCGGCCGCCGTCATGTTTGGGTTTGTCACCACAAAGACTTCGTACTGGACATTGCCGTTCCTGGGCTTGCTAGTACATGTCGTTGGCTTGGGAACGTCGATCCTACCGGCCCAGATCACGGCGCTGAAGGATGCGAAGAACGAGGACCAAGGTGTTGTCGGCGCTCTGTATTCGACAGGTATGCAGCTAGGTGCACCCCTCGGATTGGCGATTGTCACGGCCATTTCGGAGAACTCTGTGGATCTGAAGGGCGAGGCTGCGTCTGTGGATCTGTTGATGGAGAGTTATCGTAATGGTCTGTTTGGCGTTGCGGGCCTGGGTGTTCTGGGAATTCTCGTTTCCATGTTGTTGATCCCCAATTCGCCTGCAGCTCCCCCCGCGACTCCTATGCCGGACCCTGCAGCGGCGCTCGAGATTGCGCCCACACCTGCTCCTATTGTGACAGATGCGGACGCAGAGGCGACCGAGGAGGATGACGAGATAGAACAAGGGAGAGCACATAGGGAGAAGTCGGAGGTTTAAGGATTTCTTTTCATACATAGATTTATACAGTACCCACAATGCACATGCATAATAGATCATTCCCTTTTCTCTTCGCGTTTCGCGAAACAAATAACCTAAAAAGGCCAATTGGTTGATCAAGATATTTTCCTGACGACGCAAAAAAAAAAAAAAAACCTCCCCCCAAAAGAGGCCACTTGCTTGAAGGACATTTTCCTTCGTATTTGGTTTTTATTCTATGTTCATAGAGAAACGAGGATTCGCTTGCTTTTACTTCATGTTTACATTTCCATCTCCCGCTGCGCATGTTCCTCATCCTTAATATCTTCCCGCTTGCGCCGCTCAATATAGTCCTGTTCCAGCAGGTAATCGATATCGGAGACGCGCCAGTTCCAGTCAACGGGTGCCTCGTCCGGTCGGGACAGGCTCCTGGACTTGACCATTTGCTCCGCAGGCTCAAAAAAAGGCGATTCGAACCGGACAAGAAGTGGGCGTCGAGTAAAGTCAGAGATCACGTCGGAATCCATGACTTTTGACTGAATCGTGTAGTCGATCGAGGCGTCAACTAATAAAAAAAAAAAAAAAGAAAAGAAAAGAAAAGAAAAAAGAACGCGCGATTGTTTTTAGATGGCATGATATCATCATCGATGATATCGTCATATATGAAAAAGAAAGCCGACTTACACTCGACGTCGACCTTGAACTGCACGCCCTCCATCATCATCTGGGCAACCTGGTCTCTCGAGGACATCTGATCTGTTGCTGCTCTGAGCGCGATGGTCAAGGACTGCCATCTCCATCGGATAAAGCCTCGGGTTGAGCCGCTCTTTAGCTTGGGTCCCAGCAGAACCCATACATCTTTGACTACGCCATCATGAACTGCTGCCAGTTTGATCGAAACATCCGACTTGACTTCTTCCTGCCGTTGAAGTTCAGATTCAAAGTAGTCGTAGAGTTCTTGTGTCATCATGTTGGTAAGCGGTGAGCGGTCGATGTTTGTTGAAAGCAGCGGCAGCATTTGATGGATAGCCATGCCAGCTAGAGAGAAAAGAAAAAAGAAAAAGAAAACCACCAGATCAATACCAATATCCATATGTGTTCGCTCTCTATGATTTGTTCTATTCGCAACCTTTCAGACAAACAACATTGTGTGTTATACCTCCTTTCAGAAACTGGTCTGGATAGTATTCTGATGAAGTATTGTTCCGAAGCATCCGCTCGCATGCCGATTTGCAGATCATATATTGAATAGACTGAGGGATCAAGCCCAGCATCGACCAAACTTTGGGCGCCTTTGGGTATGGATAGTGAGGGATCCTTGATAAATAACTAGACCCGTCGTACAGCCAGGCTAAGTAAAAGAAAGTGTGGACCGCAATAAGTATTATCAAGCATTGAGTTATAACTCCATTCGATACTTTGGATCTGATCCGAAGCGCAAAAGGAAAAAGAAAAGCAAAGAGACATACGGAATTCATAAGCGCGTGCGGTGATCTCGCCCTCTGTTGGTGGTTCCGTGCCCTCGGTCTCCGCTGTAGCTTGAACCGTGGGAGATATTGGCGGCGACGGAGACGCATTGTACGTGTCGTCTTTTTGAGGATGGAAGCGGATAGGCGAGGAGTGGATATCGCGAGCCCATACTGCCGTATTCCTATATATTGTCGCCCGCTGCAGCGGCCTTAGACTCCTGGCGAGGAATGACATGTTTGCAATGACGAAATGAATTTACGAGAAGGATGTGTTTTTGAGTCGTGTTCCGATAGTGCTTCCAGAAGCTGGTTCATATATACATGGGTTATAAGCGCGGATGAGATACCCTAAGCCACTGCTGTGGAGTAAGGCGTATAGGGATTGTCGGCTGTCAAGGTTTTGCTCCCTCTTTCAATTCCACTTGGTAATATTCAGCAACTGCCGAGGGTAGCATACTGGGCGGGAGACTGCTTTATTTGAGGCATCCATGGGCCATACCAGGACTCGCATCCAGCACCATCGACGGATGATCCAGTATCCATCGATTACCGTCAGGACACCATCCCACATCATATATTATCCATCAATTGACGAAACTGTTGACGAAACTATTGACGGGGACTTGTCCCAAAAACAATAAACGGAGCTGGATACTAAGCATGGAGAAAGGCCCAGGATGATCAGTTGACAGGACGAAACTACGATTCGACTTGTAGTGAAGGATCGCATCTACGAGGTCAGCTCGCGACTCACCCATCGACTCTTCTTGTCTCTACTGTCGATCTCTCCTTTAGTTCATTATGTCCGACTCGAAGAGTGTTCAGTGCTACGGCCGCAAGGCAAGTCTCTATTTTTATCAACGATGAACTAAGATTCAGTATGCATCAGGAAGCAAGGATCAGCAACAGCTTTACGGCCAACGTCAAAAGGAAGCGTATCAGACTGGAAGCTGCGGCTATTGCTTGGAGAAATTATGATCGGCTGGAGGAAACCATGATCAACTGTTCGACAGTGGAAGCGATTCGTGCACTAGCACCAGTTTGCACGGCATTACTCGGGGGGAAGACTCCAGTTACACCGCCTCGACAAACCAAGAGCAAGGACAACCACAAAACCATGTGGCGCCAGCTTCAACTTTGCTCAACCGGACTCGACTGACAGTGGAGATCGCTGCTTTTCAACTACAAGAGGGGATATAACAGCCCACAGCGCACACCCAGCCTACATTTTTGCAACTCTTCAGCTGTTCAACGGGTACCCAGCTTGCAATTGAACGATACGGATACCAAAGAATGCGACCGCCAAAGTGCTTCGATACCAACGCCATGTTCAAATCACTTGGCAGGGCGTGGCATGGGTTTTTATTCTTGGCAACTTCGTGAGCTTGTCAGCACAATCACTCTGTCTCGACCGCCATGACAATGCACAGGATACTGGCGACATGACGAACATATCAACTGGAGAAAGATATCTGCATGACGACGTGGAAATCTAACCACAAAAGCATCATTGTGTGCGCCTATCTGGACGTCCCAATAGAAAACCGCCACTGCCGTTGCTCACTGCAAGGCCGGCAAGGGTCTTATCCGCATCAACGGTTCCCCCATTGAGCTCGTCGAGCCCGATATCTTGAAGTTCAAGGTCTATGAGCCCATCCTCCGCGTCGGCTCCGACAAGTTCGCCAACGTTGACATCCGCATTCGCGTCAAGGGTGGTGGACACACTTCCCAGATCTATGCTATCCGTCAGGCTCTTGCCAAGTCCATCGTTGCCTACTACCAGAAGTATGTCGATGAGGCCTCCAAGAACGAGCTCAAGCAGATCTTCCTCCAGTACGACCGTACCCTCCTCGTTGCCGATCCCCGTCGCTGCGAGCCCAAGAAGTTCGGTGGTGCCGGTGCCCGTGCCAGGTAAATTTCTTTTTCTTTTTCTTTTCTTGTTCTTGTTCTTATGGTTCGCGAACAATCATTGTTATCCTCGCCTATACTAACACCTTGTTCAATTGATGCTTTTTACGACTTTTAGATACCAGAAGTCCTACCGTTAAACGGTCGCGATTTTCGGAATTGGTGCGACTTTTTTTATTTGCGACCAGCTCAGGCATGTGTGGAAGGACTTTTACGAGGCGTTTTCTTTCGGCGTTTCCTGTCGGGTCTTTCTGTGCATTGTTCAGTTGTGAATAAGGAATCGCTCTCTACACGAATAATAAATCTTATCCGTAGCTGAACCCATTACAGGTCCTAGCGGAAGGAATTGAACACATGTGGATTGTATTGTTGCCAGTACTTTTTTTTGAACTGGCGTGAAAATAGCTCGTTTCTCGCCGAAAATACGTCTGCGAAGATGCTCTTCCCGCGAGGACGTGCTACCTCTACTGTACACGTTTACTTATACGCGTCAAAGTTTACTCACGTCTTCCATCTCCACATGAGAGCGCGTCAAGGATCACTCATGTCTTTCAACTCATATTGCGAAAGACGATACGATCAACTGTCTAGACATTCTTCTCATCGGAAGAGATGGTGGTGGGACTGAGTTTGCTAGCAGCGCGTCTCAACAATAGAACATCGCGGGGAGAGAGGGCAGGAAGCTCCTTGCGCTGTCGAACTTCCTCTGCGACTGCTCGAGCAAATCTGAGCGCACTCCTGCAACATGCTGTCACCTTTTCGTAGAAGTCACTCGTCTGGACGGGGAGGTCGCTCGAGTCCACTTGCCACAGCCTGTAATGGCCCCGGTAGTCGAGCTTGAGGAAAGTCAACTTCTGATCGAAGAACTGTAACCCAAACATGGAGAAGTTGCCGTGGGGCTGATGACTCTCTGCCAACTTCTTGACTGCTGAATCCCAGCTTTCCTTCATCGACCGACCGAGCTTCCGCCGATCTTCATTCTTCTTTCGGACATCCTTCTCATATAGCATCGAGCACTCGCTGAGGAAGACCTGGTTACCCCACGTGTCGTTGCCCGTGATGCCGGCCCGCTTGTACTTATTCAGCTTGTCTGTCAAGTCCCTGTTTGCGTTCCTCTTCTCGCCAGTACCGGTGATGGCGATCTCGCTCAAATCAGACTCTTTTGTCTCTTACATAAGCCAACGCACTCCTTCACCCGCTCACTCAACCACACTCAAACATAGTCACCTGCGCGGCTACCATGGCCAACATCACCTTTTTCTGTCTTGTCGAGGAAGATCCTGCTGCGAAAGCATTCTCGTTCAAGAACATTCCCTCCTCGGATACTATCGACGATCTCAGGAAGCGCATCAAGGCCGAGAAGGCCAACGATTTCCACGACATCGATGCGAACAATCTCACGCTCTGGCGCGTCTCGGTTCCACTTACGGACGATGAGGAGGAGCTCCCCATCATACTCGACACCCTGAATGAGAAGAAGAAACTGCGGCCAACGACTCGCCTCTCCAAGGTCTTCACAGAAGAGCCGTCTGAAGAAGTAATCCACATCATTGTGCAGCTACCACCGCCAGGTAAGGCTTTCACGCTCACTTTGCAGTCGTGCCTGGACCTATCCGCTGTCTATTTTTGTGCTGAATACTGAGTCTTGACAACGACTGGGAAGCCCACTAAATAAGAGTCTCTCTTCCCATTATTTCTACTTGCGTGTCCGATGCAATAGAGTTCCTAAAAAGATGTCTCGACAACCAAGGTTAGAAAACTTGCGATGATCAAAACGCCTGATTGACTTGCAGCGTATGTTCGGGATTTTGCTGCTGACTTGCGGTAACTCCATCTGTATCGTTTATTCCCGACTACAATATTGTCTGTTTCTTCGACAATGGCAGTATCGGAAAGTCCGATGAAACGACGCCGTTCAGCAGAGCGCTGGGAACCGTAAACTGCAACCGATGGCAAATCTGTGGAGTTGCCGCCGCTAATGTTGGAGATGCTTAAGAGAGACGAGCTCAAGCCAGACCCCCGCTCGGATTTCTCCTCACTGCTGAATGTGCAAGTCGGCAGCCAAATTACGACGAAGCATCCTGGTCAGGTTCCCAAGTACTTTGGACAGGGCTACCAGGGCAACCAATTCTTCGTTACCGAGCAGATGATGGAAATTTGGCAAATGCTTGCGTCTGATACCAAGTTCCCAGTCAAGAAAGTCTTGTCCGGTCCAATGGGCGTAGGAAAGTCGTATCTTGCCTGGTTTCTTGCAGCCCAGGCGTACGCTAATGGCTGGCTGGTCCTTTACGTTAGTGACGCGTCCAGACTTAATCAGGATACAGCGGAGAGGGCGTCAATCGAGATTTGCAAACGGTTCTTAGCTATCAACAAGGATATTTTGACTGCCGCTGAGCTCAAGGAAATGGTAACCTATGAGGATCGATCAACTCCCCTCGTGGTGTCTATCGCCGGGACCATCCTCGGGAGTCTGCTCCAGCGACGAGAGCGCAAATCTCTTTATATCATCGACGAGCATGGCGCACTGTTCGCATCTGACCCTCCGGCACCTGATCGGCTCGTGCTTTTGCTACCACTGCAATCATTCAACTGTTGGGAGGAGTCGGCAGCGGGAGCACGAGTGATCTTTACTGGCACTGCTCATGCAAAATTCGAGAGGGCTTACCTTATAGATGGAACCCATCTTATTTACGTTGGCCCGCTGTCACCAGCAATCTTGGGCAGGTTGCAAGCTGGAGTCTTTTCTCATTTCGATTCGACGGTCCGTGATCATGTGTCTGACATCGAAGATGAAGTGCTGAGGATCACGAATTGCGTGCCGCGTGAGCTCGTGAATCTGGCCCAAGAGATCGGAACCGCACCGCTTACCTTGAAGGAAATCAAGGAAAAACTGGACATTTTCGAGGAACGCCGGCGTCATGAGTTTAAATATGTTGCCGAATCTCATTACAATTCGCTTCCTAGAAACTCCAAGGATGGAACCCGTCTGGCCCTTGCGCAGATGTTCCTGCCCAGCAAAGACCGACCTACCGCTATATTCAACTGGAGGTTTCTGGATTTTGGAATGGTGTATCAATACCTCAGTAGCAGCGAGATAACGGTTTTTTATAGTCCGATCTGTCCAGCTGCCAAAGCCGCGCTCTTGGATTTGTACAAGCTATGTCCACTACCTGAGTCTTATCGATATGGCCTCGCTCAAGATAATCTGGACGGTGAACAATTTGAGGACGCCCTCTTCCAGCAGCTTATCCGGACATCTGGCTCGATGCTCGAGACGACAGACCTTGTCGGGAAAAATGCAGTGGATATACATTTGAAAATCTCGGGATACGAGTTGCTTCAGGAACCACCCAGAAACTTCGGCAAAGATGGCTTGGATATATTGATACGTTGCTATGCAGGGTACCCGCGGTTCGACTTTCTCCTTGGATACACATTCTTTCAAGTATCTATCGGCAACTTCGCAAAACACGACAGTGATGCGGCAAAAATCGACCTCGCCTTCGAGCGGAAAGGTGGCAAGAATCAAATCGAGGAATATCTGGATGCGATGTTTGGCGACGTTCATAAAGCCGATATCAATCTCAATTGCAGGGGCGGCAATAATTACACCAAAACATTCGTCGTTTCAAGAGATGGCCGGGCCTGCCCACTATTCAGTATCGTCTACATCTGCGGTAGACCAGGAGCAACCAATCACCCGAGTAAGGCTCAGGAGTACCCAAGAATCAGACACATATCCTACGAGGAGATCAAGTCCAAATTCTTTGGTGTTTCCCTGCCGAGATTTAGCAGAATTGCATAAGAATAATCTATCTGCCTGGAAGAGAGGGAGAAGGATAGGAGAAAGAGAGGAGGGAGGGAGCGGGGAATGCATCAATGGAGGAGACAGTGTCACCAAAAAAAGACGCGCTCTCCTGTTAAGTATCATGCCTACAATCCAGGAACAATGCCTTGAAACAATATGGACGATTGACATACTGTGATTTCGTGCTACAGATCATGTATGCGATAGACATGCCTTTTTGGGAATGGACGTCCTTTACAAGAAGAGTGAACAAGTACGCGGAAAGGAATGACGAAGAATTGCCATCCGGTGGGCGGGACAAGTTCTTGACAATTTTATCCATAGAGTCCATACACGCGACACAATTTCTGGGTCAAATGGGCTGCATCATGAACAGATCACCGATACAACAATAAGGGATGCTAAGTAAGAGCAGTGAATGGTACATACTGTATGGACGACAAGTAGTAAGCCTTACCTTGGCCTGGAAAGACGTAACCCACGCAACCATGAAATACTGCCTATCGTCACTGCCCACATTATCATCAAATGGACTATAGCTTCGCCACCTTCAGAGCGGATGGTCTCCACTCAAAGATTCAAAGATGTATACTCTGAATAACATCAAAATGCTTCCTCGGGGTGGTTGTCTTGTGCCGATACATGCATTTACGGATGTTCTCATATGTAATATGAAGGCCTGAAGGTGCAGTTCCATTACTGGATTCCAGCTAGAGTACGAAGGTGTTAGCTGAATAGAGCACAAACTTGCGCCTGACAATAAAAAAATGAAATAAATAACCGTACTTGCGCGAGCTGTTCAGTGGAAGGTGTAAGCTTCTTGATGGAATACCAATCTTTGCCCTCTTTGACCATTTTCCTGGTCTAGTTACGCTCAGAAGGCATGCCGCCAGGGTGGATAGGTTTGTCGCGTGTGAGTGCTTCCAGTAGTACTCCGGATTCTAATACAAGCAAGACAACCTTGATTCACTGAGTTGAGAGCCATTAATATCGTTTTTTTTCGCGTCCTGAGTGTCTACACGCGTATTTGATGGACTAGTCGTAAAGAGGTAGGCGGCTGGTCGTGTTGGTGCGAGCTACAGGCAGAGGCCCATCTAAGGGCGGGTCTCAACAGTAAAACGTACGAGAGCGCTTCTCGGAGAAATGAATTCACTGGTATGCTAGGCGCTCCTGCTCCCAGAACGATCGAAAAGTTTCGGGAGTGTAAGCGTCCATGTTTCGCGAAGTCGTATGGAGTGGGAGATTTTTTTAATTAGACTCAGGGGAAGCAGTCGTGCATGTTGAATTATAAATGGAACGATTTTTTTTTCTCACACCCTTCCAATATCGCCTTCACACTCCCAATCTTCCCTTCCAACATCACTCTTCACTCTTCATCCTATCCCCCTTCCCATAGCATCCTTCCCCTGATAACTTCGATTCTTCATAAATTCGCCTTGGGCATTGAGGGCCTGTGGCCTTTCCTGAAACGGAAAGGGTACGAAGCCACTGTGTGCCATCGGCAATTCGACATCTCCAGTCCACTTCTCGACCGCCCACGGTTTCGAGTAGACGTCCTTGGAACAGTTTTCCTTACTATTTAACATGCCTACACATCCTATGCCATGGACATTGCGCACCCGATTGTCGAGAGGAAGCTGAAGAAGCTGGTAATCCCTGCCAATTCTGTTCTTTACTTGGACGGCGGTCTTTCTTAAGAAAAGGAACTCATTAATCTTCGGCGACAAGCAATCGGCGACAAAGCATTGGCATTGACTCAACAAGAAATCGCTCAGTTGAAGGGCCGCGTAGCGCAGGGACTACGTGTTCGGAAACAACATTTTCTTACCGTACAAAGGAGCCTGAGGAGGGCCTTTTATTGGACGCCAGCGGCACGACAAGCATTTGCAAGCTACCTCCGACTTCAGGGGCGGGCTGTAAAGGGGTGCCAGACCGAGGCGGATATCAAGATTGGGAAGGATTGCATGCCGGACAGCGTCGTCATATCGCAAGACAGTGACATGCTTGTTTACGAAAGGATCTCAACAGTGTGGCGACCGATCTCCAGAGGGCAGATTCTTGTATACGACGTCTCAGGCATTCTAGCGACACTAGGGGTCAATAGGACTCTGCTCACAGTCTTGGGTGTGGTCTCTAAGAACGACTACAACGCCAACATCCCTACGCTGGGTTGTGTCGGCAATTTTAGCATCATCAAGGTCTTGGATGGAGGTAATATTCATTTAAACGAATGACCGTTCTTTGTGTGGGCCTGTTCTGATGCAATGTTCTTTTATATTCCTTGTGGGCACCGCATTGATGATAGAGCAGCTTTGTCCCACCGTCTGGTCGTCCCCAAGGATTTTAAGTAATGAAAAGTTCGCTATATCGCTTAAAGTGTTCGTCAGTTGCACACGGACATTTGCGCCATCAGTCCAGACCTTCATGGCTCCTGAGTACCACGAGCTTCGCTCAGACTTCAATCGCATCAAGGGACAGCACATCAAGAATCAAGCAACGTTGCGAGATGCGCGCCAAGTAGGGTGAAGGTATAAAGCGCTGTTACTTACCGTGTCAAATGTTGCTTACATTCTGGTGCCACTTGTCTAAATAGAACGAAGTTATTAACTCTGGCTTACTCATCATGGAATCACGATAGCGAGTTACCTGGGATCACGGTTCAGCGCCACAAGCCCTAACAGACGTTTAATTGCTACCGCTCGGTCGTTTCCCCTGCTCCGCAGGACAAAGAGGCAGAGACAGTCGAAGACATGGAGATGGCAGCAGCCCAGCCCAGCTTGTTTCAAAAAAAAAAGACCCTTCAACACCAGCGCACTCGAAAAATAGAGCACGAGCCACCAGAGAGTATGAAACAGTATGCATGGAAGCCTTAGAAGAAGCCGCCGGAGAGCCCAACTGGCTACAATGCCGATTCTTCCCAATAAAAGAATACGAATAACAAGAACAGCAGCAACAAATGCAGCAAAGAGAAGGACAACTGCAACGGAAGCAAGGACAAGAACAAGGGCAAACCAGTCAAGCCAATAGGAGGACATGGACAAGAAAGGACTTATGAGAGCAACATCCCACAGTAACCCTCGATATTGGGACTCTATCTGTCAATATCGACGGAGCCATGATCAACCAACCAGATTTAGCGTCCGAGGTGATCAGATGTTTGCAGGAACCCGTGCGCTTCGAACTATATCCACCATTGCCGGAACGGACTACTACTTGACTGAAGTTCGAAACGTTTTTAAGACTCGGCAAGATGTTACAGCTCTTTGGGGATGCAGACCAGAGGAAATCAAGATGCTTGGTCTCGATCTTGGCCAAGCATGCGTAGTCGGAGCAAGCGCGTTGTTGCCTGAGGAATCCAAGGAGGCGGAACTCGAGAAGGCCCAGCGAGATCAGGATGGGCGGTATCGCAGCGAAAGAACTCTAAACCGACCCCCAGTCCCGCCACTTATTATAATCTGAGTGCGAAGCAGAAGGCTGTCTACCAACCAATCTTCAAATACCGGCGCTGGCTGAAAGAGTACAAACGAATGGCCCTTCCTGGCGCAATAGAATCCATTAGCGACATCGAGAGTAGAGAACTTGGGAACGCAAAGTAGCAGTTCGACAGCTTTTAAAACCACAGTAGGGCTGTTGAAAAGCACCAGTGGGATGCCAAGAAGGCTCAGCAAGCAGAGTACGCGACTATTACGAACCGTCTGCCCAAGATAGGTCGGGGGTGGAGCTGGCAGACAGAGGGATGAAGCGAACAAAGTTGTGATTGGGGTGGGCCTTGGACAGTTTTCAACAAAGTCTAGGCTCTCCTCGTTGCATACATCCTTCCAGTCGTACTTTGTTCAAAAAGTAAGTGTACAACATCGCCCATGAGTATGGGATTCGAAGGAATATTTTTATTGTCAATGATACTAATGGATTGTCGTTGCTAGGCTCGCTCTCTTGGGTACATTGTCGTGGGAGTGAATGAGTATTACACCTTTAAAAAGTGTCCAACCTGCGAGTGGTTTGTCGGGAAGGTGGAGATCCGCAGGCTGTACTGCTCGACCTGCAAGTCTTACATGTACCGCGATATCATGGTGGGGGCACAACGTTGCCAATGCGATTCGTGGCCATTTGCTCCATCAACGGTGACCGTTATATCTTCTACTGGTGGATGACGCCGGGGACTACCCTTGGGAGCAAGCTGCGAAGTCGCAGACAGATACTAGCAGCAGCAGCAGCAGCAGCATGAGTATTATCAACAGTGCTAGCAATTCGAGCACTAGTTACACGGGTTCTGGACAACATGGAACTCGAGCGCGGCCTCTGTGGAAGGGCCTGCCACCCGCCGTGTGCCTGAGCGAGCGTAGCTGCCTCAATCTGCAGTCGCTCTCATATACCAAGAATGTGTTTGCGGACACACAGTGTTGGCAATACCAACCACACTTTTGTTTTCGGTGACGTTGGATCGGTCGGGTTTAATGTTGGACTATGTAGGCAGTAATCGTATAAAAATAACGCGGCGGAATAGAGCATGTATTTGAAATCTGATCTAGATTCAGTTACTACACTTTCCCCATCCTCATCAACTTCACTTTGACATAATGGCCTCCGGATACGGTTACAGCGGCGGTAAGACCGAAATCCTCCTTGCATGGCCAAGGCAATCTCGAGTCGCGTGGGTGTATAAACGGCTAACTGATCCACTACCTGTGTCGTTCTTTTCTCTGTCTCATTTCAACTCACACATCCGGATCTTCCGAAACGTCCGAACTGTATCTCCGGTTGTCCACATTATTGCTACAACAACAACAACACAACTCTTGCATGGCGTTTCATTGATATTATCCCCTTTCCGACCAAAAACGCTCGACGTCTTGACGACTTTGCATTCATAACAGGACGCAGCAGATGCTACCCTTTCTGGCAAGAGTTCCACAAGTGCTACGCTCTTGCTGACAAGCCCGAGGAGTGCGTTCTCCAGCGCGATGATTATCTTGAGTGCCTTCATCACAGCAAAGAGGTTAGAAGCAGCGCGTCATTATTAGTGCTCAATTGGCCCTGGAGTTTTTTTTTTCTGACTTTGCCGTTGCATCCGTACTAGATTGAGTAATTGAGTACTAAAGTCACAGCTGTATGTGTTGTCTTTTGAACCAATAGATCCTCCGCACAAAGACCGTTCAGGATGAGGCGTACAAGCAGAAGGAGAAGCGCGCCAAGGAGGCCGCCGAGTCCAAGAAGAAGGCCGACTCTGCCTCGGCTAGTAATGTGCCAAGGTTGAACGTTGTGGAGGAGAAAGCAAAGGCGTCGACATCAGCATAAAGAAAACCAGGGATTGAACGGATCGATAAACTGGAATTGAACGATTTAGAGGCGGTCTCCTATCGGCACACCGCACTGTACCTTACTACACGGAGGAAACAAACACAAACACACAAGGACAGATTTGCAGGGGGTTGCTTGTTTTTTATTTTTATTTTTCGATTGGAATAAAAATATGACCTGCATCTTCTGTTTAATTGCACCTGGTCCTATCATTGACAATGCATGGCGTGAAAAGATCCTTAAAAGGGTCCTGAAAGGGTTTTCAGTTGTCCCATTATAACGGCGCAGGAGATGATGTCACAAATGTTGTTTGTAGATTCTGAAAGGAGCCGAGAGGAGAACAGTGCATGCTACTAAAGTGTTTATTCCAAAATAGAACGGATCAAATGGATCATTCAGCTGTTCGTACCGCATGCTTACCAAAGTGGCGAATATCCGTCGCTAAATAACTGGGTATTGTCTCAATGATCAATTGACTGATAGGGCTTCTTCAGCGAGTGCCTTTAGTAGCTATTCTGGCGAGTTTTATAAGTACCAGGACGACATGCAGCATAGGATGTTATCACCAGAAAAGGGCTCTGCAGCAAAGCAGATTCGTCTTGTTTGCCAATGCAGATCGTCCATGATTCTCTGCGCCCTTGGATTTGAGGGCGCCCATACCACGCGACATGAGATGGGGTTGAACAGCATGTAAATGGGTATATGTTCTCCTCCGTACCTCGAGTTCATTGATGCACAGTGTCTTACCTGGTCCTGATTGGCGAAGAAGAAAATAATAAGGGATCATTGGGATCACCATTACGGCTTCTGCCCAAGATCACTGGGTTACTAGCCCAACTGTCTGCTTCTTCCTGCCCCCAACTTTCAACCTTTCGGCTGTATTTTGCACATTCCAATCTCACCAGATCTTGTTTGGTTGTCATCCTCAATCTCTCTTTACCAACCAGGCCAGATTATCACTGCACCAGGCGCCAACATCTTCTTGTATTTCTTCATCCTCTCACTTTCGTTCTCTGGTAGCGGTGCATGCCCGGTCTTCAACAGCACCAACGAATATCTTCATCTTGGTGTGTGTCTTAGCTCGTTAACTGCCACAACGCTCTCTTTTTCTGATTTTCTATCTTCTCCAACTTCCCCTCCTACCGTCTTTGAGGCTTGCCACTTCGACGCAAACCGCTGCTCTCACACCTCAGGCATTGGATATTTGACCAAGAGCTAGTCTTTTAATACTATCACTGTTCCCGCTCCCGTCCTTCCTTCTTTCGTTCACGATCCCTTGTGGGGTTATCTTTATCGCACTTCTCGACGGTCCACTTACTCACGCGCCAGCCAAACAATATCTCGCCTGCGGCATTCGACATACGTATTACGTTCGTGACACCATCGCACAGCGCACGAGCCCATCTACGATGGGGAACGTATATTCAATCACCCTCTGCGATCGCGACCTGCATCATGTACCAGACGACATTTACAAGCACCACAAACATGTCGCCAAGCTGCTTCTACGACGCAACAACATCCAGGAGATCCCGCGGGAGATCAAAGTGTTGATCAATTTAGTTGAGCTGAGTCTGCGAGATAACCTGCTGACATCGCTTCCTCATGAAGTAAGTAAAGATCGCTATTACCTACAAGAAGAGAGGTGATATGGGGCGTCAAAAGGAGCCATACCAACAACTTCTCGCGGCGAGCAGCAGAACAGGCAATTGGCAGGGACAAGCCCAGTCAGAGTAATTCAAATTCGTAAAGGCGATTAGAGACGCGGAGGAGGAAAGGATATGGAAGACACACGCACAGAAATATGATCATCAATTGTCAGTCAGGTTACTGTCCATCATTCGCATGGTCAACTTGTGAAACCGAAACCTCCAAAACACCAAACCGCAGTTTAGGAACAGAGTTACCATGGATATAGTAGACATGGGATCCGAAGAAAGTTGTAGATGTCTTCTAATATTCGTGTTGTCATGATAACCTAGATGACAAATCTCAGAATACTTCAGAAACTTTCGCTCGCCAGCAATAGATTGCAGGAACCTCCTGAACTCATCGCAGTATTCAGTCAGCTCACATGGCTGTCGCTTGCCAGTAATACGTAAGGCAGAGGATTCATTTTCTAACTGGGCCTGTTGCAGCGTCAAGGACAGTAACCTGGCTGCGATCGTCGGCGTTTTCTTGGAGATTATCCCTGACCATCCGCTGCCTTTTTTTTTTTTTTTTTTTACTGTCGTGTCTCTCTGCTCAATGTGCCTATAGATTGACGACATTGCCTGACTCATTCGCTAACCTGCAGAAGCTGACGTCGCTCGACCTCCAGCGGAACCGCATCAGCGCCATACCGGAGTGTATCTTTCAAATGCGGTCGCTGAATATTTTACTACTTCAAAAGAACAGGATCACGACAGTCTCACCACATATTGGCCAATGCACACAGCTCGTCTCCTTGAACTTGTCTTACAATCGCATTCTGCATCTGCCGACTGAGATGAAAGAGTGCAAAAACTTGCAACACCTGCTTCTAAGTGTGAACACGATTCAGAGCCTGCCCGGTGTACTTTGCGAGGCATGGACGAGCCTCCTGAACCTGGATTTGCATACCAATGACCTTAAAGAACTTCCCGAGCAACTTGGCTGTATGAAGTCGCTTCGGCGACTTAACCTGGCGATCAACAAAATAGAGGCGATCCCAGCATCGATTGGACAGCTTCAATTACTGGAGTGGTTGAACCTTAACGACAACAAGCTGGTGGGCCTACCATCCACAATGGAGCAGATGCAGAAACTTGTCAAAATGGGAGTCGTGCAGAACAGACTACAGACGTTACCTGCCGCATTGGCGCGTCTAAGCTTGTTATACAAACTGGATTGTCGTCGCAATGAGATCAATTACCTTCCTAGCGCGTTCAAGGACATGCAAGGTATTCACAGTCTGCTGTTGGAGGAGAACCCTCTGAGCGTCAAATATGGTATCTCTAGCTACAATCGGGAACCGGCAATGCTCCTTGAGCTGGCGGCGAGAGCGGTGTTGGATCGTTATAGCCCACAGGAGAACGGGTCTTCAACATCTGGCTCTTCCAACTATTCGTCCTCATCGACTTTTACCGGATCTTCATCGGAGGACGTGTCGGACGTTGCTATTGCTCAGCTTCTTCCAACCATGGCTGATCTTGGGATAACGAAATCGGCGCCTTCTTTTCCGTGCAGCCAGCCTGCTCAGCACAAGAGCCGATACAGTATTTTCAGTCGAGCCTGCGCATCGGTTCATTCGCATCAATCGTCCAAACCAGCACGAACGTCCACTTTATCTTCGACTTGCTCTAGTAATTCGGCTTCATCGACATCTACATCTTCGTCGCCGTCGTCGTCTTCACCCTCGCCCTCGTCCTCGTCCTCATCCTCGTCCTCATCCTCATCCTCGTCCTCATCCTCGTCTTCGTCTTCGTCTTCGTCTTCTTCAACATCAGCTTCTTCAACACCATCTTCGTCCTCAGAATCTTCGTGCACGACTTTTATTTCTTCATCTCTCACCTGTGACAACCTAATTCCGGGAGACGCATTGGCTGAAAGTTCCAGCAAGCATAAGCGACAACGGTTGTCCCCACGCAGTCTAAGACCTGCAAACTTGTTCCGCAAGTCCTCTAAAACGCAAGGAAAGTTGCGTGCTATGGACCACTCAGCGAAGGCCACCAAGTCTACACACTCGCCACCAACATCAGGACAACCACTGGTCGCTCACCGGAAGCACCATATCTCCAGAATCAATCGACTGCTCGATCCGAAGATCTCAGTCCTGCCTACTGTGCTGATCGAATTTCTGTCGATGGCAACGACACCATGCGACTACTGTGGTCGACGGATGTTCACATCAGGATGGGTCGACTTTTTGGAGCCTGCAAAAGTGAGTAACTCGCGGATGGTGATCCCAATCCGCCATCGGATGTGTTCGCTCCGATGTGTACGGTCGCAATATCGGGATAGCTTTGGAGGTGAGTTGACAGAGGCGTTCGAGACAACGGATTTTCATATCGGACCTAATGGAGAGATGGTTGGATCTAGACCGATTATGGTGGAAGAGCTGGATGAGTACATGATTGAGGCAATCCAGGTGGCTGCCGAGGCTGCGGGAATCTCGATCGTGCATTTGTTGGAGCAGTACCAGCAGCGACAGCAACAGTTACAAATACAGCAGCAAGAGAGCGAGAGAGAAGCTGAAGAGGCTCCGTCAATAATCCCAAGCACTTCCATGCCGAGGGAAGTCTCTGGAGTCGAAGGCAGTATTTCTATTATGGCACTGAATCAAATGAATCCAATCAACAGTCCAGAAGCTCAGCTCTCTCCTCCAGGACCCACATCGGTGGTCCGTCAAACAACTGCAAGAATCCGCCGATCGCTTTCTCGTCCCATGGCACCCATAGAGATCCAGGTAGACACGCTGGGCCAGCTTCGTCGCGTGGTATATCGTCAGAACAGGAGTACGGGCCCCCGAAGGCGGTTATTGGAGACGTTTAGGTCGCTGAGTCAGGTAGGACAGGCTAACGGGCTCGGAGGCGCTGGTGGGGCAGGTGGAGGGTTGGGAGTGCTTGCAGCTGCCGGACTGGGTCCCCATCTGGGGGTTAATGGTGGTGGTGGAGGCGGGGGTGGCCATTTCGGAGCGGATACCGGTGCAGGTGCAGGAGACAGACGTGCGGGGGTCGCGAGGGCACCGGGCGAGGTGATGAACGTTACAACGTTCGCGACAGAGCTGGAGAGATTTTAGTAATAAACTGTTGTTTGGACGCGTCTAGGGGATATGTGAACCTTGAACGTGTTTTGGTTTTGCCGCCAATTTTCATCTGGCACCTGTGACTGGGCGGTCATTATTTTTTTTTTTTTTTGTTTTCCGGCACAACAAAAACACTCTTCTTCAACGAATCGCCTTCCCACGAACAGCACAGGGACAACACATATACTACGAATGACGACCAACATTGCCAACAGCAGCAGTAGTGGCAGTGGAGGCAACAAGAAATACACGTCTCCGTTTACGCAATTCGACATCTCCTCGACTGCCGTCCTCGACACCATCGAGAAAAAGTTCTGTCCGACATGCAACAGGAACGTTCGTTACTTTTGCAACAAGTGCCTCAAGCTGGTCAACTGTCCTGAGGGTGCGGTGCCTCAGCTAAAGCTTCCAATAAAGATTGATGTCATCAAACATGAGCAGGAGAGGGACGGCAAATCGACGGCGTTGCACGCAAAGATCCTCGCACCAGACGACGTGGAGGTGTATGGGTGGAAGCAGATGCCGGAGTACAAGGACGTGGATCGCCTCTTGCTGTTGTTTCCAAGTCCAGTAAGTCGGTGCTGGATCCAAGCATCGGTCGAATCCACCTATTCCGGCTATGCGTATTAATAGTCTTGTTTCTGTTTTTTTTTTCCGTTATCAGGGTGCGAAACAACTATCAGAGATCGATCCCTCATCATTCGACAAATTAGTGGTGATTGACGGAACATGGGAGCAGGCAAGCAAGATGGCCAAGAGCGACAGCCCACTGCTCAGAATGAAAAGAGGTATAGCTGGGTTGCATTTTTGGATCGGTTCCTCACAGCATTTAAAAGGGAGTATGGCTGATAGGATCAAATTGCAAATTTTTGTCAACATGCGAATAGTTACGATCGCACCACACGAAACATTGTTCTGGAGACACCAGAGGAAATCAGACGACCATCTTGCCACCATCGAGGCGATCTACTATTTCTTGAGGGAGTACCATGAGACTTATCTCTCTGCACTTCCAGATCCAACCTCGTCGCCGGAATCATCATCGAAGTCGACCGACATCTCACCACAAACAACGAAGGAAGACACGGATGCTGCAATTGGATCTCCAGCTCTCGGCAATCCTGCCTCTTCATCGTCTTCCGGACCACAGAGCGGCGGCGAAACGAATGCTCCACAGGCTCTACATGGAAACGGACAAGGAACGAAAGTGATTACGCCTCACAAGGAGTGGATCGACTCTCGGAAATTGGGACCGTATACGAACCAGTTCGACGACATGCTGTGGTTCTACAAGTACTTTTACGAGCTGATCCAGAGGACATACCGTGAGCGGACGGATGGCAGGGAGTTCACGATGAAGCACAAGAAGGGATACATTCACTATAGTACTAAAAACGATGGTCAGGCACAGGCGTCCTCGGCATCGGGATCATCTGTATCATCATCACATGCAGGGGCACCATCAACAGAGCCGGATGTCTCGGTGACTACAGGCGAGATAACAGAGGGATCAATGTCGGAAGCTGGTCCCAGTGCAGAGACAACAGCAGCTGCATCGACAACAGTCTCCTCATTAAGGAACGCAAACAAATAAAACCAATTGTTCTACTTTTGCACTTCGGGGCTGAATCGGTGGTAGCAACAAGTGCAAGGCCTTTGTGTTCTAGTTTTAACGTTTTGTTGAAGGAGGCAGAGCATACCCATTTGTGCATGTTCCGAATGCGGCGACAAATGCTATTTAATTTTGTGTCTGATGAGCAATCTCGGTTGTAGTCTATGCTGGCTTGATTTGCACTTCCCGGCGGACAAGGAACATGAGGAGCTGCAGGGCCATGGTGCAGGATGTGGTCCATTGGGTTTATCCATCAAAATGGACAGTGCGCATCTAAATGAATGGACGGCATGGGGCACAGCCTACCGGATCTGGGGCATTGGTACCTTGTTGCTGGTACCTGTCTTTTGCGCTTGAAAAGAGGGACCACTGAATGCACCTTGTAGTCCTTAGTCCGACTTCGTCTCCGCAGAAAAATAAAATAAAAATATTTAAGGTGTCTTCACCCTTTTTTTTTTTCTTCCTTCATTCCCATTCCGCTTTTTTCTTCATTCTCATCTATACGTTCATTCCTCTTTCCTTCTCTCCATATAACATCTTTTAAAACAACACAGCCCCTTTATTGTTTTCTCTATGCCAGCAACTGTCCCCTGTTCAGAACACTTCTCGGACCACCAGGACTGTCAAGTCCAGTCTGATGCTGTCTCCGACCCCGAAAACACCATACACACCCCCAGCGCCAGTGGCGGCAGCGACCTCAAAAGCTGCGAATCCATCCCCTCGCCCCCAATCACGCCGGCTCTCTCCGATACTTCTTTATCATCCAGCTTGTCAACAACGCCGGCCAACGAAGATCAGCAAATAGAGCTCCCCTTTAGGTTGGTGACTCACCCGGCTGTGGTCTATACCTCGGAGCTGCTCTCCGATCCTGCCTATGTCGGTCGGATGCATACAGTCAAGGTCTTTGACTTTGACCAGACACTCTTCCAGTCACCGCTACCCAACCCTGCGCTTTGGGACCCGTCATTCCTGGGAATTTTGACCTCATGGAATTATTGCGGAACGGGTTGGTGGCACAATCCAGGCACGCTCGACTTGGGACCTGAGGTGGAGAAGTCTTGCTGGAAAGGCTGGTGGAATGAGGAGGTTGTAAGTTGAACGTGCTCTATTGGTTGACATGATTTTATGGTGAAGAGGAGGAGTGAGGCGCATTTGATGCAAATGACATAGGATGGGAGTAATTTAAAATGGAAGCCGGGGAATCATCCTTGGAAGCTATTTTCGCATGTATATCATTTTTCCTTTTTTTATGCGTCGAATGCAACAAAGCCTAGCATCATACATTTTGCATGGTTTTTTTTTTTTTTTTTTTGTCGGTACTAGTGACTTGTGGGCGCGATCATGGGGTTGTAAGTGTTGGGATTGTTACATGGGAACACAAATGCAAATGCACTGACTTAAACCGGTTATCTGGATTGATTGGTTAGGTCAAGGAAGTTCAGGAGTCATCAAAAGATCCAGGATGCTTGACGGTACTCCTTACCGGCAGAAACGGGCCAACATTTGGACAGAAGCTGATCGAGATGGTACAGCGGAAAGGACTAGACTTTGATCTCATTGCCACCAAACCGACGACGGTAGCGCTCATGGAGAACAAAGTACCGTTTGTGCCGACGAAAAAGTTGTTGAAGCCGGTGGAAAAGTATCTGAAAGTGCACACCTTCAACACGAAGTACGACTTTTTGTACAACCTGCTGCTAGAGTACCCGATGATCCGGTCGATGCATCTCTGGGACGATCGACCCTGTCAGGTGGCCAAGTTCCGACAGGTTGGACAGGAGTGGCTCGACAACAAAATGCTGGACAACTTTGAGATCACCGTCGTGCAGCAGGCATTACTATACATGGATCCACAGCGAGAGATCGAGCTGGTTTTGAGCATGGTCGAGGCGAATAATAGGCAGGTTGATATTGAGCACGCTGGAGGTCCGTTCTTGGTCGCAGGAGTGGGCGCTCTTCCCAGGACACGACCGGAGTTAAAGGACCGAAACATCTGGGATCCTTACGAGACGTACATTCCACAGGCGAGACTCAAGATCGAGATGACTAAGATCGTACGATACACAGGTGTTTTGTTTTCGGAGTATGTGCAGCGAATCATGTTGGAGAAGACAGGATGTTCGAATCAGCTCAATCCAGCAGAGCAGTGGATCGAGCGGCCACAGACACTGAGAGGGCAGGACTTGAGCAAATGGGTTGTACCGGGCGATTTGCATGTGACACTTTGCCTGGGACCTGCGACTGAAGAGTATCTGCAAACGATCGGAGGGCTCGGGGCGACGGTCCTTGTCGAGGTTGAGGCACTTGGAGAGCATGAGGGGCGGATATGGGCTTTGAAGGTCAAGGAGATGAATCCCAGCAGTTGTCAGGAACAGCAGGATCTTCTGATCGTGGCCCCTGATGGAAAGACATATTCGAGTCTCGATGCTCTGCGATCAGCGTATGCAGCTAATGAACCATCCGCCGCACCTATCGACTTGAACAACTTGGGACATGTCATTCTGAACAGGAACGTCACACCGCACATCACGATGGCATACGACCGACTCAATGGTACTCGCGCTGTCGACTCTGGCCGGATAACGAACTGGGAACCCTTGACGACCCCACAAGGAACACCCTACCCTCGTCGACTAGTCTTTGTAGGCACGATTGGAGAGAAAAGACTGATGGGCATGAAAGCACGGAAATTGGCGCAGCCATCGAAAGCGGAGGTCAGTGTGGCGAACGTCATCAAGAATTTGCACGGAGACAAGGGTATCTCGGGCAAGGAACTCGGGGAGATGGTCCGGTGTGTCAAGGAGGAAATGGAGAGGCTTTCTGTCGAGAACCGGTTGGCGAACGAGGAGAGGATTGCGACGATCGCGCAGGAGGTGTGCGATCGAGTGGAAACGAAGAAAGTGGCCTCTGAATTGTTGTCACAGCAACATAGTCCTAAACTACAGGCAGCCTAAAGGATGCGGGACGTCATTCGAAGGTGTGTGTGTGTGGGGGGGGGGGAAGGAAGACCATCACAGGAGATCGCCACCATATTTTTTTATACCGTACAACCTCGTCATCTCTGTACTTTTAGACATTAATAAATTGCACTGCAGTTGAGCAGACGAAAAAAAATAGAATAAAAAATAAAATAGGACTTAGGACTTCGTATTATTACATTACTATACATTATGCAGATGCTATGCTATGGGTCATCCTAGCTGTGAGGACTGACAGTAGTCTATACAAGGAAGTGGCTCATTAGGGACTTGAAGGGAAAAAATAAAAAAAAAAAGATGATCGTATAAGGTGCTGTGGACGTTTGCAGACCGTTAGGGCTGTCCATGGGGCTCGTTCGATGCTTTAGAGAGTGTCAGGAGCTGTTTCTGGCGGACGCTGTAGAGGATCGTTCCGCCAATGGAGATCAGGACGACCAAGACTTTGACAACTGCGCCCAGGATATCGGTTACCGCGGGGGTGTTTGGTGTCGGAGTCGGTGAGGCGGTCGAGGTGGTCTCGGACGGTGAGCTTATCGTAGGAGAAAAATTGGGTGGTGCGGATGCAGATACAGAAGGAGGGGTAATGAGCGAGGACGTGGAGATCGCAGGGGAGGAGGAAGAGGAGGAAGAGGAGGAAGTGGAGGAGGAGGAGGAGATATATTCGGAGGTCCAGGATTGGGTGCGTAGGTTGTAGATCACTAGGGCTTCCATCGGGCTGTCTGTGTTGGGGATGGTAGAGGAGCCGCCCCAGGCGAGGAAATGGTCACTTGAGACAGCGCAGGCAGCACCCCCACGCGCGTCCGTCGAAGGTGCGTCTGGGCCGCGTTTCCAGGTCATGGAGGGGATGTCAAGAATGTAGATATCGTTCATGGCGGTGGGTGAATTGGTGGAGAAGCCGCCAAAGTATACGGCTTGCGCTCCTCCAGCGGATGAGACGAAGCACGCGCCGGTGCGTGTGGCAGGAATGTCGCCCGTGGTATTTAAAATGCTCCAGGTCGCGTTCGTGATGTTGGGTGTGAATGCGAGGAGGCGGATGGGGTTGTGTTCCTCGATGACGAGGATCTGCTTTTGGGGCGCGCTCCAGATCGCAGACACGATCGCACTCACCCTGTCGTCGAGGGCATCGTCGTTGTCCATAGGGATATTGTCGATCGTGCCGGTATTCAGATCCAGGCGTCGGACGAGCGGGTTATCCGAGGCCGGATCTGTGTTTGAGAACATGTAGACAAGTCCCGTATCTGGATCGGTCACGGCTGCAGAGGCTCCTCTACTGAGAGGAAGGTCGGTGTTGGTGGTGAGGTTATCGAGTGATAGTCCGAGTGTCCAAGTTGCGGAGGAGGTAGAGTATTGGTACGCAGGATCGTTGAACGCGACAAACCAGGTCTGTGCATCTGCAGAAAGTGTGCTCACCATGCCTGCTGTGCCCCATCCTACCCATCCATCTTCACCTGTTAGTGATGGTGAAGTAGTAGTGGGACCGTCTGGTAATTGCTGGATGATGGGGTTACTACTATTCCAAGAGACGGATAAGTCGAGCACGAATGCTTGTGGGATGGTTGTTGTTGGTATTATCGAATTGGTGCTGGTGTAGGTGCTCGGTACACCGCCCAGGATGTAGAGATTCTGGTTCTCGACAAAGGCGCTGGTGGCTCCGGTCGTGAGGGTGGGCTGGAAGGATTGGCGGGCGTAGGCGACGTGGGTACAAAGGGTGAAGAAGGTGATGAAGGCGGTGATGAGATTAGGGGAGCATGGACGTGAGCAGGTTAGAGACATTATTGAGAGGATGTTTGTATAGACGAATGAAAATGTACGTGTTGAGGCGTGATAGGGATGAGGGTGATGAGGAAGAGTGGACAAAGAGAAAGAAGCATAGACACGATAGGGATATAAGGACGAGACTAGGAAAGAAAGAGTGAAAAAGACAAAGAGATGCAGAGTAAAGAAGAGAACGAATGGTTGTACCGAAGAGCATACGGCGATGAGAACTATATGCTTTTCTATTTTTTGTTTTCCGCTACGCGTTTCATGCTCGGACAAAGGGGAGGCGATGTCCCCGATTGCTCGTCCACTACTACGGGAATGGAAATGCGGGTCGTGTGGTATAAACATATTGCATGCATATTATGTACATCCAAACCTATCGTCAACAAGGGTCTGGGCTGAGAAAGGGCTCCAGAACGGTTGCAATCATTCTCCTCCCCGCCCAAAAATCATGTTCAAGAGATACACTCGCACTATATGACACTAGAAAAAAAATCCCCCAGTGACTGAAGTTGATTGTAACCCCTGGTTTGAGAGTTTTTAATCTTCGGTCACTTTGTTGGCCAAGACTCAAAATAGAATATCGAACATAGCCTCTTTGTGCACAGATACGATAATTTCACTGCATTAAAAATTCAAGGCGGGCAATCTTCCCAGTACGTTGGTCCCCCTTCCCTCTCCATCCACCACCATCCCGGCAGTGCGCAGATGACATGCAGAGTTATTTTGTTTTTTTATTTGTTTTTTTTTTTTTGGGCTTGTGAGTTTTATTATGCTACATGAAATAGGTTACATCTAGGCGATGGCGAACAGCTTCTTGTTGATGCGGAAGCGGATGAAGAGCACAAAGAACGCGGCCAGCACGGGTGAGAACCCTGCGAACATGATCGCGCCAATGTACCTGCCGTTCTGTGCATGCATGATTGCCGTCGCAATAGGGGCGCCCAGCAAATTCCCAACGACGTTTCCAAAGTAGAGGATTCCGAGAGCTGCAGACAGGCGCTCGATACCGACGACTTGGGCCACAACCACAGGGAAGATACTGATGAATCTGATAAGTCGGAATGACAAAAGACCAAAAAGACCAATAAAAAAAAATGGCGGGCATATTAGCAACGGTATCTGTTACTGTGGAGGTTCTTTCCCAGTAGTCCTGTCTCACGAGTTTTGCTTACCCTCCTCCGAACAGACCGTAGACACACATGAAGGCGGTCAAGATCCCAATAGTGGAGGCCGCACTCCTGAGAAGTAGTGAAATGAAAATGAATGCGATTATTAATAAAACGATTAAGACAACACAGGTCTACTCAAGGGTAAAGCGATTTAAGCAACTGGGAAACGTACCAGATCGCGAGGCAAGATAGTCCGGCGAAGAAACAGCATGTGAACAGGGTGTTGGTGCGTCCAAGTTTGTCGGCAGCAACACCCAGCCCGATTCGTGATGCGGCATTGATGCCTGAGAAGAGACTGATGAGGTTGGCACCAGTGCTGGCGGATTGATTGAGTTCCACGCTGCTGTACGTTGGGATCAAGAAGATCGGTACCATATATCCTAAAACGATAAAATCGATGTAAGGTTAGAACACCATGTCATACGCTTCCTAGCTGATATTATACGCCCATTTTTGATAGTGATGGGTACGATGCGATCTCCCTTACCGAAAGTGACAACGAAGGCTGTCAAGAGCAACCAGGCGAAACCAGGAACCCTGAACAAACTTAAATCAAAGATGGGACCTTTTTTCGCAGTCTTCACTCTCGGCTTAATGAACGCAAAAACCGCCGACATAAAGCCCAGAACCGCAAATCCAGTAATGCGCTGACACCACCGGACACCGACCTGTGCGATCAAAAATCTCGTCAATGGCGCCAGGGCCAATCCTCCAATACCCGATCCTGCGACCGCGATTCCGTTGGCCAATCCACGACGCCTCTCAAAGTACTGCGCCGTGACCGAGATTGAGGAGAAGAAGACCAATCCACCACCAACACCAAACAGCAACCCCTGGGTCAAATACAAATGCCACAGCTGTGTCGCAAAACTCGCTGTGATGAATCCCAGGGACGCGACTAGGATGCCGATCGCGACGACGGCGCGCAGGCCCAGAAACCGGGTCAGGGGCGCTACGAAGGGGCCTGGAAGAAACATGGCGGAAGCACCGATACTACCGACCCATGAGATATCCGTGGGCAGGGCGCCCGGGAAGGTGTTGGATTGCAAAAAGTAGGCTTGGTAAACACCAAAGGTGATGTTGGGTGCGAATGCCCAGAAGTTGACCACGAACGAGGACAGGACGACGAGCCAGCCGAATCCACCCTCGGGGTAGTCGAGTAGCTTGCCTTCCATCGCAGGATCAACTGTTGTCTCGATCTCCTTCTCGTTCGCGGTTTCAGTATCGTCCAGATCAGACGATGAACGGCCTTGCTCGTCGGGCTCGTATTTTTCAGAGATGACCGAGGGAGCCTTGGATCTGGGACGATCGTGATGATGATGGTGGTGGGAGTGGTTGTGTTCAAGGTCATGGTGGTGTGAATCTGTGTGTGGGATACCGGATGAGAGGGCCAGGCTTGTGGAGGAAGGGTTCTCGAAGGCCATGGCTAGTGTGGAAGGAAACTCTGAGGCTGGAGTCATCTCCCCGACCTCATGGTGTGTCTCCGGATGTACGTGCTGGTGCTCTGTTGCTAAAGTCATTGCTCAAAAGTGTGGGTGGGCGGTGAAAAGCGTTGATGTTGGTGTGATACGAGAGATCAAGATATGAAAATGGAATAATGGGAATCTATCGTGGAGAACGGGAGGAGAAATGGGGTATATAAAGAAACAAGGCGGCACAATGAGGGGAGCCGAATAGGTGATATGCTGTAGAGATGCAAAAGAATGAGGATATGCTATGCGGAACTAAAGAATAGAGAGAACAGTTAGGAAGAGAGTAGAAGGGAGAAAAAAGGGACAGGAATCAAGGTCTTTTATACTTTTCATCCTTTCTTTTTTTTTTTCCATGTCTGCAGTCGTCTTCCGCTAAGACAACAGCAACAGGGCAGCAAAGGACAGAAAGAAGTGGGACCACCCATCAAGATGTCTCGGCATGTCCGTAGAGCAAGCACAATAAAGAACGATTGGCGCATCGTGCCCATAATTGGATGTAGCCTTAAGGTTGCTGGGCTAATGAACCTAAAGCGATATAGACCAACATCTCTATTTCTCCAGTTCTCAAAAGTTAGCGACAGGCACAAACCTCCCACCTCTGCTTTTCTAGACCTTTACGCCCATGCTCTTCGCTTTTCATCCTTGATTGTGTGCGAGGCATATAGGGCTAGGGAGTGACATTCGCTGAGGGAGTAAATGGCTGCATCTCGGCTCTTGTATTTCCCACTAGAGTGCATGCAACAGCCAAATGTAACCGAATGAGAAAAGGAGAGGTTGTCCCCCCCTCCCTTCCCCGGTAAACTTTAGCTGTAAATGATACTATGGAGACTGCGCAGGGACCAAGAATAAAGGAGGAAGTGGTGCTTGTGGTTGCTCCTCGGTAAAATGATGCGGGGTGTGCGTTTAAATGAGATGGTTGATGTTGATACTGGATTAGCTGCTTTTTTTCACAAAGCGCCCACTCACAAAACCCATCGAATGAATGGACAATAGGGTCACAGAATGAGGGCATGTAAACAAAAGACAACGCGGAAGGATTTTATCCGTCAGAGGTTGTTCATACATCATCTTGGAGCAAAGCCCACTCATTCTGTGGTGTTGTGCATGGGTGCAAAACAAAAAAAAAGCGGGTCAATGGAACCGAGCAAAGATGATCACCAGCTCAAGGAAACCTAAAAAGCTTTTCTTAAACTCAACCACTTAAGAAATCCTTCCCCAGCGGATGCATGCATCGGTGGACGCGATAGCTAAATGCCTTTTGCATTAAACGCTACTTACTCTCAGAATGACTGGTTCTGGGCGCAGAGGACAAAGCGACAGAGGACGACAGTTTGTTGGATCCATAAGCTATGCTGATCTACGTCGATCTTTCACTCAATAGTGCAAATGAATCTGTAGTGTAGATATCCTCTCGGTTCGCACGGCTGCACTGACTGTTATGTAGCTCACACATGATATCTTCCCATGCATAGGGGAGGGCATCGATCGAGATACTAATATTAGTTTGCATCCCCCTGTGTTCTGTTAAGCCGATCGTGCATGCAATACATGGGTCCATATACTGAAGCCTAATGCGTAACAAATCAAGCATATCCCTAGACTTTGTAGAATGACGGTACGCCGGTTTGATAGTCATGGCGGGTAACCCTTTTCTTTCTGCGGAGTGAAGCAAAAATAGCATGGGCCCCATCGGAGTTCGCACTCCCGAAATTGGATTCCAATGAGACATAGACGTGTGTCTTTACTCAGAAAATGTGGTGCGCGCTGCGTGGACGAAGCACCAAGCATGTTTGATCCGCCTTTGCTCAATGGTAAATCTTAATCCTAGTATGGTCCTTTTCTTCGATTGCGCAGCAGGGTCTTTATGTTAGTTAAAGCTAGACACATTTTTAAACATGTATTAAAGTGTGCTCTATTCCCCCACTGTGTGATTGTTTGTGGTCCACGACTGCGTAACTATAATCTCGTTGGATCGATAAATCATGTCATATCTCTTGAATACATCAGATTCAACTCCTGTTGCTGCTCCTGATGCTGATGCTGATACTCCTGAATATCCTGCACCATAATCTCTTGATCCTCCTGGGGATGTATTCGGATACAAATACGCTGGCGCAGAATTATGTGTCCCACTGTTTGGACGGAACCCATGCTGGTCCTGATATCCTTGTTCTTCCTGTGGACTAGTAAGCGGCATGAGCGGCTCCATCTGAAAAGCTTCACTGCTTCTTGGCTTCAATCTGTCCTGGTCGTCGGTCACTTGACTGTCACTCGAACTCGAGAGTACTTTGGGCTGGTCTCGACTCTTCCACCGGTAGAACAGAAATGCGGCAGCAGCTACAACAGCCGCAAGACCTCCGGCGACGCCTCCAACGATCGTCCCGACGGATACTGGTGATGGAACGATCGCAGGGATATAGTGGGAGATGCTGAAGGTGCGGTTGCGGTTGGGCTGGGACCTGATGATGTAAAATCCGACTGCCAGACGTTGGTGTTTAGGTTGTAGACGACGGTAGCGCTGTTGGTCAGAGCCGTAACCTTGCTATCGTATCCGACCCAGGACACAACCATGTCGTCCGCCACCGAACAGGCCGCGCTCCACAGGCAACTGCCACATTGCCGTCGGTTCCTTTGGTCCAAGTGAGCATGGCGACGTCCAAGCTGTAATATCGTTCAGTGCCGCGCGTGATTCAAAATGCCACCATCTTAGTGCCTCCATAGGCCGGGACTAGGCAGTGACTCTTCCCTGCTGGCGGTACATCCCCTGTATCGGATAACAGCGTCCATCTGGAGCTCGGCAACTATTTATATAGTCCCCTCTGAATGGTATTTGCTGATGCGGTCGTCCCTCCATACACGAGAAGACTTTTCTGGACAACATTCCATATCGCTGCAAAACTGACGACTCCTGTAAGAATTGGATGAGTTGGTACGGTGTTGATGCTGTTGATTGCCGGCTGATACTGCTGTATAGGGGTTGTTCCATTGACGATCCATCCGTTCATCACATAAACAAGCCCGGTCGATGAATCCGTGGCAGCTGCGAAGCCACTTGCCCTATTCGCATTCACGGACCGCCCAATGATGCTCCAGGTATCGTTGTCGGTGCAGTACTTGTGTGCAGTCTGATTTGCAAGCAGGAGCCAGGTCTTGTTGTTCATGAAGGCCCCGGCACACTTGGAGTCACTAAAGTCGTCTGCTAGTTTCTTAAAAGCCGGTTGTGATGTTGACTAGCTGATGGACAAGTCGAGGGAGAAGTACTGCCCGGACGGCTGCGAGGTGGTGCTTGTGCTGCCTCCGTGGATGTACATAGCCTTCCCTCCTATGAAAACGGAACCCATGCACCAGAGTGAGGCCGGCTGGAATGTCGACTGGACATCGGTGGTATATGGTGTAAGGAAGGCAAGAAGGCGGGGAAACAAGGTGGATAAGAGAGAGAGATAGTATTTGACTGGTGATTGCGGCTGTCTTTTCCACTGTGTTGACCTGAGTATCATTTTGATGAGTGCTGGACCAAGGTACTATTCACAAACGGAGGACATGCAGTACGTGGAGGAGAAGGAGCGGGGAAGGGGGAGAGGAGAGGAGAAGAGATACAAACGGACTTTCTGGCCCTGCCGGGGGGGGGGGGGGGGGATTTTTTAAGTGCCAATCAGCGGATAAGGTATAGACTATCAGAGTTTGCATAGCCCGGGCCTCCCTCCGCCCTCCCGCCCATGTCCAAGCACAATTTAAAAGTGAGCCTCATGCACCTTGCTTCACCCGTCTCTGAACTTGTTTGTTGCCCTGGACGCCTTGCTCCCACCTTCGAAGCCTTCCACCGTGCAAGTAGCATCGCAATACAATAAGGTTGTCTTCTCATGTTGTTATTTCTCCGTAGCAAGCAACTTGGACCCTCCCCAACTTTTTACGCTAGGCGATCAAAAGTTCATACATACACCTTTAGCCTGCCCGTACAGAACTCTACAGTTTTGTATATCGCAAGGTTCACATTTGGTCCAGGCAGTGCGCACAAAGGGAGGACCCCTCAGGCCCCGTAAAACACCACAGTTACCAGCTATGAAATAGAATTAGAATCCAATTGCTCGCCAGTCTTTGTTTCAGCATCCCCGCCATAATGATCGTCGAGAGCGACAATCAGAGTTATTTTATGTGCAGGAGTAGAGAGCGCAGGACTCACAATCGCGTTGCCACAGATTTGATATCGTGGAGAGGCGGGCGAAGTACTAAACCGCCCACAGATCAGACCACCCTCTGTAATTTCAATGCTGCCCTTTCACCTCCCCTCAGCTGCACGATATACCAAATGCTCCCTTGAGCCTCGAGTAAAGGGCCCTGTGCGGGTTGTATCTTTACATGGATATGTTGAGTAGCAGCGTGTTTATGTATTGCAGCACTCCTAGTCCAGTGTACAAAAGTAGAGGGGAGGGGAGGGGAGGAGGGAGGACTAAACAACGTTTGCATACTCCAGGCCCCTCGTTCTATGCTCATAGTCTCTTCTCTGATGGATACAGCACGCCATCATGCACCGTGCTATTTGTAGATCCTGCCCTCCTGGCGACCTTCAGCTCCGTGATCGTGTTCCCAGCCAGCTCCTCCTTGTCACCGTCCCCTGCCGTCGTCAGCTCGTCATCCACACTTGCAGATACAGGCAGACCGGCCTCGACAGCCTCGAGGACTTCGATAGGGACCTTGGGCCCACGAACGGGGTCGCTGTTCGGGTACAGGGCCAGAGTGACTACGAGTCCAACACCGGATATGACGACGTACGAGTAGAAGGCGGCGCGGTATCCGGGCAGCAGCTCTGCGCCCGTGGCAGTGACAGGGTTCTTGTTGTTGGCAATGATGTTGGAGATGGCGATCCCGATAGGTGCGCCGACCTGCAGGCAGAGGTTGTAGACTGCCGATGTGAGAGGTAGAGAGGTAGAGAGGCAGAGAGGTAGAGAGGTAGAGAGGTAGAGAGGTAGAGAGGCAAGAAAAAATGGTTAGCAGCTGTAGATCTTCACCGACTGTGCACGTCTACAGGAGGGTTGAATCAAGCATGCTTCGAACCGTCCACAGCACAACTTACCAGCTCCAACCACCCCTTGGTCCTCGTCCGCAGCATCGGCCACCGAGTTGATCTGGCACGTCACCCAGATGCAGGCCATGGCGACCATGTTCAGGATCAGCGATGGGAACGGGACGGCCCAGTACGAGGAAGTGTCCTTGAGCTGTGCCCACAGGACGCCAGAGGCGATCAAGAAGAACCACCCGACAACGACAACGATCTTGGACCGGACCAGCGGGATCACCACCGAAAGAATTCCCACGACAATGAGCGACCCGACACCGTGTGGGATGAACCCCAGCGAGGTCTTCAGAGACGTGTATCCGAGCACGTTCTGGAACGCAAGCGATACGAAGTAAAAGTGTGCGTTCATGGCCGCCATCATGCACAGGGCAGTGGCACAGGACGCAAGGAACCGGCGGGAGCGCCAGATGTGCAGTGGCATGATCGGGTAGTCGATCCTGAGCTCGATGATGATGAAGCAAACGAGAAGGGCGACCCTGATCAGGAAAGGCGCCAGGGTCTTTGCGACGGCCCAACCAGCGGCGGGACCCTCGCTGAGGTAGTAGATGACACCGACTATCCCCAAAGTGAACGAGGCCATGCCGAAAAAGTCAAGGCGGCGATCCTCGGCCTTGCCTTGCGCCTTCTCGGCAGGAATGACAAGAATGCCGAGGATGGTAAGGGCGAATCCGATGATCCCGGTGATATAAAACATCCATCGCCAGCCTAGAGGGCAGTTGTAGGAGAAAAGAAGAAAGAGAAAGGGATGGGGAGTGAGATAGGGAGCGGGATAGGGGGCATAAGGTCAACAGCGTTCTTCGATCAGACTACATGTGCAAGGACAAATGGGGGTTCGCTGCACATGGCGCAGAGAAGCAAACGACCGAGTCCATACCAATGGTGGATCCGAGGATGCCGCCGAGCAGGACGCCGACGATGGATCCAATGGCAGCAGTGCCGCCAAAGATGCTCAGGGCCCTGATACGCTCCGGTCCAGCTGGATAGGTGGTCGTCAGGATGGCCAGTGCGCTAGGCACAGTGAAACCGGCCCCCGTTCCCTGAAGAGCACGTCCAACGGACATCATGGCCGGGTCCTTTGCAAAGCCATTGACGATGGCCTAGATCGAGAACCAGGCCACGCCGAGGATGTAGATGTTACGGTGGCCAAAGAGATCGCCGAGACGACCGCCGAGAAGAAGAAAAGCACCGTATGCCAGGCATAGGCAGACGAGACCCTGAGGCATGAGAGAGAGAGAGAGAGAGAGAGAGAGAGAGAGAGAGAGAGAGAGAGAGAGAGAGAGAGAGAGAGAGAGAGAGAGAGAAGGAGGGAGGGATAGATCGCGTTAGATCACAAAGTGCGGATGTGAACGTGCATCGCGCAGCGCTCCGTCGCGGGAAATGGCTTGGTTCGTTTATACTTCCACCTACCATTGCAGTTGGTCGATGTGGAAACCAACGTCGCGCATGACCTTGGGGAGGACAATGGTGACACTGGCGACATTGATGGTATCGAGCATCTGAGCCATCGATACGATCGCCAGCAGGAGACTCTTCTTCTGATTCAGGTGACGATACCAGGGGAGATTGGCTTTCGCCATACTGCTGTCTGACATGGTGGAGTGCGGATTGTGTGCTCAGATTTGTTTGTGTGCGAGTCCGTGTGATATTTAGGCTGTGTGCAACTAAGTATGATATTCCAGGTGTATGCGTGCCTGTGCGGAGAACGTGATAAAGGCTTGAAAGAAAGAGAAAGGATACGGAAGATGCTAAGAGATTGAGGCGCGTTCCGCTGTCGCTCGAGTGCGCTCGCTTATTGTAGGCTGTTGTTTTGTTGCCTTGGTGAAGTTGATGAAGAACAGCAACAGAGGATGGATCGAGGTGTTTTATGGGCGAAAGCACTACTGCGCGCTGCATTCAGAGAACAGACGAAAATAAGCAAAGATGCTCCATGGCGGTTGACGTTTCTGCTGTAGCACCCTTGTGCAAATGCATGCCTCTGAATTCCAAAGAACAATCAGTTAAAGTGGCTGCTATGCAATTTCTTTCAATCGGCCAAGAATTCGCAGACTAGACTAGTTTAGAGCCAACTTTGCGGTTTGTGTATTTGCCCTGTCCACGTACCCCGTCTGCGCAAAGACACAAAGACCTATTACAAATACCACGTAATGTACTCTCCTGAGTGCGAAGCACGCGTGTAGGTACGGATATACCTTAACTCCGTTAAGCGTAACCTATCGAGTGTTTCACAAGGCCGCACCTGGATGCATGTCCGATTTGCAGTCTACAGAAAAAGTCAAGAGACGATCAGCGTAAAAGTGTATTAATGCATCTGATTCCCTTCTTCTACGTAATTGTTTCTGCAGATGCACCGCTTGTCGATATGGTCAATCGATGCACACCACTAACGCGTGCTGCTTTGATCGACAATTGCTGGAAACGATATGACCAAGAGCACAGCTGCTCTCATACTGCAAGTCTATTCCGCTCAGGCTGGAAATAGTTACTGCGGCAGTAGTGCTGCGCTCCTTCTCTTCTCTTTCTTTAGGGTCTTTACCGAGTCCTTCGCGCACGCACGCATACACCTAGAACATCACACTTACTTGCAGGTCCAACCGCCATGGAGCATCTTTGCTTATTTTCGTCTGTTCTCTGAATGCAGCGCGCAGTAGTGCTTTCGCCCATAAAACACCTCGATCCATCCTCTGTTGCTGTTCTTCATCAACTTCACCAAGGCAACAAAACAACAGCCTACAATAAGCGAGCGCACTCGAGCGACAGCGGAACGCGCCTCAATCTCTTAGCATCTTCCGTATCCTTTCTCTTTCTTTCAAGCCTTTATCACGTTCTCCGCACAGGCACGCATACACCTGGAATATCATACTTAGTTGCACACAGCCTAAATATCACACGGACTCGCACACAAACAAATCTGAGCACACAATCCGCACTCCACCATGTCAGACAGCAGTATGGCGAAAGCCAATCTCCCCTGGTATCGTCACCTGAATCAGAAGAAGAGTCTCCTGCTGGCGATCGTATCGATGGCTCAGATGCTCGATACCATCAATGTCGCCAGTGTCACCATTGTCCTCCCCAAGGTCATGCGCGACGTTGGTTTCCACATCGACCAACTGCAATGGTAGGTGGAAGTATAAACGAACCAAGCCATTTCCCGCGACGGAGCGCTGCGCGATGCACGTTCACATCCGCACTTTGTGATCTAACGCGATCTATCCCTCCCTCCTTCTCTCTCTCTCTCTCTCTCTCTCTCTCTCTCTCTCTCTCTCTCTCTCTCTCTCTCTCTCTCATGCCTCAGGGTCTCGTCTGCCTATGCCTGGCATACGGTGCTTTTCTTCTTCTCGGCGGTCGTCTCGGCGATCTCTTTGGCCACCGTAACATCTACATCCTCGGCGTGGCCTGGTTCTCGATCTAGGCCATCGTCAATGGCTTTGCAAAGGACCCGGCCATGATGTCCGTTGGACGTGCTCTTCAGGGAACGGGGGCCGGTTTCACTGTGCCTAGCGCACTGGCCATCCTGACGACCACCTATCCAGCTGGACCGGAGCGTATCAGGGCCCTGAGCATCTTTGGCGGCACTGCTGCCATTGGATCCATCGTCGGCGTCCTGCTCGGCGGCATCCTCGGATCCACCATTGGTATGGACTCGGTCGTTTGCTTCTCTGCGCCATGTGCAGCGAACCCCCATTTGTCCTTGCACATGTAGTCTGATCGAAGAACGCTGTTGACCTTATGCCCCCTATCCCGCTCCCTATCTCACTCCCCATCCCTTTCTCTTTCTTCTTTTCTCCTACAACTGCCCTCTAGGCTGGCGATGGATGTTTTATATCACCGGGATCATCGGATTCGCCCTTACCATCCTCGGCATTCTTGTCATTCCTGCCGAGAAGGCGCAAGGCAAGGCCGAGGATCGCCGCCTTGACTTTTTCGGCATGGCCTCGTTCACTTTGGGGATAGTCGGTGTCATCTACTACCTCAGCGAGGGTCCCGCCGCTGGTTGGGCCGTCGCAAAGACCCTGGCGCCTTTCCTGATCAGGGTCGCCCTTCTCGTTTGCTTCATCATCATCGAGCTCAGGATCGACTACCCGATCATGCCACTGCACATCTGGCGCTCCCGCCGGTTCCTTGCGTCCTGTGCCACTGCCCTGTGCATGATGGCGGCCATGAACGCACACTTTTACTTCGTATCGCTTGCGTTCCAGAACGTGCTCGGATACACGTCTCTGAAGACCTCGCTGGGGTTCATCCCACACGGTGTCGGGTCGCTCATTGTCGTGGGAATTCTTTCGGTGGTGATCCCGCTGGTCCGGTCCAAGATCGTTGTCGTTGTCGGGTGGTTCTTCTTGATCGCCTCTGGCGTCCTGTGGGCACAGCTCAAGGACACTTCCTCGTACTGGGCCGTCCCGTTCCCATCGCTGATCCTGAACATGGTCGCCATGGCCTGCATCTGGGTGACGTGCCAGATCAACTCGGTGGCCGATGCTGCGGACGAGGACCAAGGGGTGGTTGGAGCTGGTAAGTTGTGCTGTGGACGGTTCGAAGCATGCTTGATTCAACCCTCCTGTAGACGTGCACAGTCGGTGAAGATCTACAGCTGCTAACCATTTTTTCTTGCCTCTCTACCTCTCTACCTCTCTACCTCTCTACCTCTCTGCCTCTCTACCTCTCTACCTCTCACATCGGCAGTCTACAACCTCTGCCTGCAGGTCGGCGCACCTATCGGGATCGCCATCTCCAACATCATTGCCAACAACAAGAACCCTGTCACTGCCACGGGCGCAGAGCTGCTGCCCGGATACCGCGCCGCCTTCTACTCGTACGTCGTCATATCCGGTGTTGGACTCGTAGTCACTCTGGCCCTGTACCCGAACAGCGACCCCGTTCGTGGGCCCAAGGTCCCTATCGAAGTCCTCGAGGCTGTCGAGGCCGGTCTGCCTGTATCTGCAAGTGTGGATGACGAGCTGACGACGGCAGGGGACGGTGACAAGGAGGAGCTGGCTGGGAACACGATCACGGAGCTGAAGGTCGCCAGGAGGGCAGGATCTACAAATAGCACGGTGCATGATGGCGTGCTGTATCCATCAGAGAAGAGACTATGAGCATAGAACGAGGGGCCTGGAGTATGCAAACGTTGTTTAGTCCTCCCTCCTCCCCTCCCCTCCCCTCTACTTTTGTACACTGGACTAGGAGTGCTGCAATACATAAACACGCTGCTACTCAACATATCCATGTAAAGATACAACCCGCACAGGGCCCTTTACTCGAGGCTCAAGGGAGCATTTGGTATATCGTGCAGCTGAGGGGAGGTGAAAGGGCAGCATTGAAATTACAGAGGGTGGTCATTTTGACTTTGACCAGTGGATCATCAGATAACAGAAACGAAGGGGGCTTTCAATGCTTACTTTCCTGCGCAACACATAACATGTCCTTCAAGGACCATGTGCACATATCCATGCGTACATGTCCATACACATATCATAATATGCTTTTCTGCACCGTTGTTTAAATATTGATGCATGAGACAAACATTGCGTGTTGCATGCCTGGCTGGTTGGTTGGCTGGAGAATTGGTCGACTACTTGATTGTTTTTAATGCTGCGATGCAGATCTACATTCTATGGATGCGGGACTCAACGACAGAAGGGAAGAAGGAATGAATAGAAAGAAAGCTCTTGCATGGTCCAATTCGCTCTCAATTCCGCCCCAGAAACAAACGAAAACTTTAATGTTCAGAAACACACTATTTAGCTCTGTAAATAAATAGATCTTCCTTAACCTGAGCTTGCTTCTTTTAGTGGGTTTACCGGGGTAATACCTGAGCCGTACTGACTGGAAGTGATTGTGTGTAAGGGGTATAGGCAGACGCTGCGGTTACAGGCGATGCGGAAGGATGTGAAGTCTCAGGATTTTGAGTAGCTGTGCGCGGTCGGAACCACATAGCCCGACCGGTCGACCGGCTGGTATATTTAGTTCGCGGAAGGCGAATAAAATTGACGCGTGTGCGGTTGGGGTGTATGCGACTGAGGTTCAGTATAATACGAAGTGTCCGCAGATGCTGATTGTAGTTGTGATTGCGATTGTACCGAGATATACTGATATGGATGTTGAACCTGGGTAGATTGTGCCCTGGGTGCTGCAAATGTGATGGGCTTGGGATCGTTCAGAGGAATTGGCGCAGGGACATAAGGTTCCTTTGATCTCCTCCACCTCAGGATCAGGACAGCGGCCAAGATGAGAAGGACTAAACCACTGACGCTGGCGCCAATGATGACCGCCAGATTAGATTTGCTGCCACTTGGAGGAGAGTAGACGTAGTCGGTTGTCCAGGTTCCTGATTTCAGATTGTAAACAGTGATGACATTGGGGACACTACCATCTTGGTTTCCATTGTTAAACCCGCCCCAGGCGATGAAGTAGTCTCCCGAAACAGCGCAGGCATGGCCAACACGCGCGCTCACCAGATCGGCATCGGCTCCTCGGGTCCAGGTCATAGTAACTACATCCAAAACGTAGATGTCACCATACGCCGGGCCATCATCCGTAGTGGAACCCACGTTGCTGTCCCCTCCGAATAGGATCATTTTTGAGCCAGAGTACGCCGGAACGAAACAGGCGGCTCGGCGAGGCGAAGGTATGCTTCCTGTTGCCGTCTGTAGCTTCCATCCGTTCGTTGGGCTGTAAAGATACAGGTCGTTGCTTGTGGTATTGGTAGCGTAGTCGAAGCCGCCGAACATGAGCGCGCCCTTTAACGAGGTGGACCAAGCGATAGAGTAGAGGAACGACCTTGCGAGACCCTGTGGAAGACTAGTCGAGGAAATCGAATTCCTGTACGATGGATCATACACGAGTTCGTATCGGACTCCTGCAGAGTCAAAATATCCATTGGGGATGTAAATCTTTCCAGTTTCTGGATCGGTTGCAGCACCAATGCCGTTCGAACTGGTGATGTGACTGTCGTTCTCCAGGGTGGCCCAGTTTGAAGCCGCGAAGTTGTAGAGGTACATTGTCTGGTTGGAGATCAAGAACCAATTCTGATTATCTTTGGTGAGGGTGCTAGCAATGCCCCTCTCAGCATATCCGTCTGGAAGGTGCTTGTAGGATGGGCTGGTTGTGCTCCATGAAGCAGATAGATCGAGCGAGAACATCTGGGGGACCAAGCTGTCCGTCGATATTGTGCGTCCTCCCATCACCCACATTGCTTGCCCCTCGATGAAGACACTGGCAGGCTGGTAGGTTGGGCTCGGGATGTATCCCTGGGCGTGAATAGCTGTAGCATTGAACAATAGTGTTGCGAAGAGTGAGAGCAGGCGGAGTGTGCCTGGGCGATGAATTTTGGGTGTTGACATTATGAATCCCAGACTATGTTAAGGATGCCGCAGGGTTTCTTCAGGGGGTTGAGGGGGATGAGGGAGCCAAGGCGAGAGTGTCAAAGGAACAAAAGCAAAGATGGAGGGGATTGAGTGAGAGAAAAAAAAATGGGCGAGGAACAAAGAGAATAGCGATTTTTATGTGTTGTTGTTTTGTCTGTTGTCGGCATGCGAAAGGGGCTCTCGGTCATACATACCCTCTGTTCAGCACGCTACCTCGCCCTCGTCCTGTGAAGAAAAGATGCTCACTTTGAGGATATATAGGTGGGCGCAGACATGCAAAGCGCTATTTTTGTGGGCACTGCTCAGATTCCCGCTGTTCACACGGTGCCTGGCGCAGATGGGACCCATGATCAGCGGGCGGCTTTGGCTGGGAGATATGGCAGGTATTGTTGGCGTCAATGTCGTGCTGGCTAAATCGTTTACGGCGGCATCAGTAACGACTGTCGCGCGCACAGACGGCGGTGGAATAAACAGAGCATACTGATATTTTTAATAGATGCTGGCGGCCTGTACCTTTGGGTTTCGGAGGGTTGCAGACTAATATGATCCAATAGGGGACGGATGACCGTGCACATTGAAACAATCAAGGGTTTGTCCACTTCTTCGTTGTACCCTCCCAACCATGCACTCACGTAATCCTGTACCTGCCATCGCACACTTCACAGTGCGATCGCTTTGCCAGTATTTAGCACAAGGAGCATGCAGTGAATTTTTTTTATTTTTTTTATTATCAAGATGTTAAATAAATCCCGCCGCTGTACAGTAGTCTAATGCTCATTACTTGCTCAAGACGCAAACATCATTTTCTGCGTTTATCGATACACTATATTGAACTCGTTGACTATCCTGTTTTGGTCGGCATTTATCGTTTGAAATCCAGCCGTTACAGCCGTGTTGCGCCTTAGTAGCACCCCTCCAGAGGCCACACTTTCGGTGCTCCATGGCCACTTCAATCACAGCGTTGACGGTCGAGGACGGTTGGGCTTAGATCTGTTCTTTGTCGGGATTGGTAGCCCATGGTTCTTTGTGTGACCGCTCTGATCTCCTAGGGTTGTCTGTCCAATTGGAAGCTGCAGGGTTATAGAGATATACCATTTGGTCGGAGACCATGAGCCAGTCCTGGCTATCCGCGGTGAGGGTGTTGGCAATGGACCAACCCATGTGTCCGTCTGGAAGGCGTTTGAAAGCTGGACTCGATGTGCTCCACAAGGTCGAAAGATCGAGCTCGAACAGCTGGACGACTACAGCATCAACGCGTTTTGTTTGTACTCAACAACAGGTGTCAAAAAGCGGCGGCAATCATAGCATGGAGCGATGAAAACCGGCAAGGAAGAGCTATTTGTCAACCTAAACATCCTCTCGTCACAGGAGAAACAATTGACGAACACATGGGCTATTACTGCTGTGCAGCGCGTTACTTGTATATGTTTACATTTGCATTTATTAAAAAATAGTTCTAACCTCCAGCTCTGTCTCAATTGATGGCAAAAGCACTTCCCCTGCATGCATACACGCATGCTGTATCTTTCGACGAAAATATGCCCTCTGTATTGTGAACGATAGGAACCATGTTACGAGGCACGACCACATGTACTTTTGAATCGAGAATTGGACGGCCGCATATCTTGCTGTGTTCCCTCTCGTAGCAGCTGAAGCTAAACGCTTAGGCTGTAACTTTTAAGCCGATCCGCAAATTCCTAAAATCTCCTGGAACTTTCTTGTGGCCCATGCAAAAATGTTTATTTACAAAGAATAAAGTTAATGTTGCTCTACGAGCATGACTTGGACAAAATCTGGTCAAGCTCCATCCGTGTTCGCATCTCAGTCCCCGTCCTCTCTGTCTTGAGCTCCACCAGCTTACGACTCTTCTCCTTCAACAATGTCATGATCGCCCTACAGCCGGGATCGCCAATCATCGGATTTCCGGATAGATCCAAATGTGTCAGATTCACACTCAAGAACGCCATTCTTACAAACGTCAGTGCCGAGATCTGATCCATGTTGTTGTCGCTCAGGCTCAGCTGGACCAGCCTCATGAACAACTTGGGTACAGATATCGCCTTGTTCGCAGTACCCTCCACAAGGAACAACACGCTCAGTGCAGCATGTGTAAACCCCGCACGCGACAGTCGCAAATGGTTGATTCCCGGATTGGCGTGCATCAATCCTCTAAAGTTATTTGCGGCCTCTTCCGTATCGATCAGCACGTTATCGAGCATCAACTTCGTCAGCAGCTTGCAGTCCTTTGGTAGGTTTGCGCCCTGCAGGAACCGAGGGAATCCCTGGATGGAAAGTCGTTCGAGCGTTGAGCACTTGAGAACGCACTGTAAGTTAGAGTAGATTGCACCCGACACAGAGTTGCCGTGGATTTCTAAATGCGTGAGTCGTTTCGAGGCCAGCGCCTGTCCCAAATCACTGAACAACGACTGAATGGAGCTCAGCGCGGCACGGTGGGACCGTTCAGGCGTTTCAAAGTACTCAGAGACGATACGGATCGTGACGTTGCGAGTCTCGGGGTTGTTCCAAAGAGCGTTTGTAAAAATGATCAGCGATGCCGAGCTCCGCAGAGTGACCTTGACCTCGGGTCCGCGTTTCGTCAGCGTCTCATAGTCGCTCAGTGAAACGTGGTACTTGTCCATGATGGATTCGCCCTTCAGCATATGATCATAGCACTCCTTGCACACCCAGATGGTCCGTCCATTGTTCAACACGATTCCATTCAGTTCGCCTGTCATGCTTTGTGTCCTGTCCGATGCAGCCGCGGCCATGAGCAGGATCTTGAGCGCCTCTCTCTGATGGTTCTCCGTCGCCAGATGCATCTCGTACAAACTGTCCGTGTCGAGTCCTGCCGTGTTAAGATGGGTCCTGTTATCCGCGTTCGCCGCGTAGAAAGCTGCAGCCGTGGCAGCCAGGTCTCCAACAACGCCCAACGCCGCCTGATACTGACTACCTACAGCGGCGGCACGGGCGAAATAACTGGTGATGGTGCTCATCAGCTTGACAGTATCCCGATTGTTGTGTAAAAAGTCGTTTGGATTCTTGATGGTATAACCGTTGTGGGACGTCATGTGCACAGACTCCTCATCGCCGTTGAGGGACGAAGGTGCCTGGCACGGCAGGAGGATGCGGATGGGTCTGTAGGGTCCTCGCACGAGCGGCTCCTCGAGCGTGGGTGCGATCAAGAACAGCCGCGGGACATCGTCTTTAGAATCCATGAAATTCTTATTCTATTTAACAATATGGCATATGGTGAATGGTAGGTTAAAGATACCGAAATCAGTAAATCGCAACTAAAGAGGGCGCTGCTCTCTCTCCTGATCTTGATATGGACGTACCAATCCGGCTTGCTTCAGCTTGGTTGCAATGAGCTGTGAAATATCCATGGCATGGGGTTTTGCGGCTGCTGTCGTGATGCTCGGCTGCTGCGCTGGTGGGACTGGACGAATCCCTGTAGCCGTGCTTACCTCAGTGTGCGAATGGGTGGGTGGTGGTTGGTATGTCTGTGCGGCTAGTGGTCGCTGCTGTGGCCTAAACGGGTTAAAGACATGTTGAGTCGGTTGAGGAGGCCTGAATGGCTGAGAAGCAGGCTGTGTTGGCACGGCGGTCGGCGGTCGATACGTCTGAGAAATGGATGGGGTCTGTACATTCAGTGGTTGGTAGGTTTGCGGAGTCGTGACTGCCGCCGAGGCCGTGGGGGCCGTGCTTGATGTCGAGTAGGTATGAGTAGGTGGTGGACGGAAGGTCTGTGATGGGCTAGCAGGCGGTTGGCTGTGGTTGAGAGCCGGCGAAGATTGCTGTGAGACAATCGAGGTTGTGCTGGATGAAGAGTAAGTCTGGGTGTGCGTCGGTCGAGTGAACTGAGACGAAGTGGGTGTAGTACTCGAGATGGTTGCCGAGGCAGTAGTTCCAACGGTGGCAGGCTGAGTGCTCGACGAAGAAGTTG